GGAACATACCGGACTCTCATGTGGAAACCATCCTTTCCGGCAATCTTGACAAGGTACTTGTTGGCGCAAATACGGGCAGCCTCAAGAGCCTATCCAAATAGTTACCGTTAGCTATTTTGTTCTTCGAGTGTGTATTTGTAGGTGCTGTGGTGTAATGGGTGGAGCTTGGGGTGATAAGAAAAATGATTCGCTGATGACGTACCTCGGAAGAAAGCTGCTCGTACTCGTTGGAGACGAGGTGGATACAGAGAGGGAACTCGTCGACACCGGCACGCTTACGGCCCAAATCGAAGATCCTGATCTTGGGGTCGGGCACACCACGGTTGAAGCGCGACTTGGGGTACGGCTTGTCTATTCAGAAGAAAAAATCACCGTCAGTCTTTCGTTCCCACTTCACTTTCAACAACAAAATTCCTCCTTCTCGCCGCCACGCAGCACCCATCCCACACCCCCCCGCTCTCAGAATCCAAATCTCCATTTCCTCCCGCTTTCCCACGCCCAAGAATTCCTCCAACTTCCTCTCACAAAAAAAAGCCAACAGCAGTTGGGAAGAGAAACTCACTCTTGCAGTAACGGTAGCAACGGGCGGGACGGCGGGCCATTTTTTCTTGATGTGTGGGTTAGTCGTGAATAGGTGTCGTTAGGGTGTGCTGTGTTGGTCGAGTTGCGAGGGGAAGGGGGAGGAGTTTTGATCAAGAGGCAGTTGTGGTTGATTTCTAATGCTGCGTCTTGGCAATGCGGATTACCGAGCAAGGTGGCGAGGAAAGTGAGAGGGGTGATTTGTGTGGGTCGGCTGCAGGGCTAAATACCGAAAAAAACAGTCCTAACTCCGGGTAGGGCGGCAACCCTAGGCGACAGACGACATTTGTCAGGATTCGAACCAATCCCAACGACAACGGTGGGAAAGGGAAATGATTGGCTGTGCAGAAATGGAGAGTTTGCGAGAAATTACTCTGTGAAGTCCCTTTTTATGAGTGCTTAAGGCGCAATGTTATGCCGACTGACTGGCTGCTACTATATTTTTCTAGATAGTGCGACTTGACTTGCAGACGTCATTGACTCACACATACAACAGCTTTGTCAGCATATGATGCACAGGACAGAGGTGTTTTTGATACCGAGCTGAATTTCGCGCCAGGGGCGGCAGCAGAAAGAGATCCCTTCCTCAAATGGAACGCGCTGGTTCATTCTACGTAAGCTCACCCACACATGTGGGTAGGGTTTCCATCATGAGATATCACTCGTCGATCTGGCTCTAGCTACCCATTGGCGTATACAGCTGTTTCTAAAGGCCTGCGGCTACTGATTGCTTATGAATAAGCTGTGGAATATAGTTCGGAAGATAAAGAGCGCTGTGAAATGGAGTATAATAGGGAGATGGCATCTACGGTGACCTATTTCCTACTAATGTAGTTCGTACGTATCCCCTCCGAGTAGGAAGCTAGCACTTCGCTTTTTTTTTCTTATATAGTCGACGCCTCGTACCCATACATACCCAAAATGCGTTGGTAGCTACTGGTGGCCGGTAGGGAGCACCGTCTCTCTCCTCCACACACACACATCTATCTGTTTTCACTTTGTTTAAGATAACGTTTTATTGCTACTATTGATTTATTTCCTAGCAGTATTGTAAGCAGTTTCACATACTTGCACTAATACATGCTTGACACACGTTTTGTCTTATGATGGAAACCGAGAGAAGATTGGAGTTTTGCCTGTTTTGTTTCATAGTCATTGAGATTATGCTCTGCTTGGTGGTATGGGTGGGTTTATCTGAAACTATAAGAAAGTGGGAGAACGAATAGAATAGGAAGGAATGAACGGTTTCAATTCTCGCGAATAACATGGGGGGAGGAAGAACTTGAAATATGGGGGGAGGAAGAGTGACTAGCAGCTATCCCGATAAAGGCTCGTTGTTCTTCTGCGTGGCGGGAGACTTACGTGCTCTCCTATACGCACTGCTCCGGTGACGATCCTACTCTTCAAGTAATTAAAAGTGCAAGAGTCAGAACCAACTGCTCTTTCACCCTGGCTATCCTGCCCCCTACGATTGTAATGTATCCTTTTGATACCTCTGAGGTTTAGGATGACTTGGCTTGACGGTGTTTGGTGAGTGAGTGTTTGGTACTGGTATCCTTTCTGTCGGTGTTACTCACCCTATGATAGAGGGTCGCAATTTTGATGAGAGATTAATTTGATAAGAAATATAAAGTGATCTGTGGGAAAAAGCCACCCACTCTCTTGCCACAAACTTTAAGGTGGGTGGCATTTTCCGACAGACGAAGGGACAAACCTAACTCAACCACCAGAGCTAGACGATACCACCAACCATAGTCGCACCCACCCAGGCTCCAACCACACTTTTCAGTAATGTTAGTTACTAGATGCGCGCCACTTGACTAGTAGCTCAACTAAAGCCATCAAACTTACTCTTGACTAGGGGTAGAGAACAATGACTATCGGCCGTTTTATTATCCTTCCTCTCTTACAAAGAGGCGCCCCTCACTGGGAGTTTGGATACCATCCAGCTGGGACCGGGACTCTACTATGATATAGTAGACAGCTGTATGAAGGCCTATAGAGTTATAGCAAGGCTCATTTTCGACCTCTGAATAACTTCTAAAGCATTAAGCTACAGCGGAGATATTGAAACAATCCAGTGCTCCACACTTGCTGTAGGGCCTTCTACGCAGAGAGGAGGCCGCTGGGGCTAGTTATTCAACACTGGGAAACACGAGAATTAGTGCCCAACGCTCATCCCAGGGCTTATTACGTAGCGTTGGGCCACTACGGCCGGTGATTCAGCTCAGAGAAATAAGAGAATCAGTGCTGAACTGCTTTGAGTAGGAGGTTCTTAACACTTTAATAGAAGACGACTAACATTTTTCGTAATAGAGATGGGGATGACCTGGAACCGAGGCTGTGAGCGATTATACTGGATACCGGCCGTACCTTGCCGGTCATCAACCACCTCATTATCATTTTTTTGTGGACTGATACGTTTAATTATCCGGGTTAACTAATGGGGATGCAATCAACATATATCGGGTTCCCCATTAAGTCATATCATGACTGCTGGGTCCGAATTACGACACGTTCTTTAGAAAAATAAATTACTAGATGGCTATAACCGTTTTGAGCGGGGATAGCATTGAAACCAACTTGTCCTCTTGAAATACAGAATTGGTGGTCTATTTTCATGGCCTGGGTCTAGGCTAGCACGAGGTTTCTGGGGTTATTCGAGACTTAATTCATTTCACTTAGGGTTTGAGATAATCAGCTGCGAATACATGAGTAATGACGTACGAACAGATAGGACCTTGCCCTCACCACTTTTGCTTACCAAAGGGAGGTCTTAGTGATGAAATATCGTCATTTTATCAGGCGAGGATATAAGGAACAAACATTCAACGTACTACTAGACGGCAATTCTTCAAATAATATCTATGATTGAATATGAATTGGGCTGATATACCCGAGCAAAGGTTTGTATCACTAATCAGGCCTGTGTTTAACATATTACCAACCTGGTTCTGGTTCTGGTTCCGGTTCTTCATTGGCTACAGGATATAAGCTCTGTACTTCCAGATATGCCTCGACTAGGGAGGATACCAGCAGAGGCCTTGATAATTAATACTGAATTCCGGTCTTCTGGGCTCAATATGGGAGATTTAAGCGTTTCCCTGCTGATCATGAGCTTCACAAACAATATGCTTCACAGCCTATCACTCGCTTACTTGCCTCGGGATGAACTGCATGCACGCGGCCGCTGGTCTAGTTAAGCGCAAAGTACTGGCCAGCACAACATATTCCGGGTATGCACTGGAGAAAAAGTAAACCCTATGCACCTCATTGTACGACACTCATCGAGCGATCGTCTTTTACACTTTCATACCATTAGATATTAAGGAATCCACCGTTTGTCTTGCAACCTTACGCAAAGTACAGAGATAGCAGAGTACGGGCAAAGTTATCAGATGACGAAATAAAGACAAAAAGAAATATGGATACGACTGCATGCGATGAACTCTCATTTTATGTTTATTGAAGTTGTTGTTGACTTCTATAAACAATGCATTCCGATAATAAATAACTCTGGGGTTAAGGGAGACACATGAGCTCACCATACATCCAATAGTGCATTTACATATGCATTGGTGCATCTTTATCTCAACTGGAAACAAGGAAAGAAAGTCTAACCGATTCCTCCTATGCGCGTCGTATCCAAATTCCAGCCCAGGTGCGACGATACCCCACAAACGGGGAAGTATACGATTAATCCGGTGATATGCATGTATACATACATATAAGTTTTGTGTCTATATGAACAACAGAACTGTCATGAACGAGAAATGATGTATGCAAATTATACACGATTCCATCCACCGTATGCTTTAATTATAACCGTGGAGCTATGGGTTAGTGATCTTGTACTGATGGTTTTATTTGACATATTTATTCTATCCAAATGACGAACGACCTTGTGATTAATAACGGCCCACCAACAGCATATCGGATAGCTACATCGAAAAGCTCACATGGGATTGATCTGGGCTTTCCTTTTCTGAAAATATGCTGATTCAATTAACCTTAGACTGGTATACGCTATAGGGTTCATTCGCCCGGTCACGAAAACGAATTAGTGACTCCCCTTACAAGTATTCAAGGCGTTGATTTCATATCAATAAAGTCACGAAATCATAGGGGTGTATGTATATACCCGTCAAATCATGACCTTGTATGCGAAGTATCTATTTCCATAACAGATCATGAACTCCCAGGGGTACTACCCAGTCGACAGAAGACTTCACAGCAATCTTTACAAACCTTCAGACGTTAAATAGCCTTAGTTCCTGCCAGATTTTAGTTCTCATTCAACTCCTCATTCAACTCCTCTACCCTTTAAGTGGACTAAAGTCACATTTCGATCTTAAACTCAATTTATTACTTTGAAATTTAATCAAAACTACTAAAAAATATACCTTGAGCAGCGATTTGACATGTCTAGTCCATTCAGAAGCTACGACGACGACAGGGTTTCATATCTCCGTAGCTGCGAAGATGGCCCCCCATGTCAGTTTGGTGTGGTAGAAGAGGCCCTCAGCCCAAGACACAAAAGCCCCAGAGCTGGAGCCGGAATGTCTTTCTGTTTTAATGGGAGCCTTACGACAGGAAGTTCTGATACACACTATACGTCCGAATCCCCAGCAGGACGTTGGATATATGTCGGAGGAGGAAGAAATGAAAGAGGGCATAGGGAACATGGCGGGCATGGAAGTCATGGAGGAGGAGAAGGCCATGGGGGAGGGCATGCACGCATTGAGCCCACCATGTTAGCGGATATTATCAGGAGGTTGGCCTTTAAACCTGTTGCTATTACCACTACTACCCATATAAATTGCAGAGGGTGTTCAGGATGTAACAAGTCGCATTCTCATAGGAACCATCTGGAAACGGATATGGTCAATCGGAGCATTACAACGACTGCACTCTGGAGCGAGGTCCATCCTAAAATGATGTACAATGGCTCTTGGCCCAAGGAATTCAGCATCCCCAAGACAGTGGATGACCTCAACTCTATGGACAGTAAGTATCAATTTTGTGTTCGGATTCACCTGGTTGCTGCCGTACTGATAGCCACATCATGATTTAGGCAGCGCCCTGGATCGTATTCTCCTTGCATATAATCTCACGTCTGGACACAGCTGCGACCGGAAGTATCGTCCCCATGGAGAGACCAAGAAAAATAAGCTCTGGCGTCTTTTGGAATTCCTTGGTGCAGATCATCTAATCCCCCATAGAGACGTAGAAGAGGAAATATTTTGTTCTAGGCACGAGAGGCATGGTGCTAGCGGCTATTAATGCTGCACGGGATATCAATAACATGAGAATTGTTAGGCGCGGAGGACTTTTTTAGAAGAATTTCTTTTAGATTTTTGGGGTGGGGGTTACAGCTGATACCGACGGGTCATTGACGCCGATTGCGGCGGTCAGTACCTTTGCTTATAATTTCCTTCCTATATTTCTTTAGGGTGTGTAGGATTCAGGGTTGCTTTCGGGTTTTCATCTTTAGGTCTTATCGGTGTAAGACCAGAGTCAATTTATCTTTGTTTGTATACTTGATTAAAAGAAGACACATCTATTCTTCATCGATAACTTTTAAACCCCAATGAAGGCATAACCGAATTCTCATTTACTTGATATGTATGCGCATATACCAGAAAGTGGGTACCACGATTCTAGCGCCAACAGGGCGTATAAATTATATAAAATAGGGTTAGTATGTACATGAATCTTAATAAGACTATGATGTTCTTTTTTAGTTTTTTAGTTTTTTTTAGTTACGTATAGTTTAGCAAGCTTAATATGAACATAAGAAGCACGCGAGATAGCTTGTCGGTCGTAAAAACGTGGAAACTGAATTGACACCTGTGTGTACGTGTACCAACAGTATGTAGTATATACATAGATAATGGCAAGCGTGAGCGTTTCTTACTCAAATCGGTATGACAGCAACTGGTACCTATAGATTGTCTTCTCCATACACTAATAGTACATTTCAGTGTTACAATGTTTCCTCTCATTGGTTTCACAAGATAATGTTTCCGAGTGATATATCATGATGCACTAGACAGGCTCAAAGAAGGTGGCTGGATGGCATGTGAGGCCACGACATCATTCACACTAGGATTTGCAATTCACGTATGAAAAGAAATTTATGACCGGAAATGACTTGTATTCTATTTTGACAGACAAAATAACGGAATCTCGTTAAAAACCCAGCTGGTCAATGCTGGGAAAAGAGTAAACCAACAGATAGAGATACAAGTAATAAGGGGTACACATTAATTTTAGGAACCCTATCTATCATAGATGGGAGATCCATAAGACATGATAATGGTATGAGGGGGGAAATAAAAATATGGAAAAATATAAAAGGAACCCTATCTATCATAGATAGGCGATCCACAGGACGTGATAATGGTATGAGGGGGGAAATAGAAATATGAGAAATATAAAAAGGAACCCCATCTATCATAGATGGGAGATCCACAAGACGTGATAATGGTATGAGGGGGGAAATAGAAATATAAAAGAAATGTAAAACAAAAGAAAAAAGGAAACAAAGCTCGGAAAAAGTTCTATGTAAGCGAAAACTTGCCATTTGAAATGTGATAAACATTCGAATAATTTCCTAAAAGCACATAAGAGGATCAGACAATATCAAAGAAAATCAAAGAAGGAAGGAAAGGGAGTTTTCCAGTTTGGGGGCCTCGAAGCCACCGCCGCCCCCAAGGAGAGAAGAAGAAGAAGAGGAGGAGGAGTTACGGCGAAAAAGGGGGTTTAAAGGGTTGTGAGAGAGGGTAACAAGTCGGCGAAATATGGGACGAAAGGCCAGATATTGGCTTGAGGCCACTGTGCCCTCCAAGAGCTCGGGAATTCTACTATGTGCGCGCGAACACTTGAGACTGAGTACACCGTGTTCGATAAACACATGATCTTAGCATACTCTATTATACTCCATCTCTGAGGAGAGATAGGTACTGCGAGTAGCTTATATACATGTCAAGTTTTTATATATGCGAATTCTAATTCTAAATAAGATCTTTCTGATATGTGATTCTTCGTATTCTCTCTATATATATCTATGCATGTATGTTTTAAACAAATAATATATTCGGAATAGAATATAATCCTTTTAATGTTGCGAGTATCGAACACGTCCGTGGCGTGTCAGAAATCTGGCCTCTTTAGGTTTTTGGTGATGCGGTCCACCAAAAAACATTTATGTGCCTCTTACAGAATTAACGAGGGAAGTTATACTGGTAAGCTGAAATCCTGTCTCGCGTCAACCCGGAAATCCAGTTGGTAATTTGAGTCCGAATGATAAAGGCTGTGGTGATTGTAGTCATTATAGCAAAGATCCAACCTGTCAATTCCCGACCCCGTACTTTGAGAACGTTCATGCCGATGTGATACTGGTAAGCCACTGGATTAACCTATGAATTACTTCTTTTCCTGTTGAGAGCTCCTCGACTTCCCCCTCTTGTTGCGGTCTGACAATACTAGTATCTTTATCTAGGCCATGGAACCATAGTACTTGTGTGATATTGTTTACTGATTGTGGATGACCATGAGTTGAGATGCGTTGACTTGTTTGTACCGCTCGAGGATTTCAATCACTAGCCGCCGCCGAGAGCGTCACCAAACGACCGGTGAGCAGTTATTCTACTTGAGGGGCGCACAGTTAACACGCGTTTGATGTAGGTTCAAATAGACGACGATCAAATGACAACAGTCTTATTCCAAAGTCTTCAATTCAATCTCTTCAATTGGTCAAGCAACGCGAAATACCTAGACCGAGAAGTCATTGTCCATGGAAGGCCATACATCTGAAGGAGAACTCCGGCTTTTGAGGTAGTTTCCTATTACTCCTTTGGTGTTGATGTTTGTCCCGCACGTGAGGTACCAGTACTCATGGGCTTATGAGCCAACAGAATCAAAGTTCACCGTTTCTGTCCAGCCTCAAATACTCAAGGAGAGCATCGCAGCATGCACGAGATGCACCAACTATACACTAGTTGGCAGTACCGTCTACCGTCTGCTTGGGTGTAGTATAAGGTTGTGATCATGGGAATCTTTGTTGGAAGGATCCTTGCAGCTAACGTTCCTTCGAGAATTTTAGAAATTATCCTTCTGGTTGTTCACTCGTGGTTTTCCGGGGCCCTCTAACACTCAACGATTGTTGAATTATCAATCCTTACGCGCAGGCTCGGGCTCTAGAGAGGACGCACATCCTGTAGACCCAGGTTCCCGGATCTGAGCTGCGTTCGCCCCAAAACGCTCACATGGATTGTCAAACAACCTTGAATAGTAGTGGTAACGAAAAGCTACTTCTCTCGAGACTTCCGATGCTGGGAAATTCTACTCCATTGGCTGGCGTATGGGTGGAGCCTCTGTGCTCCTCCCACATGGTTTCACCTATGCCGCTGATAATATAGTGTGCTTTGAGAAGAAGAAGAGGGATAAACATATCGAGGTATGTAATTCTATCTTTGTTGAAAATATAAATCAATCAATCAATCAAAGCCTATCTTAATTAGGATGAGCCTCGAGCTTTCTCCAGTCTCACACTTTCCATGCATGCTTACGGCGACACGGCGTATTTAGCGGCCGGCGAAAATCGGTGGTAGCTGTGGTGAAGGAGGGAAGGATGCTGGCGAGGAGGTTAGGAATGATAGTGAAATGAGTTGACGGAAGAGTCTTGGCGGCAAGCGGTGGAGGGAAGGGAACGGTGCAGAAGCCGGTATGATCGTGGTGGGGTTTGCCAAGTATGGTGCCATTTTTGCTAGGGGAGTCTCTTTCTTTGTGTTCGGATTGCCGGCGAGCTGCTGAATAGAATGAGCTGACGGCATCCTGCTTTATAGCATCATAATATATCACTCGACCGACTGGCTCATAACTGTGCAGTCTACTAGACCCGATTTGGCTACATTTCTGCCCCGTAACTTTGTTTCCCAGTAGCTTTGCGCCCTGAGATATGGTCGGGCGACTGGAAATACCATTAGCTACGATGCGCCCTTGCAAGAGGAACCGGAGAATTAACCGGTTATGTTAGGTTGGACCTCGAAAACTTTCTTCAGTCTTATTTGAACTACTGTCTTTCCTCAACTTTTCCGACCAACAACTAACTAGATCGTCGATCTTGAGAAGACGAGTAGATATCTTGGCCTTAACAGCGCTCTGAAACATCGACGAGGCGGGCTCTTCGAATTCATATCGAGGCGGGGTGGTCTGGGAAGCGGTACTACAGCGTGGACGGGATGCGCGGTATTCAGCATGGCTGTAATATTACTAGGTGTTGATGTCGGCAGTAACAACAGGGACAGTAGTGTCACCGATCGCGCGTACTGTAGCTGCGGTATTGCGTGTGTGTTTATGGGTGGTAGAGGGGATGGAGGCACATGTATTTTACACCAGGAAGTCGGCGGGTTGTTTATAATTATGGTTGTGCGACGGGCTGGCTAGGGTGTCTTTGCGCATGGATGTGGGGTGATCTAAATCCATCCACATGTAGCTAGTCTAGTCTACCAATGGAAGCTAATAAACCAGCTAGCCGGTTTCGTAAAGCTACTAAAGCTGTCCAACCAATCAACGTTCATTGCTCTAGAGTTAGGGATTTTACATTTGGCAAGAGTAGGGTGATACGACGAGTGAGAGTTTGTGATGTGATTTGCATACATACGTAGGATTTAGAAATTCTACATGTACTTGTAGCTACCTCTTTACCAAAGTACATGTACCTATGTTCTACATAATTATAAGTGATGGAACGGCCTGAAAAAACAGACACCTTTTTGGGTGGTACTCCACCGGTATATACATGTAGCTATATAGGTATTTGTAGGTATAATTCTGTTTCACACCGTTTCGTTATAATTACTAATATACTTACATTGATTACTGGTTACTGTAATATGTGTTCGATCGAGCCTTTCGAGGACATGAAACAAATCGAGAGGAGGGCAATAAGTCGGCGAAAACTGGCTTGGTATCGAGATCTGGAAGAACACAGTTTCCATGATGAAGACTGTGTCGTGTAGATAGTAATATGTAACCGAGCTTTAAAAGTAGAATTAAATTTAATGATTTTGTATATATAGTGCTCGTATATTTATTGCGCTATCGACGTATCATGGCCCGGATGTTTACATGAACTACATTTACATATATATGTACAAATTAAAGTGACGTTATATTCTATATCTAGCTATAGCAAAAGCAGTTTTATAACTCAACAAGCAATGATTAAAAATATAAGAATATAGGATAATAGAGAATGAAAAATCTAGCTAGTTTATCTATATAATGAAATATCGCGATTCGCGAAAGATATATGTGGTGGTTGATCAGTAAGCGGTCAGAGTTGGGGTGTTCAAATATGTACTCTGTGACAAGACCTCCTCACCATAGGGGTGTCCGTTGACATCATAATATCATTTACCCCGACGTTCGTAATTGTATGTAGTTTAAAACCCAAATCTTTATCTTCTCCTTTACTTTCCTTGCAGGTAGCTAAGTCCCTCTCCACCTACCAAGCGAAAGCGTCTTTCGGTTCAATTGATCAATCTATCTGTCCTATGAACTTGTTAGCAGTCGCAAGACGTATTGAGACAGCACATATTACAGAATTATTGTAGAAGTATGGTAAGAGTCCTATTGGCCGAGCCAGCACCTAAACCCTGTTTTTAGATCCCTGTTTCTACAATAATTCTACCTCTCGCTGTAGATACAGTGGAGTCTCGATAGTAGCATATGGTCGGGAACGGATTTTCGTGTGCTACTATCGAGAATATGCTTGTATCGAGAACAAATTTGCCCGTACCGACTCGTTTGGGATTGCCCAACTATATGCTACAATCGAGGATATGCTATTATCGAGAATGCTACTATCGGGACTCCACTGTAGACTGAGTCATGCATGTTCGGCACCAGCGGCGCCAACAACCATGCCGGGAAGCCGGGCAACTATCCCTTGGACGGATCGATGAAACTTGTCAAATTCGCGACCAACATACATATATGGTTCAAGAATCGATGGAGGGTACATGTAGGTGTGTATCCTATGGCAAAAGAAATAAATCACTACTAATTCTTCTCTAGAGACGACGCTAACGAGTATTCTGGCCAATGGGAATTCATACGCCGATGAAATAAGGTGAGAGGAAGCGAGATTTCCCTTCAATGATCATGTAGGGTCTATCCAGACATGTACAGCCATTGTTCTAGGCAATTGTCTGGGCAGATACGTGTAGTGGATCCAAGTGCCCCCGCTCGGACCAGTTGACAGGTGGGGTGCAGGACCTTCTCCAACGGGCAGGGGTAGATCGACACTTAGCCACAGGATACGACAACTTTCATCCGTCCAAGGGATACCCCGGCCCGAAAAGCAAACCGAGTGATTTGACATGAATTAAACCGGTGGTCATTATTTCTCTTATTTTGATAGTGGTGACGCGCGTACGCGTGGAGTCATATATTTCCCTTTCTTGCCGACCGCTAATCATGATCATGTTCTTCTATCCTTGACGTGTTTGGCCGGGCATCCTGGTTTTTTGCGCCTCGCGTTTCTCCTGCTTCAATCAAGTTTTTCTAATCGTGCGATTATCAAATACTATTAACACTTAACACTGGGCGCACCATAGTTATCATACAGAGTGGCCATAGGTGGACAGTTTGGCTTAGACTAAAGAGGAGGGGACATTAAAGAATGATGTTTCCTTCACGCGAGTTTCAAAGCAGAGCAAGCATTAGAAGCATGCGCAGTGGTATTATATTGCTCTTGATATCCGTTTTATTTTGAAACCTAGCTCTATAGAGGGGTTTGGGGGAGCACTGGAACGCCATGGCACCATGCGTGTGGCTTCTAGATAAACTTCGGAAGAGATTCGGAAGGGTAAGGAGTGTGAACTGTTTATTTCAGTGAGCCGAACCTTACATTCTACTTATAGCATGAATTCATGAAGGGTCAACCGAAGGTCTCGAAGCAAATCATAACCAGAACCCATCATCTCACGAGCCCTGTTCAGCCTCAGTTCGCCCCCGACAAGACCTGGAACCTTCGACTACACAACAAATAACACGGGCAACGATGATGATGGCCATATCGGCGCCCGAGGTGAACGGAATATCCCCATCGCGCTCGCGAGCAGTCCTGGACAACCCGCTTGAGGCTGGAAATATAAACAGGCCGAAACGAGCCTATACCTGGACTGCAGACAAAACAAAACATTGAGAGACCAGAAGTCGGGGTTAATATACAATTAAGAGTGCGATGGTAAATCTCCCAGTATTTGGCCAATTTATATATTCTCTGTGCTTGGGATGCATTGGTCTTTGTTGAATAGAATGAGTTGACGGCATCCTGTTTTGCATCATCATAAACTATCACTCGACGGGCTGGCTCATAACCCTGCTGTCTACTTTCAAAAAATATCTCTCCGTTTGCACTCGCCTACTTGTAACGAGCCGTTGCGTAACAAAGTTTCATGATTTAATTACTTAGGTCGGAACAGGTATTTTCATAAAACTATAGATTTATATAAACCGGATATTGGGCTTTTTCGACATTAAGATTTTATTGATTTCAGTCCTTTGCAAAGATATGATTTCACTAAACCTTATATTCCATCAGGCTGATGATATATATCGGATAAACTTATTATGTACTATTTATTTGTTGGAAAAGATTGATACATGAGTAGGCGCGCTTTCACTCTAGCTGTTTCCCTGCCTACATACATACTTGTACCTACTGGCCTGCCTATGTACTTGCCTGCTTGCACGCCTGCCTACCTGCTTGCCTATCTGTCTACCTGCCCGCGGGCGCCTATCGACCAAATTCGCTGAATTGGCTTAATTCGGAGGTAGATTCTCTACTCAATTCGGAGGTAGATTAGCTGCTGGATTTGATGCTGGATTGATGCTAATTTGATGGCGGGTTCGCTGGATTTGCTTCATTCGGTGATAGATGCTAATTTGCTGGATTCGCTGCTTAATTCGCCAATTAACCCATATTTTGATGATTTTGATGATTGGAACATGGCTTGATATTTGCCAAGTATCTAACCCTAGCTAGCCCGTGAAGCTCTTCTTTCCTGACAAATTTCCCTAATTCTTACCTATTCGGAAGTCTTAGCGCCAGTAAATACCTGATATATGCGTAATCCTGAGCAAAGGTAATTTTTTTTGGACACAAGGCTTAAACAAGGCTTAATTAAACAAGGCTTTCCCTCCGTCTCTAAGGCTTATAAAAATACACGTTCCGCTCCTAAGAAGTACAGAAGTAATCTTTCTATGCAACTCGTGCAGCTAAAAGAGCGATTTGTGATATTTGCCAAGCCGTATGTAAATTCGAGGTCTTGACAGGAATCTCAGCATGACTGCACATGGAAGGAGGACATGTCACAGGCGACACGCTGTATTTCTTCGCTGTCACATAGATCTTTTCCTAGTCGTAATCAGTGATTATAAATAAAATTTACGGTTGCTATCACCCCACTACGGTCACAAATTAAAGACACGGGAGTGATGATTTAGTGCGAAGACTGAATGTAATTGTATTGTGATGATGAGATTACAAGGTCTAGTCCTAAGAATAACGATTTATCTAGTGCCAAATCGCCAAGACCATAGCTGGTCTTATGGGGCTCATGACAGTTGCCTTTGTTTTTACATCAGAGCTCGAAAGCTAATAGGAAAAGCCCGATTGGTGGACCTAGATTGGGGTGAAGCTGGCGCTTATATTTCTATAGTATCGACGGTTTATGGGATAATGAGTGCTAATAGAAATTCACTCTATCGCTACAATCTGCTGTTTCGTTATTAAAAAGTTTTAGCTGCCAGAGATGAAACTGAAACTCATGCAACAAAGTTCTATCCATAGTGCCAAGACCCTGTCCTCAGTACATGCACAAACTCGGAGAAACTCCGCCCACAGTTCCATGACTGTCCACGGCGGTGCATGACGAAGCTGTTCATGGTGCCAAGACTCTATCTATGAACTGTGCCAAGACTCGGACCACCACGGCGGCGCATGTCGACGTTCTGCCCAAGCTTTTGTGCCAAGACTCTATCCCGGAGCTGTGCCAAGACTCGGACCACCACGGCGGCGCATGACGACGCTCTGCCCAAGCTTTTGTGCCAAGACTCTATCTCAGAGCTGTGCCAAGACTCGGACCACCACGGCGGCGCATGACGACGTTCTGCCCAAGCTTCTGTGCCAAGGCTCTATCCCGGAAAGCTCTGTCCCGGTGCCAAAACTCTACGGAGTGCTGCGGCATTAGAGCGATTTGGCCAATCCCTGTTTTTCAAATTTTGAGCTCAAATTTTGAGGTCTTGGCGGGATTTTCACACCAAAAACTGTCGCCAAGAACTAAATATTTAGGTTCAGAAGTCGTTGGTCAAATCGCTCTATTGACTTTGCATACAAATTATGTGCCAAGAGTGGTCTAGGACTAGGAAAAGTACTTTTTTTTAACCATACAAGCAGGATTGTTCCGGCTAAAATATTTTTATAACTCAACAACGAAGAATGATTTTAAAAATCCGAGTACAGTCGCACCTCGCTATCTCATAATTCGATATCTCGGATCTCTTGCTGTCTCGTGCGGACTTGCGGGATAGGTACTGCCCTTCTCCACCAAAAACTATTTGCTGTCTCGTATATTTGCTATCTCGTAGGGGTTTGGCTCCTAGAATACGCTAGAGGTGCGACTGTAGATAGAATGATAGAGCAGTTGAAATTGAGTATATCTAATAAAATTAAAAATAAGTGTGGTGGTTGATGAGCTATAAGCGGTCAAAGCTGAGGTGTCCAAACTACAATATCTCAGAACTGTGCCAAGACTCGGACCACCACGGCGGCGCATGACGACGTTCTGCCCAAGCTTTTGTGCCAAGACTCTATCCCGGCAAGCTCTGCCAAGACTCGGACCCCACGGCGGTGCTGTCGGGGTTCTGCCCAAGACCTGTTCACGGTGCCAAGACTCTGTCCACAGTACTACCTACATGCACAAACTCCATCCACGGTGACAAGGCTCTGTCCACGGCGGCGCATAACAATGTTCTGCCAAAGCTCTGTTCACGGCGCCAATACTCTATCAGTACAGCCTCTGGTAGAATTATTGTGGAAATGTGGCATGGTAGATCGAAGATTTGAACGATAGCATTGGTAATAATTCTGCCAGAGGCTGTACAATAGAGATGCACTGAGATGTAGGAACCAAGACGAATTTCTCTTCAAGATCTGATTGGTGTACAATGTTCTGTCCATGCTGCTGAGATGTCCAAGCTATACAAGGTTCTACCTACGTGTGTCCATTCACTACGGGCAGCTCGCTGGGACCTAACAGCTATATTGTGGTACGTCCAATCGGGATGGAAGATCTAGATATTAGATGCATTTCTTTTCGGGGTGCTGCTGAAACGTCCAAGAAGCGCAAGGTTCTTAGCCATACGTGGGTCTTCGTTACCTCTAACCCACAACTCGATATTTGACACAAAAATCACTCGTTGCGATGCGGAATTATAGAAACCCGCCCATGGCCTTCAGTTTAGAAAAATCAACAGAAAAGAAATCATCTCTAAATATCGACGCCGCTACAACAGGCTCTTGATTTCTACGACTATTCTTTGCAATCGTACAATCTTTATCATCTAATATATAAGACATACACCATAGCTTCCAAGCCATGAACGAATACAGCCTCCATCCCCGCGCTGCAGGCAGCGGTACTAGGGGTGGTCTCGACAACAGTGATATTATCGCCATCGTCGGAATCTTTGCGTCTGTTATCACGACAATTTTCGGTGTGTGGCTTGTAGATAAACTTCGAAAAGGATTCAGCAGACCGGGAGCTATATATGTAAGGACTTTACAGGTTCCGTCTATCTATGTGTGTACATTTATACAGTGTGATTAAGTGGGCTAAGCTACATTCCACCTTATAGCATGAACGACCAGCTGAAGACCTCGAAGCAAATGTTAGTCAGGGTTCACCACCATTTCATGAACCCTTTTCAGTCTCCACCCCCCTACTACAAAACTTAGAACCTTCGCATACACAACCTACACGAATATCAGGGACAAGAACGAAGGGAATTAATAACCCAGAAGAGATCGTACCCATTATAATATCGGCGCCCGTGATAAACGGATCCTCATCGGGTCCGCAAGCAGTCCCGGACCACCTATCTGAGGTTGGAATAAACAGGCCGAAACGAGCACATACTTGGGCTGCAGGCAAAACAAAATACTGGGGGAAGGGGGTTGGGGGGGGGGGGGAGTCGGAGGTCGGGGGCCGGGGGTCAGGATTAATCGCGAGCGTGTTATATCGATAGTAAATCTCCCAGTATCTTGCCAATACGTCTTGCGACTGCTAACAAGTTCATGGGACGAATAGGTTGAGCCGAAAGTCGCTTTTCGCTTGGTAGGTGGAGAGGGACTTAGCTACCAAGGAAAGTAATGGGGTAGATAAAGATTTGGGCTTTAAACTACATACAATTACGAACGTCGGGGTAGATGATATTATGATGTCAACGGACACCCCTATTGTGGGGAGACCTTATCACAGGGTACATATTTGGACACCCAACTCTTACCTCTTATATCAACCACCACACATATTTTTCGCGATATTTCATTATATAGATAAACTAGCTAGATTTTACATTCTCTATTATTCTATTTGCTTGTATTTTAATCATTGCTTTTCGAGTTATAAAACTGCTTTTGTTAGTGGATAACGTTACTTTAATTTGTACATATATATGTAGTACATGTAGTCTAGGAATTATTCTGTGCCACAAGTGAGCGAACGCAATATTTGACAATTGAGCTACAGCTATAGATACTATCCCTATCAGTGAATCCATATCTAACATTTTCCTATCAAAAAGATAATATATATACAATTGGGAAGCTGGCCAACTGGGGGAATCTCAACATAAGTTGATAATCAATCTTTGGTTTCTCAGGACAACTCCGAGTGAAACACTCAGAAAAACCCTTGGTAGGTAAATGTATGACATGGAATCTGCATTTGCCATGCATTGGGACTTGACATTGGTGCTAGGTAAACACGGCAACTGTATTTATATATCATATTCTGTTAGATCGAATAAAAACCGGGCGCGTATTCTTAAGCGCGGGAAAATCAGGAGATAAGGCAAACATCTGACTTTAGAGGGAGCGATCCCCAAGAAAACAGTAAAACTCGTCACGCTAATTACATAGCAAATTTAAGGGCCCGTTCGATCGGTAGACGTTGTGTTTGAATATATGGCCGGCGGAAGAAGCTCTGTACGGGTAGGATGTCAACCCTGCGGCACACCTCTCACTTTTGGTCTATCAAATAGCGTGGAAGGTGCCTTGATCCGTTTTAGTGGCCCTTGTTGCTGCCCATACTCTTGTGGCGAACTGTGGCTTCCGTGCGAAATCTTTTCAAGATGGTGTGTGCAGGGTTGACATCCTACCCGTACAGAGCTTCTTCCGCCATAGTGTTTACATTAGAGCTAGTCTTTATGCCAACAACCGTGAGAATCGTTAACACTAAATTAAAATACCCAAGACTGCTGTATGCAGGGTGCGTATCATATATCACTTTTTGAACACCGTGCTTAAGAATACGCCGTCAAATACTTAGAATACAAATCCTTAGAATTGTTCTTTACGAGTATTCCTCATATTACCATGCAGGCCAAGGTCCCCTTCCCCTATTAACACCTCTTACGGTCGTTGGCAAAAAGACTCTAATAGAGCGTATTTACTAACCGTCAATTCTGACAATTGACACTTCGCCACTCTCTAAAGCGACATCCGCAAGTGTCAATTTTGGATGGGGTTGCTTGCCAGGCTGTGAAATGCGTCAAAAGGATATAAAATGCAGCCTACGCATTTCATATCCCGTCAGCGTATTACAGATAGTGTGAGGAATTATCAGATCTTCAGAGTTATCCCAATCTCACCTTCCTGCAGTGCCGTCGCAGCATTGGCCATGGAAGGTGGAGAGAAGGAGAGGCGTTGCTGCGTTTATATTAGACATATGCATGAGACTCGAGGCGACCAAGACCTTATTTCCCGACCTGTATAAGCTAAAACCGCTGGACAGACAAAAAAAAAAGTCCGGCAACCCGGTCAGCGCCCTCAGTCCGGAACATCAACAGAAAAGATACTAGTCTCTGGCTCAATCCCTACCAACACCGCCAGAACAGTCTCTTTATTTCTACGACTATTCCTTGCAATTGCAATCGTACAATCTTCATTACCCAATATATAAACGCCATACACTACAGGTTATAAGCTATGAACGAACAAAACCTCCATTTCCGCGTCGAAGGCGGCTGTAGTAGGGGCAGTCTCAGCAACGGTGATATTATCGCTATCACCGGAATCTTTGCGTCTATTGTCGCGGCAATTTTTGGCGTGTGGCTTCTAGAAAAACTTCAGAGGATCAGCAGCGGTAAGGACGAACTTTCTGTTTATCTAAGTGTGTATAAGTATATACAATGAAAACTAAACTTGACTAGCATGAAGAATCAACTGAAGGTCTCGAAGCAAATATTATTCAGGGCTCGTCATCTCATGAGCCCTGTTTAGCCTCCGTCCTCCCCCGACAAGACCTGCGACCTTCGCCCAAACAACCTGCCCAAATACCACAGACACTGATGATGATGATGGCCATATCGACGCCCGAGGTGAACGGATTCCCGCCATACCCACGAGAATTGCTGGACCATCCGCTTGAGGTTGGAATAAACAGACCGGAACGAGCCTCTACCTGGACTGCAGGCAGAACGAAGCATTGAGAGAGATCGGGAGTCGGGATTAATATATAATTAGGAGTGCGATGGTAAATCTCCTAGTATTTGGCCAATTTAACGCATTTTCCGATATAGTTACTAACGAGTTTATAATTTAGACGCTTTTTGACTTAGCTTTTTTTTTTGTTTAACTCATTACATTTTTCGCTTAGCAGGTAGAGGGGTTTAGCAACCAAGCTAGCAAAAGAAACAATTCGAAGAAGACATAGATATTTATATACCTTGTATAAATATCGGGGCAAATAATATCAGGTTGATGTTAACAAAGTTGGTCCCATAATGAGAATACTTGTTGAGTTTGTTGAGCTACAAACACATAATATCTACATAATATGTAATATGTACTAGAGCTTTGATTGGTCGAGATGGTAAGTACATGTACATAAGCACATCAAAATACTGAGGGGAAGGACGGGGAACGAAGGCTCCCCCCCCCCAAATTGAAGGCCTTCCAAAATTCTTGGAGACCCAAAGTACAACTTGCGGTCGCGAGGTGCGAACTGCTAATTCCCCCCACCTTCCCCCTCCCCCCGAAAACTGGAAATATAAAGCAGTTTCGATTGTTTTGTACATGTCTCTTTGAATTGAGCCATCGATCTCCACCTGCAACGTACACACATCCTCCTTTAGGCCAATAAGATACATGTATCCATATCTTTTGGGCACGTTGTGTGCCTACTTGATACAGACCTTTGATTGCCTGTGTTCTAGCCCCCGCAAGGTGAGAGGCTGCAGCTGCTTCCCCCCATCCAAGTACACGCGGCAACAACTCGCCAAAATTCAGTTACCGAGGACGGACTGGGTACGCAGCATGATGGCGCGCAAGCAACAGCTCGCCTAAATCCCAGGAGACCACTTCTCGGAACGTTCATGTATGGAACGATTCAATAGTTCATGACCTTTTGCTGAAGTGTTCCTGTCATCCAAAGAATGCGTGTCTACTTACGTAACCAGTCTTGGCACTGATTACGCCTAAAACCGCTTTTTATCGTGTAGACTTGTACATCTAATACAATTTCATCACGTAAAACACCTAGTAGTAGTCCTTCACGGAGCTCGTGTTACAGTTCCCCTCGGGATGCCTGGCACAGTTGGTGTGGCGCAGCGGGTGGCTTAATCTAGGACATGTGGCTGTAGCTAGGACATGTGGCTTTCGCATTCAGAACCCCGACCTATTACGTCTGGACGGGATCAAAGATTGACTGCACCAAGCTGCGCAAATTTGTTTCCAAGCTGCACATGATTCCCACTTCACATTTATCTGCATGCACCTAAAAAAAATCTATTCATCCCTTCTACCGGCTATGTTGCGCGAATGGGAGATATTAAGAAGCTGGCTGGCCCTAGTGCTTTACAGATGGGCGAAACTGCTGCAGGCAGGGTCTCTGGGTGCATCCCAAAGGAATACCTGACTAGTTCCCGTCTCGTTTTCGGAAGGGCATGGACGTTCTTCCCCCCCACCGCGCATCATTAGTTCAGTTGGAGCCGATTAATACATGTACCATGCCTGCCAAGGTTTGGAATCGTCCAGATGGGTTAGGGTTACGCAGTCACCACCGATCGAGTGATTATTGATGAATATCGCGCCTTGGCGGGCTGCCGTCAGTCTGGCCAGCACACAGCAAAGAAAATTGCCTTTAACTCTCTAATCCCTTACTGTAACCGCTACAATAGACAGGCTTTTAATCTTTACGACTATCTTCAGAACCGTATAATCCCGATCTAACTGCCACCATACCACAGGTCCCAAGCCATGAAGAATTACAGCCTCCATCCCCGCGCTGAAGGCATCGGTGGCACTAGGGGCCGTCTCGACAACGGTGATATTATCGCTATTATTGGAATCTTTGCGTCTGTTATCGCTACAATCTTCGGCGCGTGGCTTCTAGATAAACTTCGGAAAAGATTTAGAGGGCCAGGAGCGGTGAGTGTGAACTTTCTGTTTATTTAAGGTATACGTTAATATACAGTGAGAGCTAAACTATAATTCTACCTTATAGCATGAAGTATCAGCCGAAAGTCTCGAAGCAAATGTTAACCACGGCTCATCGCAGGAGCCTTGTTCAGCTGCCGTTCACTGCCGACAAGACCTGGAACCTACGACCACTCAACCTGTACAAACATCACAGACAATGATGATGACCATATCGACGCCCGAGGTGAACGCATCTCCGTCGCGCCTGTGGGCAGACCCGGTCCGCCGGCTTGAAGTCGGAATAAACCAGCCAAAACGAGCCCATACTTGGGCTGCAGATAAATGAAACATTGAGAGAGATTAGAGTTCGGTATTAATTACCAGTGTGAAGGTAAATCTCCCGGTACCTTTCCAATACGTCTTGCGACATGGCTAACGAGTTTATGTGACGGATAGGTTGAGCTGGAAGAAGTTTTTCGCTTATTAGGGAGGGACTTTGAATTAGCTGTTAAGGAAAAGAGAGGATTTATATAGATTTTGTCAAACTAACTACGTACAAATGTCGGGATAAACAATATTATGATGTCAACAAAGTTGTCCAGATAGTGAGAATACAGCACCTTATCACGGAGCAGTTTGGAGGCATTTGTGATTTTAATTTTATTTAATATAAATCACCTCAGTTTCACCCGATTATCGTCTTATCTGCTTGAACTTTTAAAGTTATTGCTTGTTGTTGAGTTACATATATAAAATATTTTGTGTAAGCCTTTTCCAAGATCAATCACTGACCATGAACTCTGCACAGTGGCGGGGTTTGGCCTGAGAAGTCGAGTTTTATCAGAAAAATTGACGGCCGTCTCTGAAACTTTCGATCGAGCGGATCCGGAATTATGATAGGTTTTTCTGGCTGTACTATAAGGAACCATAACAACATGTGTGGAATACGGTTGAGTAGGTGGGCCAGAGTAAGTGGGCCGGGCTGGCTTATCATTGGTAGCCGCAAGCTGCTGACAGGTCATATGTTTCACTCCGCCTGCATAGATGCGCATGCAAGCTGCGAGGGTTAGGGCTTTTGACTCAACAAGCTCCATGTATGGAGAGTGGCTACTTGCTAGGGACCACTTATTGGGCGACTGGCCCGCGTTCGGTCGATTCATTGGAGATCTAAACCCATAAAGCTGCGGAGTTCAGGACACAATACCTACATGTAAGAACTGGTACGTGTGAACAGGGTTGTTTGGCCAAGTGCAGTGTAACTATACCTTAGATCGGTTCTTTTGATTTGTCTAGAATTATTTGTCGCTGACACGCCATCCCTCAAATTCGTAGCCTGGTTTTCGCGTGCTGAGGTTGGAATTTCCTGTTCGCAGATCATATGTAAGTGACCACACGAAGTTCCTACTGGCTTATTTATTGATAATATGTGGTTCGGTCGTATGAGTCAATGATCACCAGATCAACAAATTTGAATAAAATATATATCCCATCGACCGTAGCAACCGAGTTAAGGACCTTTTGATGGAAAGTGCGGCTTTGAAAAAAAGCTCCCACTTGAAATAAAGTGACCTTTCTTAAATTCACAACAACACCAGCTCCGTGAGTCCTATATTAGGAGCTGTTATCGAGATCGCTTGATAAACTTCCCCGCTTCTTTGGTGTTAGTGAACAGAACTGAATTATAGTGTTTTTGTGTTTTTATCGAGGCTGGAGTTGCAAAGAGCCCAATTGGGACCTCAGGCCTCTACGGTTCATGGGATAGCAAACCTACATATCCAATATCTAGGTGCTATGTACTCAGATCAGTGATAATGACTGGACATCTTTGGCATTTTAACACTCTAAGCTTGCCAACGCATTCAAAATTAACCGGCTTGGCATGTTTGAAAATTGAAACTCAGCACTACCGGCGATTTGCCAATCAATTTGTAGAATATATATACCTTTATTTTTATCATTGCTATATACCAGTGCTAAGAGCCACACATTGTCTTTTACTATATAGGTTAAATCATCAAGGTTACAAATCTCAGGACTTTGTCCGCGTGGCAGACATGAGTGCTCACGGATACGTATTTGACACAATAGTTATACCCATCTTGCTGAATCTTTCTTTTTCACTTTAATTGACACAGACATCTAAAATATGGGGATCTCGTACGTACGTACGTACATGAATGAGCATGAGAATTTTAGTCAAGTTCTGAAGCTTGCACGCGGGGACCTTCTTGATAGGTTCTCTCACAAAGGATACAAAGCTTTACGACTAGAAAGAGATAAATAATTAGAACTTACCCAATGAAAACTGGAAATATAATGCCCAAAACCCAGTTTCGGACTTTTTCGCCCCTTTCAGCCATCTTAACACTCACACGTATACTCCATCCTCCCTCGATGTATTTTCTCCCTATATCCCAATCCCTTATTCTCCAATATATATCCGGTAAAATCTTAGAACGCAATACAGCATGTCTAGATCTCATGCCTAACATGGTCCTCGAGGACGAACGTCCTTGTGTTCTTGCCTCGAGGATATATCCTCGATGACATACAAGGACAATAGTCTAAAAGGACAAGGAGTCTCGAGGACACTACCTATCCTTGCCTCGAGGACCCCCGAGGGCAATTATTGGTATATTATATACTTAATCTGCCCGATTGAGATGAGATCAAGGACTGAATATGCTTCCTAATTGAAATAAATACCGCTTTTTGCTCTCCCGGAACCGTCATCGAGGCACCTCGAGGACACTCTCAAACCTCGTGGACCACACTGCTCATGCCCAAAAGGACCAAATTTTACGCCAACAACTAAATACACAGCACAGACTCCGCCAATCATCGAAGCTGACAGCGCGGTACAGAAGCAGAAATGAGTGGTCAATTCCCCCGCTTCCGAGCTTAATAGGTTTGAATGGTGATGCTGGGACATTAACGTTGAGAAACGTACGGGAGGAATTAGTAATTTCGTAACTACATGAGGAATTGTGCCTTAGTTTTTGGCCGGTATTGTGCACTTATGGCTCAATATAGCCCGAGTCTGTGAGTTAGGTAACAACTCTCTGGTCCGGTTTCGTGGGTCAGGCTGTGGCATGCTGGTTCACGTATAGGGCGGGCGGAAACTTTAATTCCATGTGTATATTCACTCTTTTCTCCTCGGTTTATAATCTGATTTGGGTCGGTGGAGGTTATGAGCCTGAAGTACGTATTTTTAAAGTCTAAATTTTAGAAATGGAAAAACAAACAGTCTATAGATTCTAGTCTCCAACAGCTTATAAGACATACCAAAAATCGCCGATATCCACCGCTACACGACCCCAACCTACTCCATTACTCAAACCGCACCAGAAAGAAACGCCCGTCTATAACCAATTCGTCCAATCCAAACCCAAAAATCTCCCTAAACACCACATAGAAAAACCAGCACAACTCCAGGTCCGTAGTATAATACCTAACACTCATAGCTTCCTATTTAAGAAATCGATCCCCTTCCTTGAGCTTTCAAAGCCCTCTCCAAATCCGTCTGCCCTGCAAACCTCACCCTCAATGGCGCCTCTCCGCCAACCACTGCCCCGTCCAGGTCTGTAATCGCAATCTCACACGCCTCGCTCCCCATCATGTACACCAACGCCATAAACGCCCTATCGTTCCCTAAGATAATTGGTGGTTCCACACTGCACATATTAGCACTGGCCAGCTAGTTAACACACCCGCGACAGCTCTCGCACCCACAGCTAGCTCCGCCGTATCATTGACCCGCCAAAAAAAAACACGAATTGTATATGAGCTAAACTCACTTATCATGCACCTCAAACAGCGCCTCTAGATCCTGCTTCAGCGTCCCCCAGGGTAGGCCCTCCACAACGAGACAATGCCGCCAGCTCGCCTTCGGGCACCCATACATCAGCAGCTGCCCCGTGCGGCTCAGCAGCGTGGGGTCCGAGTACCCGGGCGGCATGTTGGAGCGCAGTACCTGTAGCACGCCCGGGTCGGAGAGCCATGAGGAGGGGTGGGTGTCGCTGATGGAGGACGAGGGGTAGTGCTGGAGGAGCTCGCGAATGAGGGGGTAGTTGGAGGGGTCGGTTTTGGGCATGGTGAGGGTGAGGGTGCTGGGGGCGTGATTGGGCATCGGGGGTTATTTATGGGGTATTTATGGGAGTGGGTTGGTGCTGGGAGGTGCGAAGGTCAGCAATCAAGATAATCGTGAGGAAGGGGGCGGCAGGAAGGGAGGAGGGATGAAGGGAGGGAGGGATGAAGGGAGGGAGGAAGGAAGGGAGGGAGGGAGGGAGGGAGGGAGGGAAGGGCGTATAGATGGGGGGGGGCGGGGCAGCTATGAGATGCTTCATTCAATCTCATAGTTGGTGTTACTGGTGCCGATTGCAAGAGGCCATGGATGCGAAGGATCGATGGCTGGGACTCTTCTAGAAGGAGTTCCCAGAGGACTGACAGCGGGCCTTAGTCAGAGGAGCAGGGTGGAAAGGATGTCTCGAATACTGCAGGATCCCGAGGGCGTGCATTATCACAAAGACGACAAGACAAAGAAGCGGATCGGAACTGCGTGTACATGTAGCCATATATATATCGAAGCTTGGATTCATGAAGACAAGTCATCTAATGTTGGGTGCTGGCTGGCGTTCGTAACTTGACCAGCTCGACACATCCGACGCCGCCTCCGGCTCCATCGGCTACTTGGCTACTTGACATGCCCGCCCACGCTGAGAGGACTTGTACTCGTGCTGTTGGGAGCGTGCCAAGAGATACGAGTAGAAAAGCCACAGATCGACCTCCCACTCCGCATCCCCTCTCTCCTCTGTTCCTATCATCATCCAACCAATCCCTATAATCACTCACTCCAGCAGCAGCAACTAGCCATCATATTTGTCAATCAATGGCTTGCTGCATCTACGTCCGTCTCCTTGCCCTAGTATCTTCTGTCTCCAACTCTTTCAAACCAGATCATGAAGTGTCACTCCGCTACCTGCGCGGCTGCGCGCGGACCCGTACCGAGTACTTGCATCACCGCATATCACTCGCCAGCCTCTCTCTTTTCATTTTTGCTGGGGTGATTGCTGCCCTCGGGATAATGATGTGAGGATCCGCTAGCTGTCCTTATTCGTGAGCTGACTTTGTAGCCACAGTGCAACTTAGCGGAATAGGTGTTGCGATACGTTACGACGGCTACGTTGTTGTAACTGGTTAAGCATATGTGTTAGTTTTGAGCTCCTATAAAGTTGAGCTGCGACACCGACTTGATCCAATCATCATCACTCTCATCCTCCCTCATCTCGAGCATTAAGAGAAATAGAGCCTCTAGACCTTAGAGAGCGAGGCCTCGATCACCAACAGCCTGAAAACGTGGATACCTGCATATAGCCTTTAGCACAGTTAGAATAGCCTCTAGAAAACTTCGAGAGCTAAAGCTTATAATTAAGGGTTGCATTTTTGAAAAAATTTGGGTACTCGGGCATAAATGGAAGTATCACTTGTTCCATCCAAGTTAAGCATCTGGACGGGGCTGCTCAAGGTCCATAATATTTGATAACGGGTGTGGCGCCCGAGTGAGATGTGGTGTTTGAAAAAGAAATCTATTTGTGGGAAGTGGTTTATGGAGGCACGTTACATGTCAAATGAATCAAATTTGATTATTTTCGATTTTAATTAAGCTTCAGGCAGTGGTGTATACATCACAACTCACGGCAAATGGTAATATATAGCTTATAAATACCGGAATATATAAGATTAAAGGTTTCTGTTAATCCTGCAGTACATCCAAAAAAAATGCAGAAATACAAAACCCCAAAGTAAGTAAACCACATCATATCTTCATAAAGCAAAGCCATAAGAAATAACCTTAAATCACAACAAAAGAGACCCCCGCCACTCAACAAAAGAAACTAAAAGGGAATTTCGCCAAGACTTCGTTTTTTTCTCCATCTACAACTCCTCCTTAACCCTATCATAACCCTCTTGCACCTTCTCCTTCGTGGCATCGTATCCCTGCTGTACCTTCTCCTTCGCCGAGTCACTAGCCTGCTGACCAGCCTCATAGGCTCTATCACCAGCCTTCTGTCCAGCCTCGTACGCCTTATCGCCGACGACCTCGGCCTTCTTAGCTCCGTATCCCAATATCTCATAAATACGGTCTCTTACCCAGCCCATACCAGTGGAAAACTGGCCATAAACTCCCTGGTCCGCAGAGCCATATCGGAAGGCGTGAGCGTTTCTTCTCGCCGCGGCAATGAGCTCGTTGCGGGTAGAACCCTGGTAGGTGTTGATGCCGTAGCGGTCGAGGTATGCCTTGAGTTCGCTGTCAGACCAGGTGTCGAAGGTGATGTCCTTGGCAGAGTCAGTAGCAGCGGCCAGCGCAGACGTCAAAGAGGCATATGCGATTGCTGCTCCGTCCGTGGCTGCATCATAGGCTACGTTAGCTCCGTCCTTGGCGGCATCGGTGGCCTTTGATCCTGCGGAAGTGGCGGATGATCCGACGACGGTTCCAGCAGATGAGGCGGACGCTGAGGCGACCGAGGCGGCGGAGGAAGCGGCGGAGGCGGCAGAGGCAGAACCGACTGATGCGGCCGATGCGGCGGAGACGCTGGCGACGGAGTAGGCGGAGACGGCGGAAGAGTAGAGCTCGTCGCGGGAGGCGGCGGCGTTGGCGGAAGCTTTGTTGCCCCGGGCCTCAAGCCATTTCCTAATAGTGGGTTAGAAAATAAAGAACAATGGGGGGGAGGGTGCGTGAGAAAATACTTCAGGTTGTCGTATGTCCAGGTGTCAAATGTCCAAGCACCAAATCCAGTGGCGGCCTTGTGCTTGCTGAGCCTGACCTTTGCGAGAAGCTCATCACGCTTTCCGTTCTGTGGGACAGGGACACCGCGGGAGTCAAGGTACTCCTTCAAACGGCTGTCGCTCCAGTTCTGGATCAAAGCCTCGAAAGCATCATTCTTGTATGCAGCGGCAGTATCGGTTGCCTGGGAGGTTTTCTCCCCGGCGTACGAAGTTGCAGAGTCGTAGGCACTGTTTGCGGAAGCGGAGATGGTATCGCCAGTGTAGTAAGCCTTGTTCCTCCTCGCAAGAGCCAGGAGCTCGTTGCGACCAGATCCTTGAGGGACCTTGACATTGTTCTTGTCGAGGAATTCCTTGAGTTTGCTGTCACTCCACGAGTTGAAAACGGTGTCTGAGACAGCCTGCTTAGCGTTGTTGGCGTGGTACTGCGCGGAGTTGGCAGCTGAGTTTGCCTTTAGGGATACAATACGGGAGCTGCGACGGACAATGGCAATGAGCTTGTCACGGGTTGATGGCTTGGGTGCAGCGTAGCCGTTGGTTTCAAGCCATTTCCTGTGCGGTGGTGGTTAGCAGGGTAATGATAATTTGGCAAGAAAAATGCAAGCTTACTTCAGGTCGCTGTCGCTCCAGGATTCATAAAGCCAGTTTCCGGGGTACGCAGTGGTCTCGCCAAGCTTGTTGGCAACGGTATCGTAGTTGTCTCTCGCGGTCGCCAAAAGCGTGTCGCGGGTCCGGGGCTGCGGGTTTGGAATCCCATGTCTATCCAGGAATGCCTTGAGCGCACTCTCCGACCACCTGCAACCAATCAACCACAACGGTTAATGACGTCATCATGACAACCACCACGCAAAACACAAAAAAGTTGCAAACATACGAATCAAAAATCCACCCCTTGACACTTCCGTACGCCTCCTCAGCCGTGCTCTCTGTCTCTTCCCATGCCTTCTTGACGTTTTCCACTAGCCAGTTCTTTGACTTTGCCTGCTCCACGTCAATCTGCTGGCCCTTTTGCGACAGGTAGTGCTGCAGCTGGGGTGTGTCCCAGTCGGAGTACGGACTCACGACCTTGCTGTTCCAGTTCTCCTTGACCAGCTTCTCGAGATCCTTTCGGTCGGCGGGTGTGGGATATGGGACGTTGTGGTCGCTGAGCCAGCGCTCGAGCTCGTTTTCATTCCATTTGTTGTAGGCTATCCGGTCAGTAAGCAATGGGCGGATTGGGGAATAATAAAACGGGGAAAACAAACCAGTCTTGCTGCCCATTCCCCAGGCGCAGGCCTCGCCGGCTAGCGCAGCCGCGAGTATAATGTGCGAGAGTTTCATGGTTGCAAATAAAAAAATTAACAATCAATCAATCAAACCAATTCCTTTCCGTTCGTCGTATAAAAAGTAGTAGGCAAACAATATCACGGGATATCAGCTCGGGCACTCTACACACGAGATGGGTAAAAAAAAAAAAAAAAAAAAAAAGGTAGAATCGATGGATGAGGTGACAATGAAAAAAAAATTAAGGGTTGAGTCGACGGGGCTCTCCTCTCTTTATTTATTCCCCCCCCCCCCCCACTCCCCTACCCTCCTCTAAAAAAAAAAAAAACCGGGTGTCGTAATGATGCCGCTATGTAACTTGTTCCTTTACTTGTAACGCGACCGGACGCCAACTCCACCAAAACCTACTTTTACCTACCTCCCTCCATGCCATCCATGCCTCATGCCGGGCATCGATCGACGCACCCGCCTTGTTGTGGAGAAAGGAAAGGGTTGGCTGTGGGCTGGCGTGGGCTGGAACGGAGGTGATGCAATCTCTCGTCATTCCTGTTGTGAAGGATGCGTCACGTGATTGACATAGTAATCAAGGAAACAGGTTCGGTGTTACACAAGCAAGGAACACCAACGTTCAGTAAGGGCAATTGAAAGCTTGGTACATACATGGGGATTGTGAGTTGACAGTGAGATTTAATTGATGCAATTTGTGCAATTGGACACGGTGGAGGAACTCGAACTCTACTGGTCAAAGACAAAATACAAAGTGCTCAATTCCAATTGCTCATCCCCGGTAGCTTACCATCCTATCGTATCAAAACTGTACATATACAAAATTACTACGTGACAGGCGTTGATTGTGCCAGCATTCCCCGTCACGCTTTTCTCATCCGTCAATGCAAGTAATAGCAAAAAACAAAAAACACAAAAAAACAAACATCATGCAACATCAATAAATAATAATGCGAAAGCACAGAAAGGCCCCAATGCAGATGCGTACTAGAACAGAAATAGAAACAGAATCTCCCCGGTCGTTCAAAGTGTACCCCTCCCCTCCCCTCCCTTCACTCAGGTAGAGCAGAGTAGAGCAGGTGGTACAAATGAGAGACATATCGCCAGGGATCCAACAAACATAACTCTACTTCACCTCTCGCCATCTTCACATGCCATAAAAAAAAACCAAGAATCAGTAAAGAGAGAAAAAAAAAGGGGAGACAGCCCCGGATGCATCGCCAGGATAGAACTCGTTTTGGCTGTGAAACCCTTTCTTACTCACCATTCCAGTAGCCCTTTTCAACCTTCTCGTCAGGCCCCGCCTTCTTGTGGTCATAGCGGTTGTCCATCTCGCGATTATGCTTTTTAACATCAGCGCTCTCGACCTCCGGCCGGTCGTCCATATCAAACACGTTCTTGTGGCAAGATGAACCCCCCTTGTGGAGGTCTCCCGGGCCATCGCTAGTTGCCTCGCCGTAGCCCTTTCCAGAGGTCTTGTTGCTGTGCTTGCTGCTGCCAGTCTCGGCAGTGCCGCCACTACCAGTGCCTTTGCCTGCGTCTACGGGCTCGCGACCGGGGTGCTCGGTGTCGATGCGGGGGCGAGAGCCGGCGCGCTCGGGGTAGGCGGACTCGCCGGTCTGGTCGGCATCGCCGTAGCCGCTTGTGGAGGGGGTTGCGAGGCTGCGGGTGAAGGAGCGGCGGCGCGGGATGGAGAGGGTTACGCGGGCGGTGGCGGCGGAGGGGACGGCGGTGCGGGTGAGAAGGGAGGAGCGGGGGAGGTGGAGGATGGAGCGCATTATGGGATATACTTTATCTTTATCCTTTTCTTTTCTTTTTCTGCTTCTTCTTCTTCTTCTTCACGTGCTTTAATGGTTTTGTAGTGAGGTGGGTGTGGTTTGGTCGGTTTGTGGGTGATGATGATGTTAGGTTGATGCTTTCCTTTCCTTTCTTTGTTTTGGGCCTTTATGCTTATTTCCTTTCGGTGGGAGGAGTGAGGAGAGACGAAAGTATTGGGTATGTTTGCGATATAAAGTGTGCCCTCCTCCTCCTCCTTCCTCCTCCTCCCCATGACCCCCATTCTCCCCCCCACCACCCCCTTCTTTCTTTGCCTCCCGAGGAGGTTTGATGAGCGCATAAATTAAAGCGGCCATGATGTCACCGCCTCACATCTAATGACGGAAAGCCCGAGACGGACAACGGGAATCTCCACCACTTTGGCCCTTTGTCTGCCAGAGAACGTTAACACGGGCATGATCCTCTCCTTCTGCTCTAGCCTGTGCGTGACTTGGATTCCAACGACAACGAGCGTAGACTAGAACCAAACGTGGGGAAGATTGCAATGACGTCAGTGAGAGCCAAGACAATCACAGTCTATCACTCGGCCTTGGCAAACGTGCTGTTAGGCAAGATGGACCCTGAAAGGTGCGATAGGCCCTGATGCTGCAGAGTTTTGGACGGTTTGGGGAATAGCCAGTTTGGGGATCGAATAGAATACTGGGAATCGATGCCGCTAGTTGCTGCACGGCCCGATCTGGCAACGATGCCCCCCCCAGAACCCAACGTCAATCCTGATAAGGCACGCCAAGCGAGCGGTAGACCAGTGCATCGGAACTGACCTCTATCCTGGCTGATGAACCAAACATCGGCTTTGAGGTTCTTGATATCGATGATCTAAACAGAAGTGATGTTTGGCCGTTAGCAATGCCTATTGGAGTGGCTGCACACCGTACTGGCAAGAACAAAGGACTTACCGTCATCTGGCGGCCTCATCAATCCCATCCACATCCGGACCAGATTAAAACGAGGGACCTAGTACAATAGCCGTTTCACCAAGGAACCCCTAGGATGCTCTTTTTCTTGAGAAATCAAGCACGCTGACTTGAGATGAGCTACGCAAATATGTGGTGTTCCGAGATGCGATATAGCCAGGTAGTTTGAAATACAGGGCATGTCTCGCGCAAAACAAAAGAAATTTGCAATTTGCAAGTCGAATCGTGGAGGTACGTACCTGTTACATCTCGAAAGTGTTGGCCCAATTGCCCACGCTCTAGTCTACTAGAAGGCGATAGGATACTGTGCACTCACTTGTATACGTACAGCGTCCAGACGGCCAGAGACGACGTGTAGTCCCGTACGTACATAAACCGGACGCGTGCAGCCTGCCATGTCACACGAGGACGCGCAAAACAGTGGAGATAGCGGAACCCGAACCTCCTTCTAGGATGAATTCCAATCATGACTCGGACTCGTGCCTGTCAGCTGTCGCGGCTGGTCTTCACGGAGAGGATATGTTGGAAGAGTGAATAAATAATGGGATGGAAGATTCCATCACGTCGAAGGAGGAAAAGAGCCAAGTATCTACTTAAAGGTGACACGTCTAGCTAAGCCAGACTGTGGCCGGACACGGTCATTAGTACCACCCTCCAGGATGCCGTGTCGGCGGGCCGCCAGTGATGGCTTCGGGAGATATTTCCACGTGGCCGTGTAGATGTGATAAGATGTTGGAAAGCTTTAGGTTGTGATGGAAGATGGGTCTGCATCGCTGTTAAGATAACTCGATACATAGCTGGACGTTAGATGGATTCAGAATGCCCAGGTACTTAGGTGCAAGGGTACGTAAGTGAGAAGACACCTACCTGCGGAGACCGTGAGAAGGGTGTCTTCTCACCTATCCCAAACCCCCCAAAGTACATCTCACACTCCCCCGTGCATGTGCTTCCTTCGATTATGGGCGTCACAGATAGCGATGGTTCATCAATATTCATGTAGACACTTTGTATATTATATGCACGGAATCACCGACCGCTTAAGGGATACACAATATGAGAATGCCGCGTCTACGTACTAGCTAGACACATGCTCATACCGTCACACTGTATCTACAGGAATGAAAGCATTTACGATAATCACTAGCACATGCACATATATTTGACCGGAAAATGACTTGTATTCTATTTTGACAGACAACGCGGAACCTCATTAAAAACCCAGCTGGTCAATGCTTGGGAAAAGAGCGAACCGCCGATAGCGATACAAGTCATAACAAGTACATTTTAGGAACCCCATCTATCATAGATGGGAGATCCACGAGACATGATAATGGTATGAGGGGGGAAATGAAAATATAAAAGAAATGTTAAAAGAAAAAGGAACCCTATCTATCATAGATAGGCGATCCGCAAAACGTGATAATGGTATGAGGGGGGAAATAGAAATATGTGAAATATAAAAAGGAACCCCATCTATCATAGATGGGCGATCCACAAGACGTGATAATGGTATGAGGGGGGAAATAGAAATATAAAAGAAATGTGTAAGGAAAAATAAGAAAAAGGAAAAGAAAAGAAAATGACAGATGACATGACGAACAACAGGAACCTCATTAAAAAACCCAGTGGGAAAAAGAGCGTTCCTTACATGAAAAAAAAAAAACAGAAAATAAGAGATGAAAGATATGAAGACATAAAAGAACAGAAAGAAAAGTCGACACATGAAAGAATAGATGACGAATGATGAGGAAGACCTTCGATATAAAATAATCAAAAGGTCAGAAATCAGAAACATCAAGGGAAAAAAAAGGGAGGAAGAAAACTTCCCATTCGAGAATTCGAATGAAAGGACACGGTCGACAGATGAATCTTTCGAGTGGAAAAATATAGATATATTCCTAAAAGTACACGAGACATGTAACTCAATGTCTATCAAAGATGTTGAAGGAAAGTAAGACAGTAAGTTGAGGAAGGAAAGACTTAACTGAATGAGGGCCTCGAAGCCACCGCCGCCCCCGAGGAGAGAAGAAGAGGAAGAGGAGGAGTTACGGCGAAAAAAGGCTTTTAACCGAACCTGAAATTGAGAGAGGGTAACAAGGCGGCGAAATTCTAAAGGCCAGCTGTCGATCGTGCTTGTTTCGTGCTCGCGACTAATGATATATGTGTTCAGATGTTTCGTATCGATTCCCCTAACCCAGCTGCCGATCGGTCCCACGTACGACCGTGTTATGTTCGATTCTCTACCCGTCATTCCCGGCCGCCGGAGCTGGAGCAAGAACTCCGCCGTCCTTAGGTACTGCGACCTCTCTATAATTTACTCACTGCATATATCTATCTTGTTTCGTTTACTTTCCTTCACTCATTCTACTTTCCAATGTCTCTGTTTAAGTCTCTTACATCTTATTAATAGCTCTCTACATCACGCGTCAGCCCACAACACGCAAGAAGCGTCCATGAGCGCCATATTTTGTATCAAGAGCCTTAAGGATTCAATGTACGTTCACACCTTATCAACAAAACTACCCGACCTTAAGAAAACCAATCAATAGCTGATCTGCTTTCTGATTTATGACTGTGTGGAGGCTCTCGCGAGGGTCAGCTCTCGATCTCTAGATATGTCTCTCCTCTTTTCTCTTTTCGGTGGCCATAATACTACATATAATTCATTACTCCCCCCGGCCCTTCAGTACTATATATACCCAAACATCTTTTAAATCGTGAGGTCTTATACCGGTTCTTCCCGCCAACGAGCGTACCACGCCTCCCTCACTCGTGACTTTAGCTAGATTGAAACCCTCCGGCCGCCACCTAATGAAACCCACGAGGGGGTACACTCGTTAGTGGGAAGAACCGGTCTATATACAGTGCTAAGCTCTCCTAGTCTTCATTACCCGCACTCCACTGTCGCTACCCGCTCTCCCCTTAGATTCTATGCCCACCCTAGCTATGGAGTTGCCTGTACTCCTGTTCTACCTTGACGCGGTGCTGGGGATTTGCTTCACCAAAAGAACATCCTTTTGTACGTAGTTTGTATTGATTATTGCTCTAATGATACGATAAAACCTAGTCTGCAATCTCTAATTCTGGTCGCTGTAGGCCTGTAGTGACATCTTCCTAGCCTATATGTGCCTATCCTGCCCCCACGCCGCACAAAAACCAGTCGTGCCATCACTGGCGTCTCCTTTGGTAATCGCACATATCGCAACCCCCAATTGGCAGGCTCTGTGTGGCTGGTAACTAACCCGCAACTACCGATTGGCCCTGTCCCTGCAACTGCATCCCTCCCTGCAGCTGCTTTGTCACCACGCCTCGAACCTGCTCCAAACCCCCAACGTCAGCCCAACCCCAAACCCCCCATAAACCACCACCCAAAACCTCACAAATGAGCTCCAACTCACTCTACGGCGCCCCGCGGCCCAAGTCCAAAGCAAACCCCATCCCCCTCTCCTCCACGTCCATCCACGCCCTCGCCAACGAGCTCACCCTCGCCCGCGCGCGCCTCTCCTCCACCAGCACCACAAAGACCGCACCGGGCCGCACCCGCCCCTCCAAGACCAAGGCACTCTTCGCCCCATCCAACAAGGGCGTCAGTAAGCGCGCCGCGCGCGACGAGACCCCAAATGTCCACTACGGCGGCCAGACGATCGCGCAGCGCGGCGGCGGCGTCTCCGAGCGCGACCTGGAGCGCAGCAGGAAGAAGCTCAAGGAGAAGAGCCGTCTGTACGCGGCCATGAAGCGCGGGGACTTCGCCGACGAGGGCGGGGAGGGGCTGGTCGACTTTGATCGCAAGTGGGCCGAGCACCCGTCGGATGAGTCGGACGAGGAGGGGGAGGAGGAGGCCGGTGGCGACGACGACGACGACGACGAGATCATCGAGTATGAGGATGAGTTTGGGCGTACGCGGAAGGGGAAGAGGGGGGTTGTTGAGCGCGAGAAGAGGCGTGTTGCGGCTGCGAAGAGGGCCGCGGAGGAGGCGGCGGCGATGAATGCGGTGCCCGAGGGGCTGATCGTGGGGAATACGATACAGACGGCGGCGTTTACGACGGCGACGTTCTCGGCGGTGCCGTCGAGTGCGATGTTGGCGGGGGCGATGCCGAAGGAGGAGGAGGAGACGAAGCTGCACTATGATGCGACTAAGGAGGTGCGCACGAAGGGTGTGGGATTTTACCAGTTTAGTAGGGATGAGAAGGGGAGGATGGCGGAGATGGAGGAGTTGGAGAGGTTGAGGTTGAGGACGACTGAGGAGAGGAAGAAGGTTGAGGAGAAAAAGAAGAAGAGGAAGGAGGCGGTGGAGAAGAAGAGGGAAGAGGTGCAGAGGAGACGCAGGGAGAAGGTTGGCGATAAGTGGCTGGAGGGATTTATGGGAGAGTTGGCCGAGTCTCCGGCTGCTCCTGCCTCTGCTGATCAGGGAGAGGTTGAGGAAGAGAGTTGAAGGGTTTCCTTAGCGTTTATATCTCCGCTTCTGTTTTCTTTTTATCTGGGTTTTCTTTTCTTTTCTTCTTCTAGGAGTATAGGCTGATTTTCATTTCACTCTTAGCACTATAGTGTGCTTGGAGAATGCGTCTCCGAATCATGGTAATGTTGTAGATGATCCAACTAAAATTGCTTGTAATTTTTATGCCATGGGAATTATGCGTTTTCTTTTTTTTGCCTGCATGGCGTTCCAGTGCTCCCACAAACCCCTCTATAGAGCTATATTTAGGGGTAAACCGGATATCAAGAGCAATATAATGCTAGTGCTATTAATGCTTGCATGCTCTACAGCCACTTAGCAAAAGTGTTCGTGATTTAGTTTTAATGTCAGTGCGCAGTGTGGCGCACCCATGACGTTGATGTTATTAATGTAGAGATTTAAAACAACGAAAAATATATAATATAGTTGGTGACTATATATAAAAGAAGATAGGTCATTGATCTTATTCTTCATTGATTCCGGGCTCCATTGGTCACTGGGAAGGTTTTCTCTTGGGGAGGGTTTTAATGGTCCGCCAGAGTTACATATATAGAGAAATGTCTCACTCCGAAATCGGAATCACGAACACTTTTGCAGAGTGGCTGTATGTACATTGTGTGATACATTGTACATACGCCAGAAAGGAAGACCGACGGACGGCTTGTTGGGACTGGTGGGCAGCTAGCATAGAAGTTACTGCAAGTACGCGTACGGTACTTACAGATGGGTACGAGACTATGTATGTATACGTGTGTCGTTTACAACCCTCCCCAGCACGCAGTTCCTCCAACAAGTTCTGTTTGTGTAGTGGTCTATGCCTCCGGTTTAGGAAACTTATGACGACAGCGGATACCGGGTTCGAATCCCGCTTAGATCCACTATACAAACAATTGTTTTTTTTTCTTTTCTTCTTTCTTTTACCTCAGTTCTATTATTGTTGAAATAGGGAAGCTCTCTGATACATCCATCCCATACACCTGTGTAGTGGGCGCCGGGGATTCGGGGAGGAAAGGGGGAAAGAAAGGGCCAACGCACCGATGCGCCGCGAATGCCAACCTATATCTGTTCTGTCTACATGTATGTACATGTATGTACTTTGAAACTTGTGCACGTGAAAGAAACACACCGCCCGAACTATTCTGTAACCGGCACGGATTGGTCGATGCATTTTTTTCTTTTTTTCAAAGATTCTCATCCATAGAGATTGCACTGAGTATGGGACCAGAAAGCGTTCATTGCATTGATCTTCCCAGTTGATTAAGTATTCGTTGCTGTGGGGTAATATTATAAGCCAACTCCACCCGCTAACCATATTCTAAACGCCTAGCTTAGTATCATCCAAATGTGCCTTAATTGAGCTAGCTACGTACCAATGATCATATGACCATATATTCTGGAAACGAATCCCGGGTTACAGTCGAATCTCTCTATAAGGATACCTCCTATAAGAATAATCGCCCTATAAGGGCACGACCTCTCGGTCCTTATTGGCCCTTCTACGTACAAAATAATGCCTGCTATATATAAGGGTACGTTACACGCACTATAATTATAAGGGTGCCAATTTCCAGTCCCCAGCGTACCGTTAATTATAGGGAGATTCGACTGTATATATGTAGATATACCAGTCTCGCTGGTTAGTCAACTTTCTCGCAATCAACACCGAGAAAGGCTTCTGCGCAGCGCACTATCAATCGAAGTTGCACCCTATCAGCTACAGTGACAGTTCAATGTCGAATTGTATTTACATCATGCTCGAGCTTTGCAATTAACTTGTCTCCTCCTGTTTAGTCTATATAAGCCAAACTGACATGACCACCGGCTGTAGCCACTCTGTATGATAGTTATGGCGCGCCCACTAGTCTTAGGGGTGATACGGCGGTATTTGAAGTGAAACAATTGCGCAAGAACCTGAAGGAGGAGAAACGCGAGGCGACGAAGATATAGAACCAAGATGCCCAAACATGACAAGCTAGAAGAAGGCCATACCTGCCTGGGTGATGATATTTGGCATAAATTAACTATGGATAAGCTATCTATAGATCTAGCTGTGCGTGTATGACTAGGTAACGTACGCCGCAGCGCCGCAGCAGCAGCCAGCTGGTAGGTTTACAAAGCGTTGTGCAAGAAAGGGAAATATATGATTCCATACCACCACCGGCGCGGCGCGGCACCATCAAAATAAAAACAAACACAGACCACTGGCCTAACCCACGAGAAATCACTCAATTTGCCTTTCGGGCCGGATTATTGATCGGTAGATAATTCATCCGTGTACGCAACCCGTAGTTTACGACGTCACGCTTTTCGGGCCGGAGGTATAAATAGATATAATATTAGAGTATTCCACCTTGTTCACGTCAGCTACAGGCGCACCTCGCTATGCCGGATTGCCAAGATTCAGGCAATTTCATACGGAATAGCGCCGAGAAATCCGGGATAGAAAATTGATTTTGCAGTAAGAAAATTAAAATCTCAGAGGATTCCGTGCGGGACAGCAAGGGATCCGGGGTATTGAGTTCCGGCATATCGAGTTACGACTACAAACTTCATCGCTAATATATTGCTCTCCCATGATCTGGTGCTTAGATATAGATGCTGTCTATTTTGACAGAATATTATAATTACTAAAAGAGGAAGGGTGGCAGCCGAATAAGTGTGTGATCCAGACACAAGCCGCAGCAGAAAATACGCCGCCCGAATCAATAGGCAGTTTTAACGGACTATGGGATACGATAGGAAAGCCATACTATTTTTTTTTTCTTTTTAGGGGAATCTGGGCTCTCTATTTCCTGGGGAAAAGGGACGGGAGGATGTGGAGGCTCTACTAGCGAAGTAAATGCATCAAATCACACATTTCCCATACAAAAGATTGACGGAAAGGCATCAAAAGATGCATTGACTGACGAGGCCGTGTGGAAATGTATCAAGTGATGCTTTTCCCTACACATTTCACGTTTTCAACTGGAAAGTCGTCGGGAAAGTCGTTGGAAAAGTCGTTGGAAAAGTCGTCCACATAACCTTATATTCCAAGAAATAACTCGCTGAAAGAAGCTAGTATATTTTATTATTCTAACAATTCATAATTTAATAGTTCTGTTCTGTTCTAGTTATTGGATATTCCAGGGTTCAAATCCTAGGAAACTGTTTTTTTTTTTACATGATATTTTAGAAGGAAAGTCGTCTGGAAAGTCGTCTTGAACGTCGTCTAAAAGGTCGTTCGTTTACACTCGGGATGCATTTCCTGATTCATTTCCTGATTCATTACCAGGTGTATTTCCAGATGTCTTTCCTCATACTAAATTCATGCATTTCCTGATTCGATCATTACCGGATGCATTTTCTATAACGACTTTCCTGATGCCTTTCCCAATACATTTCCCCACATAAAATATAGGTGCAAATGAGATGCATTTCCCGATGCATTTACATTGCTACTAGAGAGTTGGAGGGCAGTGTATACGTATGGAGGTGGAGGAGGAGCAGCGCCACATCGAAAACCTTACATACTAATGTAAGCTGTCGACTTTTCCAACCAATTATGCCCTACTCCTCAAATATATAGGTGCGGTAATAGTGAGGATAAGGTGCGCTGTGACCTCGTACCCAGTCTGGTATTTTGTGTCATTACTTATCACTCGCCATGGCAGAAAATCACGTGACTGCCAAGAAGTTTTGGATGAGATCAAAGCAGCCCAAAACAAACGCTCCAAAGACTCGCCATAGTTCTTTGGGCGGCTTCAAACTGGCTGCGTGGTATATACTCTGTATTATTTATCGCGACATTCGACTTTTCAAATATATAAATTTATATCTACTCCTTTACATACTTTCCTTGGTAGCTAAATCAAAGCCCCTCTCTACTTGCTAAGCGAAAAATCGTCTTCCAGCTCAAGTAAATTCGTTAGCAATCATGCCGGAAGATGTATAAATTGGCCAAATACTGGGAGATTTACCATCGCACTCGTAACTGTATATTAATCCTGACTTCTGGTCTCTCTCAATGTTTTGTTTTGTCTGCAGTCCAGGTATAGGCTCGTTTCGGCCTGTTTATATTTCCAGCCTCAAGCGGGTGGTCCAGGGCTGCTCGCGGGCGCAATGGGGATCCGTTCACCTCGGGCACCGATATGGCCATCATCATCGTTGCCCGTGTTATTTGTTGTGTAGTCGAAGGTTCCAGGTCTTGTCGGGGGCGAACTGAGGCTGAACAGGGCTCGTGAGATGATGGGTTCTGATTATGATTTGCTTCGAGACCTTCATGCTATAAGTAGAATGTAAAGTTTAGCTCACTGAAATAAACAGGTAGTTCACACTCCTTACCGCTGCTGACCTTCCGCATCTCTTCCGAAGTTTATCAAGAAGCCACACGCCAAAAACTGTCGCGATAACAGACGCAAAGATTTCGACTATGGCAATAATATCACCATTGTCAAGGCCACCCCTACTGCCGCTGCCTTCATCACGGGAACGGAGGCTGTATTCGAATTCGTTCATGGCTTGGAATCCGTCCAAAGAATAGTCAGGGAAAAGAAAGGGTGTTGTGGTAGTGTTGGTGAGGAGTGAGAGTCAATTTTATTTTCTGTTGATGACCTAGACCGAAGGCAATGTAACGAATCAATCGGGCTGGAACGGTTGCTAGCTGGGAGTTGAGTGGCGAGTGATATCTCATGATGGGACTCTATACGGTAGGATTCAATGCAAATGCTTAAGAAAAGGCAGATTTTAACCGATCGAGACAATTTCTATTAGCACTGAGCGCCACCGTTTCAAGGCTATTCGTCGTGTCGTTCAACGGCCTGCGTTGCCGGCCGCGGACGCAGGGTACAAAATCACGTCACCTAGCAATACCTACATACGCACGCTCCTCCCCCCCCCCCCCCCCACAGAGCGCGCACGCGTGAACAACCCCCTTTTATAATTACCGCCCGAATAGGGTTTTTTATAGGCCTGATTTCGAACATGACTTTTGCTCCACGTAAGGCTGTATTAAGGCCATTTCTACTACGGTTACTAAATTAGTACATTAAGTACGGTTAGAACGGAGCCTGTTCATAGGCTTATATAAGTCCGATATTGGGCTCTTCTGACAATAAGCTCTTACTGCATTTTTAGTCTCTTGAAAGCTTGTGATTTCATTAAACCTTATATTTCGGAAGGCTGATGATATCGGATAAGACTTAATATTATTTATTCGTGGGAAAAGTATGATATTCAGTCATCTAGAGGGCTACATGTGGCTGCTAGCTTGCCTACCCGCCTACTCGCCTACCCGCCCACTCGCCTGCCCGCCTACTCGCCCGCCTGCCTGCCTGCCTATCGACTAAATTCGCTGAATTGGTTGGGTTAATTTAGTGCTAGATTTGGTGCTGGAATTCGAAAGTGGATTTTCTGGATTTGCTGCTGCATGCGGTGATGGGTTAGCTAATTGACTTAGTGCTGGATTACTAGTAGCTGCTGGCTTGGCGATAGATTATCTGAATTTGCTGCTGGATTCGGTGCTTGGTTAGGTGCTTGATTCAGAGCAATTTGCTGCTAGATTTGGTTTGGTGTTGGTTTGACAATAAATTCGCTGATTAGCCTATATTTTTGGAAAGGGCGGTAGAGGGAACGGCGGTGGTATATTTTCGCTAAGTTCCTGACCTTAACCCACGAAACCTTATTTTTTACCTATCTAGGCATTATTATCGGGAAAGACCTTAACAGAACCTGATCTATGCCTATGTAATCCTGAGTAAAAGTCGGGATTTCGCCCAAAACAGGCCAATTTTGAGCTTTTTTGAGACGCAAGGCTAAACAATAAAAGCTTTGATTCCGCCTATCAGGCGTATAAAAATACCTGTTCCTCCCGTAGACTTATATCTGCAGATAGGAAAGTCGCGAAAACAAGGCTGCGAATTTGAGGGACGGCAGTGTTTTTGACGAAAAATCAAACAAAATATGGGCAAGAGCCGCAATGCTTGATGTCCAATGGAGGTTGTCTCGCATGCAGCTGACGCTATGGCGTGCCAATGAGGTTGTCCTTTCACTCGATAATATATATACACAAGCGCTGCAAGATATCATTGCAGGTGGAGCGTTGTGGGCGGGTTGGTACCAAAGGGTCACAAATATTGTAGATTAGAGTGGGTGGTGCTGTTTGCTCCCTGAATCTCACGCTGCCTCGAAATACATATAACCCTAAACCTGACAAATCTCACGTTGCCTCGAAACACATATAACCCTAAACCTGACCAAAGGGTCACAATATTGTAGATTAGAGTTGGTGGTGCTTTTTGCTCCCTGAATCTCACGTTGCCTCGAATTCAGAATCTTTATAACTCAACAAAGCAACGATTTTAAAATTCCAAGCAGATAGGATGAAAGAGCAGGTAAAACTGAGTTGATCTATATAATAAAAAAAATACATTAACGAAAGTTGGGCTATGGGTGTCCCCAAATCACTCCGTGACATTGCAAGGCTTCCCCACGATAGGGGTGTCCGTTGACATTATAGCTCTCAATACAAATTCGTTTTGTCTGCAGTCCAGGTATAGGCTCGCTTTGGCTTGTTTATTCCAGCCTCAAGCCGGTGGACCGGGTCTGTTCGCGGGTGCGATGGGGATACGTTCCCCTCGGGTGCCGATAATATGGCCATTGTCATTGCCCGTGATATTTGTACAGGTTGAATAGTCGAAGGCCCCGGGTCTTGTCGGGGGATAACGGAGGCTGAACGGGGCTCGCGAGATGATGGGACCTGATGAACATTTGCTTCGAGACCTTCAGTTGATTCTTCATGCTACAATGGCAGAATGTAGAGTTTAGCTCTCACTGTACATTCGTATACACATTTAGGTGAAGAGAAAGTTTAAAGCCCTTACGTCCGCTGCTGACCTTCTAAACCTTCTCCGAAGATTATCCAGAAACCACACGCCAAAAACTGTCGCGATAACAGACGCAAAGATTCCCACAATAGCAATAATATCACTGTTGTCGAGGTTTTTACTGCCTTCAGCGCGGGGATGGCGGCTGTATTCGTTAATCATGGCTTGAAATATGTGGTTTATTGTGGTTATATATATTAGATCGAGATTGTCCGATTCCGAATAGTCGTGGAAATTAAAAGCCAGTTGTAGCGGGGTTGGTAAGGTGTGTTCTGGTACGGAGGCGTTGGCCCGGTTGCTCTAGAGGGTATATATGGTGCATTGTCCTGTCTCCATTTGCCCATTTCCTGCTCTCGTGATATTGCTTCTCCTGTTTCTGCTTTTCCTCTGGTCCCTGCTCTCTCTGTCTCTTTTGACGCTCGAGGCTCTCTTCGTAACCCAATTAATGAATTAAAAAAAAAAAAAAATCTCTTCGTAACCCTCTTCGCCTGGGCGCAAGATTTCGGCCGTTGCAATGGTTGTGGTTACCATTTTGCCATATGCTTGCGCCCATCCGCCGGGATTCGAGTACCGCCAAAACTCGAGAAATTGGCTATGCATGCAAGATCAAAATTACTACTAATGGTCACTTCTGAGGCTGATCAATAGCGTTCAACCAATCGTTAAAGAGATAATCCCTGGCCGGAGATAGCCAATTTATCGAGTTTTGGCGGTACTAACTACAGTCGTCCGCCGATATAACGAACGTGCATATTCCAAAGTTTTCCGTTCAATACAGCAGATTATTCGGTATAGCAGGCAAGTTTCTATGTGAAATTTAGATTCGGATCACCGAAACCCGTTCGTTATAGCAAATTTGTGGCTTTTTTGGTATTCGTTATATCGGCGAACGACTGTACTCGCCAAAAAATAAAGTCTGGCGGTGAAATAAGTGCAGCCATTCGGCCAGGTACTTAATTCACCCCAGACTTTATTTTTTGGCGAGTGAGGAGGAACGCCGGTGTGGCAACCGCATCCTCGCCGATTCGCAATCTGCCCAATTCATGATTTGGTGAGCCAAACACCTCTGAATCGAAGCCTTGACAGTACTGCGTAGCAACGGCTCACCACATCAAAATTTATATTGAGGTTGGGTATATTTTGGTGGGGCATGTCAGTTGCAACGAAGATGTGGAATGCAATTGCGTTGCAATAGAGAAAAAGTAGAATTACAAGAATCATGGTTCCCAGGCTCTTCAAATGGTGTATCCAAACAGCTCCCACCCCCCAAATCACAATCGGTCCCGGGATCATGTTTAGGGCGTTGCAACCATGATTTGGGTGGCTTCCAAACGGGCCCTAAAAAAAGATATTCCCGAAAAGAAAATAAAAAAAAGAAACCCAATCGAAACAAAAGACCACCCAAAACTCAAAAGAAACATAGGTATCCGATATGCTAAACACCGAAAAGAAAGAGTACTCCGCAAGGAAATAACATATATAAAAAGTAGTTTAAAAAAAGAGATACTAAAACGAAGGTAACCGCCTCACCAGGAAAGAAAAGAAGTCCATAAGCCCCCAAAATGAATGATTGAGTGAAAGGAATGTAACCATTAGGAGTAAAAAAGTATCGCGAAGCGGGAGCCAGCCCGGAGACGAGATGGTCTAGCTAGCTAATTGGCTAACTAGAATTTTTGTATGCCCTTCCTTCAATGCACTCGGTAGTGATATAACTAAGATAAAGGTAAGCATAGATCCACAGGGGTGGGACTGGAGGTGAGTACTAACCTTAAGCCCTGCACGAGCCCAAGCGTCTTATCTTTATCATGATCATGATCTTGATCTTTCATACTACCATCTTTTATCTTATCTTTATCTTATCCATCTCATGTATTCAGGTCCCCCAAACATCACTCGCCACGACAAAAATAAGTCCTGCTCTTCCTTAGAGAATAGTATATCACCCATAACTCCGTCCAAATTACACCAAGACACCTTAAACCAATATATATAAAAAAAAAAGCAATCGAACAACCGAACCAACCAGGATACCCTCCCCACTTGTAACGCTTCACGAATCCCACTTACAATAGCAGGTGCTATCGTCCCTCTCCCGGAGCCTTCCTTTTGAATTCGGCTTCTCGTCGAGTATCACATATCCTTCCCCTGTGTCCTTATCCACAAGCGGTGTCAACCCTCCCTTTATAGTAACCACATACTGCGTACACCTCACCTCACCAAGGTTTGCACGCCCATTCGGGTCCGGATCTGTCAAATCCATTCCCAACAGTCGTCGGAGTCGCGAGCTGCTGGGGCGAGACTCCTTGATGTTGACTTTCAGCGGGTACGAGGTGGGTGTTGAGCGTTCGACGTGGCGTTTCAGGCGGAGTTTACGGGTGAGATTACCGTTGGTGGTGGGGGTTTCGGTGGGTTTTGGGGGTTTAAGGCCAAAGAAGTCGTCCGTGTTGTGCTGATGGCTTGGGGGCGGTGGTGGGGGGATGCTGGGGAAGCTGGGGAAGCTGTGGTCTTCGCCGTCGTCAAAGTGGGGGCAATCGGGTTCGAAATTGCATCCGGTTGGGGGTGGGTGCTGTTCATTGGTTTTGGTGAATGATGTGTTTGCAGACATTGTTGGGGTTGCTGTGGTTGACGTGGAGCATGTGGTATGATCGTCGTCATCACTATCATATCCATTATCGTTTTCGTCTTTATCGTCATGTGTTTCCTTCTCCTTTGTGACCGCTGTAGAGGGAACATCGGGCATCACTTCAACTTCGAGGAGGGTCTTTTCCCATACACATTTCCATACTATTTCACCCGGGTATAGGGCGGTACCATTTCCAGATTTGATGATGTTGTCGTCTCGGGCGATATTCTCGTCAATGGTTGACTGCTTGATGATCACTGTCTTATTGAACAGGATCCCAAATTTGTAGCTGTCGTCTAATGGGTGATCTCCTCTGCCCCACAACCTATTTCCAGTAGACCTTGTACCCAACTCATGTGCGGTAGGACTCCTCCCTGCAAGCTGTTTTTTCCTGCCCTTATTATGACTAGCCTCCGTCGTATTATAAAACGCAAATGGGATCTTCCAAAACACTTGATTTTGTGTTCCATCCCTCCACGACGGCTTACCCGAGTACTCCACTACGTCCCCATTAACAGTAACTTCCATCATATCGTCGCCAATCTCCCACTTTGTAATTCCCTCTGCAGAACTAACCACGTAGCCTCCCCAGGCTCCCTCGCCATATTCTGCGCCGCGGAGAAAATCGGGTTCACTGGGAAAGAGCTCCATGTTGGTAAGGTTGACTGGACCCCGCTCAAAACGCCACGTTAGAGCTTCGTTGGTGTCATCTTGATCGTAGGCACAGGACCAGAGGAGACTAGCACCCATGCCAAACCAGCCAGGCGAGGATGCATCTTGGGCTGAAATATCACAAGAAGTGGATTTTTCGGAGAGGAGAATAGGGTCGATCAGAGCGGTGCCGGTGGGGATTACGGGAAAGGTGTCATTAGGACTTGATAGCGGTGGGCCAGTCTCCTCAGAGGTTGGTGGAACCTCAGTCGTAGGCTCTGGGTAAACGGTTGCTGTTGCTGTTGGACTGGGATGTGTTAGTTACAGTGCCAATGAAAAATATGGAAGAGCCTAAAATGAGCCTTTGCGCAAACAGAGCCAGTTCCAGTTCTCCGTTACCTGCATGGTAAATAAGGCATTGGCACCATCCAGGTTGCTGAAAACTGGAGCTCGCTCTGTTCCCGCAAAAGGCTATGATAGATAAAAATCTATAAAAAAAGCCATTCTTACGCTTGTGCGTGGTGTAACCCTACACCCAAGCCAACTCCCAACCCTACAGCTAGGAGTATCACGATCGCAATCGCTACTCCCATCAGGACTGTCTTTGTCCTGAATCCCATCCACCTCTTTTCATCCCACTCCTTGAGATGCCCTCCACCTCCATCATCCGGCTCTCCTCCATCTCCTCCCTGATCCCTATTTGCAGCCAACAATCCAACCGCCCCAGTTGCGGCCAATGCCCCTGCTCTCCTCCTCCGTTCCTCCTCATCCTCCTCGTCCCGACCCACATCAATCCCCGAATCCCCATTCGACACCTGTAGCCTCAGTGGCACCCCCACAACCTCCGGCTTTGGCTGGTCGGGATACTTTGTATACGGCGGCGGCTCCACGTTCCTCAAACTACTAGCACCAGAGGGGAACACCACCGCCGGCGGCGGCCTGTGTGGCGCAAACCCATCATTCACAGGTATCCCAAAATCGTCCGCAAAAGGATCATCCATCCCGCCATCTTCCTCCTCAGGCACAACGGACCCCTGAGTATTTATCGACTCTGGGTATATATTCTGTTGATGTCCCCCATAATTCCATCGCGGTGCTACTCCTGCGGCCGTCGAGTCAGATAGGTTAGAAGGTATCGATGATAGTGTCGAGTAACCAGTTCCAGTAGTTCCTGTAGTGTTAGATCTATTAAGAGGGGCTCCATGTCCATATGTTGACGAAGACGAAGATCTAACGGAAGGTGTCAACGACTGTGATATTCTGTGGTGTTGGTAATACCCGGTACCACCACCACCTGGCAACGGACTCGGGGAACGTCGTGACGATAACGACAAGGACGGACGGCGAACCGAGGGAGTTGGTGTAACAATGGAACTCGAGTAGAATGCAGACCCGCTTGGCGAGGGGGGAGGCGAGTCGGCTGGGTCGGCGAACACATCTTCGGGGCTACTTGGACGGGCCTGTTGGTAATCGCGTGATGGTGAAGGAGCTGGACGACGACCAGATGTTGATATTCCTAGTGATTGACCTGGTCGATACTGGGTGTAGACAGGATAGAGAGCATCGTCGAGGTCACTGGCAGTAGCCGACCGTTGAGAGGAAGCGCGAGAGAAGCGGTTCTCCATTACGGTCAGCCCTTAAGGGCGAGAGTCGAGGGGGGGGGGGGTTGACGGTGAGAACGCTCTAGGCGAGGGTTGATGGTTGTAAGGCCCGGTGGTGATAATGATGGGGTGAAAGGGAGCAAGAATGTCCCCTTACCTCGAGGGGGATAAAGGTGGTGTGGGCGGCGATGATGGGTGACAGTGGGTGATGTTGTTGTTGTCTGTATCAAACGAGCTGGTACTGAATGGAACGGAGTAAGCGACCGGTGAGAATAGGTATGTTACCTGTTTCTTCTTTCTGCAGTTCGACAGATGTGTGAGGAATAGGAACGAATTCGAGAAAATATTAATATAATCCCGGTTGATTATTTTTTTCCCCTTTGTGTGAAATGAATTAGATTTAGCAGAGAACACACTCCCACACAGTTGAACACACACACACACACACCTTGCGAGGTGAAGTTGGCTAGGCGATGGGGGGTGGTGGTAGTAGTGGTAGTGGGCAGGGGCGCATAGAGCATACGAGCGTAAGCAGAGAAGCCCAGGGCTTGCCTTTACAGAATTTTAAGAGGGTTAGGGACACCCCCCCTCTCGTTCGCTATTGGCTCCGCTCCACCCGCTACTCTGCATGCTAACTGAACTCTCTCTTGAGCTCCTGCACACTTCCCGCCCCAGCGAATGGCACAACAGCAGCAAAAAGATACACTAGGCGTATCATCCTAGTCGCCAGCCAGGGTACAGATCCGAAAGTCCAGTCAAGGGGAAGAAGGAGGTCGAGGAGAAAGCAAACAAGGTGGGAAACATACACCCTCCCCCCTCCAGAAGAAAGAAAAAAGAACATGCTTCTTCGACTCTCAGCTGTCCTGTCGCTAGGTATCATCCTTCGGCTCAACCTTTCACTCTCACCCTCTCACCTTCTCTCACCTCATCATCTCTGTGACCTTTGGCAGCCTCCTGTCCAGCGGTGGCCATTTCCTCTTCGGGCCGTAGCGCCATCCTTGTCCCCTGTCGAAACTGTCTCTGCCGCTAAAATAGAAAGGAATAACCCTTCCCTTGGACACAGCCCCCACGAAAACATGTCTGGCTGGGCAGCTTGCCCTCGAGAATTGCATTGTTTCAGCCATTGGTTATTAACTGTTTTTTTCTTTCTCTCTCTCTGGCTTCGTTATGGAGGAAACTTGGTTTTTAAACTCCAAGAGATCATGCTTTGCCGCCTGCCCTCTTTGGTTCCCCGGTTTGACAGGGTATGATGCAGGCACGCACCACGAACGGCAATTTTCTCTTCCTTATTTAATTCTGGATGGATGATTCTTGAGATTCTCAAAGCCGAGCTACTCTACTAACTTACTGTGCTTGACGGTTCTTTTGATAACGACAGCATTTGGACTCTCTATCAACACTGGATGGATATCGCCCAATCACGAACCAATTCTCCCCCACAATCCATGGGGTAGGTTACTTGCCGCTGTTGCCATAACCCTCACTCTCCCCTCACTCTGGGCTATACAAAACCCGATTTTATCCCACATCCACTCTCACGGAACACCAATCCCGTCTGCTCACGGCCCTATCTCCGAATTAGAAGTTCCATAAGCATAACCGGAGATTTCCGTAGACTTACAGGTGCCATGTATCCATCATCTACATCTTGCTAGCAAGCCCGACGTCACTCCACAAACAGCTTCGCCAAATTAACCTAGTAGTATACTCTAAATTAAGCATAGGGTTAGGTGAGATACTCATGGGTCATGAAGGATCACTCGAGAGAATTACTGGTGATATGAGATCGCACTAAGGAGCATGTGAAAACGACACATTACTGTTGTAATCATAAAAACGTCAACGAGGGCAGAAATTCAAACAGAATACTCGTATTACTGCGTCACATCGACCGTGAGGGGCAATAAAATGTTTTAATATACATACATACCTCACGCTGGCCGGTTTGAATTGGTGGGCTTGATACCTGCCTTTAGATAACCCGAGTAAGAAGTATATGTCCACTGCGGATCATATCAAAAACGTCACGGTCCAGCCCATCCAGCCAGTCGGTGATGAACGTTACTCCGAGTCGTCAGGTAGCAGGCAGGTGTGATTTCTTCCAGAAATCTCAGATTCCACCATTCATTTTCTCGCCAGTTGGTTGGGTGAGACACGGAATAACCGTTGGCAAATGTTACTAGCTACTCTAGCTATCTAGCTAGCTGCCCAGTATGCAAATATCACGGAGAATCACTCGTAGGAACACATGTGGCTGATCCCAACCGCTACAGGAAGGTCTAATAGTGGTTGATTGCCTTGCGGCATTGGTCCGCAGGCCCGAGCGCCAATTTTTTCTCAGATCAGTGTTCTGAGTGAGACGCAGTTGCTGATGGAAATGGATAAAACTGTGCGAAAGAATTACGAAAAAGAGGCTCTGCAGAGAAATCTCGATGTTCTCAGCCTCCGTTGCGACACAACGCCACACCCATCTGGCATGCGCACATAGGTAGATATCCATCCCCCGCTCATCCACCTCCTCATCTGCCTCCAGGTCTTTAAATTTTTCGCAGCAACCAACTCGGTCCTGATCTGTTCAAAGCGCCGAACCGCACCCTTGCAAACCAATACCAGATCGACGATCTGCATATGTGCATCAACTATAGTTACCCGATGGAACGGAGTACCAACCCAAGGTGAGTAATAACCCAATGTCTCTTTGTTAGTTAGCCTCTTCGTGCTCACTGGGTAAATTGAGAAAGAAAATTCTCTTACTATGTCACTTTTTTTTTGTGGGGTGGTGCAATGCACTGATGTAATATAGGTGGAACGCGGTGCCAGGGGTTGTGCGTGATGATCGACAACGAAGTGTAAAGTAGAGTGAGGTGAGGTCCGGGATGCCATGCCGTCCTCGGGGGATTTTGGCCCTTTAAGCTTCCATGGCAGAGGCTTCTTGGAAGTTGAGTATAATACAAATACAATCAATTAACACTGTATTATAGGCTGTACGCATGCGTTCTAGTATATATACGTACCGAATACCACACATATTTTCGAATGTTCGCAGGGAGCGACCTTGCTATCAACCCGACCGACCGTATTTTGGAGTCGCGCCGAAGCAATTAAGATCGAAGCGGCATACCCAGGGGTGCGCGTGTATTCAGATAAAGACTAACAAGGTAGATAGGGACACGGCGGTGAGAATAACTGGATATTCGTAAACTCTGAAGTCAAGTAATGTGCCAATGTGTTGAATAGATCCGGATGCATGAGTCGGAAGCAGAATTGGCCATTGTAAATCAACTTCACAGAAAAACAAGGAATATGTGGCGGCACTCAAAGTAACTACATGTGTTAAATAGGTATAGATAAATGTGGCCAGCCTCGAGGATTATCTAAATGTATTGACCAGATGGTCAGAAAAACGCCTTGATGAATCACTCAACCAATCGATCAGAAAACCCCTCCGACCACTAGAATTACGGTTGCAATAAATCTATGCAGGTGTGTCCAGGGTAGTTCTTATTTCTGGTCCGTCGGACCGAAGCTTGCACACCGAGCCCATAACCACAAAGCCCTGGCTACCACACGAGTGATATTCCATGATCAAGCCTTCCCGCGGGCATCGCGCTAACCCACATTTCAAGCTGTCTAATTTACTTTAGCTTCATATTTGCTCTAGGATAAGATGAATCAGTGCCTGGATCGTATGGAGCAGAAGAAGTGCTTGTTGCGTTCAAAGAAATCTATCCGCCCATGGCCCACTTACCAGTATGGAACAGAAAGCAAGGGAAACCTCGATCTTCTGGATAAGCCCTAGATCTTGATTATAAACAATTCTCGAGGAAAGAGCTCTATTGGACATAGATGAGATCGCACTACACATGTAAACGTGTCCCTAACTAAATTGACGTACAATAGACGAGCAGTAAAAGACCACATTACAAGCCAAGACCAAATGCTTTCCACTCAGCCTCACAACCACCACGCTTCAACAACCACATACTCCAACTACTACAGCAGGCCTACTCCATAGTCAACCACGCCTCCATGTCACCCCATCTACTATTGACCCTTTAGCTCTCCATCGCCTCATACAGGGCCATATTTAAACTTCCTACCTACGTACTTTCGATGGAATCCAACTTAACAAAAAACCACCCAACCACCACCACCCACAGCTCCTCTCTCCAGAGCCACATCAACCGATGGCACTACCACCTCCACCACAGCCTAGCTAACCGCAGAACGGTGTCGAGCTCCCCCGGGGGCGACGCGTAACGATATGTCTATATACATCAAACCGCATATCATGAAACAAGCCATTGCCAAGCCATTGCCAAGCCATGCATGAAACAGCAGAGTTAGTTATAAACGGTGCGAATATCAAAACCGGCTACATGCACAACTCTAACTTGGAGAACAATAACGAACGGTACGGTACTTAAGAACTGGGAATCCGTCTATGGACCCACAATCGGAGCCTAGTGTTGCACGGTCGATGCTTGATGGTGCTTGTGCGCAGGAAGGGCAGTATTGGTCGGCACGGACTGGGATTGCGAGGCGGTTTTTCTAGCTCGATAGGGCCGGAAAAAGACAGAATTAATGTAACGAGTGATTGTTATTATTGAGTTTCTTAAAGAAAGAATACATGTTTGATTGTTCCCCGCACCTCCTCCCATATCCCACTTAATTGGGCTTACATAAATAGCTAGGCTCTCAATACAGCCCCCATCCAAAGATCTGATACATGTAACTCGTCCGACAAATCCCTCCAGACCCGACCAATATCAGGAAAAGAACTAACTTGCCACCGCTCCCCTTTGGTCGAACTCTAAGACCGCTATGTTTCCAATTGGCGCCACTAGGGTGCCGAGAAGATCTGGTTGAGGTATTCGGCAATATTAAGACAATAGTCATAGTTAGCTACGCACTGAGCTTGACTCAGTTTCGCCTTTTTGGTGCATTTGAGGAGGGTGGTCGTGCAACTGTCTATGGTGCAAAAAAAAAAAAAAGTATTAGTGGGATGCTTTTGTTTACGAGGGGGAAAAACGGGGAGGGGCTGGGTGGGATATCATACAGGTGACGGCTTGGGCGATGAAGTTTGCAGTCGACGCGGACAAGATGATATAGAGATTTTTCAACTCCTGGGGGACTATGCTGGGAAGTGGCAGAATGGGGAATGCATCCGAGACCGAGAGGAGGGAGAGGAAGAAGCAGAGGGCGAGGATGAGACTTTTTGAGGTGGAGAATTGCATGTTTCTGATTTTGGCTGTGAGTATGTGTTATTGGTTGGATTGCTGTGCTTGTGTATTTGTTTGTACTATTGTGTGGTTGTGATGATGATGCTGCTGCTGGAGTGATTGGATTGGTGAGAGTAATGGAGAAGAATGTCTCTGGCTTTATAGTCACCTAAACAGACATGATCCTGCCGGTCAAGCCGTTGGTCTATCTACCTATTCATTCATGATCCCCACGTCATGTCATGCCCTTTCATTGTCTCCCTTCAACAACACAAATACCGCCTCATCAAGGAGTTCACTCCATCAAGGAAACCTATCCCGTATCGATTCTGAAGTTCAATAATAAGAAAACACCCTCTCCCCGCCAAGGACCGTCCGCAAACATCCAGTCCCGCCACCGTGGGTCCCATAATTGTCGGGAACAATGAAATCCCTAAATTCAGCCGCCATCACCGGGGTCTCGATAAGCTTTCCTCCACGATCTCTGTGCAAAAGCTTGGCCGAGACAGCACATCTGGTTCTTGGTATCTGTACGTATGGTATGTACGCTAAATTTTAATATTAAGAATATAGATGTATCGGCTTGGCTTGGCTCATGCGCGATTGGTTGGTAGGGTGTGTTGCGCTGTGATCGGTTATTGGCGTTTTCATAGCTGTTGGCAATTATGTATCCCCAAGCTGGCCTGGTTAGTCATGAGCGAAGAAAGAATCTGGTGTGACCTAGTCGAGTGAGGATGAATGTCCAAATACTCTACGTCATATCCCGATCCCCATACCTCCAAACCGCAACAAAAAAACTCCAAGCTCCCCAAAAAGGTTCCTCCCCACGCTACTCATCGGAAATGTCCGCACTTCTCCGCATGGCAAGCATGGCTCCGACCGCTCTGTTTCTGTTTCTAGGCACCACCTTCCGTCTCTTTTTGTTCCCGTTGTAATCGGTGCCGGGTTGCACGTTGTTTAATTTGTCGACCGGTGCCTTGTCCGGTTCCGGATTGCAACGTGGGAACCCTAACCCTGGGAATCCGGGGTTTGTAGATGGGGGTTCCTTTATCGGGGGAATGGAGGAAATGGGACGGTTAGATGGGGATGGAGAAAGCTTGTTTTCATTCGAAATAGATGGGGTGTTTGTTTGAAGGATTTCAAATGGGGAAGACTACTTTGTGCGTGCGATGATGAGTTGAAAAGTCAGCTACGTAGGTGTAGCTTTGTGGCTTGAAGGCTTGAAGTAAAGACGCCGACCCAACGAACTGGGCCCCGGGGGGGGATTAGGGTTCCTACCGATGGAGCCGGATATTTGGAGCATGTGTCTTCTAGAATTCTATAGATCTAGCTCTAGATCTAGATACCTAGGTACCTTCCACTCAGACATGCGCTTAGGTCTCCCAGATGCAGGTCCGACCGGTATAATTTGCGATTTGCGGGGAAGGAGGGAGAACAACCACTTTAAATCTACATGTTATGACGTTCGTTGTTATAGTGGCGTCGACTACGGGTTGTTTTTCGACACATTTGAAATATATAGATACCGATTTGGTTGGTGGCTGAGAGCGACAGGGGATGGTTAGTTGATCATGTCCCGATCGGGCGGTGTGTAATAATTGCGTTCCAATTCGGGCCGGTGTTGCAATTCGGGCTAGTATTATTTAAGTAATGATTGCAATTGGTCCTCACAAGAGCTAGAGAGATACGGCCATGAGTGCGCGATCGATGCGGCTGTTGGGAAGTTGAATGCAATGGGGAGGACGGACTGGACGCTATATCTGTGCTTTGTCTTCAATTTTGCTACATACGTATTACTGGCTGTGTAGATGTGCGTGTAGGTACTGTATGTACTGTATGTACTGTCATTATATCAGCGATAGATGAAGACAGCGTGTAAAGCCAACTAGCTGAGATTGGACAAAGGACACATCGCTAGATCATCTAGCAACCGTCTATAAGTCGCGAGCGGGGACCGAGCAGTCTGTAATGAAAAGACATCTACTGTGTCCACACTGTACTGCGTTCGTTGTCGATGCTGCCCACCTTATGACGGAGGGTCGCAATCTTGATGAGAGATTGATTTGTTGATAAGAAAGAAAGATAAATCGATCTATCTGTGAGTAAAATTATACACTCTTAGCACTAACTTTAGGGCGCAGATGAAGAGATAGCTAACAAGGCGATAGACGACCGCGCCCCTTCCCTACCCCCCCAAGGCTACTAGCAGCCAATATTCGAACAACTTTGAAAAAACAATCTAGAGACATGAGGATGGCAGAAATTGCAGTGGTGTTCTGACTAGTAAAAGGAGCAGGACTCTTTTCAGGCCCCTCGGACTGCGCCCAGGTACCCAATAAGGACCATACTTCCTCTAATATGTAGGCTTCTCTCGATCTCGACCCGTAGGTGTTATTCACCGCCCTAGGAGGGGGCTGTAGTTCAGCTGTAGGCAGACTAAATGCAAGATGTCGACTGGTTGAGGCGTAGGAATGTACGGCTGGGACGGGCGGTCCAAGTATTCCCACTAGACTATCTCTCTGTAGAAAGTATCTGACCAGCGCTGACAGACAAGAGATCGAATTGAAGCTTAGGCAGTATCGACTATCATCTAGCAACGACGTACACAATTATTCTGACATTCCTCACAGTTCTTATAAGAAGCAGTTCATATGACATGACCCAGCTCCCCTCAATTCGATCAGGCAATCTAGATTACGGGAGCATGCATGAAATTTTGACCGAGTGATGCATGCGGGGGACAGACCGAGAGCAGGTGGTATACCCGTTTATTGCCGTAAGTTACTCGGGGCATGGTATGTAGAGGACGCCTGGTTTGAGCATATGATACCACAGAGACTTACCGCGAGCGCCTTGTCGAGGCCTACTAATCCCAGCGGGAAGCTCAATCCTAGCTAGCTATAGGCACATGCTCTCTACATAGCTGTCTACCTAGACATTTAATTTGGCTATAATTGCAATAGATAGCATAATATCGATATATCGCGCGTCGCCGGAATCTCAATTGACTCACTGACAAGCCCGCGATAAGAAGCTCAATTGCAAGGCGCGCCTCCACGTTTGGAAGAAAAAGCCGCTCAATTCCGGCCCTGTGATCCTCCCGTCTCTGTGATCTTCGCGTCATGTCAAGAAGGCTTGCTGCGCCGGCATGGAACCAAAGTTCGCAGTATTGACGATCATTTCAATTGCTCCCCTGGCTATGCGCACAATCCCGTCGCTAAGCACCATATACCCACCTACATGCGAAAACCTTAAATCGCCGGCCTTCTCGAGCTACACATATCCACATGTAGCCATAAATACTCCACGCAGCTGTCACTTATACATACATGAGTGGCTTGGCGGGTTGCTCGCCGTTATATAAAGCTCCTGTCCCCCGCGAGCGCGTAAGGTACTCTGAGTAGAGTATGGGTCACGATACGGTGCACGCCGGCGGGACGCTCGCATCCTGATAATTTGATAGCGGATAAACCTACAATGATTATGGGCAGAGCGGTGAGTAATTGAACTACGTACTAGCTAGCGCTGTCCATGACAATCTTACTGATTAACGGTGAATTCAGGTACACGTGATGCTATTTATGGCGGGAGTTGGGCTGGGAGACAGCAATCTTGAAGCCATGCAAGAAGACCCCCATCTCCGAGCTAGCTACCCAATGAAAGTATCTTACGAGGCCAATTGACTCACACCGCGCCCAAGAGGTCTTATTTATTATTCCCTCAACGCAAATCTCGCAAAAAAGCCTACTCCAATTGCCTTGTTTTGATTTAATCAACGCCAAGCGCATATTCTCCAGTTTAGAAAATATCTTGCAATATCGATCATTGACCATTCTGAGCGCTAGATGCCTAGACTAGACTGGTATCGTTGCATGTAGATTTAGTATTTCATCACGATTGTGCATGCCCATATGAAGGAATCTTGCTACCTTCAACGACCCTTCAAACTCTATAAAAAAAAAGTTTCCAAAAAAGTCTGTCCCATAGCCTGGTCCCAAGTCAGGGTTAGGGTTAGTCAGATGTATCTACAACGTCAGTAGTGCTATAAGTAGTGGTGTCAGATTTCGTGAAACGACCCCTCCTCCTGACATACGCGTCGTTCAGCTCACACTGAACTGAGCGGACGCGATTGAATTCATGTGGGATCCCGAGAGTATCTAGCAGAGAACAATGGTAAGAACCTCAGCCCTGCGGGGATGTGCGGTCTGCAGCTGTTGTAACGTCGTTAGGTAGCTTAACCCAGGAATGACTTTATAATTACATGTATTTACACTTTGTGGCGCTATCAGTTGATCGCGACGGTAGGTAATTATGTAAGTACTACAACATACTTGCTTTGTGGCGCTATCAGTTGACCGCGACGGCAGTTTGTAAGTACTACTCCTAGCTACAGACGTACTCACTGCACCCTATATTTGAGGACTTGATTAATTGGGGGCTTGAGGACTCGTGAATTTGAGAGCTAGCGTAGGTACGTAAAAATGTGGCTTCGGGGCAAAAGCTAAATCGATATATATACTTATATAGACAGTCGAAACCCGTTGCATATAGTGCCTTTGTGCATGCTACCACCAGCCGGTACTCTCGGCCTCGCGCGCGGGGCCTGATTGATTAAGCTACCCAAGAGGCCAGCTCAGGGCCAGAAGTTAGGACGCTGTAGTGCGGGTTATTCCCATAGGTGTTTTATCAACACGTTGCAGCGGCTGGACTCGGTTAAGCATATATGTGTTAATTTCTTACAACCTATAAAATTGCGCTGCGGCACCCACTCAATACTACCGTCATCACTCCTACATTCCAAGACTGCCGATAGAGAGATCTCGAACATGAAGCGCCCGGAAGAGCCTACCTAGCTACATACCTAGAGTAGACGGATCTGGGTGTTGCGGTTATGTTACCCCTCACTCATTCCCCGGTTGCACGTTGTACTGTACAGCTGTGCATGTTTGATCGCGAGCTTAAATTAATTAGCCCTTGAGCAGTAGTGGTTTGGCAGGGCGGATCATGATCGGACGTTGGGTACACAGGCACTGCCTGGAATCTGCACTGCATGTACTGCGCGGGGGGGGGGGGGGGGGGTGTGTGAGTTCAAGGCGAAGTGGGAAGGCATAGCCGTGGATCTGTAGACGGGAAGACGTTGATTCGCGGGGAGAAGACTGATGGCGCAGGTCCGCAATTAACTGCGGGGTTGTAACTTATCCTACATGCAGGCCCTATCGCGATATATCGGCGCCAAGAAGGGGTATTTTCAGTAGAGGATAATAACTCTCAGCCCTACGCCTAGGATATAGGTACGAAGTCCTAGGTCGTGACATTTCACGACGCGACCTATGGGTCTTGTCAATGATCGCATGTCCCGCCCGGGCGGTGGGTCATTACCAACACCGCCGAGAATGCGTAATTAACGGATCGCAGCAATTACGCAATTGCCGTTGGGATCATTGTCGAAATATGGTAGCCTTATGGGCCGCCCAATACAATTGAGCCAGGCGTATATACAAATCTTGTTTTCGGAGTGTTCATGGTACCGTACCGGTACTGCTCGACGCGACGCGGTGAAGGGGAATGATCAACAGGACGCTGGTTTGCCAGACTGCACGAGTCCCTGCATGGGGCGGAGGTGTATATAAAGCTTGTACTGATTCGGAGTGCCCTGCTTTACGAGTGCTGCAAATCGCCCAATTGACGCTATAACGTCAATGTGCAAAGACAAGCTTATGATATCTGAATTATTACTGATGATTTGATCCTACGACGGGTCTTTATCTGAGAGAACGTATCTTCGACTATAGCATTTCAGATACGTAGGTATGAAGGAAATACTCAATTAATTAATGAATCCATAAACTAATCAACAATTAGGAACCTCTCCCCACTATACTAGCTACCTATCAATATCCTACAAATCGTCGCCATCAACAGCAAATAAAGAAGTACAGAACCCCCACGTAAGTACTGGAAAGCCTTGAGAACCCTAACCGTGACTCCAAGGCGCATACCGCTCGACCCCAAATATCAGCTGATGATAGTAGCACAATTGCAGCCTAACCAAAGCCTATTTGCACCGCAGCTCACAGATCGCTCCAGCAGCCGCTCTTCCTGGATACTTGCTAGTTTCAGTCGACTCGCTTTCCTTGCTTTCTTCACTCTATCTGTCTCAGGAAAACGATCGATCGATACAAAAAAGTAACCACTCTAAATTTTCATACCAGCAGCTAGACGCACAGAAATCCCACACATACAGACACACTCAATATGAACTCCTCCACGCTCATGGCCATGAATAATACTACTACTAGTACCACTACTAGTAATACTATTAGCAATACTACTAGTATAGCTAGCTGGGGCTTTCGAGGGATTTCTGTGGAAGCATGGCTAGCCATCGCCGGTATTCTGATCGAAATTCTCCTCGCATTCTGGAAAGAGAAGATTGTTTTGCTTGTAAAGGAGGTGCTCTCTTGGGCGGCGAAGAAGAAGCTTGCGGTGAAGAGGTGGTGGCGGTCAATTCGAGGAAAGGTATTCTAAGATACCTCCCCGCCATGGATGCGAGACATGGACGTACTCTCAACTAACAAGCACACCTCCTAGACTCCCGACCAGGAAGGGGGGGTTAAAGACATCGAAAACGAAGCCGGCGCTCCCCTCGAGTCCAGCATCAGCATGGCCAACAGCCACACCACGCAGGTAGTGAATAACTACTACAGCTTCCATCACGACCACCCCGCGGCCGACCTGCAGTTGCCGGCTGCAGCTCTCGTGAGGCCCGCTAGTAGGATTACCCCGAACGCCGAGGAACGCGCACTGTTACGTACCCGTCTCGGAGCCGCTACGTGGTCCGGAGTGCGGGATGGTAATGCTTCACCCCCAGATCGTGTGCCGTTTAAATTTTCGACACGGGTGTGCGTACGTATATTCTAATTTGCAGAGCTTGTTGACATGGATGCATATATATAGATCATTGTACTCTGCGTCGACCAGAGGTTGCTTGGTGCCATGAATTGGAGGCTGTGGTTTGCCACAAACTGGAGGATGAGGTTCGGCAGTAGTGGGTGGTATGAGGATATTTGACTGCTTGCTTCATACGTGGTCAGTGTCTGTATTTGCGTGGCCCTTTGGTCTCGTAGGTTCAGATGTTGGGCATTTGTTGACTAATGGTTTAGGTTCTCATTCGGTTTTCATGCGTTTATTACGACTGAGTGTGGTGATTTCTCACATGGCTGCTAGGCTCATTAGCGATCTACTTTTATTTTTTCTTACTATTATTTATAGCCACCTTATGAGCTATCCATTTCTTACAATATTTAGTTTTTTTTAATACGTGGAGGGAATCCACATTTATACAGGCCCGGGGGGGGGGGGGGGGCGGGGTTCACTTATCGATATCATCATCATCATCGTTATTATTATACTGTTATTACTATTATTATCCTAAGAGCAAGGGTAGTCTACATTAATTAGACTGGAGTTTTCTTCTTTTTCATAGTGTTCTAGCACATGGCCATGGGTCCATTGTATTGTTATTTTGTCACTAATATAATGGATTCATGTTTCTTTATCCTCATATGGCCCGTGGTTTTTGAACTGAACTCAGTAGAAGATGAAAAAGAAGACCAGCTGCCAGACGGCGATGGTATTGTAATGATCGCACAACCACTACTACGTATACACCAGTCTTCCCCCGCCATGTTGTCCTTTTGCTCGGGTTTCTTGTAACTGCAACCCATGGGCCGCTCAAGCTGAGATTGCTCTAGCTCTGTCTCGAGCTCACTCGTGATATATACTGACTTAGGCTCTACTCGCTAACTCGTTAAGGCTCGACTCGTCCCTCAAAGCTCGACAGCTCGTCAATGCTCGACTCGCTCGAGCCTGGTTCGAGTCTACCCAAAGCACAAATAGCACGCTATTTCTCACCCCCGTCCCGAAATAAACGGAGGATTAATCATTTCCCTCGCTGATCACGACTGCCGGTATCGTGGTTCCCGTTCCTCTATCACGCTGGTTTAAGCGGAGCTGGCTACTGGCTCGAGACGACTAGCTGGCTCAACGACTAGCTTACTGGCTTAAGACGAGCTGTCTCTGGCGAGACGAGCCAAGCATCAAGTCGCTCCGGTCTGCCTCGCGGAGAATCGAACCGGGCTCGTTAATACTCGAGAAACTCACTCGAATCTTGCGATGTGTCCTCTATTCACGTGACCGAATGTCGTGATCGGTCAATTGATGTAAACCTACGCTATCCTATTAGAGAGTATTTTTTTCCAACCGTCAATTTCGACTATTGACGCTTCAAACTTGACAGTTGCGGGGGACAGGCGGAGTTGGCAGTTCCCCCCCTCACTGGCAAAATCGATCTGGCTAATTAGATGGAATGACACAATAAACTCGGAAAACCAAAGAGCTTGTCACGCTTACTTGTGAAATACGGCGCCGCGCGACCGTCGGGACTTGACATTCATATATATATATACCCAATATGATGCTAATTACAGTAGTGGTGCCAAAACTGGGTAAAAATTGTGGTTCTCCTCGTATATCTCACAGCACGCTGCCGGCCCCCCACTGAAATTCAAAAAATTGACAGCTCCGGTTGGTTTTTGGTAAGATGCAAACCGGGCGTTAGAGTTATGATAGGGATGGCTAATGAGATCTAATTCGGGATATTAGGAATCTACACGTTCGATCTGGACGGCTATGTTTCTAGATCCTGAGCTAGGCTTTGGGGTGTTAGTATAGTAGCGATATCGGCTACTCGCGCGCTCTATATTCTCACGCACTAGAACACCGACCGAGCAGCTGGTCCCAGATCTAGAAAAGAGGCAGACTTGATAGAGAGATCGAGAGAGGGAGAGGGAGAGGGTGCTACTCGTCGATCTATCGCAGGAGTGGGTATATTTTATTCCCACCCTCCATGCATTATTTGAGCTCTATTTAGTCGCGTTTCCGTCTGTATCGTTGGTAGAAAGTTGCCGCCGCGTGGTGCGCCCTGTTTATGGTGCCCACAGGCGAGCAATGAGATGGATAGGAGTCGGGGAAGAGGGAAATGGTATTTTTGCTGATACTCGCGCGACCGGATTGAAGCCGCTCAGACAAAAAAACAAGGAAATGATTATCGAGACTGTTTTTCCATAGCAACGGCCCAACCTCAATATCATGGCCTCGAGGCCTCACTATATATTAACTGTCCAAAATGCCATCAAAAAAAAAAAAAAAAAAAACAGGGGGACCTTGTATGGGCCCCTAGAGTTCTTATTTTCAAAACAAAAAAAAACATTGATTTTGGCATTTCACTGGCGCGCCGGGATGTTTTTTTACACAATTAATAGGAAGCTAGAACGAAGTAATCAGGCGTAAGAGTATTATACCAATGCCATGGAGGATCGAAACTTGGTGTGACTAACGAGACGTTACAATCTTTTATATCAAGGGCAACTGCTGTGCGCTGGTGTAGCAGGAAACATGATACATGTACTATTCTTAATTGTGTACAACTATTATTACTAGCACGCCAAGCATTAGGTGGCGCCTAGTATCGCGGCAGCGTCTATCTGGCCTGGCGCGTACTAGAGCCACCCTCCAGAGAGTGGTGCCTTCAGGGTTAAGCGGGCACAAGGGTAGCTGCGTCTAGGCTAAAGGTGAGCTCGAGAGGTGTGTACCTGGCCGGGTAGACATCCTACCCGTACAGAGCTTCTTCCACGTCCTTCCGTTTATTAGTTAATGACCGTAATTTAGCTCATATCCACCCATTTTCTATGAGTTTTATCGAGATGTAATTATTTAATATTGACTACTTCATACTCGAATTTATGTAGTAGAGTAATTGATACTTTGAAATTGACAGTTGCAAGAGGAAACCAGAGCCCCGGAGCCGAAAAGCTGCAAGTGCAGAGTACGGGTCATAAGTCGAATTCTTTATATTTTACTAGAGTCGAATCTATGCTTAAGCTTCAGGGCGTTGCTAAGCGTAGCGCAGCTCCAGTCCATGGTGGTGAGGGGTGATGAGTCAGCGAGGATCCAGGCTTGGCGGATGGGACCTAGGACTTGCGCCATAACCACTCGGCCATCTTGCCTTGGCGTCTGCGGCTCAAAGTGAACTTTTTGTGCTACCGCCATGCTTAAACCTGCTGTACGATAGTAATCAATAAAACATCTTGAGCATCATACATAAACTGTGCGGAAGCACATGAAGCGATGCCGATAATTCTATCGGTTCTTTCACGATCTGAAGGCTATGCACTGGTACGTACTAGATAGTCAAGCCTTAAGTGTCGAGCTTGACGAGCCCCATACCCAACGGGCCTGAACCAGCTCACGCTCATATACAAAAGGCTCAAGCCTAGGAGCCCGAGTATTTATAATATTGTTAGCACACATCTCTCGTTCCAGTCACGGCTATATCTCCTGGCAGAATTAAGGATGTGTCGTTATACCCTGGTCATTGACCACCGGCGGCTCGGTCGAGCTAGCTTATCATTCGGGCTCCTGGCCGCGAAAGCGCGAGCGACCTGCAAAATAGTTGAGACGGAATGGACTACCTAGATATGGGGTCAATGTAGTTATTAATCAGGATATTTGTCGACGTTTCATTCTTGCCCACCTTATGAGTTCTTATTAGTATATCTACCATCCATTGCGGATATCCTTACCGCATTGCTGCTTAAAGGTTGATGGATATTGCAATGGTTTAGGATCTCATGGCCCAGCGAGACTTAGAGCTGGAGTCCTTTGCGCAACTTAAGAATGTATGAGGGACAGCTAACTTGGGACTGGCTGGCGTTAGGCTAGTCGCACGGGGTTGTAGCGACATGTAGTTAGAATAGGTATCTGTAGTCACAGATAGGTGACTGCACGTTGTTGTCATAAACTAGCTCGTATAAAGGAGCCAGAGCTGTCGCAGTCATCTTGAATACAAACAATCCAAGGAACTCCTACGCTGCTTGAACAGTTGTGTCTCGGCCGCCAGTCGCTCCCCCGGTGTCACCGGTATTCGTTTTAGTCGTAAGAAGCAACACTTCTACGCGTCGATCGGCCGGTACCTGCATGCGCGCAACCTCGGATCGCCTATGGACCCGTGCTCTGGCGGTCATTACCCTAACGAGCAATATGGCCGGTTGCATGTTGCAATGGCGACGACACTGCGGTCACCGTGCCCGCTGGAAAGATGGTGTTTTGATAATTGACCGCTAGCCATAATGTTTAATCCGTGTCAATCATGTGAGGAAACACCGGTGACGAGGTTGTGAACTCTCTTAACCATACGTATAGCATATATATGCATGATCAAGAGTGACTCCCGGAGCGTATATATTTATCTGTATGTCCTTTTAGCCTTATGAAATCCAAAGAAAACGAGGTGCATGCAAACCCTAACAGGAGAACCAGCTATCCCTTAAATGCTGACCCCTCAAAAGAGCAAATTTTTATGCGGCTTTACTAACAGATCCTGTTATCTCTCTTATCAAATAATAGACCCCCCATACAAATCTAATTCCTCTATTATAGGGGTCAGCATGCCAGCTTAAGGGATAGCTATATAGCTACTCTTGCGTCATCGGACTGTATTCTGTGCCGTAGACACAGACTCGCTGAAAAGCTCACCTCATCATGAGCGTTCCACATCGCGATCCCAAGTTGGGTTAGCACGCACCTTAAATTACCTGAATGGCCAGTTGCGTAACCATCACCACACAGTTCCATTCACCGTCAGGTCTGCAATACAGATGCTTTTTTTCTATTTGCCGCCCGGGCGTAATCCGTCCTGGTAATGACAGCTCCCAAGGCCGCGTTTCCACTGTCTTTCGTCATGGGATGCGCCCGAACGAGTCTATAAAAACCCGCTCAATCGTCATCTTCTCGCGCATACTAAATCTCACTGATAGAATTCGGGAAGTATCTTCAATTGAAATTGATCAATGTCCGAGACCAACCTGAACAACAGCAATGAGGGCGGTAACAGTCTGAGTAGCAGTACGTGTAGTACTCTCTACAACCCGAATGAGCGAGGTCCGGGCCCGGAGCTTGATCAAAACCCACCACCACCACCACCACCACACCCTTGGGCCAGCGAATACGCGGCTAGTGGGAGAGCTACGCAACATCTGCGGCCAGCCAGCCTTTGGGATACGGGCCAGAATGAAGACTACGCCAGAACGAGATTTTCGTATAATTTCATTGACCGTACACGGCTCAATGGCACTGGATCCTCTAGTAGGGCCCTGTACAGTACAGCCATTGAGGTAAATTTAGTGCGAGAGGTCGAGCAGCGGCGGAGCGCTTCCAGATACAACAACGGTTCTCGTTCCCCTACCGCGCCAGACCCCGGAGTAGCCGCTCGACTACGCAAGGAGATGGAAGACGTCAAGATCTTCCTATGGTCGCGGGTTGAGGGCGAAAACCCAAATCCCAGGATGTACCTCCTTTTCAACCTTGCGTACGATACAGAGAAGAAGATGGGGTCAATTGCGGCCGATATGTATGCCATACGCTATGGCTTCAAGGCGCTCCTGAAGGCTGGCGCGTTGTTCGCGCTGCGAGATAATCTGCAGACACATATCCGCGCGATTGAAGAGGCGCACGCCGAGCTGAAGAGGATACTTGACGATGCAGTGGAAGTGACTGGCGGATCTATGTGGTATGTGGGCCAATTTTGCGGCGTTGTCGTAGTGGGCTAATTCAGACGCTTGTATTATACGTTTCTTCCTTCAGCCCCAGCCCGTACGCAAAGATTCCGTCGATGATTCAGATTAGGCGCCGGGAAGTGAATAGTGAGGGCGAGTATTTCCCACGCCCGCGGGCGTCCTTGAGGGCTCCTGTTGTACCTGCGGCAGTCCGAAGATAAGGCTGGTCTTTATCTGATAATGGGCTGGGTGTACATGTGTAGGGTGGGTACGTTTTCGAGATAATCAGCTGCCAAATAGAGTTATGTGGCCATGTGTTGATGAGCGAATGAACCCTGACGAACAAATCCCCTAGTTCTCTGTACATATTTAGTTCAACTGACTGGAAGATAGGTAATGCAATCACAGATTATCACTCGATCAGCATGAATCATAGTATGGATTTGCTGTTACACCCAACCCTCCCGCATTAGAATCTAGAAGAGTAAGAGATAGTCATTGATAAAGCCGGAGCGCTAAACGATGCAGTCATAGTTGTCGCCTCAGTCGAAGGTTGTGTATCCATATCTTGTTTCCAGGCTGGGCATGAAACCGCAGAGAGCCAATAAGCTATTTAGATGCAGAATCCCGAGGAACTTGAATATTCTTTGTTATCCAGTGATTGTTTCGCCTAGCACACACACCCTAAATCAGTGGCTCGAAGGGAGAGTATAGGAGAAATATATCTGTACTTCAACCTTATTGATTTCCATGTTCCCCTAGCTGAAGCCGTGATATTAGCAACTTGAATATAGCTGAATATTCTCGATAAGAAGGCTTGTCTTAATTACACCTGTACCAATCGCCCTTGTGTGGTGTTGCCACTGGGTTTCCAAAGTCCACTAAAGAAGATTCAGTCAGTAAACTGACTTAGGTAATAATTTCTGAAAACAAACCAAGGTGAGTTTCGAATAAACTTCGTCGATCGGCCAAATAGAAGATTTTTGTCCGTAAAAGTTCCCCTTAGATAAGTAGAATTGGTGAATAACGCACGATAGATGGTCCCTTTCTCAGAGTAGATGCGTACAAAAGTATTATGAGATGGGGGAGGCAAAAATAATCTCGTTTACCGAGTTGAAACGCTTGTGAACCCATGTTTCTATGTGTTTGGGTGCTGTAAGGCGTTGTGTGTTCCAATGGTTGCAAGGAGACCAAACTATTGGATGAGAGAAGAGATGATAATGTATTGCTAGGATTACTAGAATCTCTAGCTTTATACAAAATGATTAAGGACAGATTGTCACGCCACCTATTCCTCGCCACAAGTCCGCAGTTATAGTATACGTAACTGATAGTTACGTGTGCCACACGCATACGACAGCACTGAAAGAGATTCTCCATATGCTTGTACTAGATTTTTTGCAATGAGCACAAGTCTGCGGAATATATCTGCTGCGGGTACGCGGTCCATCCTGTTAGCTTGACGTCTGATAAATCCACTCCCGAGTGTATTATGGTTCAATTATAATCGCACTGACAGGATAGATAAGAGCCAGCTACAGCCGAGTAGTCAAGTGAGTTGATGCCAAGTTAGTTATGGATGCCGAGTTTCTGTCATAGCCTCCTGGCTGTATAAAATTAATGAAATATCGATGCCGAGTTTTGGTAGAAGTTCATGATGCTCCGTTAAGGTCATGGGAAGGGGAGGATTTTGCGTAAAGTCTCTATTTTAGCAAGTAAATCGGTTTATATATCTTATTGAAATGACCGACGAGTAGTGAACTCATGTATGTTAGAGCTGTATAATTAAAGGCCCAGAGGACCAGTGTTTTTCGATGCTGATATGTTCAAATGATTGGAATGATGTGATGACTCGGAGATACATCGGCTTATCGACAGGAGAATTAACATACAGAGTCAACCTACTCGCCATAATGACACATCTGTGTACAATGATATACATATATAACCCCTTGAATTTTGGTTGGTTGAGTTCACCGTTTGTGCTGCTAGCTTTGTTTTATCACGGGTGTGGCTATAAAGGTAATTAACATGAGCGTCCTCCCTGAGTCAAACAAATGAAACCGATGATCTGATCAGATTTTTTTTATCTGTTTCTCGGCTGGATAGCCTCCAACTTCGTAAAAGTCATCACATGTCGAGTGGTCCGTTGTCGACAAATAGTTTCACAGGAAGCGCCTCTCCATAGCCAATAGCTAAAACCACCCCATTCACCCAAGAATAAAAATTTAGATTAGGTACTTTCATTCGTAGCCTTATTAGCAAGGATATTTAGTATCTGATCTATGATACTTCTATTGGCTGCCAGAATAAAGAACAGTTGAGTTGTGGGTCATGGGGCGTCACTCCGATTTGTCACGCGAGTTGAAAGTGCCTTTCGCTATCGCCCCCACTTTTGTAACGGGCTAGGTCTGATGGAAATATCAATATTTTTGAAATGCAACTAGGCCGCTTGATAAGCTTGAATTTTTCATCAAAAACAAAGGCCCTTACTGCAGTGACTTTATTCTCTTATTGATTATTGAGTAAAGAATATATACTTCTGGTTGGTTTTTTAGGCTTTGGTGATGTGCCCACATCCCTGTGCTGCAGCTGAAGATTCCGTACCTAAATTAGCATCGCACATGATTATTAGTAGTATGGTGCCCCCAGTCTTAAAGTTAACATGGGAAAAACGCCAAATCGCTTATAACTTTTCAACCACGATATGTATTAAAAATCTTTCAAGATAAAAGCTGGATACCGTGATGAAGAAGGGTTTGTCTTGACAGGTTTTTAATATCTATCGTGGTTGAAAAGTTATAAGCGATTTGGCGTTTTTCCCATGTTACCTTTAAGACTGGGGGCACCATAACTCAACTTTTTATAAGCGAACATGTAAAAGCCAGATCTGCCGAATTTATATCGGGGTAATATTCTCACCGCGATTGATAAACTCGGCCCGTGACTATTGCCTATCTAGATAGCCGCTAGCTCAAAGAGAAAGGAATTATCCGTCTCGCGATTCCATGCACCACTCGGATAAGTAGTACTGATCATGAGACATCACTCGTGGAAAGCATGATAGCTTTTTGGTATTGCCGCGATGGTGTTCCGAGGCGCGGGGTTCTCTATCGGGTCTCAATGCGGGAGGATCCTTGGAATCCCTCGAATCGAGGAAATCGACCGATGCGTACGTGTAGCGAATGTTGTCTCCACGCGAGGTCTTTTTCACACCTGCTCGAAATTTTTCAAAAAGAGTCTAGTTAGTTCTCTTTCATGGTTTAAAGTCTCGAAACTTCTGAAAGGGTTGTTCTTTATATTTTCTACGCATTTCGAAACGTCAAAAGCTATTGGTCGCCCAGGCTCTTTGAACGGCGATTCAGCTCCTGCATCGCTGATACGATATTGAATCCCAAACGTTCCAGGCGTAAGGTTGTTGTTGTTCAGGTTTTGTCGAGCAACGAAAATTATCATTGGCAGCATATGTCCATAATTACGGAACTGTTACTCCTCCAATGAGTAGTACAGTGGAAACACGAAGGGCTCTGCCGGTATTTCAGCTTTTCTGCCGGAAGTTGTGCCTGTCTTCCGCAACTTAAATATCTGTTAAATAGCAGAGCAGTAGAGCAGGCCTAGGAATCGGTAGGATAGACATGTCGTTGCGTTTGCATGCAGTGCATGCTTCCTTGAAAGAAGAAGTAACGTTTCTCGTTCGAAAGTTGTGGATGATGGAGAGGGTGAGATCGATTTCACCGTCAATTGCAGCACAAGGGCTCTACCTATTGGTTTGAGGGCATATGCAGCTCTTAGATCCTTTTATTTTAGATACCTCCCTGATTACCAGTAGAGAAGGTTCTCCTGGTCTTGCCACTGAGAAACTCCAAATTCTAGGGTAACGGATAATCTTTTCATCCGTTGGTTGACACAGGACGCTGAGCAATTGCTTTTGTTCAACCGACACCTTGCATGCTCCACACGTCTGTCGAGAGCCTCAAAAGACGCTTGCGGATGCGGTGATATGAGTGAACCATCTAATCCCATGCGCGTACTCTAGACAGACGGTGCTGATTCGCAGTAGGAAACATAAAAAACGTGGGATACACAGTGATGATTTGTTATTTCGTCTTCACGATATGATTTCCCATTTCCCGTTTTTGTTTTCCCGGGTTCGGGGAACTTATCGATATCAACTGATGCCAAAACCTCGGAAACCACCGTTCCGCCAAAGCGGAGAGACCTACACACCTATTGTGAGATGACTGGGATGTCTTGAAGCATGTAAGGGTTGTAAGGGTACATGAGAAAAAAATGGTACATAGATTATCTTTCCCGCGCTGTTTGATGGAGAGCCAATGGGATGCCGACATGTGTGGAATCTGCAGGTGACGAGAGGTTGTGGAAGGGGAAAGGAAAAGAAGCAGGTACAACAATCGGGGTGCAATGAGGAGTCCCAGTATTCTCGACACAAGAAAGCTGGACGTCCCGGGAATTTTTTTTTACAACAGAGACTTTTTCCTCGTTCCGTAAGAAAAAGAAAATGTTTCTTTATTATCCTCACAAGTTCATTCTTCTCCAAAGTGGGGATGAGATCCGTTGGGGAAGAGAGGGGTCTAGTGTGGGGGATCTCCTGCCACTTCCACCTCCCTCATGTAGCGTATATATGTAGAGCGCTCGTGATAGGAAATTCTCGGTTATTGCTTTTGATGCTCCTGGTTTGGCAATTGGCGCCTGGGTTCGTGCACGCTTTCGTTTTCTATGTGAATCTCGCGTTTAACGTTTGAGTCCTGCAGGGTTAGGGGACAGCGTGGAAGAACGCCGTATGGAGCAAGGCGGGGATGGGGTAAGTTTAGTCAGTCAGATGGCGCTAGGGGAGCTGGGGGGTGGAGATTTGGAGCGTTGGCAGTGGGCACTCAAGAAGCGGCGAAACACCACAAAGTGTGACTTCACTACCACGGGGGTAGCGAACTAGAGTAGGACTTTTTTCTCTTCCACTCTTGCGAAGTATATCCTCTCCGTTGTTGTTGTTATTGTTGTTGTTCCTCAGCCACTTTGCTCTCTCGCTCCACTTACACTACCCATCTCTCCATCTCGGTCGGATCTCCTCACCTGTTCTCGTCTCCTCCCACCCACCACCTCCCTCAACAACCCCTAGCCTCTCCACTCTCTTTCTGACTTCACTCCAAGAGTACTATCATCATCTCGACACCCCTTCGTCCCATCGCTTCCTGCTCTACAGTTCCATCGATTGCGTTCCTGCCCCAGCAACGGTTCATAGTTTTTTTCCATTGCAGACTCGCTCGGCTAGGAACTCGTATTCAAAACCGTCCAGGAGGCCAACTTGCTTTGCCCACGTCCAAAGTCTCTGTTAGGTAATTGCCAGCCTGGTGATATTTCTCTGACTCTCTTTGATTCAATCTTCTGCACTTCTGCTCCTTGCTATCATCGATACCCCCCCTGCATCACACCCTCTATCTAGTGCCCTACTTCCCCGAAACCCACCCAATAAATAGTTTTCCGAAAGGACAGCATCAACGTGCTCTACAGGCTCGAACACATTCCATTCCTACTTTGTCCATTCTGTTCCCAAATCCCCACTCTTGTCACCAAGCTTCTTGAGTTACGTTCTTTTCGTAGTGCGTTTTTGTGGTCCATTGAAACGAAGGCTCACAAAAAGTCGCCTTCGCACAGATTTCACCTAAAGACAACCAACATCGCACGTCGCTATAAACTAGCCAAAAATGCCGACTTTTAAGCACGTCACCCTCAACATTCACACACCGAAGGACCCCCCGGTGTCTACCGAAAACTTCTCTTGGGCCAACACTGCCCATTCTTCCTTGTCCGAGTATGGGGTGCACCGTCTCCGCAATACCCCCAAAATCACCAGTTATATCCCCTCTTCGACAAACTCGCCCTTCGCTATCTCCATCACGATTCTTGACAGCTATGTTCCGAAGAACGAGGGCGATGACCGGGAGAGTTTGGCGGCGTATGTCTACTTCGACGGGAGAGAGAAGGAAGAAACCGCCACCTTGCTGCGTCGGGGCGTTGAAACGTGGATTAGCAGTAGGTGGGTTGAGGTTAAAGAGGGGGAGCTCGCAGAGCGGGAGTTTGTGTTCAAAGAGGTTGGGCTGGAAAACTTCCTCAACGGGTTGGATATCTCCAAATCCGAGAAGCAGGCCAATTCCAAGTCCAGTGGTCGGAAAGCAGTCAACAGGAGGCACAGCATGCCGGCAAAAATGATTGAAGGAGAAGAAGAGGAGGAAGAAGGAGCTAAGGAATCAGCAGGGCAAATCAGGGTAGATTTGTTTAGAGTCCGATGCGAAGGTCCTGTCAGAAGAGGTGTTTGGGGCGGAATGTTCAAGGACAACAATAACAGAACTGACAATGAAGATTTTGGAGGCGGAGTGGATGTGAGCCACACTGCGGGGTACGTTAACTGTCTTAAACCCGGTTTGGTGGGAAGAATTGGCCGGGTGGGCACACGGAACAAAGTTTCCGGCAGTGAGTATCAATTCTTATAGAGAGCTTATTCATTTTTCTTTTCCGCGCGAACAGATTATCGGAACCGAAACCACTTGACAGAGAGACCGTCTCGACACAGAGTGTCAGTCATTTGGATCCCGAGGGCGTTGTCTACGCCAGTTTCGTGTTCTTTTACCGCGGAGAGCGTATGTGTTCATGTCTACTTTTGCAATTCCATTATCAATTGGGAGCAAGGCTAACTAGGTTTATATATCTAGGTCAACTTAAAAAGATGGGCTTGATCAAACCGCCCCCTCCGCTCCCCGTTCTCACGCGTGCTGAGACTATTGTAACATCTGCCGCTGAGACCAAGTGGAAGAAGCAAGATTTCGCATCTCTCTCCTCTGCCCTCTCTTCGCTCATCCCCAAGAGTGACGGGTTACTGAATGGGAAAAAGAAAGGATTTACAGACTTCCGCGAAGGTGACGCCGAATGGCACCAAAACGGCCACTCAAATGGAAGCGGCAAGTTCATCCCAGGCATCCATGAAAGGGATGATGGTGAACTCCTCATGGGAGATGATTTGAGTAGAGACGCTAGGGACGCTATCAGAGAAAGGATGAAGACCGAGGAGGAAGTTAGGCTTGAGGAAGAACTTGTCGGAAGAGTCGGACGAATTAAGGTCTGATCATGCTCATCTCCAGCACGTTTCTTTTTTTCCACCTCTCTCTCCTCAATGAACCCCAAATGACCTGCATCGGAATACTGATCTGTATTTTGGTTTTCAGCTCAAGCGCTCCCATTCTACATCTTCACTCCAGGGTGATGGATCAAAGTCCAAGGATGCCACCCCACCCCCGGTAGTTGGGGACGGGAATTCGAATAATTTCGCTACCACCCCGGGAAATAATCACCTGGCACCCGAAGCGGCTAATACGGAGGCAGAAACTCCACTTAAAAAGCGCCGTGGAAGTGGTGATATTGACGTAAAGAGCCCCAATCTTGCAGCAAACAATGCTGCTGCTATGGGAAGGGGGGTGGGATTTGGGCACAACACCCCTCCTATCACTTCGATGACAGCGGGTTATGGGGGTGGGAAAATGGAGTTTGGGGGGCTATTATCGAGCGGCATGGAGATGGAGGAAGAGATCCTATGAAGGACTCACAGGAATGGATGGGGGCAATGGTAGAGGAGTGGTGGAATTCTTAACACCATTTCAGGTATTTCTGGGCCTTTCTAAGTGCTATTCTTGGTTGAATTTCTTTTTTCTTTCTATTTGTTGAGTACGTTAAGTTTGTGTCTGTTTGCACAAAGGGGATGCTGCGCCGAGTTAACCCGTGAGATACCTGGAGAAGGAACTTGACAATCATTGCAAGTTTTCTCCTATATGGGGTCCTAGGGCGCGAAGTGCGGTTTGTAGTATGTTGGTTGTAAAGAATTCGGGGGTTTAGGCTTGAGATAGTTTTGGTGGACGTGAAAGTCAAGACATGGGGAAAGGCATAGATTTTCCGGAGATCGACACACGTATTCTTTTATTTTCTTTTTCACATGATTCCTGTATCATCATTAACCACATTCTTTTTACTCTTTCCTTATATTTATGTTTGAAGTATTTCCTTTCTCCCTTCCAACCTTTTCATATCATCACGTCCATCCACTCATTTAGTGTCTTCGTCTTTTGGGGGTGGAGTTGAGGGTACTATACCACTGCTTAACGTTTCGACTTTGAATCGTGTTCGATTATAGCAAAGAAAGAGCAGGATTTTAGGGAGGCAAGGGTGTACTCTACTCTCTTTTTAATTTCATATTTTGGAAGCCGGATTGCTTTGCTAGCTAGCCCATCTGCGTCATCGTAGTTTTTAGCAAATATATATTTAAGAATAAATTTTAGTGCGGTAGTTTGATACGATAAGGATGCGCAGATAGTTTTCGGGTGTTTCACGGATATCTGCATCTATTCCATGAATAGCATAACTTTATATACATGGTAAAACCTGTTTTGAATATCCTACACGGTACCGAAACCGCGTTCTCAAAAATACAATAAATGCAATAATCATGCAATGTGGGTTAGGTTTACTATACGCTGATTGGACTGTACTAGCTGTGGGTTAGGGTTACCTTAGTGTTAGACCAACCCCAACCCACGTTTCCAAGGTTCGTGGGACATTCATCTACAATATTCTAGCACCGTACTCTAAAAAGCTTGTTTCCCCAACAAAACCTTGAGGCACAGACAGGGTCACTTCCGAAAATCGGGATATTAACGACCTCTCCCGTTTTGCGCACGAGGTCTGCTGGCAGCCTTTTTTCTTAAGGGAAGACTGTGAACTGTCATAAAGAACCCATGCAAAGAAAACCCCATCCAAAATATCTGAGATTTATTTTTCTCTTTCGAAATTGATTTTCCGCGTGTTGACTCGAGCTAAGCCAAATGCGGCATTAATCCAGCAACCTCGTCTCCATTGGTGGTGGCAGCCGCCAGCCCAAAAGATGAGGCGACCACAACTCCCGTTCCCGTCTAATGAGAGTCTGCTGCATTTTCTGAGTCATGTGCAAGTGCCGCACGTCGCTGGATGATGACGAGAATTACATACATGTATGTACGCAGGCCCGGGCCGGAGCGTCTCGCCGTTAGGTAGCTACTGGCATGGGTGCCTCGCACTTTTTCGTCCGCGGGAGCTGTTGGAAATGTTTCTAGCCGGAGATTGCGGTGTGGGTTCTAGACTGTTTTTTTTTTTTAGCGCCGGGCGGTAGTAAAACACCCAAAGGCCTGGCTCTAGATTCAAAGAGGCCCGTAATCTTATCTTGTTGGGGTATATCAATTGGCGATATCGATAATTAATTGGGAGGTGAGGTTCAGAGGATATCACTCGGTTTCTAGGTAGGGTAATCGATGCGCGGTTAGCATCGACAGAGCCGCATCGGTCGAGGTTCAGAGCTGGTATTCGAGCTTTGTCTGTCTCTAGAGGTGTAGGAATGAAAATGCCTGGTAGATTCAGGGATTGGTACCTCTTCTGATTAGTTATATAGCTTTAGAGCTGGGGTTGCGTTACATTGCAGTGCTGCGCCCCGATGATTGCGCATTGCGCACGTTTTGGTCCAGCCGTGAACTTGAGAATTATGTTGTTTAAAATGTCTGCTGTATGGCTTAATTAATAGAGTAGGAAGTTGGCATTATACAAGGTTGGTGTACTCCTTAAATCTGGTGGACCTACTCGCTGGTAGGAGTGTTTGCCTTATTAAATATAAATGTCGTGCGCAGCGATGATACGTCGAGTTGAGAACACATTCAAGTTTCTATAATATCGCTAGATTAGTCTTCCAACGTAAGCGTAAAGAATGAAAGAATATATTCGACTTGAATTGAACGAAGCAGGTGAACTTCAGAGCTGAAACCGAGAATAAGAGAAATCTGCGCATCGTCAAATGCCAAGTAACTTTGGCGAATCAAAGGCTCCATTGAGTACATGGAATAGCTGACGATACATAGACGTCCACTCCTTGACATAACGCAAATAGTGGGTGTTTGAGATAGATAGGTGTCGGCTGAGCTGACTTATAACGCCCCTTTATAAATTTAAGCATACGCGCAGCATACAATTAATTGCAAATAAAGGAATTAGAGTTACACAGTACTCATGTCTTTATCTGAGACCAAGTAGCTGAACTAACCTCACAATGGCCTGGAATAAGCAAGCTGTATCACACGAAGGTGCCGTAGGAACTCTAGGACTGGATTGATTTTCAATGCAGTTAAGTTGTTTATAAGTGGTGATAATCGATCGCGAACCACTTGGGCTAACCAAGGAGTAGAGAACATTAAGCTCCTTGAGATCTGGGGACATTGATGTCCAATCATTATTCATGAAGGCCTTCTCATCTCGAATCAGCCTTTTGTACTGCATGTTTCGAGAATGGAACTTAACTCATGTCCTTTTTTTGAAAATCCTATCACAAGATATATATCATAGAAAGTCAAGGTGGCCACAAGAACCCATGCATATTCACAATGCCTCAAAGTAGTAAGCCCCATAGCCGAAGAGGTACAACAGTATCGAATAGTCCGCGATGGAGGTCAATTGCCAACTTCGGAGCTGGGCGGGTGACTTCTGTTAAACCGTTAGATGCTGTGGTTCCTCATCCGATCCAAGAGGGCAAACGTTTGTCTTGGTCATGAAAATTTTGTTTCCATTTGCTTTGCTAGACTGGTTGGAGTTAAACATTGAACAAATATGAGTTGGGAAGGTGTTTGGGTTGGCCAGTTGAACTTGTATAGAGAGATCTAAGGGTCATATACATCACGTATACGTGTCTAGGAAGAACAACATTATATGCAGTCTCGTGCCAGACTTTTGTCAACTCGTTCCTCGTCCTGCAGACTACAGAATCACACCACAGGCTGCGCACGAGACTACATTACATGTACGTTAGCCAGACCTTATGCCGAACCTGCTAGCGGCGTGTTCTAGTCGATAGAGGAATGTTGGGCTAATTACTAGCTTATCGGTGTATCCAGTCGTAACTCGGTTCCGTAACAGAGAAACTAGCCATAACTATTGACATGTTCCCTATCGGACGGTCCTTTCAAAAACGCGTTTGGATAGCCATTATTTCCGTATCGGCCAAACTCGATTATTTTCTACCTCTCGTCCTTTGAGGTAGTTGGGGTCAACACGTTACGTATATGTCGCGCTTTATCTAAATAACCATTCCATGGATATGAACTCATAATGTCATGTAGTTATCCGCCTTTTTCTTCATAGGTGTTATGCAGACGTTGCATACGTAAGGCATGACTATGAAAGAAAACGCTAAATTCATCTGAAGATGCAGAATTTGTGCACGTGTTAGAAATATCTGCCCCCGTCGCCAATTTTCATTTATCACTTGCGTGGCAGTTCCACACAATATCACTCGGAGAGCCAGTGATCGCCGCCAAGGATTTCCACTTCCGTCGTTGAGCAAACGCAACGTTGATATATGAAGAAAACAATCATCATGGTATACTAGTCCAACTCACCGGATTTCTAATCATATGATGGGCATATTTTCTAACACATCTACCCGTCTAGTTTCAGTACAGCCACGTATGCCGACTGAACTACAGCCACAATTATACTGATATAAGTGCCCGAGTTAGTATTTACTTCGTTCTACGATAAAAGGTTTGTCTCTGACATGACTAGCTCTAGTAGGAGTGGGAATGCATCAATTTTGACGTTTCCCATACAAAAAGTTGCGAGATACACATTATTTGATGCAATAATCGACCTACTCTGTGTTAAAGGCATTCCTGTCCCATTACAGACGAGTTTACTGATGCATTTACAGATACCTTTACCTGTTAAAGGCATGTTAAAGGCATGTTAAAGCCAATAAAATACGACTTTACTGACTGTTTCCGGGGTTTCCTGTTTTCCGCCAGAAAATCAATGTTTTCCAATGAAGCCTCTCCTCTAGATCTCGAGATAGTTGAGTCCCCAAATAGAATATTTCGGTTGGGTCATCAAATGGTATCTGGCATCAATGGGCTTGTAACAGTTGGGGAATACAATTTCATTTTTGTGGATCCATTGTTTCGCATATACATGTAGGATATTCTGACTTGATGCTTCAGGTATAAGAGTAGGATTCTCTGTGATGATTCGTTTCATTGGCGGTGGCCTTGGTCAATCATGTGAAGCATCACCGGTGGCCGAAACTTATCCCCCCCATGTGTATACGCCCAATATGGGTAACAGAAGCGTGACAGGGAAAGGCATCGGTAAAGTCGTCGGTAAAGTCATTAAATATCGTTTGTAATGTCGTCCGATTTCCCTTAAAACGACTTTCCCTCTGCCAAAATATTGACATTACCCACGTAAATCCAAGCTCGAAAAACGACTTTACCGACGACTTTACTGAATATTCTAGGTACACATTTCCACTCCCCCTAGAGTAGGCTATAGGATGTTAAATCAGGGTTGAACACCTAAAATTAAAAATAGAGGGAAAACGCAAAGCATATCCAGACGTTACGTGATCTAATTCTCTTTATTTGCGAGAGACATACGCCTACGAATTGGTTCAAAAACCTAGCTTTGAAAAGTTAATTGTGGTCGTTGAGAAATAAGGAATCGGGACCTGTGGTATGTAGCGTTTCTATAATCAGATCAGACCAGCATCACAGGAAGAGCTATGAACAAACCACGTTGAGTTCAGCATTCTATCTGCAGGACAAGAGTCCTTTTAATAGATAAAGAAAAGTCTGGCAAGACTTTCTACCAGAGAAAGGTTTTCTGTAAACCTTTCTGTCAATGGGAGCCTGTCTCGCCGTAGGAACTGAACCGTTTATCATTTGAAACTCTAAGTATAGCTTATATTTAAATATCTATGGTGCATTGAATGACCAAAAGGTTGCATAGTATAATCATTAGCCACCAACTATGATATCCCCTGAGTTGGTGAGACACGTAGATTCCAGGACTTTCTAGTTATCTTGATATATATGTAGTGTTTTCCAGTGGCGAAATCACTAGGCCCGACGGTCAACCACTAACTGCGCCCGATTATTCGAAGAAATCTGGCTTAGAATTACCTGAATCGAAAGTCTGTAATATGCAAGATTCACCAACCCAGGGGATACGTATATGGTAATGTCTTGGATGAACTGAGTAAACCAGGGAACTCCGGTGTAACACAAATCCTTGAAATAACGATCTATTGACAGGACTTACCAGAAGGAAAGACTTCCCATGAGCCGCAACAGATCTTAGAAATTATGGTGGTCTTATTATATTTTCCGGAAATAAAGACCTTTTTGAATACTGGCAGAACTGAAGTGACTTTTTTCGTTAAGGAAAGCCACTGCTGTTATCCGCGGTTTGACCAATTGTTAGATTCTAGAGAGCGCCGATATTTGCGGTAATCCTTACAAGCAGGGTGAACTGGGTTCTTTGGTATTTTCTTCGTCATATTTTAGGTGTCGTTGGCCGGCCTGCGTGAGGGAGGTTCAGTTTGATCTGCACCGTGTACCGGGATGCTGCCCAAGCAGTATATTCCAGTCTACTAAACTAAGGAAGAGCCGAATTGAAAGTGTTCTCAAGCTAGGGAGTTTTCCAGGTGAGGACTGCCGTACTTGCACGGCATTCATGCGCAGTCTCAACTGCGGAGAAAGATAAATTGCCCGACTTTAAACTATGGATTTATCTGGTGACGGAGATATACGGGAGAACCATTCTGAACGGCTACTTGAAGCCTGTGAGAGTAGCTAACTGAGAGTGTCGTTAAACTTCCCTTTATGTGACGCGCCGCCACAAGGCCTAAGCGACATGGGTAATCGCGGCACTAGCCACACTCGGTGAGTCCTCCGTCAAGGAATAGTAAATGCAGGACGCGCGTATTGTATCTGCAAGTTTAAACCAGTTCATATAAAAACTCTGAATATTAGTTCATATGAGTACTAAGTAAGCAATGCACGCATATCGAATGCGATATGAAATGTGAACACTCATGCGGGCCGGCGCTCCATGGAGCACCTGCCACCTGCACGCCAGTAAAGAATTGTGTTTACTGAATACCTAATTTATCGACATGATATCAAGGTTGGTCTATCGAACCCAATGCTCTGCGGCTTCTGATAATAAAGAGTAGCATGATTCATGAAGTCGGTGACCACGCGGATTCGCGCAGAGGCTACTAATGGAGCTCAGCCCAGTGGAGAATGGCAATGTCTTAATTTTGAGTATGAATGCGTTGATTTAGACGGAAAAAAAGTTGCTGATAGGCTCTAGAAGCCTCAAGACATGATACCCCAAGGCCAACCCCTCGAAATGGCCGAGACCGGGCAGGCCGGGGATTTGCGCATCCGAGTGTCCTCATATACCATATGAACAGGAATTGAGCTGAGAATATTGACCGCGAGCATAGAAGAAAAGCTAGTAATTCCATGATATATCTTTTATTTTTTTTTACTTTTTCTCTTCTTTTTTTGAAGCTTCATGGCTGCCCGCTTCTTGGTATCCGGACTTACCCATCGCCTCACTATCACAAGCGGGAATAGGGCCCACTTACGAAAAAAAAGATCTAGTAGATGGCACAGTGCTCCTTATTTCTATTATAGAAACCTCATATAGGCACTAAGACGCGATCTAAAAAACCTAATTGTTGCCGGACATAAGAGTTGGTTTAAATAACGATAGGTAGACCTAATGTTTCTGTCTGAGGTAGGAATGCCGGTGATGATCGCCGTAGTATAAGATCTGACTCATGAAAGTTTGTGAATTCGTGAGGAAGGTAATTCATGCCCGGGACAGAGAAATCGCGGCGATTAGAGAACTTCCCAAGGAGGTTGATGTATAAGCGATGGGTATTTGAAAGTTATATAGGCCCCATATATATTTCAATAGCGCCCATCTAGTCAGACGCCAGAGGGGTCGCTTCCTTCCAGCGAGCTTTCCAGGTAGAATACTCTGGCCATAGGCCCATATAAAACATCTCTGCCTGCCTCATCCAGTCCGTTGTGATTTCTGGTCTCATTGAACCGAGAACAAGATAGTTCATAGGCTGATGTATATCGACCCCGTGAGACCTTCTACTTGTCCTTTGGGAAGAAATCCGAAAAGACAAAGGGGATAAGTCCTCTCTCTGTGAGCCGGTACGCCCCTACACTAAGGCTATGTTCTGGTTCAAAGGGATCCGATTTATAATTATCTGGTCTGAGTCCTACCTCTGTATTTCGGGAATGCCAAACCAAAGATAAATTTGCTAGGTCATATGTAAAATCCGTCACACCTATCAGCAAGGTGATGACAATCATTACGAGTCCTCGATTTACTTTGGAGGTTAGCGACGCTTAGTTCGGAAAACCCCACCTTTCAATTCAAGGACTAGAACATTGATAGGCTGATGTAATGGCGAATGAAAGTGAATGAGATTTCAGTTTCCGAAAGTCATACTCTGACGAAGAGTAATTGAGAGATGACGGGCCAGTCGTCGATCACCTATTTAGTAAGCGGTAGTAATCATTGGATATGGGTTACGCCATCGTAGGCATGAAGCACTGCAGTGAGCCTTGCTGTTTACTAGAAGCCTTTGTTCCTATGGGTCTCTTTCAACCAGAGTCAGTTTCCCTCCTGAACGTCACAAAAGCGAGAGGTGAGGTTTATCATACTGGGTTGCGTGTGGTTTATATATATGAGGTGCAATCGGATACTGGGATGGAAATGCGGGGTAGTATTAAACTTGTTCTACTTCGCTATACCTCATGATCAAGATAACCGTGTAGGTCTAGATGTCGAGGACGAGTTCTGGTGTCGATATGATTGGTTAAGTCAGCAAAAATGAACATCCTGCAGGTAAGTGGTGCGTACTGGGTTCAGGGAGAACACATATTTGGGGTTCGAGGGATCTATAGAGCCCCAAAACCCCAGTGCAAATGTCCCATTTCGAGCTCGAGACTAGAAGATACCTGATGTTCAAATAAAGTTCCACCTTTATCAGGGTTAATCCAACGTACTAGGTGAGTCTGTCGGGGGTAGTCATCTACTCACCCTCACTAACTCTGGGTCCGAGTGGACAAATTAATGCCTAAACTTCGAGGGTGAGTGTAGCATCAACAGTGGACGAGAGCTCGGTTCAGTCAGCGGCCGAGCGACCTCTCGGGCGTCTCGAGGAGGACTGAGACCTGAACTAGAGAGATCTCAAGATCTAGAGTCAACAGGGTGTGAGATGAAAGACAGAACGATTATCAGGCCGAGAACACCCGGCAACAGGGTAACTTGCAAAGGTGACCGCTCAGCTGGGGATCAATAGATCACAAAAGCGCATTCTCTACTCATAAACGAGATATCGATCATGCGGGCCGTCGATTTTGCCCGTGCATGCATATGCCCGTGCCGACATAATTCTAATCGGTTATGTATTTCTTCATTGTAATTGGACCTGTTCCACTGCGTAAAAGAGGGGATGATGACTGCGACAACAAGACAACAGGGTTAGGTGAATTCAACCACTGAAACATTCTGGTGTCCACACGCATGAGAGCTGGTATTTATAATAATTATGTCATATGATAATGTCAATTGAATTAACTAAAGCTCAGTTTCTAGAGTATATAAAGAACGATATGGACCTACTTTATCGGTTGACTCTGCGTTTGGAATCCCCGTGCGCGTGGATACATGTAGTTATTGATTTTGTATAATCGAACGAAAGCTTTAACGTCAACTTGGGATGCGTCTTATCGAATCACTTACTTACTCGGATTACCCCGCATGTAAGATGACTCCAATCAAGAAATCTAATTAAATTATATATGTACCTACGCGCATAGCGTCTTAAAGACATATATATAGGATATATTCGATCACGAAGTCTAGTGGGAAGATATTTATACAGACACTACCCATACCAAAATCTATAGTTCTATCCTCCTTTTAATCTCATAGTTGATGGGATCGAATACCTAATTAATCGCAGCGTACTGACCCGCCACGGTCTTTACCAACACCTAGCGCCACGAAAGCTGACAAAGCAATAATTATAAGTTCATACCCGTTTCGTCGGGCCCAGGTTTTGTTACCAGCCAGATCGTAGCTATACGAGGCATAGCGTTGCGATTAGGAAGAATTCTTCCATGAACCCTCTACGGGCCTCGTAAAAGACTGTTTCCGATGAAGACTTCATTATGTTTTGGGTTGTTTGGGTTGATGTTTTGAGTTGTTAACTTGTTATGTTGTTGAAGGGGTTTTCGTTGTTTTTATTGCGTCTCGGATTGCGTTTTGGATATCTATGAGCATTGTGATTTATTTCTTGTGGAGATTCTTCGGTTTAAATATGTACATATTCTCTATCATCTCATTTTTCTTTTTTAGGCTTGCATGATACCTCCTGCTAGCCGGCGGGGGGGGACCCCCCGAGCTTGCGAGGCAGGGGAGATCCCGTCTCTATGGTACGCGGTAGCTACTAACCCCTCCGTTCCATTGATTAAGTAAAAAAACGAGAAGGGTAGTGGTATTTCACCGGCGCCGAAGCTCCCACCTATTCTACACTCTAAGTCTTTTCACAACGTCAAACTAGAAAAGGCGACGTCGTCGTGGCGGTTAGGATCATTTTTTGGGTTTTCTGTTTCTCTTTTTTTTTCTGTCTTATTATTTTCCAAGTCGAAGTATGGTTACATATGGATATAAAAAATAGGGATGCAGGTCAGCCGCGGGATCCCTGCTGCGGTGCCGCACCGCGGTACCGGAGTACCCGCACACTTGTATTTTTAAATTTATGTTACTCTTTTATTGTTCAGCTGGCGGCATGTCACTTTCGACTGGTTTCTGTTGGATGCCTTTTTTTTTTTTTTCTTGGTATAAATGTTTTATTAGTCTGTCCTTCTTCTAGTTCATCATGTTTCGTGATGGGTCAATATATTCCTTGTTGTGATGAGTGTGTTCATGCGGTTAATCCGTCTTCCTCCTGTGCGTCTTCTGGCTGTTCTCTGCCTTCCCGTTGTACCCGCTGTCCTAGGGCTCACTGTCTTCGGCATATCACTGCAGCGTGTCCTTGTTTTTTGCATCTTTACGAAAAGGCGGCTGAGACCCCGCCGCCTCCACCTCTTCCTGTTTTTTGTTTCTCCTGTTGTCGACCTTCTATTTGTTCTTCTTGCACTCATTCTCATTGCGAGTATCACACGTCCTCTTCCTGCCCGGGTTATGCTCCTATCTCGTACCCTCCTGCCCCTATGGATTAGCGTTGTTTTTGTTGTACTCGTCCTAGAATCTGTCAGTCTTGCCCCAGAGGGCACTGCTCGTTTCATCGTTCTTCCCGGTGCAAGACACCCCGCGAATCATGGTTTTTTTAACAATAGAAAACAGGAGGGGACTCCCGAAGGTCAGGGCGGGGTCCCCTCTGGGGTGCCGTACCGCAGTACTAGTTCTGGGCACGAGCCGAGCCGGGTCAAACTTTGGGCTTGAGCTTTAGGCTCGAACACCTCGAGCTCTCCTTCTCACGAGTCTAAGCCAGCTCGGAGCAATATTGGAAAATCTCGAGCTTAGGCTCGAGCCTTTGGACTAGTATTAATGGGTTGATTTATATGGTAAAATTAGATAATAGAACGGGGGTAAATCCTCCGAGTTCGTCCTTCAAATTGAAAAGTATATCGAGATGACTATTTTAACTACATGTATATTAATGAGAGCTCGAGCCATACTCCCGGGCTCGAACATTCCCAGCCTTCGTTAGCACAATCCGAGCCAGCTCGAGCTCTAGGTGTGGCTCGTCTCGAACAGGCTCGTGCCCAACACTACGCAGTACCCGTTTTCTTTTTTCTTTTCGTCGGTTTTTATGTTTTTACAATCTTTTTTTTCTATATTTTTATTATTATCTCCGACCACCGTTGACAACAATAGGGTTTGTGAACAAAAAAGACCTTTCAACCTGCTAGAGGTAATGATTATGCTTCGGCGTCACGCAAGGTAACCAAATCCAAGGTACCTTGATAAATGGACATGACATATATATGGCATTGATTCCAGAAACGTCGAAAATACGGTGCTAGTGACGTGGGTTAGTATTAAACACTGCAATTCCAGAAAGGTTAATTCGCTCCCGGGTTGCAAGCTCTGCACTAATAACTTCACCTTCAGGCTGTTCCTTTGGAAATGGGTACAAAATTAGGATCGAAACAATAAAGAGACTTCCAATTTGCTCCAACCTCAAATAACTTCACTTTTGACACGCATCACTGCTTGACGTGTCTAAGCAAAGAAAACAGCCCAGTTGATCTATTTAAGCTCAGCTACCTATTAACCCACCTCGCTAATTAAGATAAAATGCCCATGGCCAAGGTAAGCTCCTGCCGTACAAGTCTTTTTTAGCCATGAAGCTACGCCCTAAGGGTAATACATGTCGCTGGCAATCTCTTCTACAATGTTATAGACTTGCTCAAGGCTTTCCACGAAATCACCCGAGCTTCCCTTTTCCCAATCATTGGCAACGGCGCTCTCCCTTACTCTCTCGTCGACCAAGATAGCATTCCAGCTTGCATTCTGAGCACCCCAGAAATCCTTACGATAATCATCACCAGCATGCACTGGCACCAGCATACCGTAATCATCTTCTGGGTTCAAGTCCTTCCAGATCCTTCGTGCAGCGTCAAATATTTTACGATCAGGCTTCTCACAGCCAATATCGTATGAAAAGGCCACGAAATCAATCAACGCGCTGTCGCCCACACCTTTCTCAGGATGTGGTTGGCCTGGAACAGTAGACTTGTACTCGCGTACTCCTATTCCTAGATCGTTCAGGATTGATATTACGCGGTGGTCGGAGTTGGTGATGACCCCCAGCGTGACCGTATCGTACTGCGTGTCTTGCCTCAGGCGATTCAAAAGCGGGAGGACATCTGGGAAGAGTCTATAGGCTTCTTTGCTGGCGAAGCGATGGAGAAGTGCGTGTGCTAAGGAAGGAGGAAGAGGTGATTTGGTTAAAGGGGTGAATGTATTGGTTATTACCTACGTTAGAGATTAGACACATGATTAGTCTTTGATATAGAAAGGCTGCACGTAGGGAGACACACGCTGGTCCACCATTGCTCAGGTGTCATTCCAGACTTCTTTCCGTAGTTAGGATTCTTTGAGGCCTGTTGCTTGAAGGCTAGGTTCCATTAGCAGGTGGAACACCAAAAAGAACGTAATAGGAGCCCGCAGTGGTTAAAAAGCGCTTGAATAGGGATGTAATCAATCTTCAACATATCTGGCACTGGCTTCGTCTCGCTTCAAATCTTAGATGGGTATCTGATATCTGTACCTGGTGCTGCTGCTCAATATGAAGGTAGAGACGTTCTTGCTATAGATAGCCCCCTATTGCTCAGGGGTGTATTGGTATTTATGTTCTTTTGATTTATCAAGTCATGATTGGCCCTCAAAAGTATATATAATTTCAACGGAAAAAAAGCCAGGAGAGTTGTTGAACCGGGTAAGTTATAGCCGGACATTTGACGTATAAATGTAATGACATCACGTATACGTATGGAAAAGTGGATAACAAGAATTACGTTCTGAAATGAAGCAATTCTCAAGTGGAGAGAGTCTTATTACCTTGCTTGAATGTCACTTGAATGTCAGATTCTTCCACACCTGTTATGCCATGCTCCCATGCCACATGAGCATACTGGGCGGCAATCGAATCCTTCGGCTCGAAGAGCGTCCCGAAAGCATCGAAGGTCAGTAGTAGGTTGACTTTAGGACGAGAAGACTGCCAGGGGCCATAGTTTCTTCGACCAATATGTCTGATCCGACTGATCGGTTGAAATGCCCTCATGATTTGAGAATTTAGCGGCGGGGTAGGGCGGCTGGGTCTTCCCTGGAGGTCGGCCAATTATTCCCAGTAGAAATGCAATCGATCTGCTTCGAAGTCTTGGATCTTCCAGCAATATGGGTTCTCTGGAGTGTCTTCCAGCCGTTCTGATATATGAGATCGCACAGCTCCAAGTGTGTGGGCCGAAGGAGTCCACACACATTTAAAGAGGAGGTGCAGAGATCGACTTTTTCGGCGTGTCGTTAACGTTGTCTACATATGTCTTGGCCGATAAATTAATGCTCCGCACGCTAACCATGTTTGTCATAAAAGATTGGGCGTTTCTACTGAGCAAGAGTCACTCGAAGCAGACCCGAATCTGAGTATGTTGTAATCATATCGCAGAGGTACGAAAGGATGTGAACTTCGGCTGTTGACCATTGTGCTCCTATACTATAAGAGGAAATGGATAGTTGAGTAATTACTTATGTGATCCAGACTTATTTTCACTGACACACCTCCGTCTAGGTAAGTTAATCTAGGGCTAAAACCGAGGGCATTTTTTCCTCTTCGGGAGAGCTAAAACTGAGGGGTAAAATCCCAGAGATTTTCTATTCTTTCTATTTACCACCTCAGTCCTCGAGGCCTCCCCATCCTACCCTTTGAATCGTTTTCAGCTTGGTGAACTTATTCTTGCCACCACTCCTTTTCTTCACCACAACGATCGAGTGCTCTAGCACCTTTCGTTTTCAAGTTGAATTTTCAAAATCTCAGAGGCTCAAATTTTCTATCTGCGAGAGCGAGGAGTGTTCCCTGCGCATCCACAGACGGGATGACTTGGTGAAATTCACTTTTTGACCCAGTCATAGCCGAGAGTATTGTGTGAATTGTCTATCAATATAAGTTCGCCATTGAGCAACGCTCACTATACACACGCGTCCATCATGTCTTCATCGCATTTTTTTCCGCAGGCAGTACAAACTGCGGGTATTCCCAGGATCCCGCCGATGAACGACAACAATATTTCGGCGACAAACGGGTTCCAGCCCACGATCCTCACGAGCAATGTTCGAGTGCCACCTGGTCACATTGAAAGAGTAGCGTCGGCACGTGCTAACGGCAAAATACCAATTAATTCACTTCTTAGCAGTCCTCAATCGCTTCTGGCACCTCCACCCAGGACCAATGCCCAAGCAAGGACAGCAAGGAAATCAGCGTTTCATGTGAGTCCCTCATCCCGAGGAGACAGCGGGTATAGCACATCACCTAGTAGAACTAGTGGCCGGAAGTGTGTTTCTGGTTCTAGTTCAGAGGGGGACAAGAAAGAGAGCGACTCTTTGTCAACGAGTGAAGTATCCACTGGTTCGCCGATTCGAGTCCAAGCAAAGAATTCACTCGAAAATCATAAGGTAATTTCATGTTGGCAAAGTTTGGCTTGGTTGAATCCATCCCGCTAACCACACCCTGCAGCACACTCCAAAAAAATTCCCTCTGCCCCCTAAACCACAACAAATCCAGCAAACACCACAACCACCCATCAACAACGAAGATAGTGGCTCTACGATGCCCGCGGCAGCTTCCTCTGCTGTACCTGCCTCCGAGGCGGCAGCAGCACCATCGGCAGTAGCAGCACCCTCCAAATCGAGTAGCACGAAAAGGCTACAGCTCGTATTATCCGAAACAATTTCTTCAACGAAACCGAAACGGCAAAAGGTCGCAACTGCAAAGGCTGCTGCTCTTGCGAAGGAGCCCTTTATGAATGCCGATGGCACTGCAGTAAAGAAGAGAAGACCTCCAGGAGTTATGTCCGAGAAAGAAAAGGCAAGAGAACGTAGGAAAGCTAAAGCTATCAAGGGCTCCGGGAGGTTTAGCCTGAGGGATACAATTGAGCCCATCACGGGCGCGACAATAAACGTTGCCGCCAAGCCTCAACCCGTCGCGCATCTCCCTCGCCTCAAGCATCTTCCGCGAGGTCCCGTCGTCCCCACCTTGCCGCCTCGTTATGAGGTTCCTAGGGACCGCTACCTGCAAAGGCAACCCGTCTCTAACGTACAGCAGGAAACAACTAACTCTTCAATCCCTCCTTCAGTATCCCATGAACCCATGATCATTGAGTTTAGTGCCAATCCCCAGGCTGCCATACCGCACCCTCCGCCCAAAACCAAGTCAAAAACACCAAACCGCTCGGCTTCCTCTCGCGCTCCATATAAAGCGCAAGGGAATAGTGTAACCGAGGCTATTTTAATAGACTCTTCTCCATCCTCCGTGGAGAAAAACAAAGATAATCGATTTAACCTACAAAATGAGAAACGAAGAGGGCTAGAAAAGCCTCCCGTTTACAATATTCCTTCAGATAGCGATGACATTACAATAAACTTACCCTCCCCACAGTCCGGAGAGGACACGCGACGAACGCAGAAAAAACAATCTTCGAATACCCCAAGTTATGCTGGTGGGTGCTTTCAACTTTCTTTTGTCCATCATTTTCGGTAATGAAGAGAGCCCTTTCTGTTACGCTTTCAATAATGTCCTCTACCCATTGATTGATGGAATCATGTAACCTACGAAGTTTCCTTTCCTGTAGAGCAGTAAGGACCGTGATTCCTGTTGGGTAAAGGGTATCGAACGGCAATAACCTTTACCGAGCGCAGTTCGCAGCACTAGGCATTTCTGATAAACCCGGCTAACCAAACTCATTTAGGATTAACAGGGGCATTGAGTGTGACGGATATTTTATTTACGAAGTGTGTTTCGCCTCAAACACCGCCAGGTACGAACACCTTGGAGAATTCAGCTAGCAAACCTTCCTAAACTAACCATGGTCAAAATCTCTTTAGATGAGCGCAAGCGCCTATGTATAGGCATTGAAGACATCATCCAAAGGTTAGAGATTCAAAAAGACCAGAGCAAAGCTTTACGACATCACATTACGTGGTCCGAAAACCGAGCGTACCCTACATCAGAGAACCTTGCAGTACTTTTGAGACGTTTATGTGTAGTAACAGATGAAGGGTCAATTGTCACCTTCGAATGTTGGAAGGAAGATAAATCAAGGTTTAAAGGCCAATTCATACTACCTGAAGATGCAGAACATGCACAGAGGTCTTGTGAAAAGAGATCTGAAGGTGTGCCACCTGAAATCATCGAATCTTCGGCAGTGAGAGAAGAACCGGGTAAGACATTGGCCGCTGAGGTGCCCAAATCTCATATTCCAGAAATCATCTCTGCCTCAGAAATATTGTCAATCCCAAGATCGCCTGGTATTTCTAGGAGAACCTCGATTACTTCAGATAGTGGTAGCAGCCACTATTCTGTGCCTAATGCCCAAGAAACGGGAAATGCACTTGAACAATTGGTAGGACGAAAACCACGGAGAACTGAAGGCTCCATCGCCAGTGATGTCGTACAGCTAGTTGGGTCACTCAGCTCACCTTTAAATTTACAAGAATCAGTACTATCTGAGGGATCTACAGAACCCATATGTTCAACCGAGTACATCGAGGAACAGACTCTGGGGACTAGTGATGACTCCCAAGAGGAAGAAGGTTTACCAGGCCCAATGGCGGAGAATCCCGAGGTTGTTGCAGAACAGGAGAAAGAGGAGTTACGAAGTCAAATCGCAGAGAATCCAATGGTTGCAGAACAAGATGAAGAGGGGTTAGCAAGTCCAACCGTGGAGAATCCAGAGGTGGTTGCAGAAGAGGAGGAAGAGGAGCTATCAAATCAAATGGCGGAGAATCTGGTGGTTGCAGAGCAAGAGGAAGAGGGTTCACCAAGTCCAATCGTGGAGACTCCAGAGGAGGTTGCAGTGCCCTCAAGTCCGAGTAATCAGATTCAAGAAGAGAATGCCGCTTCGGCCACTACCTTGCAGGGTTCCGCCACAACTGTGGCCAAGTCTTTCGTCTCAAACAAGCGTAAAAGGAAGATATTCGAACGTTTCACCGTCGAGGACCTTTTGAGTGAATCAAAATGTGATAAAGCACTACAGTTACACCAGGCATCTCTCCTCCTCAGGAAACGTCAAGAAAAAGACGATGAATACTTCCCCAGGATCCTCCGTCTCAACAAAGCGGAAAATGATGTCAAAGCTGAACTTGATGCTCTCAACGCATCAGCTAAATCTCAAGAGCTCTACTATCAACGCAGAATTGATGCTTCATTAAAAGTCACAAATGATGGAGGCCAAGCCAATTGGGAAGAATATCGCGAGCTCATAAGGAAGAGAGATAGCCTTCGGGAAGACTATACACGCGAAACCGTGCGTCTTGTAGATAAAGCCTCGAAGATTGCGGCTGAGAAGGCCTGGTGTCTCTCTCAAAGGAAAAAAACTGTGGAAGAGCTTGACATCCCCACCCAGGATAAGGGGCCGAGCGACGGGAGTACCACACCAACAGCTACAAAATCCGCTTCATCAGTGTCCGATTTGATGGATGCGGGCTCAGACCCAGTTCCTTTCTCTATAATGGATCATTTCCCTACGATGGATCCTATCCTCGCAGAAACGGAGATCGAAGGCTATAGCATGGCTCGAGAATTTTTGAAACGCTTGATTCCCTGGGCCACAATGCAACCAGAGCCGGCCCCGGACCCTTCCCCTTCCGAGCTTGAAGCCGCCGCCGCTATTGCCGCCGCCGATGCGAAGAAGAAGATGCGGAGGAAGAAGAAGTTGAGGTGGTGAATGACCGCAATTATGGTAGATTGACTGCTGAGAGAGCATAGTGATATCATTTTGGCATCGTAAATCTTAACTATCAGGCAAGCTCCGTCAGGGACCGTCAAATAAATACTGTTTTCATTTGTAATTTCTTTTTTTCTTGTTGCTATACCTCTGCATGACTTGCTTTTTCTAATGAGTGAAATGAAGATCGAAGCTTAAGGGCTATGATCGATGTTATTGATATAGTTGGTGTCTGTTCATGCAATTCTCTTCTTCCCTTCTTTCTTTCTTGGAGCGTTAGATTCCTCTCATCTCTTCTGTTTTATTGCTCTTCTGCAGTTTTCTTTTTTACCAGGGGCGTCTATTGTGTTCCAGGTCATTGACATGGCCTTGATCGCTACTGTTATTTCTATCGTTTTGTTAGTGAACGCGGCTATTTGGTCACCATTGTTCCTCCTATATGTAATTATCCCCGAGTAAGAGTAGTCCGTAGAACCTAGGTATTCGCATTGACGAGTCCGCCATATCCGCAACTTCTTGCTGGAAAATATACTTAGATTAATTATAGAGGTTATCAATAGACATTAACTCAGATATTTCCCTGAGTTCACAAACTCCAAGCCCTTCCGGTTTTTTAGTTGAGACCTCGCTGTTACCCAGTCCTCATATCAGGTCACGGCACGCCCGAAGCCCCAAGCCCTAACAGCGGCCGCCAAAAAAAATACACTCGAGGATCACCACCGCAAACCGTCGTCCCCGAGCCTATCCTCAAGAATAGGTATAAAGACATATCCAGCGCGTCTACTGCTAAAATCTACGGCTTCGGCCTCCAATGTGGAGTGGGGAACTGTGGGGTTGCGTTTTTCTTCGTAGTCAAGGAGGCTGTTATGGGATGCGCACCCAGTGCGCACATGTGGCGCTCAGCTGGTGACTTCGGAAGAATTTACAACAAGCTGTGGAATAGAGGGAAAGGACGTTAAGACTTAGGTATTTATTAAGATAGTATCTTAAGAGAGTAGAGATATGAACAAGAGGCAGAATTTACAGTGCGGGCGCGGTTCGGCGGCCGGTGGCTTCGGGCGGGGCGCAGTAGGCAAACGGGGGATTCCTAAATTTTTAGGAGAAACTCGACAGACCGAGAGGATCTATCGAGGAGTGGTGAATGGAGAATTGGGACGATGGAGAACAGATATATCACCTCATACAAGAGCAGGGGAGATTTTTGCGCTGCGCGTGATATCTTGCGGGGTAGGTTTTTGACAATTATGATGAAATAACCCCCCACAATTGATCCAAATCCCCATAATAAGCAGTATTGCTTCTACTACATACTGATATTAAGGTTAACTCTTAGTAGGTATCTATCTCGTCAGCCCACGGGCTCTCTATGGATCCATCTGAGTCTAGCTTAATTAATGAGGTATTAATTATTGCCGATTGTAAGTTAATACTTCAGCGCTCTCGCAGGACATGATGAGCTGTCAAAAACACTCGGGAGAGTAGTTCTCATGCTTTCCCACTTGGGCGTACAAAATCTATTTGTATCCTGTGAATATCCTGATTGGTCAGAGGCAAGCATGCTGCGGAGAATATCTATTGGTCAAAGCTGACACCAGCAGAGCGCAAAGAGTAGATATATCTCTCTCCCTGCTTGGCTTTCTTTAAAACATTCCCGGGAGTAGTCATCGATACTAACGGGTAATAAAACAATTACAGAGCCTTACTATCGCGTGTTCGAAGATGTAATGATTGCTGAGCGATCGCACTAGGTTCAAAGGTTGAATTTGAACAAACACTGAACCCCCTTGGGTAGACAGCTGTTTTCCAGCTCATGAAGCCTACCTACCATGGTCCATGAGATCCCGGGATTGAGTGGCCTATTTAATCTCCTTGGTCGTCAAAAAAGCTTCACGTTATGATAGTTGATTCGGGGATAAGAGTTTGATATATACAGACGAATTGTGCTGTTTCTAGAAATAAAACACTGTCATTCGCACTAAAACAGTGGTTACAGGAAAATAAGCTCTGTATCCGCCAGCAGGCTCAAATTTGAACCAAACAAACCATCTCAGAAGCCCCCCCACATTCTATTACCAGTGCGCCAAAGCAACATAACCCCACCGCTCGTCTATCTGCACCCCATCCCCTTCTCTCCCAAACATCTTATCGACTTCAAACCTCTCCTAATCATCCGTCACAATTACCTCTATCTTCGAAACCCAGGGACATATATCAAAATGTTCCGAAGCACCACCGACTATGGCTCACCCACCACCCCGTTCCGCGAGAACACCACCGGCCACAATGTGACTCCTCCGGCCAATTACCCCATCCACAAGTATCCGAGGTATTCCACCTACAGGGCTTGCCCGCCCCGTTTCGTGTACAGCCATATGTTCCGCGACTGCAACAGACTTATCGACTTTCGACTTCCGGCAGTGGTGAGAAACCCACCCATGCCCCGCTACTGGCGCCGCGGTCATGTCCCAACGGTCCATACAGCAACTTGGGATCCGCGCATGAGGTTAACCGCATATGAGATGCTGCTAAGGTGGATCCGCACAAAACCGATCGACAAAGAGAAGGGGATTCTTCATTGGTTGTGGGAGGCAAAGAAGGATGGGGTTGAGCCGGGAATCGTCGAGTTTGATTGGGTTACAAATTCTGGTTCCGGTCCTAATTGGAAAGAACTCAAGCAGTGGTTGGTGGAGCAGATTGGGGTTGAGAAGGGGAACGTCAAGATGCAAGATTTTGTATTCGACGAGAACTCGAGCCTGGGAGAGTCGTCGGACGAGTCGCAATGCTCCTTGATGGAGGCTGTTGTCAAGGATCCAGAGAGGGAGGCAATTTGGGCGGATTTCATCGGAGACTTGTCTTCTCATCGGATCGATGACCGCCCTCACTCTGAGGATAGTGGATTGAGGGAAATCGATGATGTTAACGAGCTTGACGAGCTTGACTGGAAAGAGTTTTCAGTTTACTCACAGAAAAGGACGGGTGTTGGATGTGATCTTGAATTGAAAGCACGGCTCGATCGAGTAGTTCAGTGCAAACCTTCTGATGATGGGAGTGAATCCGATGAGAGCGAATCTGATCATGATACTATTGACCAAAGAATGCCAAGTGAGTGAAGCAGCCCCGATAGAAAGGGGAAGCACTAATTTGTGGGTGAAGGAAAGCATAAAGTTTTCTATAAAGCGGCTTAGATCAGATAGAATCAGACAGAAGTCTTCATATCTTGGGATAGAGAGTCTACATGAATCCGCATTAATAAACATAAACATATTTGTTTCTTCGATAGGTATTGAACATCTTGAGATACTCAAGCTTCAGAAACCAATTAGCTAACTTGTATGTAGGGTATTAACAATTATCAATGTTAGATAGAGTGTGTGCTCTATAAAGCCGCTCGATATGGGTAGAGGCCACTGTATTGATTTATGTCTTTTGGGGACATGATTTATCTTGTCTGCCAAATACAGAAGATACCTTGCGGATCGGAGGAACTCGAGGCATTCAATGATAGAATATCTGATATTTGTTAAATGTTACTCTTGTCCTAGGAATTGTGAATTTATACTGCATTCAGGAAATACAAAAGGGTCTATCCTTGAGTTGAATACAGATGAGCCTAGATAGTTGTGAGCTGATGACCTCCGAATTAATCACGGGGCCAAAGTACATACTCTAGGAGGATAGCCATCTAGATTTCGTGTCTATATCTTCGAATATTGACTATTAGGTAGAGCAGACAATTTCATTGCGAATATTAGGACACAAGAATTCTAAAATAAGGTCAGAGGTTTCGGTATTATAAGTGACGTGAATAAACATACGCGATAAGATCTGTCCTAATGTGATATCCGTTTCTAGGGCAATATTGGTGGCAACATCGGGAATCTGGCGCCATCTCTCGAAAGATCGAGTGAGCTTGCAAGGTATGTCTTCCTGGCCTATCGTAGGCCAGTACACCTGTAAGTGCCTATCATAGGCCGGTACACCTGTAAGTAGACCACGTTGCCGAGAGAGATATGTTTCAAGAGTTCCTTCTTCACGTATCGCTCCCGATTAGCTTCTGAAATGGAATGGCAAATATCAATGAGAGAATAGCTATAGCTGCGCGTGGTTGTATCTTGGCATACAATTCGCATTGCTAAGTAGATAACCCTCTCTCTTCCTGAATTCACTGCATTCCCGAACGGATTAAACATCTCTGATTTTAAAGTCATAAAGAACCGTCAAGGACATCTTATAACATGACCGCTACGTATACGTAGCAAGCTGGCGATATCTTAGTAAACTGGATCGAGCATTTTCTCCCTTACCAGCTCTGAACTCTAGCTCTCCAATTGATGACGGTCGTATGTTACATCTATTACTTACAACTCGATTTTTTTTGGTACACTACACTCTGCCCTACCTGCAATCTCAAAGGTGACGCCAAGAGCGCCAGGGCGCCAAGCCCTATATAACTTTACAACCACAGGTGCTAGGAAAGGTCCGTAAAGACAAAGGCTGGGTATCATAATAAAGAAGAGTTTTTCTTTACCGGATTTCAATATCTATTGTGGTTGTGGAGTTATAGAGGTCTTGGCGTTCTTGTCATGGCCACCGAGCTTTAAGACTGGGCTACCTGGACAGTGATATCATGCGCACCTGTCACGCACCGGCGACCAGACTGGCTGATGCTCAACAACATTTACCTGGGTCTTTACCTATAGCGCAGATACTTCACGTGTATGCAAGGGCGGATCAATAATTATATCGCGGAAACGGACGCCAAACATGCGCAGTTCCTTATTAAAAACCCCTGTTCGTTTATTCCCTCTTTAGTAGATTTCGTAATCAACTCCTGCTGATTCGACAATAGTTTCGTGTAACCCTGCCTGCCTGCCGTTTGGTGTCAAGAAGCTTACATGTAGCTACATGTACCGATAACCACAGTGCAGCCTTGTCAGAGTCCTCCATTACAACAGTCTCCAGAATGTCAAGCTCCACCGAAGTCCCCCGTATTTTCGTCATTGGCGCAGGTTCTCGAGGTTCCGCATACGCATGGGCAATCAAAACAGGTACTCCCGGCACCATAGTCGGTGTCGCCGAACCGGTGGAATTCAAACGGGATTTGTTCGCGTCGAAACACGCTCTTGACGTTAGTGCGGGGTTAGTGTTCGAAGACTGGAAACATATGATCGCAACAGAGGAGGCTAGAGAAAAGTTGAAGAGGGAAGTGGACGGGATTTGCGTCTGCACACTTGATGAGACTCATTGTGAAGTGAGTGTTTATGTTGACTAGCTTTCAAGCCTGGTCTGGATACGAGTATACCCTCACGTTATGTTACTAAACATTCGAAAGATCGTACTAGCTCTTCGCCCTCTCAACATTCACATTCTCTGCGAGAAGCCACTCAGCACAACTCTAGATTCTTGCGTGCAGATGTGCCAAGCTCTCAACTCAAAAAAGCACGAACCCATCATATTCGCAATCGGACATGTGCTACGATATTCCCCCCACAACATGCTCCTCCGCAAGCTCCTTTGTGACGATAAAGTAGTTGGTGACATCGTCAATATAAACCACACCGAACCTGTCGGGTGGTGGCATTTTGCCCATAGCTACGTCCGGTAACCACCCTGACTTTCGTCTCTACACATGCAAGCTCCTGACACTTACAGCGGTAACTGGCGCAAAACGTCCACGTCCGCCCCATCTCTCCTGACGAAATGTTGCCATGACATAGACCTCCTCTTATGGCTTCTTTGCTCACCGTCTACCTCTGCTCGCCCACATCTTCCAAGCTCTATAACATCCTCTGGCTCACTCGTACACTTCAAACCCAGCCAGAAGCCCCTCACAGCAGGCGCTGCAACCAATTGTTACTCATGCCCTGCAGCCGAAACTGAATGCATCTTTTCGGCAAAGAAGATCTACGACGAGTTTAACCTTGCGCAAGGCAATAAAGGCTGGCCAGTTAAGATCGTAGTCCCAGAGATTGAAGAAGCACCTTCAATCGCGGACGCACAGACGATGCTAAAAACAGCGCTGGAAGCGGACTACAGCACTGATAAAGAACAGGGAGATAAAAGCTACTACGGGAGGTGTGTGTATGAGGCAGGTAACGACGTCGTGGATAACCAGGTTGTCACCATGACCTGGGATGACGACGGACCAGCGGGCCGAGGTGCAAAGACAGCTACATTGACTATGACAGCATTTTCGAAGCGGATTTGTGAGAGGTTTACGAGAGTATACGGCACTTTGGGTGAGGTGGAGGCGAATAGTAATACTATCACAGTCCATGACTTTAGAACGGGACAGAGCAAGGTCTATAGACCGTGGGTAGATATGGTTAGTGGACATGGCGGTGGAGATGGCGGACTGGTCGGTGCTTTTGTGCGAGCGATTATAAAGGTTGGTGAAGGGTGGACAGTGGAGGAGGCTCAGAACAAGGTTGTAGGTGTGACGGTTGATGATGTGCTCAGGAGCCATGCAGCGGTGTTTGCTGCGGAGGAGGCTCGGCTCGGGAGGAAGGTTGTGGACTGGGATGAATGGTGGAACAGGGAGGTAGGACAGGGGGCGTAATAGACTTTCGTGAGGTAGGGGATGACGGTAAGAGGTCCATGAAGTTTTGGTGAGAATTGTGTATCGCAGGTTTTCTTTTTTCTTTTTTCCCTATGTTTTATTGATTTTGATAACAGTGGAAAGCGGCCATGTTATTCGATAAATGAGTGATTACTCAAGATTCAGTTATGTCGCTACATGTACGTATGTCTTGGCACTCTAGATCTGCGACCAAACCCGTCATGCACCCCCTCCTCTAAAAGATGACTGGCCCATAACCAGTGGGTATCCAGTCCTAAAATCCACGAGCACCAGACTGGACGGTCACGACTGCTAGCAAACGTAACCAAATATTATACCTGCATGACCTGTCTGAAACACCGCTGGAAAAACCCCATGTTTCATTCCCGGTGACATTGATTTTCTAGGTGCATGCTAAGGCTGGCTAGCAACTCATAATGCGAAATCAAACTTTGAAACTAATCTGGGGGTTCAAATAACGGTGGTGAAAAAGCTGTCGCATTTTCTGCCTCCATGTTTCATTTTGTCTTATTACCCATCAGGATACTAGCCTGAGTGTTAGCAACGAAACGATGAGTATCTCTTTCTTGCAAGTGGGTAGTTGTAGTAGTGACCGAATCTACCTAAAGCCGAAGCTCCAGAGTGAGCCATTTCCGCGTGGTTACTCAGAATACATGCAGGTCGATACAAGGAAATGATAATATGATACGATAGATAGTCATTTGATTGGCTTTCTCTTTGTTCTCGCTCCGATTTCACCCAGATACATAGCATTTGAAAACCGAGTGATACACCATGCAGATATCTGTCTCACACGACCACTCTTATTTTTTTCACAAAAGGTCTAGCTGCCATCTACACGTTCCTTCATTCACGGAGCGGAGAAAGACGTTTAGCCCCCTCTTGCTTTGAAAATGACAGTGGTGTCTTCTTAATTACAGGACAGGGGTACGGAGAAAGCCGAGTGATATTCTATGATGATATCACCCTCCCGTAGTGTAGTACTTCAGGCATCTGAATATCCAGAGCTCCTGATTTCCTATTTCCCGGGATGAAATGGGCTCATACAGGACTTATATAACGCCTGCAGGGCCTAGGGCGTTGTGGTCATGCGCGCGAGTTGGTCTATCACATCATGTGCATATTAGATTTAGGATGAAGTGAGGGTTCAGGTGTAGAGTAATGTTAAGCCCGATCAACGAATATCACTCACAGCCTTCATTTGGCACGCTGGATTCCCTTTATATATTTCCAAGAATGGATACCGCACTAGTAAAGAATCGGACAACTGAAATCTCCTCCGCGGCTAGGAATCAGTCTTGGCTAGTATGTTGAATGGAATACAATCATTATTACATCATAACAATTCTTTTGAGCATTTGGTATAAGTTGGTTAGCATTATAGATGTTGGTACGATTCCCCTTCAAGGAGTTCTCACACAGCATTTGGAGTTGTGATGGAACGGACTTGTGCGGCGTGTGCGACGGTGCGGATATATGAGATAGAATGACGACAATGACAAGTACATGTATATGTGTTTATATCCCAATACCATTGTAGTGAAAAGGGTGGTTCTACAACAACTCTCTCGGCTTTATAGTTGTTGTGATACAGTACTGCTAGAGATAGTGCCATTTCTCCGAACCTTATATACATATATACCCAAGCGCTGAAAACATCCGGCGTTATACAACTTATCGTATCCTCCTGTCCCTCATCCTATTATCCATACCACTCTGAACTACTTCATAAGCCTTCAAAAATTCCGCTCCTATCAAGAAATACCGGCATGAATTACACCGGGAACTCAGTACTGTTTTTTAGTCCAAAATACATTTTTCCCTCCTTTTCATCTCTCGTCCGGGTCGTTGTTCTCCCGAAGTTTGAATTCTTTGCATCACAAGATGTCTAGAGATATATTGATATTGTACTGTGGTGTGCCTTGTGCCATATTCTCGGCGGGGGAGCGGGGGAGCGGGCGCCAAGACGTGAGGTAGTACTAGTTAGTAAATTATGATTGGTCATGTGTCCCGCCCTCGAGGCCGGCGGAGAAGTCTTTTTTTGTTTCCCGTGGTCTTTTAGAGCACGGTGCAAATTTTTGTTTGTCACGGGCCTCGGACTAAACTATGTGGTTAGTTATATTTCCGTATGAATATAGGTACCTATCTCGTTGTAACTAGAGTAATAAGATATTCAGCAAATGAGACATCGCGAGGTGTTCCGGATGTTACCGAACCGCAACGGCGGGTACTTTGATTGGGCGGGGTTCTCTTTTTTCCTGCCCTCACGAGTAGAAGTGCAGAAAGTTCAGATGAAAGCCAGGAGCTGAAATTTAGTGTTTTTAAAACGGACTGCTATCGCATCCACGCTTTTTGCACGGCACGCATTCCAACAGTCAAAAAAGAGTAGGTATACGTACCTGAGTTGTACCTACCTCCCACGTCTGTCACCTGTAGTAGTGGGATGGCGCTATTCTTCCGTCGTGTGCTGTTTCCTATCAGTGCCAAAGAATAGCGATACCACCTGAAAAATCTCTGTCTTCTGACTGCCTTGCCAGGTACAATGAACCCCTCTTGTTCGTGTTTGGAGGTGTTGTACTTTAAAGTCACAGGGGTAGACATCAACAGTTGTCACCTGTGCCTGGGTTAATCCATGGCGCAACTCAGGGACCATCCCCCACAAAGGGCAAGGACCGGCCCCAGAATGTCCGCATTGGTCTATACCGCCCGGGATCAGTAAGCCACGCGGGGTGAGATGTCAACATTCCATGCTTGAGAACCTCCATTTCCACATCATCATCGCGAACAGACGGCCAAATTCTCATTGCAGAGAAAGATTTAGATATATAAGACCAAAGCCGAATCGCCCATCATGTTGTTCTCAGCAGCAGCCCAAGTCTTCCTCGACCAGACAGATATCCGAGCAACAGCTATGAAGTTCCTCAAGGCTCTCCCGTTCCTCTCAAGCCTCTTTTTGCTACCGGCAGTGTCACCAGCAGAGTATGTCTTCACGTCTTTCACAGAGACAAGTGAGCGCGACATGTATATCTGGGGTTCCTCCAATGCGACCTCATGGGACCTCATCAAAGGCCCTGCCTATGTTCGTCTATCCCTTACTCCATCCCCTAGTATTTCCTTTTCTCCAGACTAACAACATCCAGACGCCCGCCACAGGCCTTCTGCGAGACCCCAGTATAATGCTCAAAGATGGTACGTACTATGTTGCGCACACCACTGGCTGGACAGGTAGGACCTTTGCCCTCATCACCTCCACCGACCTCTTGTCATGGACTCCCTTCGCCACCATCGAGATCACCAACACCACCATCACACGCACATGGGCGCCCGAGATCTGGAAGGATCCAAAGACGAAGAAAGTACATATAATCGTCTCGTTGGGGACCAATAATCCGGATTTCACGACGAATCTGTATACGGCAACTAACGATGCGCTGACGGAGTGGGAGGGCCCTGTGGTGATGGAGGGTATCCCGAGTAATTACATCGACACAGTATTGGTGTATAAAGACGGTGTGTACCATGCATTTACGAAGGGGGTGCCGAATACAGAGCATGCGGTGGCGGATAACGTCGAGGGGCCTTATACACTTGTGCAGACTGGTATGTACCTTCTCCCCACAGGTTCGGAATTGAAGTTGTGCTGATAATAGTGGTATTGTAGGTGACTTTGCTGGGTGGGGTGAGATGGAAGGGCCTACGGTCGTGAGATTGGCAGATGGAAGGTATAGGATCTTTGGAGACCGGTATAAGGAGTCGAGATATATCTATAGCGACAGTTGGGATCTGTACGAGTGGACGGCGCCGCAGGATGTCCCGCAATTGTCGGGGGTGGTGAGGCACGGAACTGTAATCAGGGTGGATAGTGAGGAGTATGATGATAACGAGTCATGACGACAAAAGGTTTCCTTGTAGTTGTAAATACATAATAATACACCTTGTATTTAATAGAGAATTGGTTGGGTTTACGCCCTACCTACCAAAGTGATTAGATAACGTTAAAGAGATGATTAGGAGAAAACTCATCGTGCGAAAATTGGCAAGCTAGAATTCTATCCCCCAAGGTAAGACGGAGGTGACCCCGTGAAAGCTTTGGGTCACGCCAGGTCCTCAATTTTTGAGATGGGGCGGCCCATCTCCGTACTTGGCCATAATGATATGGTGTTGAGAAAACCAAATAGCACATGAGGCCGTCATCAACAGTCTCTTCTTCTCTAGCCTATATAAAGGGAGAAGAAAGGAGGTATCTTTACGACCCGGACCCCCTAGAGTATCGTGCTTATCACCGTACATGACGGTGCGGGTCCATTCAGTCTGTACGTGATGAAAAAAATCATTCTTCCAAAAAAGGAAAAAAAAGAAACAAACATGGCAATATTCGCGTTGGAAATATGTTAGCCATCGGTTCCAGATGCAGCTCGGAAGTGCCTATAGGTCTCTCGAGCTGGCCATATTGGAGGAGAAGATAAGGAACAGCCGAAGGAGTAAACTTCACGCGAGAGTCGAACTTTGCCAACAGTGGCTGAGACTTTGGGGATAAAGACGTTGGTGGATGCATGTATATGTAGGTATATAGATAGTATGATCTGGATTGCCGTAGATACATACATGTCATAGGGGCCGATATAGATTTCAAGGACATGTCTCGTGTGAGACAAACGGCATCATGGGGTATACCCACATCGCAAGGCTACCTAATTCAGAGACATGCCAGTGCGAAACCGCCTCGTAAGTGGCGACATACTACTGGTGTATGTACATACGTAGCCGGAGTTTTCGCGAAAGTAGGTGCAGTGGCCTTCACTGCAGCCAGTGATAGACGTTTGTAAAGGGAACCGCTATTGCATACCATACTAAATTGTGGACTTAGCGCGTATTTGTATGGTATGCAATAGTGGTTCTTTTATAAACGTCAGGAATATACGAGTAGAGTAAAGTCACAAAAAGAAATACCGATTCGATGTTCGGGAGAGGGGTATGAAGCGGAAATCGCACTCCGCCTCTAGGATGTCTTGGCAGCCGAGTGATCGCTCTTGATTAAGAATATTTTTTGATCACCATATACATGTACAAGCCGGTGAGGATAATTATATAATGAAATAAAGAATAATGAAGAGTGTCATGGCCAGAGAGGTGTACTGCCTCTGCGCTGCTCTGCTAAAGTGGTATACCATTGATATATCACAATCATAGTATCACAGAACAATCCCAAACGATATCAAAATCACAAAACATATCACAATTACCGAATAGCATAATTCAATAACAACCAAAAGAAACGGTAACCTAACAAAAGCTCCAACATAATCTTTCTTTTTAGCTGACTCTCCCTAATCAATAGCTCGAGAAAAAGAAAACATCCAAAATACAGCCAATCAAAACTTTTAAAATACACATTGCATACTCGGTATATAAGCTATATACATACTAATTAGATGTACTAGGCCTCACTGCTCGAAACAGATTATGGACAAGCGCGCATCTCGCTTTCTCTTACACTTTTCAGAGAATACAGAAAGTGCTTTGGCTAGGAATATCCATGTCTGATGTGCTACCGTGTACGGTACATGTAGTGTTCGGGTATGCGATGATCGAGAGGCCACTGTGAGCATCAAAGACTTGAGGCTCTAGGTAGCGGAACACTGCATAATCTACTCTTCATCAAAAATGATCAATAAGATACCCGCGTATGGCCAGGACATGGTTATTCACTACATCTAGGTACATATATAATAAAGTAAACCACTCAAATCTCGCATACCGCAAAATATGAGTTCGTTCGGACGGTTGCCAAGAGCGGTGTTGGCTTTAATCCTGCTGTAAAAGGCTCTGATCTCTTCCTTTAAGGGTGATATTTTTCAGCTCCTCTGCAAAGCTGTCCTCTTGGCAACCGTCCGAACGAACTCAGATTTTGCGGTATATTTGTAGACTGCGCTTATTAATCGATAGGAGGAAATCATCCACCCAGAGATCGAAAGCGAAGAGAATTCTCCAAAATGTGGGTTAATTTGGGGGGGGGGGGGAGTCTGTTCAACTTTTTAATACTAGTACTCTAAAGTGCCGGTGTTGCGTCGTTGTAGAGGTTTACTCAGTCTGGATATACTGTGAGTAACGGACCGCATGGGCCTCGCAGCCTAATTGACTCGTTCCACTTGCGCCACTTAAGTACTTGCAAAACCCATCCACTGACGGCGTTGAGTTTTTCAAAAGTAGGTACTTTAGTACTTCCTCATCTCGCGTCCTGCGACGCGAAGTCACGTGTACCTATACAACATAGCTCTCCTTAATAAAGTCATTTTGTTAGTCCGAACTACATGTAGTGTGCATATCTTATAGGAACTTGGATAGAATGGTCCTAATAATCACCGGACTTCATTTATCGCGGGGGAGTATGTAACTACTCTAAGAAAAAGATATGCATATGAGTGTAACCTAGCTGCATGCACCATGGTCTTAGGACTTTACGAGTATCGCCTGGTGGGCCAAAACATGCTCAATCTGGTTCTCTACATATTGTACAAACCCGGTGATTGCCTTGCCATATATAGGGTACTGATACAGTTGAGATTTCAACAAGAAACTTCCACGAACAGTAATTTTTGACCCAAAGTTACCAAGGCTGTAGAGCACCAGATTCTGAGCAGGTCTCGGCCTACCAGGCGATAGTAGTATTAGATTGACAAAAAGGGAAATCGGGGAAGAGATACTAGTTAGAATCTGATGGCTGGGGGTATTCTTCTCGAGGCATTTCGGTGTTTATATAGTACCTGCATATATTGACTGGCTCACCGGCCGTTGTCAGCTAAATCCGAGTTGATTGGTAGAAGCGGCTTACCTATCAAGTTGGGTTGTGGCACAATCATGATCATCACTACTTTCTCTGGGCGTTGTGCTTCTAGAGCTAGAAGTAGATTTATGTAGGCGTCAACGAACGGGCGGTTGACATGTCTTGGCAATACTAGTTGGGATTGTGCAGTAGAGTCCTATTGGCTTGCCCAGCCATAGAAACCCTGTTTCTAGACCCCTGTTTCTACTCTACAATAATTCTACCTCTCGCTGTATGCCCCAGTAAACATGCTCCCACGGTTTCATCTCTGCTTTATAATTTACGTACATGAATCCATGTCAGTAGTACGAACCGTCGAACAAAACTGAGATTTCATAGCAGTAGAACATGTGTTGGAATGGTGATGGCAAGAAGATGGAACGGACGAATAAAGCCTTATTGAGTACATGTATAAAGTTTATTTTTAAGCTTATCGATCGAGCGGGTGTTAACGTTTCACGTGTGCGCGCGGTTACATAAAAGGATGTCTAAGAGGCGTAGGTACTCCTAGTTTTTTTTACTTTCCCGAACTGGACTGGGCGTAAATCGTGCATATTCACAAACTTATTTTGGTATGAGTGTCTCGCCCTGAGCTGAACGCCTCCCGCAAAATCACAGGGATAATGAATCGAACTGGACTGGGAATACTGGGCTTCAGATTGGTCAAACGCGAGTTGAGCCTCAATCAGACAGACCCAAAGCGTAAAGTTCAGTCGTCTTGACCAATGGGTAAGTGGTATTCCGGCCCACTCCGATTTACCCGTGCTCTAGTAACGTAACTACATACTGGCGCGGCGCCGAGTTTCAACTTACTCACGTGACGCTAACTAGCAGGTTTTTTGCGCGGCAATGTGATTAATTAGTCGAAACTCGGCCGCGCGAGTACCTACATGTGTTCCCAAATAGCCTCTCAGTCTATTGGATCCTTGCCTTTCCTTTTAACCTCATCAAATTTATCCGAAGAATTTGTACAGATGCGGGTGTATTCAGCCACAGCATTTAACGCGAGAAGCAACTCACCTCACCAGACTCTAACATTAACCAGTAGCTATCGAGTAGGGCTTAGCTAGGGGGCCAGTATGAGCATAGATTGCCAAACGGGAAGCCCCCCGACCAAGAGTCTAAATAAAGCAGAAAGCTTGAATGAGTTGTCGAACTCGCAAAATGAGAAAAAGCACATAAACTGATACATGTAACTAGTACCCCTCTTTACCAAACCAAGTTAAGGAGGCTTTGCTTTGGAGGGTACTACACTCGCTTCATGCAGTACTTATATTCGCGTGTGCCCGGGTGGTGGACTAGCACACACCGATTTATATTGTGAACTTTTTCATTTGCACTCTGAGAATAATAGCAGATATGAAGTCCGCTATTTTGCTTGTGATGATGCTCTCGACGCTGTTTGGTTTCTCCTGGGGAGGTGCCTTGATTAGTAAACGGCAGTCCCCGACTATCTCACAGGATGCCGCTGATCTCTGTGACAGAAGATTACATTCTAGTAAGTGAACCCTCATGATCACACAGAGATATATATCCCCCAAAATTGGAAAACGAAATGCCTGCTAACACCCGGGTGTAGGTACTGTTGCAGGCAACAAGCTCTGGATAAACGGCGGCCAGAATATTAAAAACAGAACCGCGAGTACAGAGGATTACGCTGATAATTGTATGTCATCATATCCAGCGGCCACTTTCATGATCAGCAATAATTAATGAGTCAAAATAGTTAACGATATTCAATACATCGACCTATCCAAAAGCTGGACTATTGGCGCTCCAGAACTCACGACCCAAACCAAACCGTCTTCCTTAGTGTCTATTCTTGAGGCCTGTGCCTGGAGCGATGGGGTCGATTTCTACCAATACGGAGGCTGGCGATCCAGCTCGTATCAGGAGAGCTTCAGAGTATGGGACTACGATGGGTCTAAATGGTCATCGGTCTCTCCTGGGACTGTCAACCGCCTAGCATCAGGTGGTTGTACTGATGCGCCCATGATTAAGAAGTCGTATGCCTATGGTGGATTTCAGAACGCACAGACAACGAGCGATCCGTGGTGGGTGTTAACGGCGGAGGGATATGGAAGTCCAAGTTTAATTGAGTTTGACTGGGAGACAAAAACCGCCCGGAATGTAACTTATACAGATCTGTCGAATGATCCGGGCACGCTGGATAACGCGATAGCGTATGTTCCTGTGGGGAGTCAGGGTATTCTGGTGGCTCTCAGTGGAAGGAGGTCGAACGCAGCAGACGGATTTTCACAATTGGTATGTTTAATTCCATCTCATATATCCGGTTTGGTGTTCTTCCATCCATGCCCTTTGATTCTAGCGCTAATATAGTGGGGGGATGTGCTTTAGTCAGGCTTTTCCGAAATCAGAGTTTTCGACATTGCATCGTCAACCTGGTACTACCAGACTACTATGGCAGCTTCGTCGGCGGATGGCATACCTACTGCGCGGGTGCAGGCCTGTACAGTGGTTGTGCCTGCTGCGGACAACAGTTCTTATAATATCTACATGTTTGGGGGATCCACCAGCGATAACACAGAAGGGTCCTACAACGATATGTGGATCCTATCGCTTCCCTCTTTCAAATGGATCAAGATCAGAAACACGGCGAGTGACAGCAACGACATTCCAGGAGCGCGGACATCCCATACCTGCAGCCTCGTTGGGAAACGACAGATGACGGTTGTTGGGGGCGCGCGCGATGTTGCGGCGCATAAGCAGTGCAATACAAGGTCGGTGTTTGTATTCGACCTGACCACGCTGGTATGGAGGAATAGATATGACCCGGATGAGGTTGCGTATGAGCTGCCGAAGAACATCACGAACGTGATTGGGGGCAACGAGTTTGGGAACGCGGTCGAAAGCAGGAACAGACCCGAATCCTGGACAAATGCAGCTGTCCAGGATATCTTCTTCGGCAGTGATGTATCACAGACAAATGCATCAAGCACTGCAACATCAACACCAACATCAACATCAACATCAACACCAGATGGCAATACACCCCCTCAAGAGAGCTCTACCCCCACTGGTGCAATCGTAGGGGGTATAGCCGGCGGAGTGGCCGCACTGGCTGCCATAGCGTTTGGTCTGTTTTTCCTGCGCCGCCGCCGCCGCATTGCCCACAGCCAGGTTGTTGAATCCAAAGATCTCCATCCAAGCGCACAAGAACTTAATGCGGGGACCCCCCACGAGCTTGACCCAGGAGAAGCCTCAGTCTACGAACTTGGGGGGGGCTACTATGCGAGGCAGGCAGACGGAGTCCCTGAATACACTGCACTCAATGAACTAGACGCATACGTACCATCATCACGAACAGAGAGTACTGTGGATGGGGTAGAGCGCTTCGTAGCGGGGGCAAACCCGTCTCCCACTACCAAGAAGTCGGAGGGTGCCTAAATAATAATCTTTTTCCCTTTTTCCCTTTTTTTTTTCCTTTTTCCTTTTTCCTTTCACCGGGCATCGCATCGTATTTCAATGTTACGTATTGTTTATTTTTTTTTGACTGTTTTGGGAGCCATATATATGCAGTTGGAGTTTGTGTGTTGCAAATATGTAGTTTGTGCTGCAGCGAGCAGTGATAATTTCTTTTGTATTTATCTTTTATGGATGTATGTACACGCGCAGACGATCGGCGGGAGGAGGGATACTAGAGAAGCAGGAGATAATTGCAGTATATTATTAGGGTATATCATGCGTGAGAGTGTTTCGTTTCATTGTTTCATTAACCACCGGTGATAACGTATGGTAGAGAGAGAGGACTCTGTACATGTAGTATGTAGAAATGCTACGGCAGAATCCATACAATAAACCTCAAAACAAACCGTGGCAGATGTCAATGATCACCATGATATCGACCCACAATAATATTGACGAACTAAACTACATACACCCGGCTATTCTATTTTTTTTTTTTTTTTTGTTTTGTTTTGTTTTGTTTGTTTAATTCATCACCCGACTATTCTATGTATCCCCCTCCCATTTAATTAGTTGAGTACCAATACCCAGTACGCTACTCGTCTCGACCAGGTAGGCACAACAATTAAACGCCCAGCCGGTCACACCAACGAGTTCAAATTCCCAGATCAAGGAGCTCACCCCCAAATTAAAGTCCTGCGGCGCAGTTAAAATAACTGCATGTACTCTCGGAACGACGTCGCGCACAGGGGGGGGGGGGTAAAAGAACGTCACGAGACCCTTTTTTTTCCAGTATAGTTATACAGAATTAAGATGACGGTCTTATCGAAGATTAATTTCGTCGACGTTCCTAACGTTGCAATTAATGTTAACGGTTCCGACATAGGTTGCACAAAACAAAACAAAACAAAAACAAAAAAAAAAATCGATTCCGTCATGGCGCAGCGCACCGCCACGCACGCACGGACGCGCCGGTTGAACGAGCTAGGCGGAATGGGACTGAGCCCAGTTATGATGATGGTGTGGCGCGCCCACTCTTAAAAGGTAACCAACCCAAAGGTGACGGAAAGTCAATCGCTTATAACTTCACCAAAAAAATGATATCAAAAAAGTGGAAAAAAAAATAGAAAGTATAGTAATAGTGATGAACTTTCGTTCTATTTTTTCCAGAATTTTTAAAATATCTGTCTGGGTTGTAAAAGCCTTAGGAAGTTGGAATTGCGTATTTTTGAATGTAAAATGCGCCAAGACTGAACAAAGTGGAACAGTATTATACCCATTTATACCCCCCCCCAGAAAAGCAAACCTGACTGATCCGTGGCAGAATGGCCAGAAATGGGCCCTCTTATTGGCTCATGAGCCCTATTGCAGCCACAATTGTTCCACTTCCGTATGCCGCCATATCACCTTTACGAGTGTGCGCACCATAGCTACATGTAGTTGGTCAATCATAGCCTAGCACTCGGCTCGCTTGGCTTGGCAGTTTTTTATTTTTATTTTTATTTTTTGAGAATGCCCAAGGTCAGGGGTGGGATGGAACGCCAGATTACACCAGCCCCCGAGAACCGTGGTATTTTACAGTGGCATGATTCCAAGTTTGGCCCCTTTTATACTCGTGAGATTCTGGGTTGGCTTTGTAATATGAGACAGTCACGGGGGTAATTGCAAAACAACTCATCACAACTACATGTAGCTACCAACGATTGACGAAACAAGCCATTCACAAGCTCTGATATTTTTTTTCTAAAAAGTAGGTAGGTAGGTACATGCACCCTGCACACGCGCCTCTGCCTCTTCAACCCCCCGATACAAACCCCTACTCATCATCCCCAAAAAACACCTTAACCGGCAACCACGAATCCCCACACACCTTGAACCTATCCTTCAAGCTACTCAACCTCTGCACATCCTCCTTCTCCAGATCAAATCCATCCAGCTGAAAGTTTGCAACAATCCTCTCCGGCGTGACCGACTTCGGGATGACGGACCAGCCGTTCTGCAGCCCCCAGTTGAGCAGCACCTGCGACGACGTTTTCCCAGTCTTCTTGACGATGTCCTGCAGGACGGGGTCCTTGTGCAGCGGGGAGCCGGTGGAGCCGAGGCAGGAGTAGCCGGTGCTGTGGATGCCCTTGGAGGTGTTGTAGGCGACGAGCTTGGGCGAGGGGTTGTTGGGGTGCAGCTCGATCTGGTTGACGGCGGGGACGATGGTGGTGGTGGGCGCGTTGAGTAGGATCTCGAGGTTCTTGATGCCGAAGTTTGACACGCCGATGTTCTTGGCGCGGCCGGTCGCGGGGATCTTTTGCATTTCGGCCCTGGAGGGTGGTTAGTTATGCCAAGGGGAAGCTGCCCGGCTGGGAGGGGGAGGAGGAGAGGGGGGGGGGGGGGAGCGAACCAGGTCTTGACAAAGTCCCAGTCGGGATAGTGCTTCTTGAGGTCCGTGGGATCTGTGGAGCTCGGCCAGTGCATGAGGTAGAGGTCGACATAGTCGACGCCGAGGGACTTGAGCGACGACTCGATGCCCTCTTCAACGCGCTTGTGCCATGGGTTGTCGAGCTTTGTGGTGATCCAGATCTCCTCGCGCGGGACGCCGGAGGCCTTGATGCCCTCGCCGACTTCGGACTCGTTGCCGTAGGCGAGTGCGCTGTGGGGGCGGCGGGGGTCAATTAGCGGGCTGGTTTGAGGAGTTGGGGAAGAAGGGTTGGGGGGGCTTTACGTGTCGATATGGCGGTAGCCGGCGCGGAGGGCGGCCTCGACGGCGTGCTTGACTTCGTTGGGGCCGGACTGCCAGGTGCCGAGGCCGACGAGGGGGATCTTGGCACCAGTGTTAAGGGTGGCAGTTTTCCTGGTGGTGCGGGGGTCAGCGGATTGTTTGCTTCTTGAGTTTTGGTGCAATTGCAGTGGGGGGGGGGGGGGGGGGGGCTTCTTACTTGGTCCACTCAGTCATTATTGTAGTGTGTGTATGAATGTTTCTTGATGGATTCTGGTGGATAGGAATTGAGTCTTTAGACAGGAGCAGAACAGTTCAGTCTACGGAGTTGAGCAGCACAATTGATGGGTATGGATAGGGAATTAGACAGGCAGCGGGGGGGGGAGGAGGGGGTATAAATATACCTGTCCTCTCCCTCTCCCTCTCCCCGCAAACCCTCAACCCTCACGCCCGGCCAAGATTCAGATGAGCTCTCTCTCTCCTCCATCCAGCCATCCCGCACACGCAGCGGAGGGGTAACCGGTTAAAGCCGCCGGTAAAAGCCAGCCCTTCCAGAATCCGTCCGTAGTCTGCCCCCAATGCGGCATGGCTGCGGGAGGGCCCAGGGGTGCGGGTTGACGTCAGCGGGGTCGCGTGGGAGCGAGGCAGCGTGTTCAGGCTGAAGTGAGGGGGGAGCTAGAGAGGGAGAGGGAGAGATGCGACGTTTGGAGGATGGAATTACAAAGCGAGACTGGATATCGCTCAGCTCTCCGACGTGCAGAAGTGGGATTATGAACATCAGTGAAGATCATTAGTCAGTCTGGCTGGTAGAGGAGCGCCAAGAAGGGGTTCGTCCTCCGAAGATACGAGGTTGCGGTGCGTTCTAGACCATGGGAGTATCCTTACAGTGTCTACTTGAGTCCTTGACTCGTTTTCAAAAGCGATGTCAAGGCACGTATCTGCTCTCAAGTACAGCAAACATGAGCTAGTCTCATCGACAGCTTCAATTGCGTCAACCATGCGCTCACATTCGATCCAATACCCAGACCACCATAGCCAGCGCTGCAGCGATGGCAGCATCCCAGGTTATATGTAGTTCTTATGGAAATCCATTTACCTTGATGAAGAAAGCCCCAGTTTTACCGGTTGTAGTGCGATGAACTACACACATGTATTTATCCATCCATCCATCCAGGTAGTCCGGAGTAGAGTAGAGTAGAGTAAAGCGGAGCAAAGTAGAGTACCTGCATGAGTATATAAGTAAAGCAATAATGATGTTCTATTATCTCCGCCCTCTGCTCTAAATACAGTTCTCCTTGTAGTTAATAACACGTACGTTGTCTACATGTAGGCCAATGTCTAACATACAGTATTCTGATCTACATACCTATGGCATGGTTGGTCGCCTATATATGCCTAGACGACCCCAGCACACCCCGTGCACCCCAGGCATCTATTCCGTAACCGGGCAAGGCCCAAACAGGCCATTTTATTTACGCGGGTAATATAATTAGTAGCCATCCGCCACCGAGCCAGATTAATTGCGGTGCGGCGCGGCGCGGCGGCAATAAATATCAGGGACCTGTATATAGGCGGGGCCGGGGGTTCGTGGGGACAGTGCAAGTTAGAGAGAGCGCAGGCGGAGCACGATCCGTAGCTAGCTGGGTATCTCTTTGTAGGCTTAGATGTATGTGTTGCTGTAGAGAGGATAGGTGCATTAAACAAAAGAAAAAAAAAAAAAAAAAAAAAGGATAGGTGCAGTGGTAACGCTTCACCGAGTGATACCGTATGAAGACCATCTGCACTGATTGTGCTAAATGGGCCGGAAAAAGTGAGGCCATTCATCCTCCAAGGTTACGATTGGCGTAATCTCTACATTGGAGAGTATTTATATTTACTAACTATCATTTTGGACAATTGACCCCTGAAGTGGCGATAACGTGTTAAATCCAAAATTGACTGCAGGTCCAATTGCCGCGCGCTTTTTAGCCCCACAAATCGTCAGTTGTCGAAATTGACAGTTAGTAATAGGAGATAGACGGTTTCCCTGGCCACTCGGATCCCCCCTCACTCGGACAGCTAACGTAGAAAAGAGAAGATCAACGTTGTATATTACAAGTGGTTTCTGTACCTCTTAAGCTCTCCACCAATCATCATTGACTGTCCGAGTGAGGGGAGTGTCCGGGTGGCCAGGGAAACCGCCTACTCTTTATTGGCGAGTAGAATCAACCATCAGGGTCGGGTTCAGGGCTTGTCACTTGTCGTTCGGGGGCACATGCTAATAAAGTGTAAAAATAATCATTGATTTGAAGGGAATATATCATAAGTGCTAAAAATAATATATGTGAAAAACAATATCTGGAAACAGTGCATAAGGAAAATCATGAAGCAAATCAACACACGCATGTTCCTCTCCAGCTCCCCAGTCATCGCAAGTTACATACACGTACGTATGTGTTTACTCAGGCGCGGCGATGCGCGCGATACATCCACCAAAGCCAGTTCACCGATCGATAATTGCGCCGAAAAACACGTCTTCGTTTTTTCCTATAAAGGTATAGACTAATAAACCGATCGCGAGTTAGCTAGGTTCTAGTTCCTTTTCTCTTTTTTCTTTTTATTTTCAATTGAGTAAAACCAGGGAGTAGAGGCCGGAGAACGCTGCATATATTACCCTATCAATTGCGGGGGTTCGCACTAGTACTCGGGGGGTCCTGGCCTTTATCCACCGGGAGGGCGCAGAACGGGCTATTTGCTTGCGGCATCCGATTGCAAGCGCTATCACGGCAACAACGACTGAAATAGGCCCGCAAACGGTCCAGAAGTCGTCCTGAGTCGATGCGGTCGAACGTATGTCAGCTGTGTTCATTCCTGATAATTGCTGGTTAGTATTCTTTCCATGTAGTGTATCTAGGGCCCTCGTATATATAGCGGGCTCAATTTAATACCGTAGTACTAAAAGCGTAGCCGGCCAGTCAGCGATCGCGATCATTTCAAGCTCAACTAACTCGATAGATCGATAGTTGAAGTATATATACCGATGTGAAAAAGTTTAGTGGTAGAAAGATTGTCGTGACAATCGTGAATACCAGTGTGGTCTCTTCACGGAACTCCTGTGCCCGTATAGTATATTCCATGTTTCTCTCGTGCATCTCTTCTTGCCTCGCTCGAAATCTCTCTGCAGCCGCGGCTTCCTGAGAAATTCTCTCCTCTGTCATCCGTATAGAAGTCTCTGCTGCGGTTTGCTGTTGGCGCATCGTCTCAATCTTTGCGAGCTCCACTGTCTATGCACCAGTTGGCCGTTAAAGAGGCCGGCAGAGTTAAGAAGCCAGAAAACCTACAATATTTTGAGAGTTCTTTATTTCTACCAAAAAGTCCTCAAAACACTTCTTGAATTTTTTCCGCTCTTCTACACGCTGCTGAGTTTGAGAGTTATTGTTATCACCGAAATGTATTTGGAGCTTATTTAATGCTTGTATCTGGGTTTCGACAACTCTCGTAATACTTATAAGCTCTATCTTTATAGAGGCAAGTAGATCAAACAATTTTTTTTGGTGTTCAGCAAATTTGCTGTGTATAATTAGGTCCTGCATTAGGTTAATAAATTATGACTAGTCATCTAGAGTCTAGACGTAGATAGTAGTGTTTAGACGAACAATGTAAGATATCCTGTCTTGAAAGATCTGAATGAGCTCGTCTTTTTGCGATTGCATAGTTCTTTCGATGGCACTGTTTAACTCAGGGTAAGGACTGGTCGGGCTGGGAATATTAATCCCGGACTGTTGGTCGCTTTCAGCTCTAAAGGAGATGAGAGCTGCTGGCATGATGAGCTCAGGAAGTGAATCATAGAAAACGAGAGATAGAAGGAAACAAACTCTTATCAAGAAGTATAAAAGTGATGCTGTGAACAGATACTGCCTTATAATACATATCCAGGGAATCTAACATCCCCCTTTCGGTGAAAATGCTATTCGTATCAAGACCTGGTCTAAATGGAAAGCGGTATTCGAATAAGCTCAAAGTTGATTTCCAAGGGGTTTCTTCACCGCTCGTTAAATTATATGAAGTCAATCTTTCGAGCTCTTTCTCTAGAGGGCTGAGTATGGTAGATGGGCCTCCGGAAGGCTCCTGGGGGGGCCTTTGAGACCGGTATTCGAATGATTCCCTCTCTTTATTGCTGGACTTGTCCCCGGACTTTGGAATAGAGATATTTGGGTCATGTAAATCGGTTTGCTGGCTTCCATAGTCTAAGGGTTCCCAGCCGAGATATGGAATTGTTATAAACAGTAACGTACGCTCCGGATCCGGATCGATGTCCCAATAGAACGCACTTTCAAGGAAGTCTGAATTCTGGCTTGCTTTGATTATTTTTTTCTCGGAATTTTTTAATATTTCTTCTAGTGATATATCAGGCCTGACCATTCGAACAAAGTCCTAAAAGATTTTAATGCGGATACTAATCATATTAATCCTTTCATAAATTGTTTGACTTACTGCGACATAACGGAAAGTTGGAAATTCACTAATCATTCGATTATGTAGTTAGCGAAGCAAAACGTATTATTGTATGGAGCGGTAAATGTGTCAAAAGTAATTTTACCAACGGTGGTAAATTATTTACCACCGGTGGTATAAGCACTGAATTTCAGTCATTGTATCTGCACGCTATCCTACATTAGTACATTTCCACCGGTATAAACACTGAGTTTCGGTCTTTATGCTGCGCTATACTAAATAAGTAAATGTTCAATCATTAATGCCAAAACTTATGAAAATTTCCCACCGGTGGTGAAATACCGCCACCAATGGACAATCTTCATATATATTGGCATTATATGGCCCCTTTTGGCCAAAAGGTCTGTGCTTTTATCATAAAAATTGGCATTATAGGGTATAAATACTGATATTATTTTCACCACCGGTGGTAAAATAATTTACTACCGTTGGTAAAATTACTTTTGACACATTTACCGCCCCATATTATTGTGCCAATAATGGCGCAAGAAGCTTAAGTAGGGTTCGAGAATCCAGATTAGGAAGGAAATACATGGAACATAATGTCATCTTGTAGTACTCTCTCTCGGGTATCCGCGTACGGAATTCCTCTGTCTCGGTAATTCGCCTACGGAATTCCTTTGGTGTGCTCATCGAAAGAGTAACATGATCGCTACCCTTATCGGTAACATGATATAGATGATGCAAAGGAGTGGCGGTGAGTGTCCCCTCAGGCGCGAAATAAGTCCTTTCAACTAGGCCCTGGCCCATAAGTTCCGGGTCCACCGGAGCGTTATATTCGAAAACTTGATATATGTTAATATATGATACGCGTTAATATATGATAGTTACACAAATAACTAAATCTTACAGGCCCCCAATAGCACTGATATGTGTCCGGTATTATTGCTACATTCTGCCCCCTCTGGAAGTTTGATGTAATTTTGCATCTCCCTCCTACGTTTAACAGATCCTGGAAGTTTGTCCGAGACGAGCCAAGCTACACGCGTTAAGATTTAGCAAAGATAATTCCTAAAAACTTGTGGAAGAATAGCTATTACCGTAATGCTTATTCACAGCTCCCATCAAAACATCCATCTCCTTGCGGAGAAGATCAGCCTTGTCATCATCCACATCCATTTCGTCTTCAAAACGAAATTAACAATTGCCGAGGTCGGTAGGTATCGTGTATTCACCCAAGGATGAAGTGCAGTTAGGACGACTGAGTGTTTTTAGGATGTGCAAACAGCTTCTTGGTGCAATATATATAGTATTTCTTGTAAACTTAGTGGGTTTGCAAATATTGATGCGGTCTAATTTGAAATGCCCAGTACATGCTTGACTGATCATGAATGACTGGTTATAATGGCACCGCAGTGTCTCTTGGTGCTCTCCTCTCCGCTCTTCAACCACTGAGACTTCGACACCTCATGATACGCACGTACGTACGTATGTTTCAGTAAACGATAGGTTTATAAGTGCTAAGATACTTACATAACGCTTCTATAGCCTGTTATGTATGTACGTATAACATAACTATACCCACATAGAGCGCCAATACCCCGGTCCAGGTGCGGAGGCGTTGGTTTTTCTGAGAAATAGTCAACAAAGTGCAATTGAGATTACTGTATCGATTATAGAAAAAAAGTGAAAGACAGAAAGGGAATATTTCTTATCTAGCTACAATACTCGCAATTGAAATCCTCAATATGTTTTTCTGCCCTTTCTATTACGTTGTGAGTGAAAATTCAGACCCCGGCGGGTGAGGGGGGTGCCAGACTTACGTTCCGTGGATTATTACATGTTATCCCTTGGACGGATGAAAGTTGTCAAATTCGCGACCACACTCTTTCAGCTATCACTAGCTTAATATGGCAATTGTTCGAAATTCTTGATTGGCTCTGTTGTTATTGCCAACCGTAAAAAGCAAGATAATTCCCTTACTAAGTGGTGCACGGTCCAGGTCGCAAGTAGATGGGATCTAAACATACCTTGCAGATCAGTCCGTTTTGCACAACGCGGGGTATCCGCGGACCAATATTTTATCTGGAAACACAAGGTAACGCTAGGGCCTTTGAGATCCCTTGCCGATAGGGGAGAGGGAGATCTCTTTATTTGTGCTCGAAGTTCAAAATACATGAGTCGTGTTGAAAAAGGAATTTGTTGAACTAGCGGACGCAAGACGTTTCTTTGAAGCCGGAGGTTGTCCGTGGAGTCACGATTAAGTCTCGGGGGTTGGCGGAACTAAAAAGGTGGGGACTAGCTCAGGATTCGAAGCGGGTTATAAGCACATACAGCTTCGTGTACATACCCCACCACACTTACTACATGTAGTATTGAGATGGTAGGCCTCCTATAAAGGAAATCGTGAGCTTTCGGTGGACAAGAATATCCGGGGGGACGCGTGTATCAAGGATTTCGGGGGTAACATATGCGTCGTTGAATTAAGGTTCGAAGTGAAGTACCGCAGAAACTCACCGACTTGATTACCTCCGTGCAGGGATTTCCCCATTGATGATTGGCTGAAAGGCAGAGCTCAGCTTCTCTACAAGTTAGTTTTTGGACAGATCCGCTACTAAAGTTAGCGAGTTTTTGCGGTACGTGGCTCCGGGTTGGGCCGCGGGACTATAGCCACATAACACCTCCTGGGGAAAAACTCACACGCCGATGATGTCTGTCTCGTGTCCAAGAATTCTTCGGATTGGATACATGTATTGGTCGGGTGTGTGCTTTCATCATAAGTACAACCTGGTTTAATACCTAGCTATACTTCTAAATGTGTGGGTGGGGTGGTCATGAGATTTATGTGGTGCGGGACATTGTTCCCGACTCCACTATATACATGATCAATATCGACCCGTGAAAAGCTATGTTGTACGGAACATCTTCCAGTGCTCAGACTGAAAAACATATAGATACATATCTCTGTACTAATTCGAACTGAGAGTGATAGAATACATTTTTGTTTAGTAAATTCGGAACTACATGTACGTAATACCAAAACTCCGGACAAGCCTCGGCCGGTAAATTAACTTTTTTCGAAAATTTTATATATTCTAGAAAAGTGCTTTAAGTCTTCCTTTTTTGATTCCGGAGATTTATTCTATTTGAACTCATAGGTCGTGCGTACATACGTGTAGTTGTAGCTATAGAGGGCTTGATTAGTGCCAGATTTCTAGTTACAGAGGAAACGAACGTCGTGCACGCGTGAGGTACGAACTCGTGCCAAGGTTTATAAATTAGCCTGGGCATAAGACAACGACAACGTTAGTTGTAAGTCTCATAGTGAAACCAAAAGTCTCATACGTTTCCCGAAAAGTCTCAGGCTCATCACTATCGTAGTGTATACCATCGTATTTGAGTCGCGGCACGAAAGGTTGGTTCGATGGCTTCAGAATGCCTAGTAGGGACCGGAGGAGGGTCAAGTCTTAACTTTATTCGGCGTCCCTCATAATCGATGCCGGCCTTGGTTTCTGGGGAAGTTGGGTGTATGATAATGGTTGATAAATAATTGAACTATGCATTGAAATACAGTCTTAAGCAACTGGGCCAAGACTGACAAAGGATAACTTCTAATCACCTCCAGTTTATTCGGCAAATATCATGAGTTTGATATCAGCCTAGTTAGCCGAGGGTCGAATTGAATTAAACCAAACCTCATTCCGTTTAATCAGTTATTCATTATAGCATGCATGTCCTTCAAGTCAAAACCTTAAGATAATACCAGTTACAGCTGTATGGCGCGGAATTCATCAAGATATTTAGCTGAGATTGGGGTGTATAGGCCAGGGGCATTGGAAGAAAAATATACATCGTGTTCTAATTAATAAGTACACGTGCACTAGATCGAGTGAGTAGTTGTGCGCCAAGATTCTTAGCTCGGCGTTGTGGCGCATGGTGGGACTAATTGGGGATGAGTAGCTCAAGGCCGGCGGGAGTATGTACGTGGCCGAAAGAGACAAATCGTCGTATGAATTATCACTTTATCTTGCCATCATAATCATCATTATCATCATCATCATCATCGAATGACTTATGTACCTTGGTTTGTGCTCAAGCTATTCGCGTTTATGTCAGATCGTCGAGAAGATCATTTCGTGAATATATACAAAGAGATCTTAGAACAACTGGAGAGTAACAACATCCTTAACTTCCCCTTTCCTGTTCAATGATACACATACGCTAATCAATCCTGATTTATACTGCTCATCTCGTAAGATTGTTGGTCACAAATTTTGTAGCTATCAATGAAACCGCAAGGACTAGAGGCATGTAAAACGTATTATCTCTCTTGAACAATCTCATATCTTCTATTGATGCCAAATCACACAAGAAAAGAAATAGAGATCAAATGAGGGTGAACTATGAAGTACTCAAGGGAAGTATTATGAAATATCCAAACATTGAAAATGAAGGGATGACTGATAAGGATCAAGTGCTGATAGATCTGCAGTTATGCAGTACACGGACGAAAATAAATGGGTGTATAGTTACAAGAGTGAGAAAAGAAAAACGAAATAAAACCTGTGTCCAATCTAAATAAATCCTAAACGCCGAATCCCGATACTCTATAACTGAAGAAATAAAGAAAGAAAGAGAATAAGTTATAAAACAAAGCAAAGATAACACTTATAATACAGTAATGATTAGATAGACGATTATATCCAGCCGTATGAGCCTCGGGACATATTGATTAACATCTGGCCGGTGGATGATGTCCGCATATCTGCAGCAGAACGCGGCCTTCGGATGCCCATGGATTTATCGTGGAGTGAAACGACACCCGATGAGCGAGTTGAGCATCTTATTCCGAGGAAAGTGGGGTCAGATGAATGGCTCGATACTGGAGATAAGCCTACTCCACTGTCGGGTCTGCTTCTCCAAAAGCCTGCAGACGGAGTAGTCGGGGTTGCCGGTGTTGACCGTGTGAACCGGGAGTTGCGATTCTCCCAGCATCCGGTCTCGGAATTCCATGCTGTCTCTCCAATTGATTGAGGTCGATCTCCATAAGGTAGATTATCTGGAGTAAGGGTATATGGTGGTGGAACCTGGAGGGCGGGGATGTCTGATCCAGGACCTCCTCTGTTGTATCGCCAGCTTTCTTCTCGCCTCGTCTCAGGAAAGTCACGATTCCCCTCTCTCCAAGTAAGTTCAAGCCTTTCTGTGAGAAATTTTACATTAACAAATGCTAATAAAATGGAATATAAGCTGCGAATACTTACCAAAGTAAGCACGCTCTGCATTCTCTTTCGACCTCTGCCTTGCGTCATAGCAATCCATTCTCATGGTCGTGATAACTTCCTAAGATATAATCATCAGCTCATGCTAGTACTTGACCGGTGAAAGAAGTTTAAACATACTGGGGCAATCTGTTGACGAACTTTACATAGAAAACCTTCTTTACCCTAACCCAATCATTAGAAATTTCTCTTAAGACAGATATTCTAAAATGGAGTGCACCTACATTATCCATGTGGACGCAGAATTTCCATTCTACGTCAGGTCCAACATACTTTGCAAAGTTTGCTTCAAACCATCGCGGTGTCATCCCCTCTCCGTAAATGAATTGATCCACTGTCTTTTTCTTTCCTAGGTTTAAAAGCATTATATATGTCGACTTGAGTTGAATAATGAGGGTGGTTGGGGTGGGTTGGGTTGGGTTTATGGTCGCGTGGGACTGATAGTTCAATTTTTGAGTACCTCGTTTCTTGCGGATTAGGGGTCATTATATTTCAGCTAACTTGAACCTTGACCTTGAGTTGCCCCCACCCGTCAACTCCACAAAAAGTATATGCACGGATCTCACTCCCTTGTGGTGACCCTATCTATCAGGGATAGCTTGTATACTTGACCTTTAGATTGCCGGCAATAGGGTGAGGCTTAGGATTTGGCACAACCGGGGCGGAGTGGGCGGTCCTAGAGAATCAAACCATAATTGCAACACGATTACCCCTTCCTTTCTTTCTTCGGTAAGTAATCTATCATCTCTACTAAGAATCGAACCGGCCAATGTTTACAAATTAGAAGAATAGCAGGTGCATACATAGGACCTGTTTGGTTGTATGGGCGGAATAACTTGGCTGTCGCACTAGCTGTAGGATGGGGGTATGGTCGTTCCGACTGGTGCGTGCCAAGAGCTCGAATCCATACAAAATTCCAAACCACTACGACATGGTACATACATACGTTCTGCGCCATAGGGAGCCAAGCTAAACTCTACGTGTCTACAGTGTAGATACTTTGAGCCTCTTGCCCTACAGAAATTACCCAGAGGTTTAACTTTCTTTTTCCCGTGAGGCGTTATTGATAAATCTATATTGACTTCATTAGCTACATGTAGGCTTCATAATTCAAGCAACGGCAACGGAAGCGGCAAATAAAGTGGCAATGTGGGCGGCAATAAGAGCGGCAGCGAGAAGAAGTGGCTGAATTAGATCTATCCCTACGGTAAGGAGTTCTCTTTTTTTCTTCGTTCACCTCTTGCGTACGGATCTGAATGTCCAGTGCCTACCTGTCTACCGTGATATTTCGATAGTCGCATAATTCGCATCGGTCAACAGAGTACTAATAGGACTCAAGCAGCATGCATAGCCGGATTTCTTTTCTCAGATGCTCCCTATGCAATATGCGGCTACAGATATGTTTCTTCGCATGCATAAGGGGTATAAATTGGGTGCTATTGAGCTATGCTCTACATTGATAGAGTACCTATATGCCCTAGCTGGTCTTGGTACATAGTAGTTGTACTAGTGTAGTCAAGTAAACTCCAAACCCCGTACCGGGAAAACAGTAAGGGCCCGTGCGCTTGTCAGCACTACACAACAAGAATTCCTATCGGAAGCGACCCGGTGTTCTAGAAGTAATTGAAGGCACCGGCACCCCACAAACATACAACTATCGATATTTCTGTCTGGACATCACTCAAACCGTCCATATTCCCAGATGTATATGGCCAAAGTGACCGAAATACACTTTGGTCTTGAAATGTCGGATAATATCAGGGTAAATAGAGTAACGTCTACTCCGATCGAAATTCCAATACAGAACTAACTACCGGCAGGGACTATTTTACGTGTCGTCCTGAAAGGTGAAGAGACCTTCGACATCACATAGAGTACTATTTGCCATGCCCCCACCTTTGATCATTCCTTTCGCACATAGATTACCAGATATGCAGGGTTGAGTAATCGAATTGCGAAACTTTAATTCCCATGCAAATTATGAACTAAGCTATATACACAGGCTCTCAATCACAATTAGGAGGATTTTCGCTCATCACTCTCTTATCTCACCACATATATCTGTCTCCTGAATGACCGGTACCACCGTGGCATAGTTGTAGCTGATGCATACTTCATAAGTTGACATACTTTTACTCCGCATATATGCATATGGGACGCCCGGAATTGGTAAACACGCCTGAGGAACAACAAAACACTGTTCCAGAAAAACCGTTGGATCCGAAGGAGCCTCCAACCTAGGTCCATGAGCTTAAATTTCTATGCGCAAGCAAAGGATACATGTAATGAGGCTAAGGGTTAGAAGTGGTAGAAGGCGCATGCATGGTGGCACAGAGTTGAACTTCTACTTTTAGTGGTTCTTGGCGGTGAATTATGACATCGTCTAACTAAGGATGTTAGGGCTAATTTGCCGAAACCAAATAACTCTCTAAGAATAGTAACAGTGATTGTTGGCCCTAACCCTGGGGCTTCATGACTTTGACCGTGCCCACGAGGCTATGGCTTTTGACCCGGTGTCGATATTTATACATGCGATGTAAACAAAGTTCTAAGCTTTGGCTATTATATGTTGGACATAGTTTGCTAATACCGAGACTTTCACAGATCACAGATCAGCTGGTCCACATATAAGCGGTCGATTCAAAGTGAGAGGTATGTGCAAAGCTGTGGCTATCCTTGATCTATTCGTTGGCTATGGGCTCATCGACTCAGAATACGAGGGATCTGGGGGGAGTAATATTGCTGTAGAATTTTACATCAAAAGCTCCCCTTCATCAATTCAAGCAGCGCTTTGGCCGACCTCAGGGCCTGGAAATTCAAATAAAATCCGGTGCTCGTTCTGAATAACATTCCTTTACCTCGAGGCACACCTTAAGGCACACATTCAGGAACATCAGGCAAGGCCAGCGCACAAAGGCATATTAAAGTCATGAGATCTTGAATGGTTAACTAGATGTTGCTGCTGATTGCTCCAGCTGAGGCGGAATTTTCTTGTGAAATGTTCTCACCCTACTTCCGTGTAGAAAATATGGGCAAATATCACTGTAAAGATACCCCCGGTCAACAGGATTGGATGACAGACCAACTACTGGGTGAGGTCTATGCGGCTTGGTACACATATCACATTCAATCATTAGAACTAAATGTGTTTCAAAACATTGCCTGGACAGGAGAAAAGCCTCTTGATTTTGCACTGGAAGAATCCTCCACTCGATCCTCTGCAGGCATCAGTGTCAGAATCTTTAAACTCAATTTGCCAATTAAACTACTGTAGGAAGAAGCGGGGAGGGGATGGCATTACGGAGAGCGAGACAGCCTCTAGGGGCAAAAAAACGGGGGCGATCCTAAGAAACAAATCATGCATGCATGCGCAGGGTATACGATGTTAGTTAAGAAGGCACGGGGCTCTGGTAGAAGAGAGGCGCTATGGACGTTATGTTAATGATCGGCTTTTATAATGCAAAGAGTCGAATACGGGCGAATCCCCTACGACCTTCCCCCGCCAACGCACCAGAGAGATAACTTTTCTTTTTAAGGTGTATGGTCACCTGTGACCTCCTCGTAGGTCTGTCTTGATTCTCGAGACCTGAAGAGACTATGGTGGGGGCGATTATCAGGTCCAACATGTTGAATAAGTGCCAGGAGGGGTAGACAAATGCATGTAAGGTGACTGAAGATTCCGTTTTCGAAGCTTTGTCCGAGAGATTTTGTCCTACCCTCTTGGTGTTTCTGAAAATTATTTCAACTTTCTTTCTAGAACCCTGGTACCCTGCTGCTTGTCACAAACCGGAAGGAGACTTTCGACTACCGCAGCAATTCGTCTCAGCGGATGGTTACACAGACGTCGAGGTTGCGCGTATGAGGGAAGATTAGCTATAGGGGGGCGTTTTCAAGACAAATAACCAGATCAAGGAATTTCAACGTCAATGTAAACGTCCATTGAGACGAATTACTGCGGTACTGGACACTACTGCGGTTAGTCTTGGTACATAGAAATTTGATATCTATTGCCTGACATGATCATGAGATAGCTCCGATTTCAAACTCTTTTAATTGAAACTTGGCAACTTATGTCTGGATTTACCCGGAGGTATAACTAATGTCATAGAAATTGATTTCATGTATGAGGCCTAGAGTCAAGAGCCTAGTTGGCTAGTTAGCTGCAACCCATACAGATTCTACCATTCGGAGACATGTAATACAACTTAGTCAGGAGGGGATTCCGGCTCCAGCAGAAGTGCATTCCAAGGAGACACACAATCAAGAGCGGTCATTATCAGACGAGGAAGGGGACGTGGTAGTACTTGTTTAGTTTCTAGGAGTATCCGCGATTTCTGGAAATTGTGGGGTTACAGATATCTGACAGCGGTGCCAGCTCCAGCACAGACCTTGATCTGCGTGCCAAAAGGGCACCTATTAGCTAAGGATCCTGAGTAAGAATCTTCGAAGTGTGAATTTACATAATGATAGGCTGCTTACTGGGTCCAAAAAAGGAACTCGGGGGACACCCTATGGGATTGATTGGCTCGCTACCCGTCAGCCTTGATATGTGCCCATTTCGGTAGGTCGAGGTATAAACTGTGGCTTTAGCGGTCGTTTCAACTCCTTGATTATTGGGGCATTCCCGTATCGGCCGCCGTCCTACCCTGCCAAAGTACCGGTAATTCAGGACCGATCCTTTGCGAATACTCTCAATTACAAGGGTTTTCAACTTGAGCAATCTCCATAATTGTATTGGGCCGCCTATGGTGCGGAAGCCACTATTTCCTTAAGCTCTATTAGGGACTAAATTGATATGACAGACTTCAAACAGACAGATTAAGAAGGAGGAATATCTTAAACCCTCCAGAGAATGCGGCAGGTCTGGAGCCCTTCGGCGCAGTAATAACCCCCTGACTTCCGAAACACAACCGCGATCCTCCTTGGACAATCTCCCAAGACATCTACGCGGCGCTCATTAAGCGCGAAGGCGGACTACATATACAAAGTTTACAAAAGCCATCCTACTCCAAGCACGCATTGACCATGCCCTGCCACTACTACAGGTAACTCCATCTCTGAGCGCGGTAGGTTCCCGTCTAGCTGCTCATGGTAACAAAAGCATCGGGAATAGGCCTTACGTCTTGTTTGAACATGTGAGGGGCCGCCGGATACGAACTTCTATGAGCACACACAACATGCTGCCGGGTGCCATCTCCTGGTTAAGAATATCATGTCCAAGCCCCATCTAATATTCTCTGGCCGCCAGTAGAGTACAGGTCTAGGACTCAGTTACATATACTACTGCATATCTCCGGTCATACAACCTCAGACCGGCCGAACGTCTACCAGTAATTAACCCTTTCAAAATTCTTCACGGACGGCGATGGGGGTTTGAAATTCGGTTCGCCGCCGGAAATGGGGAGTGGGAACGAAGTGGGTCGTTCGTCGTTGCGGATCACGCTGCAGGACAGCTGTCAAGCCCCATCTTCACCGGAGCCCATGACATGCATACATATCCTATTTCCGCCAAGTGGTTAGTCCCTGCGGCTTGTTTGTCGCAGCGCTGATGAGGGCCTAGTTGGCGGAATATGTATATGTATGTGGCTAGCTGGGAGATGCCCAGATAAGCATAATTGTGTGGTTGGTGGCCGGGTTGTGGCGAAACTGAGTCGGGGCCGGCGGGGGTGTGGATGGGTGCAGCGTGCAGCGGCTAGTGGGAGGCCGGCCAGGGGGTATCCACTTGGTCCCATACTATCCGTATCTTGGGGTGGGATTTTATGAGTAGCAGAAGTGATGGGATTGTGGGCGGTGCGTCGGTAATAGAGACCTGGATGCGTTTGCATCGGGCGGGAGTTCCCCGGGCACGTCATCAAGATTCGAATCCAAGGAGATCAATTCTTTTTCTCCGTGGTTTTTAGAGGATTGATTATGAATATACACATATATCTATGATTACATGAAATGTACGCGCATCCATGATAACACCGCAAGCAGCCTCTTTACAGAGATTCCAGATCACTGCGCATGCTGGTTCTAATCTCATGCATGTTCACCCCCATCCACAGTGTCGATGGATACCGCTCCCATATTCCGCATCTTCTTGGGATCATGGCTCAGTCCCTCGTCTTCAACGTAGCTCCCATATACGTGGCGCTTCCAACCTCAATGATAAGCGGGCGGAAAATCGGTGCGCTGTGGCGTGAGATCGTGTGGGTATGGAGATGGCGATGGATGAATGAACGGGTGGGCAAAGTGGCAGGTCTTTGGGGTCGCGAGAGTAATGCGGAGTTAATGGTGAATAGGGGTGGATGAGAAGCTATGCATCGATAAGTGGGAGTGAGCGGCACCGGGAACATAAAAGGCACCGCGGCGAGCGGAATAGAGTAAGTTCATTTACTATGGGAATGATCTTCGAAGATGGATGGCGCGAGAATGAGGGTCTAGAGAAGTAGAGAATGGTCAACGAGGGCCCGGAGTCGCGTTTACCCTTCCTCCTCGCACGGGGAGGCGAACGTATATCTGCGCGCGTGAGAGGACGATGGTCTTTGCTAGAGGTGTGTCGTGTCGATGTTCGGAACGAGTCGGTGGACAAGAAGTGCGACCAGGCTCTCGTGAATAGTCTTCTCGGCTGGAGAGTGGTGGGGCGGAAACTATCTGTACGAAGGTCGCTATGGTTTAAGAACAAGAGGGAGGGGAGAAGCAGAACAAGAATTATCCAAGCCGCGTGTGGTATAGAGCAGACGAAAACACGTCTTGAAAGTTTAGGGATGAAACATCTGCTTTCTCCGCTGCCGACGTGGCCGCCGGTGAAGAAGGCAGATGCCGGGGTTGGAAGTATTGGTAGTGGTAGCGGGGTAGCAGACGGGGTATAGGCAGATTCTGCAAAGACCGTCTTCTGTCCTGGTTTAGAGGGCCGCATTATTTATGTTTTGTTTGTGGCTACCCAAAAGCCTGAGCTCACTATACTGCACGTTTCGTGTCCGATTGAGTTGTTCAACTATGTGTTCTCAAAGCAAGGTCCAGTATATGATAATCAGTACAACCAGCTGCCCATTTTTCCTAAGGCTGCTTACATCCCGCTAAGTTTGTGGGGAACCCAAGAAGCCGAGTCGGGCTTCATGATACCGTCTTCGATCTGTTCCATCGTCCACGGGCCTGATTGCAGATGTTTCTCCACCGGACCGGAGTGCCTTTTCGAGTGATAGCTTGTGATCCGAGTGATTACTGATGACTCTACGGCAGCCAAGTTACAAGCTTTTTTTATCTCCTGCTGGTTCTGGGTAAGAGAAGCGACAATTTTCACTGATGTGACATGTTGATGCTTCAAAGGCGGTGTATGAGAATGTCCTGCCGCGCTTCGAGGGGGTTTTCCTATCTATGTACAGCAATTTGGCGGCATCTACATGTTTCGCCACAGGAGAACTCCAAAGCGCCCGGGTCAATTCTAGGCAAATATCGTTTGTCATGCGAGTTGTTTGATGTGTGATAGGACCTCTTAGTCGGCTGGCCTGATGATTTATTGAAGTTTGGAGTTGCGAGTGACACTTTGTGACGCGGAGAAAGAAGTGTTTTTGTGGACGTGCCAGAATAATACATCTAATACTGAAGACGCGACAAGATAGAACTCTCTCAACACTTCCGCGTGCGTGCGTGCGCGTTGCGACCATAGACGCGTCAGGGTGGGAAAATATATATCAATCTCAAATACATAATTCATGAATTCGAAAACATGCAATAATTAAAATCCTATATTTATTACTTCTACATTTACAAATCCCAATTCCCATACATCTTCTCCTCCGTCGAAATGTTTCCTCCAGTTCTGGCCAGATACACGCGATGTGGCCACTTCGTTTCGCGGAAAGCCGGGTACCTGTTTAGGAATCATTTCTCACGATATGTGGCCTTTAAATTTCGCCGACCTTGTTACCCTCTCGATTTCTTTGAGTTCGCTTAAGAGGCATTTTTTCCGCCTAAACCTCTTCTTCCCTTTTCTTCTTTCCTTGGGGGCGGCGGTGGTGGTGATCGGGCCCCCAATGTACAAGTAGTTTACATATTTTGGGAAGTCTTCCTTCTTTCTCTACTAATTATTTTTGGTGTCTTCTGATGTGTCTTGTGTAATTTTAGGGACTTGGATTTCCCGAGTATTCATATGGGCAAGTGTTCCTCCCTTTCTTTTTGGTTTGTATTATACTATCACTTCTCTAGTCTGTCGCAGGGATGTGTTTCTCCCGAGTTTTCGATATATTGGAAGTCTTCCTTTTCTACTTCCTATTCTTGATATTGTTTCCTTTGTTCTTTCTGATTTCCCTTGTAAATTATATATAGGGATCCACGATTTCTCAGTGAATATAGTGGAAAGTTTTCCTTCTTCTCTTCTTTCCTTATCCTTCTGATCTGTCTTGTATATTCTAGGCATCTCAAATGTCGTTCCCGATTATTCATATCGGAAAGTCTTCCCACCCTTCTCGTCATTTCCTTTCCTTTTTCTGATTTCACTTGTATAATATATATAGGGATTTACCACTCCTCAGTAAACCTATTGGAAAGTCTTTCTCTTCTTTTCGTTTCTTGATATTTTCTGATTCGCCCCTCTAGTGAATCCTAGGAATCCTTCTCCCCACCCCATCTATTTCTCGTATATATATTTTTCTTATGTCTTTCATTTCTGTCACCTTTCATTTCATTTATTTCCTTTTCATGTTAGGAACGCTCTTTTTCTCACTGGGTTTTTTTTAGTGAGGTTCCTGTTTATCATGTCATATCATTTCCTTTTATTTCTCTTTTTTCTTATTTTCCTTACACAACGACATTTCTACTATATTTCTATTTACCCCCTCATACCATTATCATGTCTTGTGGATCGCCCATCTAGTATGGTAGATGGGGTTCCTTTTTCCTTTGTTTTACATCTCTTTTATATTTTTATTTCCCCCCTCATACCATTATCACGTCTTGTGGATCACCCATCTATGATAGATGGGGTTCCTAAAATGTACCTCTTATGAGCTTGTATTTCTGTTTGTCGGTTCACTCTTTTCCCACGCATTGACCAGCGGGGTTTTTAATGAGGTTCTGTTTTTTGTTGGTTGGCGAGATAGAAATACAAGTTCATTTCCGGTCAGATATTTCTGTGCATCGTAGTCATTGTGAAATGAAGTTATAGCTGGCTATTTGTGTAGCTGGGTTTAAATTCGATCATTCTTTCATGAGATTCTTAGTAGTGAAAATGTATTCTTTTGGCTGGATTTAATAATCGTAGACATGGGTGTCCCTGCGTGTAGGCTACGTGGACATGGCTTCGAACTTGCCCGTCACGCCTAAGTCTTCGTCTATCATCCCGGATCCCTCGCTCGTAGGAAATGATTTGAGTTATACGTGTACAGCTCATTAATAGAGATACACGTATGCACGTCTTGACAATTAACACCTATCCCACCTCACGAAACCGATTCTCCATATATAGGTACACATGATCAAGCCTGCACCCTCCTCCTAGACTGGTAAATAAAACCCTCCCACAGCTCTCACCGCCATTAAAACCTACCCAAAGCCCCCCAAACCCACAACCTCGTACGCCAGTATCAACACAGAAAAAGCCCGCGCAAACACCGCCCCTACGAAAACCTCAACACAGCTCGACGTCTCCTAGTGCCAGTATAGTACATGCAGAAACTAGGTACACCTTACTTGAGCTGGTAGATAGCCTTGTCGCCTGTACCTTGTTCCTCGAGCATAAGGCTGACCGGTACGGCTGATGACAGCCCGATGGAGTAATCGCAGATGCAATGTGTTTAATTATGCATTAACGAGCGCTCAAGTTCGGGAAGTTCACGAAGTAAGTGGCCCCCTTGCCTTCGAGGTTGAGGTTGGTACCGCGATGTCGCCTTGGATTGTCATGGCTTTCAGAGGACGTCCCTTACACTGCTAGGACTGCCAAGTATCGTATCTTAATTCAGTGGCTTGCGTGCGAAGTTCGCCTGATCTCGTGTTGGCAGAATTGAAGTAACAGCGTGCTGACAGCGGAGAGCTCTCCACGCAGTTGATTGTGACGTTGTGTAGTTGAGATGTTGTTTCGAACCTTCTATGGCGCCGGTCAGAAAACGGTATAGTCCATGCGCATATGCACGACGACCTCGCCATATATGGCAGAGCTCAATATGCCGGGTCCCTTACTCAGGGAGTTCTATTTTTCCTCCTGCAAAATCAATTTGCTATCTCGGCTTCCTAGCTTGGGATATTTATGTACGAGATTTCGGTGAATCTTCACCGTCCGGAATAGCGAGGTGCAAGTCGTATAACTAAACCCAGCTAGCTAGCTACTACATAGAGCTAGCCAGCACTCATGATCGTGGGGAGAAGATGAAACTACCCTTATATATTACATACGTCGTTTATTCACTTTACTCTCGTCCTATTCACTCTTACAAGCAGCACATGCAACGGTCTTAGTGGGGGTGTCGGGTCTACTATTTGATGGATGCTAGTACTAGTGTTGCTTCCCTAGTACGTGCCTAGCCTCTGCTGCGCCTATTGGTAGAAAGTGGTGGATCCCCGCGGATTGGGGGGGTGGGGGTTTAGTGGAGCCTTGGGTTTCAATATATGTGTGAGGACCCCTAAGGCATCGCGCGTCCCATAGGATTGGATAACCGCCCTACTGGTATGGTGCTGCTACTGTCCCATTGGTTCATGTGTTATGTACGAAGCTGAAAGAGCGTGTTCGGGGTTTAGCTTTCGGGACTCTCTTACATGTGCCTAATGGTTTCCGGAAGCACCTTTTTTCTTTTCACTGCCTCTCATATGGAGTAGAGGTACTTTGTAGTACTGCTGCAGCCCTCATGTGGTCCTACTGCCCTTGTTGCTTTATTCAAATAAACCCTTGTGATGGAATCCGGAAAACCCAATTGTGTGAAAAGATAATGAAAAATTTGCTCGTTTGCAATATGACAATGATACCCTCAATATTCCCAATTCCTAATCCATACCCCCTACCTTAAACCAGTGCTTCTAGCTCTTTCTCCGGAGACTTTCAAAAGCAGCGCAACTACATCTTCATGCCCGCCCTGACTCGCAAGCATCAATGGCGTGCTTCCTATATTGTCTTTCACGTCGATTTCCACCTGACCAGTTTTAATCAGCGCATCTACAACCGCCACATGCCCCTTCATAGCCGCTCTCAACAGCGGTGTACGACCCTTATTACATTTATGATCCACAGTAACACCCGGAGTCTTGCAGAGAAGTTCCACAACCTCTAAATGGCCGCGTCTTGCAGCCCAGGAGAGTGCCGATATTCCAAAGGAGTCACATGGGTTCACTTCGATTTCTGAAGTCCTGAGTAGACGCTTGACGACCCCGGCTCGTCCCTTTTGGGCGGCATAAAGGAGTGGGGTGTAGCCGTGTTTGTCGGTAGTATTGACATTGATGCCGGGTGTACATAGGTGCGCAGACGTGAGAAGTACGTTACCTGTGAAAGCTGCGTGGTGGAGAGCGACGGTGCCTTTTTGGGGTGCTGGAGTGCTTCGCTGAGCGTATGCGGGGGGTGCAACTATATCTATTGCTGTAGACTCTCTGAGATTGTTCCCTTGTGGGATCTTCTCATCAGGGAAGCAGCTATTTCGTATTAAGTATTAGCGAGAAGACCTTGGGCTAGATTTGTAGGTAGACGATGGTGCTGTGTAACCTTGAGGATGTTTCTTCGTAGATGGGGATTTTCTCATCGTTGCTCGACTTGGAAGACCAGGCAATTCTCATTGCTCGGGCCGTTCGTTTTATACGGCTGAAGAATCCGAAACCCATCGTGTATTTGAAGACTGAGAGTGTTCAGAGAAAGATTTATATATGGAATTTGTAGTTTACTGTGGTATTAAGTAATGATTGATAGTGGTGATATATAGGTAGGTTGTTTGAATCCTTTATTTTGGATAATGCTTGGAATTTATAAAAATTCATATCAAACAGTAGATCCCTGTCTCCCGATATAGGCGGCATAATCCGATTAGAATGTGAGATGCATATGCACCATCAAACAAATGATCTACTCATTGGTTCACAGGTATGTACGCATATGTGTATGCAGGCGTGTTCATAACTCGTAACCACAATTCTCCCTTACCAACAAGGCTGCAAAAAAATACCCTGCATACTATGAACTTTCAACTTATCAGTGTTCTAAACTCGAGGCTGAAATTTTCAGAGCCTAGGCGCTGAGTGCTCCGGCTATCCCTATCGAACGATTGCTGCAAGCGAAAACTCTTCACGTGACACTGTTAGTCCCATAACAATCGAGTGCTGTTTGATGATCCTTGGCGGAAGGCGTTATTGGGAGAGAGGCAGAAAGCTAGGTAAGGCAGCGATATAGAAGAGTGGGCATATTTGCTAGACCAGCGGCTGTTGGGACATAAGCTATGGTTTCACCTAGAGTTCGGGATCGGCATTGTGCTTTGTTGACTGGACTCTATCTAAGATCCGCAAAGTCTTCCATAACGGGTCAAGAACGGGTAAATCATTCTGCTATTACGGTGATTACCACGTAGTGCCTCTTAAGCCTCAGGTTGGGAGTCTCTTGATCAATTATAAGTTCCTCAGTGTTCGTAGTGATTTGTGTGGGGTGTTGCAACATCATTCGCGTCGACAACGACGCGAAACGAATGATTCAACACGTTGCTATTCATTAATCCAATCGCTATCAAAGACACAATTGGGGGCGGGGACGAATACCCATTGGCTTATCATCATTGGTGTATAAACGCAAAATGTCCAAAGACACGAAAGATTTTTCTTGGTCAAATGCTCAATATTAAGTTGTGCCCCTGGATCCCATGCTGCAGTCCTATAAGTTAGGTTTCGAACAGTGCCGAAGCGCAGTATAAATGCCAAGAGCTGCCAATACTGTTCCATAACACAGTTCGAAACCTCGCCTTTTAGTACAGTCCCAGGCAGCAGTCCTATGCACACAAAATTGAGCATTCAGAATGAAATGGAGAAATTAAGCCACAGGCACGATATAATCCCAAGCTATCTCAAGGCGCGATGGTGTTTAAGGCTCAGACCCCCCAATAGACCTAGAAATACTGGATTAAAAATTTCAACAATAGACACAGTGTGGTCCACGAGGGCGAAGTACTTCGTGCCTCGCCTCGAAGCAAATGCTTCGAGGTAGCACGAGGTATACCCTTCGGTGAGGCCGATGTACCTCGATATATGGTATATTCCTCGACTCGAGTCAACATAAGATATACTCTTCAGGCTTCCAAAACGGAGATACTCGTATAAATATACATCTCGGAGGATCAAGCCAGACAAGAACTATTGAGAACCCGCTGCCAATATCTATCTCGAGGAGCATCGAGACAGGTCGAGGCATAGGTGTATATGGCTCGAGGCAACCTAGAGCATGTCTCCTTAGAGGTAGAGGCCTCTCGATACACCCCATCTTCCTCGCCTCGATGCGCCTCGTGGACCACACTGAATAGACATCAAGCTTCAATAATCTAGGCCAAATGGCTTCGAGCCCGAGGTACCCCAGGTGGAAGTGTCTAGGGTTAGCTCTTAGGCCCTTTGAGAACATCTCGATGTGACTGAACATATCAATACTACGGTCCTAAATATAACATCGAACAGGTAATCTCTAAATTCCCAGTCCGTTTCTTGACACCCCCTTTGTGGGTGAGATTGAAAGCCTTTTCAGTGCTGGCGAAGGTGAAATGTTCGCCTATCGAAAGTAAAAGGCTGTATTATACCATCCTCGAATTTATGTGCCTAATTGTTCTAATCAGTTTTGTTTTCTGTATTGATCTTGAGGTTCTCTTGTGAAAGGTGTTAACGGAATGTGTCCATTTCGTTGAGAATTTCATGTGAAATCAGGATAGCCTACATCAACAAGTTACCCACTGCCACTTCCCTCATGAAGAATTTTCCAATAGACTACCGCTCATTAAACCGGTCTCCACTATAGCAGCTGATGGGGCTTAGTAGCGAAAGAAAGGTTGGTAATGGACGAGGTGGATTTTCTGGCATTTTTCTGGCCCCGGTGGAGATAATAGGCTAGTGCTACCACCACTACGTGCTGTAGGCACAGACGTGATATATTCAGTATTCAGAACGATGGACGGATTTGGGGGGTTGGGGGGGGGGGGGGGCTTGGAAAGAGAGGTAGAATCTAGGTGTATTTTCTTAGACTTAGGTTATATCGTCTACCAGTGAAATTGAAGTAGCTGAAGCTCTTGATCGGATCTAAGTCAGATGGTCCTGTGGAGATCCACCCCATTCCAAAGATTTACATAGTAGTACTCGACGGCGAGTTGCTGGCCTGAAACGTCAGTTTGAATTGTAGTTGGATAGCTATAGGTTAATTAAAAACAGGACGAGAAATTTACATGTGAGAGAACTAGCAGAGACCACAGCGGAGATAGTGAAGCGGGTAACGTACTCAATTGAATGGACGGATAAGAAGTCACAATCACGCGCACGTCGAAGCGAGAAGTGAGCCCTGCTTTTGTACTTGTAAACAAAAGTTAACAAGAACAAGCAAAATTAAGCTGAAGGGAAATTCGGCCTGGAGCCTATTATATATTTTACATTCTTTGCAAATTTGGCTTTCGTACATGCGTGTAGCTACATGTAGCTAGCATGATTTGTGAAGTCTGTAGCTAGCAGCTTTGAATGGCAGAAAATTGACCATGACTACCGTCTAATCACAGTCAAATCAACTGATGACGCTCATATAATTCCACATATAGTATACAAGTTATACTTTGGAATAGACTTCTCCCAAGGGATTCTTTCTTTTTGCTATATATAGATGTTGAACCATTTCTACTAATTGTAAATTAAAGTTTCTCTGGATGCACGAACATCCAATAGGGAATTGTGTTACGAGAATCACAGGTGCGCAACCTATAGCCTTAAGCTTTTGAAAAACAGTAAAATTCCACTGTGAATATCCCGAAACTGTCGATGCTCTCTAAGCCTGGAATAAGCAAGGCGAAGCTCATATCCATCATATATTATCACTCGACATCAGATTGATAGTTCATGAAGCCAAGGCTTTGTTCGACGCGCTGTCACAGATTTAACTATTATAGGGCTGATATAGTAATTTTTTATATTCCTTGGCAACCTTGGTGAAAATGGGTGGTAAGTTCTTTGTTCCCCAAACGCCACAAAGCATAGCTACTCGAGCAGAGGGCCTTCTTCTATGAGTTCCATAAGTTCTGGATGATCCCAGTTTCCCCTCTTATTATTGACTTTTGATCGTCGGAGAAAATGCCGGTATTAAAGCTCACGCATATCCCCGCTTCCCAGCCGGAGGTAAACTGCGTAAACTCCATCTGGGCCAATATTCGATATACTCTCTTCGGTGGCGACGATGGCCTCTGTATCACCGGATCTAAGAGGACCTGCTGCCTTCATATTATCGACATTGCTACAAATACGCAGAAAGGGGTGTGTATACCAAATAAATCTTTATGTACTGGGCGGAGCCCACTTCTGGGAGATGGCGAGATGTTATTCATCCATGCGAATGAAGAACATAGCACAACGATCCACCGCCCAAACAACGGAATTAATAGAAAAGAAGATATATATATCCTCGATGATCAGGGTATCCTGATCGGCGATGATGAAACTACGATACTCGGCACCAGGGGCCGGGAACTCTCAATTCAAACACACTCCGATCTTCACCGGCGCGCCGCCGCCAGCGAAGAATCCACTCCTTCTGGAATTCCGATAGACCCGGTACCCCCCTCCGACAGCGAGCTGCCAACAGCGGCTGTCGCGGGCGGAGTTGTGGTGGGCGTTCTTGTAATCGTTGCTCTCTGCTCTCTAGGTTTTGTTTGGCGCCGCCGCCAGAAAAAGAGAAATCAGCCAAAAGTCGACACACATGAGGGTAAGCCCGATGAGACAGAATTAGGTCTGGTAGTGTCCGCGTTTGGAGACCCTACGCAGTTTACCAGTATTGAAGAGAGATTGGAGGAGGCAAGAACGGAAGGGAAGGAGAAAGGGAAGGAGAACGGGTCAGCAGAAGCAGACAACGCGGGCGGAGCAGTTGAAGGGCATAGTGCAAGGGATGTAGCAGAAGGAGACCATCTGGGCGGGGTAAAAAGAGAAGTGATGAGTGTGACAGCTTTGCCGGCGGGAGGGGCTAAACCAGAAGTATCCGAATCCGAAATACAGCCGGTTCGAGACTGAGAGATGTCTGGGGCGAGTGATTATGCATGAAGGAGGCTGTTTGGTAAATTTTTTATTATATCTTCTACATGTACTTATACATATTTTTAATTGCCCTAATAAATTAAATAAAGGTGAGAAGTAAATCTCTATGTGTTTGATTGAGTGCACAAGTTGTTGCATGTATCCTATTGCTTGAATTCGAATATGACGAACTGTTTGAAACCCCCTGATCAACAAGACACACTCTCATAATGATATCTCACCTATAGGGACATCAGTTTAAACTAGACACCCACTTGAACTTTTTCTCATCCTAGAAATTTCTACCTTCTCTCAACGCATCTCTTAATTGTCTTCCCTCCACTCAGTCTTGTACCTATCCATCCCCTCTACCTCCATCCCCGCTCTATTTGCTATTGATTGGCCTACTCTATCTCCTGTCCCATCTCATGTATCAGCCACGGTTCTTCGTTGAAAAAATAGCCCCTTTTAATTCATCATTAATCCCTTGTGACGCATTTATGGGTAAATTTAAGGGCATTTGAAGAGTTCTGAGTACATTCTTAGTTCCAGGAAAGTGAATATTCATTCCAGAGCGAGCAATCTTTACTATTTTGTTGTCATATATTTTCGTTGGTGTGAAGAGGAAAGCCATCACTTCATTTGTTGCACCTAAGCGTACCAATCGCATCTCAAAACAGAGAATAAAAGGAAAAAAGATAGTGCTTATATGACTACACTCATCCAGAGACAAAGTTGAAATAAAAAGTAATAAAAATAGAAATAAACAATGATAAAGGCCCCGAAAAGGCACCACAATTTTTTCGCCCTCCCCTACCCTTCAGTCTTTCGAAAAACAGACCCGGAGAATCCTTCAAAATCCCTCATCCCAAACCACTTCCTCAAATCCATCATCACTATCACTACTATCACCTGCCTCTGTTGCACTTTGGTCTCCTACTTCTGCATCGCTACCCAATAAGCTCTCCGTCTCCACGTCAAACTGGACATCGTCTCCAGCCACCGTTCCATTATCGCTCTCTCCATCTCCCTCGGAGATTACACCAAAGCTCGAGAATCCAGACGTGCTGAATGATCCTATGCTTCCAGTTTCGGTCGCACAGTCGTCATATTCCTCTTCCTTCTCATCCCCTTCGCTCTGGTCCCTTTTAGGTAAACCTGAGGACAACCCCCCCCTGATTTCAAGTTCCACCATTCTGCCCTCAGTTCTAATGTTATTATTATCGACTGTGTCCGCAGGAGCTCCAGAGATATCCAACCCCCCCGCCCAGGCTGGACAAAAAGCCCACTCTTCTTCTCTCAGGCTCACGATCAATCCATCACCGGCCCAGAACGGTTCAAAGCTGATAGGGATCTTCAGCTGCGTCGAACTCACTTTCGTTAGATAAGCTTTAATCTCCTTTTTCAGCTGTTCTATGCTGAATAAAAGACAGGTGTCGGGTAAATGATGCCTCGTGTTAGGAACCGTTAAAGCTGAAACTGGGATTCTCCAATAACTGGGCGCCCGCCCCTCTTCAGCTGTCTCAGTTACCCCCGTTGTATGGGTCGTATGGGATGATCTTTGAAAATTATGATCATTAACAACGCGGGCAATTATCGAGCCTGTTGCAGGATCGGCCCAAGCATGGGGTTGAGGGGCCCAAGGTGCACGTGTAGGATCAACCCAATTTGTGGTTAAAGCATCGGAAGGTAGGTTTTCGTGAGATGGGGGGAGCCAATGGGAGAATTCTAGGGAAGTAAACTGGCCAAGACTTGAGTCGGAGGTGGGGTCGAGGGTCATTGGCTCGTCAAAAAGGGGAGGAGCAGAGCGAGCAGCCCTAAAATAGTGTAACTGGTATTCGTCGTCGGCAGCATTCAAGGTCTCATGGTCCCCTAAATCATACTCTTCGGATGGAGGGTTTTCTGGTTCATCCTCAATCGCTTTTTCCTTGCCTTTGCCGAGAGGTGTTGGGAGTGGGGAAGAGGAAAGTCGGGGATCGGAATAGACACCAGAGATGTTGAACATTTCTGGTTCACCGGCTTCAGTATCACCCTGCCTAAAGAAACTGGCTTCGGTGATGTTTTCGTCTTCGTCTTCGCCAGGATCTCTTTCAACAGAGCAACGGCGCTTTCTCATTGGATTCTCAACTTCAACTCGCCCTGGCCTGATATCAGGGAAGATAGTGGAGGAGTCAATGAATTCTGTTTCTTTACGGTGTGACTCAATCTCCTTCATATCTGTACATGACCCATCCAAGTCGGATAGTCTCATTTTGCGCTTCTCGCCGACCTTATCCGTATCTATGGCGTGGAGTGTGTACGGCGGTGGCCCGTCGAGAAGATCGATGGTTGAAAGCTCATGCGGATAGTTTTGTCCCGGTGGTACGCTATTCGAGGCAGAAGGATATGAAAACCCCGTGGTTGTGCCATTGCCTTCCGTGGGACCAGAAATCGGGGTTCGAGAAGAAGACGAGACGGTATTTTGTGTGCTCCGCCTCTTGAAATTCTGCCACCGGGTTCTTGTCGGATTGTTCGGCATTGAACTCATTACTCTGGTTTCTGCACGTTCAGGATCAGCTTCTACGGACTCCTCCGCTTCTCGGCCCAAAGATAGCAAGCAGATTGCTGTCTCCACCTCAGAGTTCGTGGCCCCGAAGTTCGTCCCCTGCGTGTCCTCATCAATCAACAAATCTGTCTCTACCGTATGTAATGTAATATTCCAGTGAGCTAGAGCTCTTGACACCTGGAGAGTTCCTATCCTATCTGTTGGAAAATTGAATAGTTGCTTCCAATACATTCTGCTGAAGATTTGCTTGGGCCCTGGCATCATATCAAACATCGCCTTTTCCCATGGATTCATCCAATTTGGGTCCCCAGGATCTTCCGAAAATGCGAATAGAGTTGCGAGCTGTGCTTTAATCACGGCTCTGATAGCTTCATCTAACTCCGATGTGGCTCTGCGAAGCATTGGGCCCTTCGCTTTAAGATTAACGGTAATCTTGTTGTACTCTGGAATAACCTTAGCGTTATCTAACCACGCCGTGCTATTGATATAATTATACAACCTCTCTAGCCTCCCCTGTAGGGACCTTTTCGCCGCAATGATACTCTCGCCCCACGGTTCCGCTCCGGGGGGTATACTCTCGTCAAAATTGAACACTCCCGCCTTCTCCACCTTGCCACCCTGCAACTGCTTCCCCACCAGTATTGCAAATGCATCACGATATAGACCGGCGTTCTTCATCTCTGCAGCAGTCTGCAGTACGTATCCTGGGTGTTGTTCCATGAAATTTTGATTCTGGTAAAGCCACGACAGGATATGATCCTGTACTGCTGCTGTACATTCCATCTGCAAAGCAACTTTGTGAACTGTGTACCACATGGGCGTGGTGGAAATCTGTGGATCGAGGCCATGGAGGATATACAGCACCCTCTCAATGGCGCCCGTGTGCCTCAATAACGAATATGCTGGCTTCTTCGTCTCTTCCTTCTCCACCTGCGTTACAACCTTTAAATTTTCTTCAGGCTGAGCTGTTTCCCCCTTGGTTTTCTTGAGGAGGTCTTCACGAAACGCCTCAAGATCACTCTCCATCTTTACTGTGAGAGAAAGTGGTAAGTTGACGTCGAACAGTGGTGAATCCGGCGGGGACTGGTCATCCTCGATGAAATTGCCGTCGAGATTGCTATTCCACTCCAGGATTTCATCCGGGCACCAAAAGCGCTCCACCGCATCCACTGCTTCTTCGCCCTCAATAGGCGGGGATAGGTCCACAACAAATTTAATTCCTAAGGGTAGGCCAAGCTTGAGTAGGTTTTTCCGACGCAGAATTCGAAACTGGTAGGTTGGACCGAGGAGCCTTTCAAATACCGATGAACCGGTCGCAAGAAGCTTTTGGGAACTACATCGAAGTGGTTGAGAGTGCGAGTTTGATTGCACATAGATCATGGTATCATTCTCGGGTGACTGGAGATTGAGGAGGGGTAGTCTGAGCCTTGGGGGTAGTCGGGGAGTGGAAGATGAATAGGTGCGTGTTTTTTTCTTCGAGATGATCAGGGAATGTATGACCTCTTGAATAGTCCGGTCGGTGTTTTCGTTAACGGGAGTAGTTGTGGCCATTTTTCAGTCAGCCTGGGTGTAGTGGTATCCTCCTTGATTTGTTGGCTTTAGCTTTGGCTTCGACACAGCGGTGTTGGTCATTGAGCAACTTGAACGAGCTTAATGGGAGGGGGAGCTGAAAACAGCTTAACGGTAAGGTAAGGGTGGAATTTGTTAGGCGGGAAAATGGAGGGGAAGCCTTTATACATATGGGCTGAGTGCGAAAGGGCACGGGATACCTACGGGCGGAGAGGAGATAGAGCTGACGATTGTTACACTATGTACATGCGGGACTTTGACACGCAGATGCGATTCATGATAGATAAGTAGCTAACGATAGTTGTGGTGGGGGGAGAGTCATCCATCACATCACTGATCTTGTGCAGGGCTGACATCCTATAGCTAAGGTGGATGCCTTACTGCGTATGCGGTTCGTACTCAGCTAGAAGCACACTCGCTCTGGTTGGATGATAGTAGTGCCATCATGGAAGGGGAATCAACCCGCTTTCAGTGCTGGAAAGTTGAAGAAAATGGCTTAAGGTAAGTGAATATATACATAGATACAAAACAGCATATGAAATCGAGTTTAGTGGAAGCTTACTTCGACCGACCATTAGAAGCTACAGTCACATTCTAGCGATAGCTAGAGTACATGTACTTCATACGTGTATGTAGCTATCCCGGCTAGAGTACCATGCCGGCACTAATGGAAACCTCCTAGACTTTGTGTAACCCCCGCCTATATTCAACGAGGCTCTGCGCGGGAGGTACCCACCAACAAGTTTAGGGCTCGGGTTTCAATCTTGTGGGCCAAAGTTTGCGAAGCTAACCTTGGAGGGAGAAACAGAAAAAAGGTATCTAGAGCCCTAATACTCTTACTATTTATTCTACGAGGATTATCCTGTGCATTAACATTTTTGAAGCACCCAATACCTAGTACATGTAACCTATGCGTATGGTGTGCCAAAAGACTCAGTTATAATTAGTCATTCCCCACATACCTAGCATCAATGAATCATCGGAGACCCGAACGTTTAGTATAAGTACCTGTTCATACCTGCCTGGGATGAAGAATTCCCAATCCTATTTTTGTGCAGGCTGGTTGGACATAAACTTCTCGCTCCCATTTGCGGCTCATGCTTTTGCTGGTTGCATCGGACAGTTCAGTGTCCACCGGCGTAGAGTACGTATTTAGTAATCCATGCTTCTCATATCCCCCAATTTAAAACCTTTGAGGGTGTGTTTGTTAATCTTTCTATTGGTGCTTGCTAGGGGAGATAAAACTTAAATCGTAGTCAACTACACCACTCGCAAGACATCTTGCGCACACCAAAACTAACACAACAGCAGCTTTTTCTTTACCCCTCTGACATTAGAAGCTGAATACCTATGTTGCATAGAGAATCGCGGATGGTCTATGTGGGCTTCTATATGAAAAGACGGATTCGAAGAATGCAAAACGAGGATTAATGGGGATTATAATATATCTTGCGGTCTTCGAGTGTGGTTATCATAGGTATGTGATTGAGCTTCATTTTCTACTAATTCTTAGTGTTTGCCAAACCAAGACGCTATACCTAATATAGAGTAAATAATGCCTACACCCATCCCAACTGGTTGCCAGCAGTCTGGCTAGGCCCCGAATGTTTCTGCTCTTCTTTGAAGTCTACCTTGCGACTACTTGGATTATAATTATGGATTATAGATATATATTGACTTTTTCCTCAATAATCATGGGGTACTCGATATCGATATTGGGGTGCCTTCGGCACCCCCTCCTCCTCCCGCCCTCTGGGATCCCCTTCGCTCTCCTCTCTGTTGACCTAGTAAAAGGGACTGACCTCGAGATTTATATGTGCCAAGGAATGACTGCCAGAAACTACGCCGGAAAATGCTCCCAGGCTGTGATGGATTTGGCTGAATAATCATTGATTCCATAGTGAACTAAACTTAGATAGGTAACTTTGTACCACCCTACCCGCGACCCCCTCTGTCTCCGACATTCGGGGCATATCTTATCTGATTCGGCTTATCTATAACATCAATTAAAAAAAACTACATCCCTAGCTACATAACAGACAGAGAAGGGGCCAGAGGTTCTATTGTTAACAATGCATATCGCTGCCATCATTCTCAGATAAGGTGCATGTAGTACATGTAGTCATCCTCGATATCACCAGCTGAGGGCTCGGGCCCCGAAACCTGTCTTGTAGTATCTGTCATATTCTTACAGTAAAGACTACCTTCCGAGTCGAGTGGTGCTCTCAATACTCATTATAATATCCCAACCTCAGTTCGAGCTTAGTCTACCGGGCTATAAGGTTGTATTCAATATATACCTTTCCCCTCTCAGAGCTGAAAGTCTTATTGAGCCAGTCTCATAACGTTGGTGTAATAGGTCCAACTCTGAATCGCTGTCTCAAATCTCAGATGAAGATTGGTAGAGGAAGAGATCTTTGCGCCTCCCTGGCGGTGTCCGGCCCCACCGATACATAAAACCTAATTTTATGTCCTAGATGAGGGATATCAGCGACAGCTAAATCAATTAGTATCAAAAGATTTGATTACAATTTACTCTGCAAACCTTTGAATCTTCTGTCCCCGCCCCAGAGAATCTCGGTTAAGCCACTCGCCCTCGATTCTTTTTTTGGTGAGTGGAGGGAATTGGAAATAGCTGTGCCCGTTGAACATCAGTATTGGATCATAATCATAGTGGGTGGGATTATCTCACGAGTACCATAATACTCAAAGCAGGAGAGCCAAAGATCCCAGTCCCCCTCGCCGACGCTCTGAGACTATTTATGGACTAATATTACTGTGAATCTGTGGTTATGTTGGTTAAACCCATCATAAGAGATAAGTCGAAAACCTCAGAAAGTTACCTCAATACTCAAGACAACGTCATGTCTCTCTTATTTGATATTTCATATGAGCGGAAGTCTCGATTCCGCACCGAGGCCATACGGGGGACAATGTTTCGCTGGTTCTGGATCCTCACAGTCCCTTTTCTGGATGGAAAAGGATCGTGCCCTTCAGACGAGGAATTGAAAGGCTGGGGGACATGTTTGAAGATGAGGGATGATGGTTGATGATAATAATAAATTTAAAAAAAGGACTTGATAGATCATAACCAAGGGGCATGTGTGTAATGAATGGATCCTCGTTACATGGAAAAGAAAGGAAGAGAATATTCTAATTCGGAAAGGGAGGTCCTAGTTGTAGCCATCATCGGATTAGCTAATTCTTTTACGCACAAAGACTTGTTACACACGCTGTAAGGTCTCCCTTATACCAATACGTATGTACATGTGCGGATTTTCACCATTTAGGGTTTTTGGCTCGTTTCCTTTATGACTACCTAATCAAGCTAATCCCCACCCGAGCCGACTAATAAATCCTCCCTCAAAAACGCCTTATTTACAACTTCTAAAAGGACCATATAATATGCATTATTCCTACATGTATATTCCTCTTGAATGTTAGACGCTTTAGAAAATAATGACCAATCCCCTGCATGTAGTATCAAGCCAGCACATCATCATCACATCTAGGCTGTAGAGAGGTTATTTATCGCACTCTCAGGTTCCCGCGCTTAAACTTGATTTTTACGTTCCAAATCATTGTTAATTCCGATATATAGCGGTTTATCCCCCCATCATAGCTCAAATTATATGACGAAAACTATGTCATTTTGGTATATTCAAGTCGGGGCCGGGGACTTGATAAAAGTTGAGAGGGTCTAGAATCTTCTGCTCCTCGAGGACCATGTGTCCGTGGCGACCCGTTCCAGACCGGGCCTTTTTCAATAGCAGGCCATATTTTTGTGGTTTGCTTATGGAGATGTGAAAGATGCAGTTGCCAATCAGTATCTATAATAATACGGAAGTGATGGAGGCCCACTGGCGAGGTGTAGCGGAGACCTCGAGTCCGAGAACGCCGGAGATATATTGTTTTGAAGAGCCTAGTGGATTCTGTCATGTTTGCGAGTTTGATTCCTTGATTAAGGTATGTTTGCACAAACACGATACGTAAAGATACCCGGGCGGTGAGAAAGATTCCCGTAGCTGACATTGTTTTGTGAGATAGTCTTATGAAAAAGGCTGTTTGGGATGGGGCCGATGAGGTACGTTGAAGAGCGCGAAGAGCTAGAGGATGTCGGTCATGCCCTGCTTTAATTTGCCCGTTCTACATCGTACATCTAGCATGCCGAGAAAGCACAAAAAACAAAGCTTACCTAGCTAAAACCTCAGCCAAAACATTGTCTTCTCAATATGTGAATCTCTTAACACGATAAGTGATTTATTGTAAGCGTACGTACGATTTAGTAGGGGTTGTTTAAGGTAGTTTATCTCGCTCATTTCCCCCTCTCCCACCTTCAAGTTTGAACCTGGATTTACGGACAAGTTTGATATCCGGTATGATCACACACAGTGCGGAGCCGATATCTTGCTGTTCACAACTCAAGTGAAATTTCTTAAATGGGTTAGTTGTGCAGATGGCAGGAGGATAACGATAAGATCCCGGTTTTAGCGGGGCCAAGGTCAAAGCGGCCAAAAATTTATTCAAGACTAGGGCTTAGGGTACGCACAACCCCGCCTGCTTTAAAAGATTTTTTGCCCAACGCCCATCGCGAATAATTTTCCCCCCACCCCCACACCGACATCATGCATCAATGTTCATCAATTGGACCGCCTCCATCATCAATTCTCCTCGTGTGAAAGGTAAGCTTCATCCATCTCCTTTGTTCATCATCCCGCCTGCCCTGTCCGTACGGTAGGATGATGAAGACATAAAACAATTTCTACTTCTGAGTTCCTCGATGAAGTCTAAAATTTTATGCGTTATGGTTCCTGAACTACCGCTTTCTTATGTCTTTGAAACACCAATGACATGCCTGTGACGAGAAGATCGAAGCTAACGCTCTCCCCTTCAGAATTTCGCTGCTTTCTCTATCAAGAACGCGACAAGAGCCGTACCCCGCTATGAAATAAATTGTGAGTACACTCCGGATCTTGATCCTCAATCCGCTTCGTTGCCCAGGCCACTTGTTCACATTTGTGTGATGAACATAAACTCAATCTTATCTACATTGTCTGAAATTATTTGAAGACATCGTGCATCCTCTGACTCCAAATTATACCCTTTACGCTTGTTTTCCGCGTTCATTACGTCAATAATCGTTACTAATGTTAGTACATTGAAGATCTAGGTATGTGTACATCACGTTGAACGAAGGTGCACGCTTCGGACGCATCATCGGTACTTCACATCTTGGTCGGTGTACGAAGTCTGGATCGTATCGGGGTGTTGTCCGAACACCTTCGCTCATACCCTCCTCCCTTTCCCCTCTCCTAAGTTGGCCCGCCCCCAAAAAAACCTCTCCATATCTGCCCCTACTGTTGTCATCAGGCTTTAGGGTTCCTGGAAGAGAGGAAGATTACCCTCCATGTGTGCGACTCACAAGTCAATCATTCGTAAATCGTGTTGTCGTGGGCATGGGGCATGGTGTGCTCTGTTGAGAAAACTGTCCCGCTTCTCTATAGCGGAGCCGGTGGTTATACGTGTACTACATTCCTTCCTTTGCGAGCTTTCTTTTTCTACCATTGGTAGAAACCGGATTCTGGCCGTTGTCCCTTTATGGTATGTTTTTTTTTTCCTTTTTTTTTCTCATCATACACTCTTGAATCCTTTCCTTCCCTGCGTACAATGATGATCTTTTACTTCTTCACTTTCAGACCTTTTAAAGGGATGGTGAACAAACGACATATCAAGCTCAACAGTCTGACATTACGCCTCTATACCCAATTTTTTCCTTTCCCTATATCGCAACACCTTTGAAATGCATGAGGCTAACATTTCAATCAGTTATCAATATAGGATGTAGCTCTACACTTTCGAGCATCAAACAGGGACTGCTCTTCCGGGAGGCAGTCCTTCCCTCAAATCACAGGTAAGCTTAACGAACTTCTTTTATCCCGCACATTTTCTTTTCCCTCACACGTTGTCGAAATGATGAACGTTTAATAGCATGTATTACCTTAGAGGAATGACAATGTACAAAATGTCGTCCTCATTGATGTGAAATATGAATTCCTCGAACTGATCTTCACAACATACACATCAATTGTCTAATTCGAAGCTGCCCGCTCCTTTTGGACGAAAGCTGATATTATCGAAAGTTACATATAGGTTTTGTTCGCCGGGGTACGGCATTGATTGGACTAGCCGTCAATGCCTACCGATATCCATAGAAATAATAAAAAGAGTTTTCAAATTATATGATCCAAGAACGTGACTTAATGTGATAGAGGACTTGAGCGTAGAAAATGGGACCTTTGCGAATTACCATTGCCAATTGAAACAAAGGTGCTCTGTGAAAGACTCCACCAGCAGTGCTTCTCTCTCCTATGTAGGCCTGTAAACTGCGATCATTCCTGACGGGTTCCATCCATCTGCTCATGCCCATAAAACAAGCCAAGTCCGCACCCCATGACACTCCAGGGCCCAACAAGTTACAACCCAGCTCCAGCTGTAGTGGAAGTGGAAGTGGAAGTGGAAGTGGACCCTGCCGGGAAATCGTAGATCCGAACAAGCACCATGGCCGCGGTACCCAGCCTGTCATCCGTCAACTAAACCAAAGCTCCCAGGTTATCCCCAGACGCAATTGCATAACTCCCACAACTATTACTCTCTGCACACACACACACACGCACACACACACCCTCGAAGGATTGCGCGCCGACGCACCCGACATCCGAAATTCTCTGCATGAAACGGTGTGGGTTAGGGTTGCTGCACACACACGCCCACCAACTCACGATAGGACCTCCTCGCAATCTAGGGGAAGCGTGCGAGACACAACAGACAACACACCTTCTCTCTCTCACGACCTCCATACTCCAAGCCCGTCCATCGCAGCACTGAGCGCCATAACCCACAAACAGCGCCTTCCACCAGTCGAACAGAAAGCTGCCAGGATCTGGATCCCAGCTTATCCACCTACATACATACGTCCAACCGTGCCTCTTATCAGCTCCCTCCCTCCCTCCCCGCGCCCTCCACTGCGCCGCTGTCCCCCACCACAACCACAATGAACCTCCTTCACCGCAACCACCACCTCTCCATACCTCTCCTCCTCCTGTCTCTCCTCCTCCTCACACTCCACCCAACCTCCGCCTCCACCACCGCCCTCCCGCCCGCCATCGACCCCACCACAACCCCCGGCTTCGCCTCCCTCGACACCTGCATCCAGCTCTGCTTCACAGGCGGCGCCCTCAGCGCCCACAACTTCGGTACGCGCGTCGGCTGCGCCACAAAGGCGTGTGTGTGCGATGCGGCCGCGGCCGCCGCGGTCGAGGAGTATATGGAGACGTGTGCGAGCGTGAGCTGCGCGAAGCCGCGGAGGCTGGAGTGGTGGAAGCGGGGCGCGTGGAAGAAGATCTTTGAGAGGTATTGTGAGGGCGTGTGGGGGAGTGAGGTGGAAGTGGAGGGGGGAGTGGAGGGGTGGTAGTGTAGCTGGGAGTTGGGGAGGGCTGGAGGGCTGGAGGGCTGGAGGGGGGCTATATAGCTATCACTAAGGTTTTTCTTTTCTTTTCTTTTTGAGGTGCTGAGGTGTGGCTTAGTTAACTTGCTTTGCCTTGTGCAATGGGCGTTTGGTGTTTCTTCTTCCTTTCTTTTTTTCTTTTTTGTAGGAGCCGGAGCAGAGTAGTGCCTTTCTTCCTTTCTTCCTTTCTTGGGGCTGACCTTTTGATACCCTCCCATTGAATTCTTCTACACTTCTCTTTATTAATCACTAGATACCTATGCGTATACCCACTGAGTTGTTTCATCTGTATGTATTTATGTATTTATGCTTGTCAAATAATGGAGCTCTTTTTTGTTGCGCAGTTGGAGAGAATGTTGAATGTTGAATTGCAATGGTATATTCATTCCATCTGGATTGGCTAGATATCGTACATACGTACTAGCGTAATATTGGCGCGCACTAACTAAATTAGAGTAGTGATACATCATACACGAGTGAATCATCAATCAAGTAGTGATACATAGAATATCACTCGTGGGAATTATCTTGGAACATTTCCGTCTAACTTCCAACCCACGGATCTGGGGCTGTCGAATCTCCACAGTGACACATCTCTGATTTTCAATATAATTCATCTTTCTTTTTTGGGATATATTGTTTAATATGAAAAAACACATAAAAGCTTCACAATAGAGCCTTGAAGTCACTTTCACTTGAACTGAAGCCCTTTTTTTTTTACAGCAAAACGTAAAGCACTTTTATTCGAGTGATGACTGGTGATCCCCACATCATCTAACTCTATCTAAGCAACGGCTCTCCCGGAAATGAACATCATCTTCTATACGAAGGAATAGAACACTCAAAGCACAAATTTTATCCTCCTCCAACCCACTACTCCTAACTTTTGATCAATCACTATTAGCCACTCCCTCCTCCTTTCCCATACCTCTCTTTTTGTTTTTGTTTCTCTTGCCATTGGATCCGGAACCAGCAGCTGCACTTTGGCCTGCGCCGGCCATATCTCCCTCAGCTCTCTCGCGTGGATGAGGATGATATGGCGACAAAACGCCGATGACCAAAGGAGGACGTGCTTGGAACTGACTTCCTGCTCCTCCAATGAAAGACAAGTCGACAGAATCAGTTGCGGATGGCGCTTTAGAACTAAGCTCCTCAATTGTAGACAAGTACTGCTCTGGTGAGTATGAGTTCTTGACAGTTAGGGCGTTAACCTCAGAAGTGATCTGCGACACCCCCTGACCAGATGGGAGAGAAGGTTCTTCATCAGATGCCTCGCGCGCCTCAGACGGGACATCCGAAATGTCACCATCTTCTACCCAAGACTGCCATCTCTGCAAAATTTCCTGTTCCCCATCCGAAGACAGACCAAGTACGGCATGTGAGTACGGTGAAGCTTTCCCGCTCCCAGAATCTCCAAATTCGGTCAAAGAGTTAGATTCCGGTGTGCGAATGGTGCCATTTGCACTAATGTCGTCGAGAATGTCCCAGTCCATTGGGGTCTGAGCATCAAAAGACCCGTTAACCACAATGGACTCCTCAAAAACGCTGCTGGATTCAGAGCTTTCTTTATTGCTAGTCGAGGTCGAATTGCTCCAGGTTGGCTTGTCTCTTGCCTCATTTTCCACATTTTTTCCTTGACTAATAGCATTCCTCAGACTAGTAATATTCCCGAGGCCAATATTATTCTCCGGACTAAGATCCTTTTTCGGGCCGAAAGGTACTGAACCAATTGGTCTTTTTTTGAACGAGAACTGTGTCTTACAACTACTCGAACTTTCAGCAACCACAGGTACGTTAGAAGTTCGGGCTTTACTGATCATCCTTTTCATTGTGGCTGGTCCTCTATATTCAATCGTATTAGCCTGTTGGGGGGGCGAAGAATCAATTCCTAGTTCCTTTGAAGACTCAACCTTCTTAGAGGTAGTAGCCCAAGGAGTCGGTTCCAAGTCTGAATCCATTGTAAATACACATCCATAGCTTTCAGGAATCTGCAGTGGCGGTGACAGAGCCGTGCATGAATCACTGATTGGGCGGGATATAATTTTCGCTGATTCAGAAGGTGCGGTCCCCGATCCTGTATTTTCACGCTCTTGATTATCCATAGACTTCTCAGTTTTAGGGGGCGATTCTTCTTCCTCTTCAGAAAAACTTCTCGGGCGCGGAGGTGGGCTAATTCCACGAAACTTTGCGCGCTTTTGTAGAAGCATTGCGTTATAGTTCTCAGCAGTCCTTACTCCGTCCAAATGAGTCGTAGATGGCGAGGACGTTGGTGCATTTAGAGGCGAACCTTGAAACTCGGGGGTAGAAACGAACGGAGAGAGAGTCCGAGAGCTAGCATGTTCATCAAGTAAGTTGTGGCGGTCGGCATCATCCCTTCCAAATACGACCCCAGATACATGTTGCTTGACCTTGTCCAGGTTGTACTATCATTCGATACAGTCAGTATATATAGTTCACATAAATCCACAAAACGATTTTATGTAGACTGGTTATGGGTGGTTCAACATACTCCTGTTAATCCAACACCTGTCGTCACTAGAGCCAATGCTGCCGCAATTATTGCTACTATGAGCATAACACTCCAATGACCGCTCAACGCCCGCAAGAAGTATTCTGGCGAAGTCTCTGGGGGTAGTAGGTTCATCATATATGCCTGCATAGACCGTTTCATGGCCCCTGCAGCCATCGCTCCAAGTATATTTGAACTTGTGAGTAAGCCTATAGACATGCCAACATCACTATGCGTCTTGCAAGAGGCTTGCACACCAGCCAGAAGGCTTATCCATACCATACCAGCACCAACCCCAGTAATGGCTTGGGACATGAAAATTTGGAAGGTTTGTATTTCATACACTTCGGTGGATTGAAAGACCTGCGAAAGCTTATAATTAAATCGATTGGATAGTAAAAAAAGGGGGGGCAAGGTAAAACTACCAAAAGACCACAAATCATAAGGAACAGCCCGCCGACCACAAAAACCTTGTAAGTACGGCTCAAACGAATGAGCAACCCCGAAAAGAAACCGCCTACCATGAGGGAGGTAAATTCGACCTAGATATTGTTAGAAACCCACTGAGATATTTTAGACTATAAGGGAAGGCATACGTTGATAAGGGTATACCCTCCTTGTAACGACTCAATAATCCTTCTATATGAAATAGGTAAAGTCTCCAGTCGATCCCAGAGGGACCAGGACCCGATCTTCATGGCAAAGCTTGCCAAAAACCCAATCATACATCCCACAGGAATTGTAAACGTTCTTAACAGCCTTTCCCGGAAGAGAGGGTGACATTTCTCTCTAAAACTATTATAAAACTTTCTCCAAGTTTTGAGTTTCCCTTGATCCTGCGATTCGGCAATCCTCACAGATAACTCTGCTGCCGCTTGTTCCATTGTGATTGAACTGTATCCGACAGGTACAGCAGGCCCCATCATCATTACACGTTCCCCTGGGAGAGCACCCCATGTGACTCTAGGGGCGCGTCGTGCCTGTCTCCGCGCTTTATGTGTTGTCTTCAAGCCCTTGTTAAGCCATACCTCCCAAAGAGCGAGCAACATGATGCATAAACTTCCACTAGTGACCAGCGCGACTACCCACATTCCGATCCCGGCTTGCATCCTCTCGGACATTGATAACGTCGTAGATAAAAGGCCCATGCCTAAAGACCATAGGAACATCCCTAAAAGATCCAGCTCGCAACTTAGCAAGCTAAGCCTTCTCCATAATCCTTTCGGGCTCCACCAGATATGGTTGTAAACATGGTTTGATGCTGGGAAAAAACCACCATGTTTTGCCCGGCGGTGAAAGATATATGTAGTGACAATGCATGGAATCATGGCTGGTATTGAAAAACTGAAGAAAATCCAGACAGGGACATTCCTATACCAATAACACAAATTAGTAACTTAAATCTTTAACATAATAGGTGAGTTCAAGTATGGGAAAAACCAGTCTTACCATTCAACCTTTCCAACAATAGATTTTGCCACAGTCGGTTTTGACCAAACCCAGAGAATTGAACTCATCTCCAGACCCCAAAGCAATATGCCTCTCCAGCTCAGGTCGCTAGTATCAGCAACAATAACTTGAGATACCAGTAAAGCTCCTGACATCCCTAGGTGGAACAATGCAGTGCCTGCGCTGAACGACTCCCAAGTCACAGCAAATGCAGCCAGCCCTGCACCTCCGCTAGCAACTAGGACAGCAACTAAGAGGGCGAGAGGACGAGATTGGGTATTTGTGAGCTTAGCAACTGCAATTTTTTAATTATCAGCATGCTACTTGATTCAATTGATAATAAAGGAATCAGAAAAAACTTACAGATAATGATCCCGATGACTTTGGATACATCCAACATTGATAATGCCAACTCGAATTGGTAGAATCTTACTTCTCCTCTCATTGCAAAATCATGGAGTGCTTCAGTAATGATTAAGGGCGAATTGGTCGATCCAAAGCTGAAGAAGCTGACAAGAATGACGAGACTGAGATGGAAAATAGACTGTTAGTAATTGATCATCAGAAATGATCGAAGGAAAATATTAGCAGCTCACCAAATATAACATGCCATCAAATCAGTTCTTTTCCAATTCCTCGAGACTGCTCTTGCCTTTCTGGTTCCAATGTCTTCATCTGATTCTCCAGGCTCTTCACGGTGTGCTGTATCGGCTTGAAGCTCTTCGGTCCTAGTGCGATGATGTGCCGAGAATGCGTGAATAGTACGGTCCTTGAGATCACTTACTTCGGATTTGAGATAATTCCTCATCTTGTGGTGCCAAGGTGCCTTCCGATGAAGCTCTCTTGTAGCATCACCAGTGGGAATAACAGCCTGTACGCCAAAGGGATCTGGTCGATAAATTGGGTTCATCACCACACTGTGAACACCGATATCTTTAGGAGCAGGTAAAGAAGGGGCAGGCAAAGGAGGAGGGCGTGGAGTAGGGGTGATAGACGGAGACGGAAATGAATGAATTAAGCTCAAATGGCCGGACTTCTTATTATTCCCCGATGATTTTGATGCTTTTATCGTATCTGGAGCCACCCTCGACAGATTTTCCATGATACCGCAGCAGATAGCTGGATACTAACACTGGCGGCGATATCAAAGATATCAATGATAAAAGGTCGAGATAGTTAAGAGGTTATCAATGATTAAAGATCATGAAGAGGAAGTCCACGTAAGTTTGACGAGAGGTGGTTGAAGAAAAGGTTAAGTTACCGGGAGAGAGAGTACGTACGTACTATCCCCTCAACAACCTTATTTCTCAGGCACTAGCTCCAGTGTTACCCAAACAGCCGAAACAGCACTAGTGATTTCTCAATTAGTTTTACGATAAACTTTTCACTAGAGTACCCTCCCGGTGTTCTCCCGCACTACCGGGCCATACAGTTTTACCAAGTTGGTCTGTGTACTACCTCTCCCGAGACTTTTCTATCACATCTTTTTACAGAAAATGCAAATATACGCCACCTCATAAATCAGAAAAGATATAGTAGTTCATTCAAAGCACGTTTGGTTTGATTTGATTTGACAGTACATGTATTTTCTAAATTTTTTTATATTATATCTATCATAAATATATTAATAAAGGACTTACATACGTGATCTATCAGATATACGACAACAAGAACCCCCAACCCCGGCCGTGAATACGCTAGCCCGCCACCCAACAAGTGGCTAAGAATTACAACACGGCCCTGTATCAGCCTCATTTCTTACCCGAGTGACATCCTGTGATCAAACTCCAATCCCACAAAGAACCCACCTCTTACTGTGCCTATAGTACCTGAGGTATCTTAGCGCTAGTCATGACCTATCACTCGGTGTGCACAGACCTCAGTTTCAGTTTCAGAGCGTTACGGGAGTTACATATTCGTGCTCTTCTACGAGAAGGGTTGATACAAGGGTCTAGTATATTATATAGGTTTCAAGCAAGAAAATGTGACTAGAATAGCATTCTGCTGTGAGTTCTGATTCGGGGGAGGACATAGAGTGTGGTATTGGTTGCGCGGTAGTGTGATATGGAGCGCGCAATACTTGCCAGATGGGTTGAAATGATGAGATCGCTTTCCTGGTAGGTATGATGTACGACCTATCATAAGCTGGTGTTGATCGAGGTTTATGCAATAACTAGCACATTTAATTCCTGAACGAAACAATTAACTACATTTAAAACTACTTATGTACTTACATGATCTGTATTACAACTTAAATCCTACATTAATCTTCCCAATACATTAAATCCCACGCCAACACCTCCAACCGCCTACCCCTACCCCTACCCCTACCCCTCTATCTCTCCAAAACCCACCCCAACTCCCTTAATTCGACGTCCTAAAACTCGCCCCCGCGCACGGCCCCGGCCCGCCCACCGCATCCATCCTCCCCGGCGAATAATACAACACCCCGCCCCCCAATCCCGCGGGACACACATCCGTAGCCCCGGGCCCCTCCACCGCCGCGATCAAGAAGCAATAATTCGGCCCCGACGCCCACGCCGAGCACCCCTCCACTCTGCCCGGCCCCCAGCAGGCAAGACAACACTCCTCGCTGCCCTTCACGTCTGGGAACTGCAGCCTTCCGGGGGCATTGTTGTCGGGGACTTGGACGCCGTCGGTGCCGGTGATGCGGGAGGCCGGGGGCGCGGGGCAGCGGGTGGATATTACTGTGACGGTTGTAGTAGGGGTAGTGATGCTAGTGGTGGTTGTGGTGATGGTTGTGATGGTGGGGATGATAGTGGTGGAGGTGGAGAGCTCGGTGGTGAGGACGGTGGAGGGGGCGATGATGGAGGTTGTAGAAGAGAGTGTGGCGGTGGTGGTGAGGATTGTGGTGAGTGTTGCGGTGATGTCGTTTGTGGCCTGCTCGGTGATGGTGGATGTCACAGTCACGGTTTCCTTAGGGACGACGACATGGCCACCTGAAGCTGGTGTGCGTCTTGGAGTGCGTGTTTGTGATGGTGGTGGTTGCGATGACCTTGGTGATTGTGTGCCCTGCTTTGGGCCCGCCAATGACGGAGGAGCAGCCCTCGCTGATGCGGTCATCACTGGAGTATTGGAGGCAGTCAGGGACCCTGCGGCGGTGGTTTCTTCGTTGCTTTGCTGGTACAGGACGGGGGCCGAGGGTTGGGGTGAAGAGGAAGGTTGATGTTGATGTCCTAAGTATCATTAGCCCTGGAATATGTGATGAGGCCTAGGATATATGATTATATATTCAATATCACTTACACAGTGTTAGGATCCGTCACGGTGGCAGTAACCACAACTAAACACACCCAGTTAGTATCATTCAGTGATCAAGTCTAAAGTAGAGATCCCCTACCAGTCGACTCCCCAGTAACAGTTACAACCGTCTCCGTCGCCGCCACAGAAGTAACAGTCGACGTCCCCACCACACTCGTCACAGTCGTCGTTGCGATATCAGTAGCATACCCCAGGTCCGTCTCCATAACATAGTCTGTCCCAACGACCCTATCAGTAGCATCATTTGTCACCGTGACATCCGTCGTAACAGTAGTAGTCCCCTTCGTGATGGTGAAAGTCTTTGTCACAATCTCCGTGGTGTGGACCTTCTGAGTCTTGGTAGAGGTCACTGAAACTGTGACTGGCGCCGGCTTCGACGGGTGGCCGAGCCATGTGGAACACCATTTCTCGAGATGGTTTTCGCGGATGATGTGTGCTGTGTCGGCCTTGCTATTGTATCCCCCTGCAGAATTGAAACGTGAGCTTTAGACCGGCGTAAGGGTATAAACAGGGCAGGGGAATATGCTAACAGTTCTTATCCGCCCTGACATAGAGCGGTCTATCAATATCATTCGCAGCAGCAACAGCCGAATGCAAGGATGCAAGAACGATGCAAGCATTAAAAGCTCCCGAGAAACCAAAAACCACCATTTTTACTATTCTCGAAAACAAACACTCAAGCAGCGATACACCGTATCAATTCCTCCACGGGAGGAGGGAAACCCCTTCGTTTTTATAGGGACCACAATCGCCCTTCCCTAGACCAAATCCAGCACGACGAGACAGCCACAACATGAACCAAGTTGTGTTTTTTCCCGCGCTGATTTAGAGTTGTGATAACCGAGAAGAGTCGTACACGGTACCGGTAATTCATATATCCAACACGGCCCAGTTGGGATATCGCTGGGAAACTACCAGGCCTTGTGAGCTTATGCTAAGATAATGTGGCTTGCACTTCGATCCTTACACTTTTGCCGTTTGTCTGGGCTCATAGGCGTGTGTGCCCACCCAAAAATCTCTCAAACAAGCTTGATCAGGAAATACTATCCTATTCGAGCGTTGTCCAAAATTCTTCAGGATTTCGAAAGCGTTGTCGACGGCGAAACATTCATCATTCTTGATAGAACGTTTAGCAACCCCATTACCAGGTCTAAACTCTCCAACACAAGCTTTCCGAGCCCACAGGGGTAACTTTCTTTAGACTCTAGCTATTCCTGACAAAATATACGCAAATGCCATCCTAGGTTTTTCATTGGGGGTGCGACCAGTTTACTGGGCCGCAAGGCTACATGTAATTGTTCTTAGCTGTGAAATTAGCCTACTTGGCGAGGAATCCCCCGGCCCAACTAGTGCCTATGGGGATAGGAACAGCTAGCAGTGACTTGGATGTTTGAACTTTGCCGGGGTGGGCGAACATATCTTAGTCCGGTATTGAAAAGGGGGACTGGATAGATGTTGGAGCGATATGGGATTGTGGAGATCGTGGTGGTATTCTGGTAGTGGTATTGCAGTTCGATAGCGATCCTTCAAGTACTAGCAAAGTGGAGTAAGCGCTTTCGTGCTATGCTTGAGGGGATCTTGGTGATGTGATGGAGTATAGTTATACTTAGACAATTGCGTCGGTGTATTCAAGCCAAGAGCTACGTTACAGTCCACGATGTACAGCCTGAATTGATCCTCCCAAGTGTGTCAACAACACAAGTGATATACCAAACCAAAACTCTAGGGACGAGACCACCCCACCTCCCTGATCCTGAGCTGCTATTATATCCAGACACTCCAAACAATCCTACAAGAAACAATTAAACACACGTCAATTCCAATTCCCGAACGACAACTCCAAAATCTGCCGTTACGTTCCTCAATGCAATCCACAAAAACGCCGAATGCCACCGATACCTCTACGATATCCGATGGTGGATGTCTCAAAGCCCCCCGCGCTAAAGCCTCTCGCCAAGACACACACATGAACCCCTGAATCAGATCCTCAACCAAAATAATGTTTCGTCGTGCGTGGGGGAGCTCGAGGGGGGATTTCACGAGATATCACTCGGCAAGCCGAAAACTGTCACGGGTAATGATTGATTGACTGACAACTCATTAATTGTATGCAGCCCGTGAGCTATGATAATACTGTCACGGATAAGGAAGAAGCCAGGAAGTTTGCACTTTGGAGTGGATACCAGGTAGAGTATCTCGTACAGTATGTTGGTTATTCTTAATTAAACTCGCTGTATCAGACGCCCGATACGATAGCCACTGCACACCTACTGACAGTGTTTCCAAATATACCTGTCTGTCTGGCTACCTAACTTCGGGTTTATATCTCTACGTTACATACCAAAGTGCAATACTCTACCTACGTACCTAGAGCTCTTCTTACCCGGGTCCACAATCCATTCTCACGGCATCAATTGGCCCTCGAACGAGAGAGCCGTATCTACTCCGGTACCGACAACAACCCTCAGCTCGGACATCCAATCACCGTCCAACCTCTGATCGGCCGAGAAGATACGCTGTTAGGGGTAAGGGGGTAGAGTACGAGGAATAAGACTACATATAAGACAGCGTCAACATATAATCTTGGTCCGAACTTTAACCTAACTTTATTGGAATGGTGCATGTATATACCTGAGTCAGTATATTCAAGAAATAGACATAAGTATATCCCCCCCTGCACAGAACCCTAACCCTGGACCAGATCGTGACCCACCACCACCATATCCGCGCGTCTAATAGGAAGGGGGATACGTACTTACGCTACATATTCTACTCTGCTCTACTAGCAGAGTACATATCGATATGCCGGCACATATCTCCACCCCCCGCACCCACACCACACACCACCTCGCCGCTCCCCCCGCGCCCGCAATCACGATCGCAACCGGGGCCCCAACCCCTTACCTCCAGGCATGGGGGGAGGGAAGGGGAGATCTGTGGAACCCAGGGACGCCATAAGCCAAACCACCCAATCATGTAGTTTCGTTGACAAACGTGGTGTGCTGACCCCCCGCGATCCGATCGGTGGGTGCGAGATAAGGGATAGGGATTGATTAAATCGGATGAAACATATTGTTTATGGGTGTTATTCTTGGGAGTTCTTGGGGAACCGGATTTGGAGGCTTGGGCCGTAGAGGAGGAGGAGGAGTTATGGGATGTGCACGTGGAGACGTGTTCTTCATACCGGTGATGTTGGCGTTTTGTACTCCTTCTTGGCCGATGAGTGTAGAGTATATGTACAAGGCTCTGGCATTTAGTGAGTGAACGGATCCTCACCTGTCAACACCCCATTTAGTTTGCTCACTTAATGCCACAGCCTTGTAGTAATACACAGTAGACCTGTCAAATTTATAAATTAGATTTTACCCCGCCAAACCATCACGAGCCTCCCACCTCCACAAATCAATAAATACAATTAAATGGATAAAATACGCTACCAATATTCCCCGATCGGATCGAACACATCCCTTCCGATCCCACAGCCCATCCAATATCCCTTCTTTCCACCATCCAGCGCAGCCAACTAACTCCCTCCTCCAGCGCTGCCTCGTCGATGACGACCTCAAAAAGATGGCCAATCGGTCATTTCCCTTTCCAGCACGCGTACCCGTCACTTGGCATCACTCGTTCCGTTTCGCGCTCCGTTTCGACGGTTTCGCCACTATCCAGCGAGCGAGCGCTTATGATGCGAGGTTTGGCTTGCTTGTTTGCTGGCTGTCCCCCTTCTAAAGCACGTTCGTAGCAAGAACAGCTAGAGTACCAAGAGTAGCATAGCCATATCTCCCCTGTCCATATCCAGTCCCGCCACCACGAAATTTAAATCTGCTAGGAGAAATTGTCCGACCACCCCCCCCCCCCTGTGTACCCCGAACTACATACACCACCTCAACAAAAAAGTCCTTCTGGAACACGAGTAGAACATCTCACTCACCTGTGGCTTTGACGTAATCAAACCAGTTTTAGTCACCCCACCACGGTATGGTAAGATGGGGTACGCTGATTGGCTATCTCACGGACGCCCGGGCGGCGGATACACTTTTCGCCGTAGATTAGAAAGTTTGCCAGCCAGGCAGGGTAGAAGAATAGGGAGGCCAAGGATGGAAGGACCCTGAGTAGGATATCGATGTATCATCATGCAGCGTAGAGCTGCGTCGAGCGCAAGCAAGGCAGCAAAAACCCTGAACCCAACCAACTGCTGTCAACCCAGGCGAGCGTGTCTCTTGTGTAGATATTGCACATGTGAAACGAGACATGGCGGTGGTGCACGCACGGCCATGAATAATTTGATACGGTAGTGTAAGTGAGTTTATTTTCAAATTCCCTTTGCCCTTGTAAGACTCCTGTCCTGCGCATGTTTGCAAACAAACAAAAAACAGATTTCACACTCCTGTAGAAAAACCCTGTAGAAAAAAAGATAAAAAAGAATCCTGAGGAAAGCCAACAAATGAAAGAAACGGAACCAGCGAAAGATAGTATATATAGGAAAAAGGAACCAATAATTCAATCAAAAAGCTCAACAGTTGTATATCCCCAACGCTGTGAATAAGAATAAAGAAAAGGGAAAAAAAGACTCAATAATCAAACTCCGTATTGTCCGCCAGCCCAGCCCGACAGTCTCCGCTGTCATGTAGAAGATAAAGGAAAAATTAGAATCCCATCACACCACCGAAGCTAGGTAAAGTAAAAAAAAGAAAAAGAATAACCCAAACCCTTCCCAGTAGAAATTTAATAATAAAAAAAAGAGAAAAAGGAAAAATCACATGTTTATGATGCACCGTCTAAGATCTAAGATCTCAAGTACTCAACAACATCCTTACCCCAGAAACAACGCTTCTTGTACTTTCCAACCTCTTCTCCCATACCCTCAACACCCCTGGCAAGCTCCTCTCCGAGCCCTTCGGCCTTGACTTCTGCAAGCGTGTACATGTAAGTCTTGACCGTTAGGACCGCCGCGTGAGATCCTGGTAGCTTCCACAGGACTTGGCGCTCCACTCGCAGCCTGCAGTTCCTGGGATCGACAGTTTCATCCTCGGGCTCATCATCCTCGTCATCGGAGTACATGTGGTTTCCAGAGAGTGCAAACAAGCGGTCGTCAGTGGTGATGCTCCAGTTGAAGCGCCTGACGGCGTTCTCAAGACCGGGGCGCAGCCGGGTGAAGAGGCGGTTCATGGACGCCGAGAGCCTATCGCCGGATGCAGGCGCATGGTGGATCTCATCAAGAGTCAGACCAGTCCTCTTCTCTGGGGCTGCGCCAGATGGGAAACAGCAAGCAAAAGCAGCGAGACTGTAGAGGCCGTTTGAGTCGGGGAGAAGAATCATGAGATCTTCCTCAATAGTTGTGGCGAGAATCTTGAGCGCCGGTGCGGGATCTGAGGGATTTGTGTGTGGCGGGGGAGCGATCGGGTGAGTGTCGTGGGTGATTGTGTTTGTGAATAGCGTTCCGGAGGGAGAAAGCATGAAGTGGGTTGGGAACCTGACCGGAAGATATTTCTGTAGCACGAAAGTGTAAAGTTCGGCGACAGCTGGGATGGACGCCGGAGATGAGTGAAGGATCATTTCCGTGGGCTGCGTCTGAATGATACGTTTCCGTAGCGAGATTCTCGACGGGTAGAGGCGATCGAGCAAGATGAGATCGTTAGGTGAGCAAGATTCGATGCCTGTTTCACGACATTGTTAGCACCAACATCCAGTGAATTCAGATGAAAGAAAAAGTTGTACGAACCAAGAGCATCTGGGGGAGAAGCTCCCATGGAAAGCGAATAAGTGGGCTTGAACGGCCTAAACTTTGCCGGAGACATTTCCCTGTAATTGAATCCCGCGAGGGAAGTGATATTCACAACGGGAAGCGGGCATTTGTATGCCTGGATTAATTTTTCTGCCTCAGGTACTGCTGGTGTCGCTGTCGGTGTTGAGGTTGAGAACAAAGATCTACGACGTCGAAGATATCCGAGAACAAGAAATATCGCTCCCAAAGAGACAACACCATAGGCCGCGGAAGCAGGCCCAGTGGGTAGCTGTGAACCAGGACCGAAACGGAGCATATCTGATTCGAAAAGTTGACTTCCTTTGTGAATTAAGGAAGAAGGTAGAGAATAAGATTGAGGTGTTGACTCAGATAACACGGAAGAAGGTGAGGAAGCAATGATGATAGTGATGATGTAGTAGTGAGGTATTGATTGCTTTATGGGGTGGAGGAACAAGAGGAGGAGAGTCGAGTAAAGGGGAGGGGGGAACCAAAGTTTATATTAAATTTGTTTAATATAAGATGGTGAGTATATTTGGGTTGTTACGTCTGTGCAGAGACTGTTCTTGATCAAGTGTGGGTTGTCTGAGTGTGTGAGTGTTGTGTGTGTGGGTGAGTGTGTGTGAAGGGGGAGGAGGATGAGGATGAGGAAACACGCAGTCTTAATAAAGTAGAGGGAGAATTATGTATCTCTTGGCTCATTAGCTCACTATTCGATACATACATTTTATAATAGTCATAGTGCAGTACATCATTCCTTGAAAGCCGTCCTCCCCGTGAATCCTCGATTTGAAAGCCAAGAAAGTGCCCTGCCTACCAACTTGCCGATGCCTGTGGGCTATCCTACATGTTCGATATCTGCCTGCCAGTCTGTTAGTACTCTTTACCTAGAGTACTTGCCTACATACCTGCTCACACGCCTGCCTGTTGCCTGCCTGCGTGCCTGCTCCTCTACCTGCCTACTGTACTCTTCCTAACTCTCTTACAACTTCTTTCTCCACTGCGCGCGCCTTTCTCACTCTAGAATCACTCTTCTCTAAACACTGTGTCAGAGTCTGACGCCCGCTAAGCCTCGCGTATCTTATCTCTGCGCTAGATAAGACAACCCTCTCGTTCCCCCTTTGACTAGAGAAATAACTTGATCCATCCTGTCATTACAGGGACACACTAAACCTCTTGCCATCTAGATAACCTTAATTCTATTTGTAATTTCCCTTTCAACACTGTTCAACAACAAGACACAACCCCAAAAAGTAGTAGGCAGACACAACGTAACAAACTTGAAGACACATATGCAGCATGACAATCCCCTTCTCTTTTCTCCGCTCATGAGCAAATCCCAGACCAGAGAACCGCGGAACCACAGAACCACAGAACCACAGAACCACACAATCACAGAAACCACACACTCGCAGATTTCCGTCGTAGCCGCTTGAGTAACCCTAGCCCTTCTTGATTTTTCTGACCAATCCCAGCACCACGTGTCGGTCCGTCTTGCTGGACTTGCTTGACTTGCCTTGCTTGATTGATTGCTTGATTTCTTGCGTGAAGTTGCCTGTCCAGATCAAAATTGTAATCATAAGCAAGCAATTAATAGCCGTGATATGACTATGTCCGTTCTGATCTCTCTTCCCCTTCTCACTCTCTCTATCATGCCTAATGTTCCGCTGTTCCCTTGCTGCGCTGCTGCTGTTGCTTGTTGCTTGTTGCTTGTTGCTTGTTGCTGCTGCCTCGGCCCAATTTGACATGCCGCGCTCAATGTAACGGTCCCTAGTCCAAATCGATATCTTGATGCTTTCTTTTCCTGTCTCTCTGTGTGCGTCTTGTCCCTGTGTCCCTGGGTCTGCGACCCTGTGTAGCCGCTGTTTTTAGTATCCTATTCCATCATCTTACTCGCCGCCAAAGCACTTTTAGTTTCTGTCTGTCCTAACCCTTTCCCTCCCCCCGGTCTGTAATCTGTATGCGTGTCTCGGTCGGGTTTAAGATAGCGCAAGGTAACGCTTTTGGTCTCAAGCATCCCCCAGTCCTCAGCATCCTACCATCAGCCAGCCCCGCTTTCATCACCACCCCACTCACCCCCCCTCAACCACACCGAAGAGTAAGACCGACACCATCTCGGGCGAGATTATGTTGATCCCGTAGCCCGTAGCCCGCACCTCAAGCCTAAGCGTGACGCGCATGGCGCGGGACATGTCGCCGGTAAACACGGACATGAGCGACCAGGACTACTCGGTGCCGTTTGCTAGCGCGATTGATTGCTTATTGCTTCGGCTTCGCTAATGGATATTTGCACTACCCCAACACACCCAACCACTACAACCATCACGGTTCACCATCTCCACAGGCCCGAAACCTCTTCGCGCAGAAAAAGTGATGGATGTAGAGTAGATGCGGGGTGAAAAGGCGATCGCGGGGGTTATGATGCGGCCCTGTTTGATTTCTTTTTCGTTTCTCCAGGCAATCCGTCCAGTCAATCCATCCATCAAGCCCACCGCTCTCACGCCCTCTCTCTTCGGGCCCTTCCACAACCACCCCCCAGTTAGTTTCCCTTCCCTATCTTGCCTTCCCTAAAACAATTACATCCACAAAGGCGAAAAAGTTAAAGATTTGGGGGCCCTTCGTAGCACATGCGAGGTACGGGTCTTGTACCCGTTTCACGGGGCTTACGAGCCTCAACCTGTGGGGGAACCGGGAGACGCAGGGTACAGGACCCGGGAATCATCACGAGAGGTGGACCCTGGAAATCTATACCCACATCTACTAAACGCAGCCTGGTTCTAGAAACAAACTTGAATCCAGAACACGGTTTTGTTTTCATCGACAAATCCAATTTTCAAAACATACCTCTTATCACTTGCTCTCTGACCCTCTGGCACCAACTAGACTTAGCGCCTCGCTTGCGTATTCGGCCTCTGTAGCGTAGTTATCCTTGAACACTCTCAAACTGAACCAACGGCTCCAATCCTGACCCCTCCTCCTACTCCTCCTCCTGCTCCTCCATGTTCATCTCTTTCCTGTTCCCTATGCTCACCAAGAATAATAATCGTCGTCATATCATGTTCACTAATCAATTCCAACTCGTCATCCCCCCCGCTCAAAAAAAAATATCGCGAAACATCTCAATGAATGACCTCCTGATATTCCTCCTCCTCCTCTCCCACAGGCTATCATCTTCTCACATTATCAAAATGTCCACCCACCACTACCTCTCCCCGCGTGATCATCGGATTGTTACCTCTCAGCTCCAATGTAACGTTCATTCCATTACTCTGTACAGCATTTTAAGAACCCGGATAATCTCCCTCGTCGTAGAGTAGAGTAGTCGCAGAGCCAGTGAACGTGAATTTCCGAATCTCCGGGTGCGACGCTATTATCTGTCTGTACGTGCACGATCCCGAAGGTGTGGGTAGACTGGCTGAACTGCGAGACACTTGCTCCTCCTTCCTCCCTCCCGCATCATTAGACTTTCCACGGGTTCGGATAGCTGCAGATTAGGACTCAGAGAACGGACATGCACGAGACCGCCCACAGGATACGTCTCGCAGCTCGCAGCTCGCAGCTTTCCCCGCTAATGATCCACCATGCCACGAATTCCATTTTCGGGAAGAAGGGAGGGGAAGACTAACACTTAATTGAACTGCCTTCCCTTCGATATCACTACCTGTCCTTAACAATCACCACATCTCCCGTCGCCCAGCAGGGCAGCACCCGATACACCGACCAAAAATAAAATATTCACTCCGGGTTGCCGACAACTCAGTGGCATCGCCAAACAGCCATATCCCAGATATTCCAAAACAAAACCCACGCCACTGTCACCTATATTGCTCAAGCCTCGCCATGACATACCACTCCTGCTACGACGTCGTTGTATAATCACACTCCGCCGGATGATGGAAGAACGTTTTTCCTATACACATGTCATCGAGCGGTAAGTAAGATCTGATGCACGTTCCATATGCGAATAAGAAATGACGAGATTAAAATGCGGTAGGAGTTGTGGCGTCTACGTCGGCGGCTGAAGCATGGTGGGCTGTTGTCAGGTTGTCGAGGGAGATGCCAGTGCGCCCCTAGTGGTAACTGATTGTAGCTAACCACCACAGTAGCCTAGCATCTTGCTAGAATACATGTGAGGTGATGTGATAATGCTGGAAATAGGTGGACCATTGTAGCTGTTGGAAGTTAAAAGGATTTCTATTGAAGAGCTAGTTGACGTTAACAGTTTGGTTCGTTACTGATTAACGCAAGGATAGGCACATGATGTCAGATCAGGAAACATCACGACAGAAAGCACCAGAGACAATAGCATGAAGGAATAAAAAGGTAAGAAGAGAAGGGGTAAGAGCGTAGGGAACAGGACCAAGTAAGTGTTAGGAGTATTAAGTAAAAATTTTAACCCCAAGAAACACGGATGACTTCGGAGCTGGAGAAACGAAACAAAAAATAAATAAAGGGTACTTAAGTAAAGTATGAGGGAAATAAGATAAGAAATAGATTATCACTCACTTGTAGTCCAACTCCTCAGACTTGTCTACCTCTCCTGCCCTCTGGTGGGTGTCGGTATATAGCTTCAACCTCCATCCCCAAAAATTATTCCACCCTTTCCTTCTTATCGTTTGCTGTTTGGCAGTAGGTAGTAGGCAGTTGGTGTTTGGTTGGTTGGTATGTAACCTTTCTGCAGCCTGGCTGTTGAAGATAAGTACCAAGTACCTCCGGATTATATTCGTCAGTAACCGATAAGAGTCCTCCGTAGGTGTGGTGCGTGCCTGCAAATAGAGTACTTTAAATTGAATAGATTGGGCCGTTCTGCTCATCTATAACCCACCTAATTTTCCGGGGGTCCGGGGAACCGACGGTTCGCACGTGTGGGGTGGTAGTGGTTCGCGCGAGCGGGAACTCTAGAAAATTCGCGCAGGGGGAGAGAAATGGTACCTGGATTTGCGAGAGTACTACTACTGGCCGGTAGCAGGTACTTTAGAGTTTCTGTTGATAAACGGAAAGCATAATCAAAACTAGTTTTTAAGATCCGGGGGAAACAGATCATCATAAACGATGCGTTGCAGTCACCTCTCAAGCCAGGCAAGCAATCGACTGGGATGATGAAAGGATAGAAGGACCCGCACGATGCCGAGCTGGGCCGAGGATATCGAGTTATCAGATCATAACTACCTGGCTACAACTGCAGCATAAGCAGTGCAGCACAGTGCAGTGCAGCAAATAAAGCAAAGGGAGCAGAAAAATGAATAAAGGTAGAGAAAACATCGTCTTACAGCGGGGAGATGTTGTATTTATCTTTGGGTAAGTTGTATTGTTACTGAGCTGATAGGATTGGCTCGTTAATTTGTTCGTGGACTGCACCTAAACGGTAGAGTAGCTGCGCCGAGAGACTTGGCTAGCTGAAGCGAGCCACGAGGTGTGTTCAACCCATATAACCATTTCACTACCACAAGGGGCATTGGCTGCTGTAACCATATCCTTTAGGAGACATGCACGATACCGGTGATAATTGGAGCAGGTCTTGACTCGTGGACCTTACTTGGTTGTCGGAGAGGAGCATGTGGGCCAAGAAGATATGTAGCCAAGAGATGTGGTGGTATGTGTGATGAGAAGCTGGGATGAGGTTGTTGTATTTTTATTCACATATTCGAGAGTATTGAGAATAGATGGATTTTAGAAGAAACAAGTTCCTCCAGAACTTTGAAAACTGCTGGCATACTACTTATTATATACCTAACTGTGTATTTGAATTAAGGTGTCAGCCAGTAGAGTACACTCTAGCAAAACTGACGAATGTATGTATCGTGTGCACATACATGTATGTACAGGGATATCATACGTCGGTAGAGCAGAGTAGATTTGATAGAGTAAATGCAAATAAAGAGATCCTTGTCGAAGCTCACACGCACATTAGAAGAAACGAAAAGAAGAATATGCATCATAATATCAGGATTGCGTATTCAATTTCCAAGGGGAGGTGGAGAGGGGGTAAAAGAGTTTACATATAGTGTTCCCAGGTGACGGCTATATGTATTTATACTGGGTCGCGCTGCCGGCGCAGCTAGGTAGACGTGGCCATATATGCGGGAGTGAGCACGACATGTCAAACTTTCAAGGGGATCAAGAAGCATTCAGTTTCTGAGGAAACGTCAGCTATTCTACGACATGCATGTAGGTTAGTGACATGTAGTTTGAGATTTCATATTGTCCATAGACATATCAAATAAAACCCCTCAAGACATTGCTTACCTTTGAACCATGGAGCCCTTACCCCCCACGGCAGTAAAGCCCGGAGAACTAATCGACTATCAAAAGGTTATTCCTCCACATAAGCCACAGATGATTGGTACCGTTGGTACCAATATATGCATAAATCAAGCTTTCCCTGCAGGTAGATCGACGGGCATGTTCCGAATCAGGCTTAAATTCCGGGAAATTGAAATCTCAACCTATCACTCGATAGGTTGAAATGTTGTGTGATGATCCTCGGAAGTCGGCAATTTCTTTCAAATTGTGGTTTTGTAGATACCATTTGAGGGAAGAGCTCCTTCATTCTGCTAGGGCAGGTAAAAAAGAGCGAATCGGGCCAAACAATTCTCTTTTCTTTACCTCTGTATTCCTGCAATTCACACCGTTGATTTGAGATGTCTTTTTAAAGGCTCTCATGTATTCCATTTAGGACGTGTAGATGCAAATATTAATCTACTAATTGTTAGAGCTTTTTGCGATGCGGTGATATAGTCACTTTGATAGTGGGCTTGAGCTCAACGTAGTAGCAAAACCGTCTGTCTTAGACATGTTTCAGATTGCGAATTGCGAACAATCGTGCAGAGTAAGCATATCGTCGGACGTCCAGAAAATCCTTTCCTTCTAAGGTCTAAAGGACATCGGCAATAGCTGGATATGGACTGTCAGCTGTCAGCAGCACCTCCGTAGAATAGACCATACAAGAGACATCACTAGAAGCCTCCTCATTGTAATGATCGGAAATAACGGGCCTCAACGCCGGCTGGGGTTTGCTTGAAACTAATCTTTAATCCATCGCATAGATGTTGAGGATATTGAGGTGCTTCACGGCATTTTACTATACGACCAAGTAGATATCGTGCTCTTAGATAGTAATCCCAATGCTCTATATGCATTGTTCCTAGGACCAAGGGAATGTCGCACGACCTGATACTCTTTGCGGCTACGTAACTAACCCTCCCACCCAGAAGCGCTGTTCTTGTGTTCGCCCGACAACAGAACCCCCAGTAATACCATTACGCAAGACATAATATTAAGTGCGAGTTTTGGAGAGTATTAAATGCCTTTTCGCTATATATCATCTCTTGTGGATGAGGGGTTAATTGACTATCTCCGAGGTCTTAAAACTTAACGCTTCGGAGGAACCAAGTGCTGTTAACTAATAGAAAAATGAGAGAGACCATTACTGGATTATTAGTGGCTCCTCGCCAAAGACTATGTGCGGTCCGCGGGCCGGAGATGACGTTGGGGGTGGTCCGCGATGTGATCAGCATGTATTACTGGACAGAGACAGCCTTCTAAATCGCCCATCGTACTGACAGTTGCATACAATCAGCGAGTGGACAATAATCGCTGTACTGACAGACGAACCTAGTTATATTCGTTCCATTACAGTCAGGTCCCAATGGGTGGGCCGCCCGGTATATTCGACCGGCTTTCTGAGTGGAGCATTTTGGTGTAGTGTCAGAATATAGGACAGAGCATGTAGTACGTAGTACATATATCCGGGCGCCTGCCCAAGTCGCCGAAGTATCGGCCCGCGAAGCCGCCGCCCCTTATGCTTTGGGATGAACCACTTGCTGTATATTGACTGAGTCATAGATTATCACTCATGTTGCACATTTCCGGATCGCCAGTAGACGGCTCCCCCCTCGCTGGGATGGGTGTTGATTGGTTGATATATAGTGGAGAAACCAGCTCTACTAACGATATTTTCCTTCTTAGCTTTGATTGTTCCTCTGAGGGTGTCCCGGCGGTAGAGAAAGGTGTCTCATCAAGACGCTCCTTGTCTAACAAAAGAGATGACTTGTAACCCTCCCAGCGCCGTTTACCGTGTAGAGCCTGTATCCGTGTGGGTAACAGGACCGGAGAACCTAGACGTGTGTAATCAGTGAGATTCTCCTCGAAGCATATTCAAGAAGAATGCATAGCCGTCTGAACATGTAGTGGTGTAGTCTCGTACCCATCCCCTACTTAGCAGCAAGCTGCTCTCGCCAGTAAGGATGGAAGCAGAGGGGGTTGGGGACGAGCCTAGTAGTGGTGAAGATGAAAAACCATCGATGCGGTTATAAACGGTTCGCAGATGACGTTGGTGGGTGGATGCTAGGACTTGCGGTCGAACCTGAGGACCATCTTCAGGGCTTGTCCTCCAGAGCGCACGTACATCCAGGGTAACTCAAAAGTAAAATGACACAAGACGGCATAGCAAGTCTTCTAGAATGCTAGCTCCAAATGGGATGTGCCAAGATAAAGTGGTTGCAGTATTATTTGAGCGAATATTACAAGTAGTATTAACAAGTGTGCTAAAGATGAAATAGAGTGCTTATTCGGTGAGCTGATACAGAACAAGAAATGTTTTCGCTGAATCGTTGCATACGACGAATTGAAATTCCGGGGCTCCAAAGAGGCCTTGTAGTAGGCGTTATTGCGCATGTGAGCATGAGATACATGTATATATGGACAGATCACATCATACTGTAAGGCTATTAGCGTAGCTCGGAATTAATCAGGCCAGAGAACGGTGACGAGATAGATGTAGTTTAGTCACATGTTCATTAGATGGTAAAGGATAAAATGACGATTCTCCACCCTTCCCGCAAGATAAGACTGAACACTTTAGTGATCGATTCATTACGCCCCCTTCAAGCCTATTTTCCAATCACGCCCAGCCCAAAAGGGAGGGAAGAAAAAAAGAAAAAGAAAAGCCAGCCAGCCAACCCCAGTTTCAAAGCCATCGATTACTACATCTCCCTGGTCTACCCCATATCATTTATAAGTTTTATTTTTACTATTTACAATTAAGCGTATATTAAACAGCACGAGTGATCCCCCGTGAAGGAATTTCGATATTTGAGACTTGACTGATTAACACCAGGCAGGCCTACGTAGATTTACAACAGCAGACTATACCCACATGCTCTTCTTTCTACCGCATTTAACATAGGGGTCACAATCCAGTCAATTCCGGCAGCACCGACTGACACTCTATATAACAACGCTAAACCAGAAGTTTTGATTCATTGAAATCTACTCTACCCCGAATTTTACAAGGAAAAGCCCACACCCATATACGCCTTTTGAAAACTAGAGCACTAAAAGAAAGGCCTCCTAGGAAGCAGTGGGCGTCGACGAAACATCTAGGTCTTCAGTGCCTGTTACCACCCACTCGCATCCCCAGCGTTTCCCTCTGTGTCCGCCGGCGGAGCGTATACGCGCGGTTCGTCATCGTCTGTGTCGTCATCGTCTAGGTCGTCAGCATCTGCCACCACCGTAGTCACATCCTCAGCGTTTCCCTCTGTGTTCGCCGGCGCCGCCGGCTCCGTGCTCGCCGCCTCAGCACCCTCCTTCACATCCTCCACAAGCTCATACGGCGCGCCATAATGCTTCAAGAACTCCAATATCTTATCGTACCCCTCATACTTCAGATTCACCTTCGCAATCCCAAACAGCCCGCCCTCCCCCTCGACCTCCAGCACCTCCGACGACCACTTCACAAACAGCTCCAATATCTCGAGCGTGACCTCTCCCCTCTCAAACGCATCCATCAGCGCATTCGAGTTGGCAACACTCTGAGTGTCGCTCTTCCACCCGCTCTGCGTGTCGAGCAGCAGCGCCACCATCGGCGCGTTACGGCGCACGAGCGCCGACACAATGGGCGGGTGCGCCTCGCGCTTCTGGTAGACGAGGGCGCCGCGGGAGAGGAGGTGGCGCGCCATGGCGATGTTCCCGTCGTCGACGACGAGGCACAGGGGGCGCTTGGACAGGTAGTAGTGCCACTCGGTCTTGGGGTACTCGATTGTTGTTTTGGGGTTGTCGAGGAGGGCGTCGACGATGGGGATGTAGTTGTTGCGGGCTGCGATGCAGAGTGGGGCAACGTTGGCGGCGGAGAGGACGTTGGGGTCTGCGTTGTGTTTTAGCGCGAGGAGGGCGGCGGGGAGGTCGTTGTAGTGGGCGGCCCAGATGAGGATGGAGTCGGCGGCCGCGGGGATGGTGGCATGCAGGGAGGGGAGGAGGAGGGTGTGGAGGTGGTGGTTGGCGCGCATGAAGCGGGCGATGTCGCGGCCGGGGAGGTGGGAGGCGATGTCGAGGATAAGCTCATTGGGGAGGGAGGTGAGGCGGGAGACGGTGGGGGTGATGGTGGTGGTGGTGGTGGCCGCGGGGGCGGGAGTGGGGGAGGTGAGTGGCTCCATTTTGGTGTTGTATGTGTATTGCAATTAATGGGTTTGATTGATCCAAGTGTGTAGTATGAGGAGGGGTGGTGGTGCGGAGATGAGGAGGAGGAGGAGGAGGAGGAGGAAGGGTTGAAGTATGAGAATATAATATGGGAGAAGGAGAGCTGTGGTTGAGTGACCTGCTGCCTGCTAAATAAGTACTGTGGATAGACGGAGTAGGTGGTGTGTGTGTCCTTTCTACGGTGAGCGAGTGCAGCCAGAGCAGAGCACGTTAGACAGTGTAGTGTGCAGTGATGCGGCGTTGTTTATATATGGTGCGTTTGATATCCGTCACGTCGGTGTCTGCTATTATTAGCTGTGTGGTCCTCATCTTCGCCGCGAGGAACAAGATGCATGCGGCTGTGCGGCGGAAACACACATGTAACCAAGAGGGACACAGGGATTGATTGCGAGTACCTGGCTAGCTGTTTTGTGCCCCTGCAACGCTGCTTCATGCGCTTGGCGGCAAAGTCGAATCTAAAGGCTGCACTCTCTCCCAGATGTAGACATGTAGACAACTTTAATCCCGGCTCCTGGTAAAAAGAGTCCCTTCTTGACTGGGGAGGATGGTTGAAACAGACAGTACTATTCTTTGGGCTGTATGCATTGGATTGTGGTTTGTGCAAGCAAAGAAATCGAGTCTAATACCAAGTCTTTCGTTCAATTGCAATCAATATTTGATCCACGGCATGCGAGGTGATCAGGGTGCATGCATGTTGTTGATACTGAGCCGCTGGATGGCCGAGTGATCTGCTGTGCGTAGGACAACCCTAACCCACTCAACAAGAAAATTAAATTACCTACGGGCTCACTTAACATCCGCGAGATTTCTCGTGTGGTAGGGCATATATGTGTTTCCCCCACCTAGCTTGCACCAATCCATCCCAACCAAAAAGCTTGACCAGTATTAATTCACACTCCATTATCATGTGGACAACATTGTACCTGTCCGACACTACAATTAAATTTGACTGAACCAACCTTATTATTAGTACGTACTCCACCTACTTATCGGAGAAGAGGGCTTGGTATATTTGAGCTGCATATATTGTATTGCAAAGGCCGGGGGTCTAAATTGATACGCGGTCACAGGCAGATCGACCGCTGCATGCAGGCGTGACACCCCCCACAGAAGCGTGACAGCCACACACCCCTAACCCTGCCCAAAACTGGATATATATATATATATACAGCCCCTCCCACCTCGCGCATGCACCGTACCTTCAACAAACTACACGGCCTATCCATATCGCCGATTAATAAGCGCTTAGCTAAGCTGGTACGTAGACCATGAGCGTGCACCTCATGTAATTGGCAGAGTGGATGATGTGCATGTGGGCCACCTGAATCCTAGGATTCAGGTGGCTCATGAGCCTCGACTGGCCATGGTATACATATGGGTGTCGTTCTAAGAAAACCGTCCGCACAGCCAAATCCTTATTCCGAAGATCAACCACACAACCGATAAGCTCCAAATTTTCCTAAAGCTCAGAGAACCTTGGCGAGAGCCCAGAATTAATTTTTCGGGACATTGGTTCCATCAGTTGGAGCCTGTAGGGCGCGGTAGCAAACTGATGAGGCCTTGTTGCGTTGCCACACAGGTACCTTTTGCTAGATCGACACCCATATTATACCAGTTCGAATTAGTATTAGTATCCACTGAATTCTAAATAATAGTGGTTTGGAGTATGATTTGAAATATTCAGTTTGAAGTAGTATGGGAATGTTAAAAATCAATGTGATCACTCATATAACTGGCAGACAATGTGGTCCAACTCAGCAACATTATTGTGTTACTCGAATTTACGGATTTACGAATTTACATAATAGAGCGTATTTATCCTAAGTGTCATTTTGACAATTGCCCCTTCGAAAATTGGCGGTTGCAAAGGCAGAACTGATAAACTACATAGAGCGGCGAAGCCGCAAAGCTGCAAGGCAAGAAAGGAGGGTTCGAAAGCCGCGCAGCGGCTTGGGAGCCCGACTTCGAGCACTTGCAGAGTACGTACTACTAGTAGTGGCCCAGCTCGCGACCGCGAGTTGTACTTTGGATTATGGGTATCAAATCATGGTGGAATCGGAGGCCTTCAATGGGGGGCTTTCGGCCCCACCTCCTCCCTCCCCTTCCACCTCCTGCTCTCTCCAATTCAATTCTCTCTAGAGTTATGGGGGGCCTTCGGCCCCATCCTCCTCCTCTCGTGAGTGAGTGCTCAGTACTTTGATGTGTCGTGCTTATTAAACTTCCCCTGTCGCTCTCGACCAATGAAATGCCAGAGAGTTTAGAAAAATCGTTAATCCACTACATAGTAGACTTTACTAGAGCTGGCTGTATGCTTCAGGGCGTTGCTAAGCGTAGCGCAGCTCCAGTCAACTTATTCCGGGAGTTCTGGTCGCGATCCGTGCTGAGTCAGCCACCCGAGTGATACCTCATGCAGCAAGAAGACCTCCACCTCCACCTCCACCTCGATCTCCACCTTCACCACCCTCGGCGTCCGTAAGACCACCATCCAGTTCGACTTGGCCACGATCCTACAATCCCACGCCCTTACAGACCCCAGCTTCGATGTGGCCACCGGCGTGCGGACGCCGTATCCGCAGCTGCCCGAAATCCCGTTCAGCGCCACGGGACGCCCGTATCTGCCAAAGGGCTATTTTGCGCAGTGTACCCACGAGCAGGTGGCGCAGATAGTGGTGGCGCTGTGCGCGTACTTGGGGGGGGATGGGGGAGATGGCAAAGGCGGGAGAGACGGTTACTTTTGATAGGGAGGATATGGCGGCGGTGACGGAGGTCCTTTATCGAGCGTTGATGAAGTTGTAGGTGGCGGGAAGATGAGCGTGGCTACGAATTTCCTTGATTTTGGTTGTTAATCTGTCGTTTTTTTTTTTTTTTTTTTTTTTTTTTTAATCCATTAATTTGTTAATCTGTCGTTCTTTTTTACTATGTTTATTGACTACATGTAATACCTATACGAATCGATTCATATGATACGTTTTTACTAGCTCTTATCGTCAAAACAGTAGTACAGTCGCCCTGTCAGGGAACAAAATTGTGGCCTTCTCTTGAAGGCAAGTATTCTTGGTCATTGTATATTACATGTAGTAACCATCATCCTCGATGATGAGGGACATACACAATCATCAGATAGCGTGACTTAGTGTTATTGGGAACCAGGTCAAATTCTCGTCTATCACACGCTCGCCAGTTGTAACGAACGCTCGCATACCGAAATTTGGTACCCTTATAGAGCCGTTACCCATAGGAGGAGCAAATTTGTAAATACCTACGAAGCCTAATGAGGACCCTAAACACCTACCCTTATAGGGAGACCCGACTGTACTCATCACTTTGCAGCGAATCCAGCCACACCACATCGAGTGATATCTCATGATCCAATAATTTATTCCATGGTTCCCAAATAGGGACGATCTTTCCTAGTCGGATATATCTAGGGTATTTTTTATATGATGCGCCTCGCGGTGGCCTTTTATCCATACTCAATTCCCCACTGCCTTACTCCCAAAACGAGTGAAACAAATTCAGCGGATATAAAAGAGAGCAAACAAAACGAAAAAAAGAGAAAGAGTGAACGGAACGAATTCAAAATATTGCTACGGAAAAGAAAGCGGCCTCCCCAAAACAAAGCCAGACTTGCCGACCTTAAACCTCAACCTTGGCGTCTCCTTCCGTATTACTCACATCGCCGCCCGCAACCGCAACCTCGGCCGCTTCATCTACTCTGCCCTTTTCGGTTTCCCCGACCGCATCAGCATCACTCTTTTTCTCAGCAGCAGCTGGGGCCGCGTCTCCAGGATGTTCCTCGGCCGGAATAACGGTAGGCAGAGCGCCCTTTTCTTCTTTCTCTTCTGCTGCGGTGGTAGCTGGCACCTCAAGATCCTTCTCCTGCGTGTCTGAGACTGACGGAACGGTTTGAACACCGGTTCCAGTTACACCAGGAAGCGTACTGGTTGTCGCGGCAGGAACAGAGGAGTCCTCCTTCTTTTCCTTCTTGTCTTCCTGTGCCTCCTTTTTCTCAGGGGGCGGTGAGTCTGTGAGGACTTCAACGTCTCCTTGATCACCTACGCTCCAGATGCTCCAGACGCCCACGCTCATTATCTCCGGCTTCTTCTCTTCCTTGGGTGCAGCAGCCTCAGTTGTAGTTGCAGTGGGTAGCTTCCGTCCTCTTGGGCCCTTTGCACGGCTCTTCCTCACATCCGCAAGAACCTCTTTCTCCTTCTCCTTCTCAGGGCTTGCGGGGGCCTCTTCCTCCGCTTTCTTCGGAGCCATAGGGCCGAGTTTCAATCGATTGTCGAGGTCGCTAAGGAAACCTGCCTTCAAGGCTGCAATCTTGCCGCCTGTACGGGGAGGTACTGATGGTTTTGATTTCGGGACTGTGGGGACTGCATCCGCGGATGGGGATTTTGCGGCTAAGCTTCCAACAGGGCGCACCGGGCGGTTCAATGGGACCTTTGGTTTTGGGCGGTCAGGAAGACCTGGCGGCAGCCTCTTCTCCGTTGCAGGCTGGTCCGAGGCTTGTGGGCGGTCCGGAAGTGTGGGGGGAACACCTCGCACCTTCGGTGCTGGTCTTGCGGATGGAACTGCTGGGCGGGCAGGAATTTCTGGTCTTGAGCTGGCCTCGATAGGAGCGCCGGTCGTAGGGCGTTTTTCAACCTCTGAAGTGGTAGGGTCTTCGAACTTTGTGGTGCCGCTAGTGGTTGCGCGATCTTTGGGCTCCGTTGCAGAGTACTCTTCTTCGGGGAGGTGCGTGAGTTCGGCACTGAGCTCCAAGCTGGGTGGGACATCCTCCCAGATATCATTACTAGGGAACCTTTTGACCTTCTCGCGGCTGGAACTGGCGCCTAGCTTATCGGGGTCATCAGTGCTAGACCCGCGCTTGAGGAGCTTCTCGAGGCCATCGTCTCGTCCTTCGCGGCTGACATGATGTCTGTATTCCGCCGTCTTTAATGCTTCTTTCTGTTTTCTCTCGAACTCAACCTCATCGCCGGGTACATAATGCTCGTTCGGCTGGCCGTGAATAAATTTAACCCCAGTTTCCGGCTTTCCATCGGTCCTCTTTGGGATAGTCCTTTCGGCTTCTCTTTCCTCATCTGTCATCTCCGTATCTTTCGGAGGCGGGGTAGATGAGACAGTTGCTTCCAACTGCGAGAACTCTGGCGCCTCTTCCCAAACATCCTTACTCGGGAACCTGTGTCCACCTGAAGATCCCATAGACTCCGGCATTCCAGGTCTCTTTGGTTTTTCATGAACCTTCATCTCCCCTGGAGTTTCCTTTCCTTCGGCTTCTTCATCGGACTCGGGGAACAATGGTTCAGGACGTTCTCCGGATTCTAAAGACTCCCGAACGAGTGATTCTTTCGACTCGAAGCCATGGCCGGATAACTTGACTGGCTCGACATCAGCATCCTCGTCATCATCATCATCATCATCTATACCCGGATGAGTTGATTGCGGCCTTGAGTGAGGCCTTGAATTGACGGCAGACTCGGGTCTCCATGCAGCAAGAGGCGGCGAAATAGCTGGCGCCATATACCCTCCACCAGCTCTCTTCAATACTTCATCAGCGGCCAAGATGGGGTACTCTTGCTCCCTCTCAATCTCAGTTTCCGTGTCGTTTGCATCTTCATCATCATGATAATGCTTAGTCGGAGAAGCAGGCCTAGTACTAGGCCTGGTTCCCGGTCTAGAGCTTGGGATACGGTGGGGGTGGTGGTTATGCAGATGGTGGTGATAAGTCGGGGGATCCAGATGTATCGCAAGCTCCGAATCCTTATCTTCAGAAGCATCCCCTCCAATTGCTCGTGCTAGCGAAGCAGTATCTTGATCGGAAAAACCGACCACGGGGGTCCCAGATTCGGGCGGAGAGATAACGCGTGCATAGTGTTCGCTGGCTAGATAACCGATTTCTTCGTCAGGAACCGGAGTGGAGGTTTCTGGTGCTGACAATCCCTGTGCAACCGATTGGTTGAGATCGCTAACACTTCGGGCTAAAGCAAGCAACACCAAGTCAGTTTTTTTTTTTTTTTGTTTGTCCGTACCTCCGCACCTTGACTCCTCACAAACAACTGAACATGGAAACAAGGAAACAAAAAGCAAAGAAAGCGAAAAAAAGGAAACAAAGACCCAGCCAGTTTTGCAATGATGATTGGATTAACACAGGAAATATGGGAGGGCCCAAAGAGAGGGAGAAGAAAAAAGGAAAACAATTATCCCTGCCCCTAAAACCCCGCCAAACAATTGCGGGGGAGAGAAACTTAAACTTACCATGCGGATTCACCCTCGGCGTTCCATGGCTCCCGTATGCTCCCTCATCCATCTCCCATTCCTCCTTATACACATGCGCCTTTCTCCCACCCCCTGGCGTAGCTGCCGGAGTTGGGGCCTGCACATCTCCCGCATTCGGATACATTGGGACTCTTTTCCCAATCTGCGGGATTCCAGTATTCTTCCTCACTGGAGTTCTGTAGGGAACTCTGGCCACTGGTTGATGCAATTCCGTAGATGGTGAGATGGTGTGGAGCTCTGGCTCTTGCTGCTGTTGCTCCCCCTCCGCCTCTCCCTCCTCAGGGGTGGAACGTGGCTTCGTGGAAGGCCGCGGCGGGATGGCGGGCACGGAGGCTGATGCGGAAGTTGCATCATTATTGGATGCCCTCGAGGGACGCGGCGGGACCAAGGGTGCTGGTGCTGCTGAGGCCATTGTTACGTTTATTTTAAAGTTTGTTTGAGGTGAGATGAGGTGAAGGAGGGAGAATGCAAAAGAGGTGGGAAAGGGTACTAGATAAATAGAAGCTCGTTATTGAAGCTCAAACCGCCTCTTATCATCCGTCCACACAAGCAAGGAAATCCAGAGCTAGGTAGGTTAAGAAAACCCGCGGGTCCGCTATCCTTATGAATCCGGAATCCATCCACCCATCATACATCCATCCTCAACTCATCCCAGCAAAAACATACGACGTGCTCAAGTCTCAAGTCATGGGAACAAGGCTTGCAGCCGCTTGCATGAGGAGGGGTGTTGAAGGAGGACTGTAGAGTAGAGTAGGTGCTGTAGCCTGTTGTACGACGGAGCTCTATTCTAACTGCATGCCTACATGATGTACCTACCTACCTACAGTACTTTACATGTACCACCTACCAGGCAGACAATGATTGTTTTCTCCATCAGAAAACCGGAGCCTTCTCTTTCCTCCACCCCAAAGCTACTCATCGATACCATGCCGTTTTGGCCATCCAAACATCCCAAAACAACCCCTCATTATGCCCCCCAACATGCACAGCACAGGTACGAATATCAAATTGGTGATTTCTCTGACACATCCGGCTGCAACAATCGCTTTGTACCCCCGGTCCGACTTGCAGGCTGCAGAGAGCTCCTTCTGATTGGTTTAATCTTTCAAGTCTACCCCTCCAACCATAACTTTTGCGGGGAAGAGCTCCTTCCTATGGTCCTACTCTAACTTACTGTACCTACATGTCCCGCATACATCATGTATGTATGTAACTGCTATTTCGTGGCAGACTGAGATGATTTGCTCTGATCTTAATATATTTAACCCTAGAAATAACTCATCATAAGAACTGCTTAAATCCACAGCTAGCCTCATGAAACTTTGTGGATTCAACAGAAGAACAGGGTTGGGCTACCCTTGGCTATTCTGAGCGGGTACTGGAACGATTCTCAGCGATATCGTTTCATAACACGAAAGGGGGTTGTGGGGTAAACCTACATATAGGTGCCTCATGTATCTTGTAGGGTGCCTTTTGCCTCCCATCACTTTCTTCTGTAGTACAATATCTCAGCTCAACATTTTGGCACAAGTAACCATTCATCTCAAGCTCATAAATTCCCGCAAACCATCAATATCCCCAACCTGACATAGAATGAACCCACAAGAAAAAAGAAAATCATTCGGGGCATAAAACTTTCATTACTACACTGAATTCACCACAAGAAGAATAGATGAATGAATAAAAAGAAAAAGAAAGGGAATAAAAATAGGAGTCGGATCACCCGAAATCGCCAAGCATGACAAAACCAAGGAAAACCCGAGCTACAAAAGCTACAAGAAAAGAACTCCTTCGCATCCCCAAATCCACAAAAACCGCCTCCGTGACCGATATTTTCTCTTCCTCATCTAGCCATCCTCAAACGATCTTGCAATGCTTCCCCCCATGACCAGCACTGTCAGTATCTATGTGTTTATTACACGATCATCTGAGCAACACCTGCACCGCCCAACGTCTTGCTACCCATGAATTCCTGGCCCTTCAACCCCGCCAATCCGTAGAAGGACCCCGCGAGGGTCAGGATGAATGCTGCAGCGATGAGAGATGAAGCTTTTACAGCGATCGAGACCCACTGGACAGCTGCCATGGCGAGGTAGATACCCGCGCGACCATAGTTGGAGTGGAACTTGCGCACAAAGTCGTCGAATACCTTTGATGTCGGGCAGATGCGGAGGAGCAGGGGAATTTCAATGAAGACCAGAAGAAGCCCGCAAACGCTAATTACGCGTCAGATTACAGCTCTCCATAAGGGGATAAAAGAGTAAACAAACAGGCAGATTATCGAGAAGATGATGAGAAGCGAAAAGCTGAAGATGTTCGCAATACCTAATGCGACACAAAGAATGATGGCAAGGATGCCCGTCCTGAAATTCCCCAGTCAGCGATAAAGATCTATAAACGTTCAAACCACCCCTTCGTATTAGATGTAGATGAGATGAGGAATACCATTGGCCATATATACCTATCAATGACAAACTCAGTCAGCCTCATCTTCGTAAACCACCAACCCCGCCCTTATCCCAGGTAAGACTCACTGAAATTCCTCGTCTTAAATTCCGAACCGATGCTCTCCATGATACCCATTTTGAATTATGTGTATATGTTGCTTCTTTGGTTTAGGTGCCTTTTTAAACTATAACCACGGAGGCTTTCTCGGTAGTGGTAGTGGTTGAATGAAGCGCGAAGTGTATATATAGTAACCGGGGAAGCGTGGGAGTCGTGGTCGTAACTGCAGTCGTGTGATGTGTGAAGAAGATATGGTGTGGCCGTTGTTGTTCGTTCCCTCGTAACAAGCTTGCTTGTCTATGTGTATATCCCTTCCTTCGTCTTGCGATGGTGTTGATGCGATAGCTGCAGTGGTTGTGGTGGTGGTGGTTGGGAGTGAGTGATAGAGAAGGGATCAGGTGGGAAAAAGAGCTCCCGTCATCGGCCCTTCTCCTTCCTTTGTGGCCACACATTCCTCTCGCCAAAAGTAGAATGGGGCACCGTTGCGGCAACAAACGGTCCTTGGCGCCAGGAATAGAAATTACATGTTCCTCCCCCGTGAATCCTGTCAGAAGTCTTATATGCAGTTCTATATAGATTGCTATTCCTCTGCTATACTGGCTCTACTATTGTTACATTCATCCCTCCCTCCCTCAGCATCCACCGGAGAGACATCTGTATCTTTCTCTAGAGACTGTTCCGGTGCGCAGCGGCTACTCGGCCACTCTCCCGCAGACGCGCGTTCAGCCTCCCGTCGCCGTCAGGGCCGCAGGGCTGAGGACCGATGAACACTTCTTTGTTAGTCATCATCGGCCATACGGGCGCCGTACATACTAGCCACTGTTCTAGTTTCTACTAACAGCTCCAGCAATCACCATACCATGCTCACTTACCTAAATCGACGTTTTTAACTATGACTTCTACCAAGGATCACCTTGACCCCTTCATGACCCCTCAACTCCTCCCCCAACTCCTTGAAACCAGCCTGTTCACACAAAACCTTCGAATACCCGCAAAATTGGACCTCTCATTGGCCAGAAATAGAATAAAGAGTACTTCTATCAATTGCCCTCCTACTTAAAACACACGCGTGCAACTACCGAGAGAGTGAGGGAAAATGTAGTGAAAGAATGATTACTTGTGAAAGTAGAAGCGCAGATAGGTGAATGTGAAGAGAGCAAGGTAAAAATAATTAAAAAAAAGATTTTGCCAACATCCATGGGCTGCTGGACTGCCTTGACTGCCTGTAACTGCTGCATCTCTACCTCTGCCCCAACTGCCTCCAACTTTTGCGTCTTTACCTCACCCCGCGGGCCTGGCCGCCCACAACACAAATACGCACAAGGAAAACACCAAAACTACTTGATCTTTATATTTTTATTTTATACTGCGCGTAGAAGCATTGACTGCAGTAATCAGGCGTAAACGAGCCTGAAGATATCGTTGAGTACATAGTAGGACCCTGCCTCTGGGACGAGGTGGAAAGACTGAGAATATCGCTGGGGGTGTTCGCTGTCATCGATCTGAAGTGAGGGCATGTATCAGCAGTGGGTACAAGGCAGGAAAGGGAAATGATAGATAAAGAAACGAACCAAGAGCTCGCCGGTTACAAGAACAATGATGGATCCACTAGCTCCAGCAGGCTGGGCATCAAGAGTGGTAATCCTGTGGGCGACCTTCGCAAAAGGTAGTGACTATAACTCATACTAAAGTTAGTATCACATAACTAGCCCCAGAGAGCAGAAGTAGCGCTGACTGTAAGCTTCTCAATGATAGGCTTAACGCCCTGGTGTTGGTTCGTCTCGAAAGTCATGAATGAGCTCTCCCTCTAGTGTTAGGACCTGTCGTTAGCCTTTCATCTACTCCACCGAGACATTCGGGGGTGGCGGTCGAACGTAGAGAGGAGCCAGGCCACTGCGATCAGAGTCGAAGGTGTTGTAGTAGTATTCAGCGAACTGAGCTATCCACTCATATCAGAATCCGTCCCCGCCTCGGGTAGCTACATAAAGTGGAATGTGAAGAGAGACGCATACTCGCAACTTCAACAAAACCTAGAAAGTTGACAAGAGTGTTAGTAAATCGCAAAGGATATAAAAGTGACCTCCACACAGCTTTAAGGAAGCCCCATGAGTGCTGTCGCAGCTAAAATCCACCTTTCCCTCGCCTACTTCTTATCTAGACCTAGCACAAACTCACTCCCGTGCCCCCGCGCCCTCTCTTCAAAAGAATACATGGATAAGGGGAAACTTACTGGACATCTTGAGCTTCAGGAAATTGGGTGTCTGTCGAGCGGCGAGAAATTATACTTCACGGGCAGTTGAGGTATCCGTGTGGTGGTGGTGGTGGTGGTGGTGGTGGTGGTGGTGGTGTTGGTTTTGAGAGGGGGAACAAATGAGGGGTTGAAGTGGGATGTGATGTGGTGGTTGGTGGCCGCCAAGAGATTAAGGGTTTGGAATAGGGTTTCTTTTCCTTTGAGACGCACCTGCAATATAATAGAAGTTCGATTCTCCCAACGTGACCACCCCAAACCTTCTATTGTGTTGTTAAGAAATTTCCCTTCCACTTACATGTATTTTTCTGCTTAGAAGTGACGATGTCGTGGCGTGCATACTCCTAAGGTACGCGTACTTCGATCTGTGTCAATTTCACTCCCTCACTCTACATATCGGAGCTCTCTATACTTGAGCTTTGGCCGCTAAATAAAACATCATATCCATCCTGGACTGCTGGGATAGGGTCAAAATATGTTTCACTCATAAGAAATCACTCGCATCAACTCTCACTCCCGCTGGCGGACTTTTTTTTTTTTTGTTTAATTCATCCCGCTGGCGGATAAATTATATATATATCAGTGAAAAACCCTTATTCTATATAGTATCTCCGTCGAGAACGGAATGCGATAGACAAGGGCACAAGAGGGCGCATTGATTCTTCTTTGTTCCCGTTCCACACACGCATTCACACAATCACCCGCGCACACACACACACCTAGCTACATGAACATGTACACACCGATATACCCGTATGCAGAAATACACGCACATATGTACAAGAATGTTACATTTATCAGATTTTCATACTCTCCGGTGGTCCCAAATACCCTCCTCTTACACCACCAAGGTCCACCAGCACTTTTTCTAATATAATACCTGGTTCCAAGGCCCAGTACCTAATTCTGTGCGAGCCCGCCCCCGAACTCTCAAACGTGTGGCTCTTCCTCCAAACACCATCTCTAGCAGCATCAGTCCATCCCGACGGTAGGTCCCCCGCTGTTGCTGGCTGAGCCAAAAGCCTAGTTTTATTCGCCGGGGCATCTTGGTCAAAAGAAACAGCGTACATGAGTGGCCGTACTGGGTCAGTGTCAAGGGTAGTCGTAAAGTAAAGCGTTACATTCACGGTCGACTTTTGTGAGAAAAGGTAGACGGAGTAATCTAGATATGGTGATTCTGGGGGACTTTGGCTGGGTGAAGTGCCCGGGTAGAGGGCAATACCCCCGGAGTTTGTGCGGCTGCCAAGATATGGCAGCGTTTCATAGTGGGGGGAAGAGCTGTTTAAAGGAGACTGTGTAGATGCGGTGAAATGCGCAGCTTCCATTGAGACGTGGCCATCTGTCTCTACAAACCCATTGAATCCGTCAGGGACCTTTCTGTTGTTAACTGGGAGGCGGACTTCCTCATAATCCCCGAGTGTCGAATTGACGTAAATCAATGCGTTTTTGCCAATAAAGTCGGTGGGTACATCTGCCCAATTTACACTAATTTCAATTCTTTGGTCTGGTCTGTCGGAGGTGAGGGTGCCGGATGAAGGTGTGAGGATTATCCAGCTGTATTGCGCCTTTACAGACCATTGGATTTTTGGTGTTCCTCGGGCATAAACTTCAATATATCTGTCGGCTCCATACGGATCAATGGGAGGTAGTAGGAAACCTGGTGCTAGGTCATCTCTTGAAGGCTTTGCGAGATCGCTCCCTTCGTTAAAAAGACCAGGGCGAACGCCGATTGTTCCTTCCACCCCAACTCCCATTTGTCCAAGCGCAGGTACGGTGTCCTGCCTGACTTGCACATAAGATAGACCGGAGATCATATCTCTTGATGGCGGGTGGAAAGCTGAAGTGAAGCCATAATGTGCTTGACCCATAATGTGATTCCACTTACCGCCGAGCAATGAGTGATACTCCTCCGTCAAGTCAAAATCATCGTTGAATTTATCGATAGCGTTCTCGGCGAATTTATTGGCAGAATTGCGCCTTTGTCTGGCGTAAACGCTATTCTTGGCTAGCGATACTTTAACATCAAGAAAAGTGTAAGAAGCCTTGATCGGGTGAAGCACAAGCTGAAAAAACGCTGGTTTACTACTATCTGGAATTTTCGAGTACAACGCTGAGGCCGTGTCGGAAAGATTCTTCCACTGTCCAAGAACTCTCTCCGCTTCGTTGTAGTTGAGAATCGAAAAAGTTTCTGCTTCGATACTTTCGTGTCTTCTCAAACCCACCAAACGGCTGTGTCCCAGTAGGAGATTTGCTATGGGCTTTGCGTATTCTGCACCAAATTCACGACTTGCATAAGTCTCCAAGAAATCTGGAATTGAATCTTTAGTGACATAGCTGCCGTTCCAAGCCATTGTCATGATGAGAGAAAGTGGTAACTCCATGGGCTTAATATCGGCAACATTTATCACCCATATTTGGTCCGCCCCTCGAAGCCAGGCGGTGTTCAATTGTTGCCATACCTTTCCTAAAGAATTTGTGTTCATCCACTTATAACTTCTGGGAGAGCCAACAAATTCGAGATGGTAATAAACCTGAAAGTAGCAACTGTTAATAGCTAGTCCTCTTGTAACCACTTTAGGTAAATACTTACCCCGATCCCTCCGGAGCGTTCTTTCTCGGCTTCGGTTGGAAGTCTTCGAATTGTTCCAAAGTTGTCATCTGCAAACAGTAAAGTGACATCTTCTGGTACCTCTAGGCCCTGTTCATAGTACGCCTGGACTTCCTTATACAGTGCCCAAACCTCTATAAGAAACAATCAGTCCTGCCCCATTACCAACTTCCCAAGGAACAAATACGTTTGACATCCTCCTCTCCATTCTCCTTCAGAATATCACGCTGGGTCGTAATAACCTCCTCTAGAATTGCCAATGGATCTGCCCCACTGATCCCAGAATCCCCCGCGCCTCTCATTCCCATAGTGAAGTAACTTTCAAAACCCCTTGCTCTCTCAGCTCCAACTCGGAAAAAGTCGGAAATCTTGGCCTTGTTACTAGTCCAATCCCATGAACCCTGGCCTGAGGTAAGCCACTCATTTGTTGCCCTCTGCATGGGTTCGTGGTGGGAAGTAGAGATGACAATTCCATATTCATCTGCAGTGGCCTGATTCAGTGGATCGTCGACGAAGAAACTATTCCCAGGTTCAGGGTAGCTTGGCCACATGGCGGGCCAAAGATAGTTCGCCTGGTGGTACCGCACATGTAAGTCCTAAAATTGCTCAAGAGACCAATCCTAGCTTGGGGGGGAACAACCTTCATCCGGAGAAGGAGCTCGAAAACATGCTTGTAGAACTCGGCATTATAAACCGGACCAAATTTATCCAACACGAAGGACGTGAGAGAGGGAGCTTCATCGTTGATGAAGATCCCCCGGTAACGAATACTGGGTTCTCCATGATGTGTTCTCACGGGGAGTGCATATATCTCTTTGCGTTTCTGCGGAACCACGTCTGCCCACCAATACCATCTGTATAGTACGTACTCCTAGTCATTAATTTTATCTTTAGAAGGAGAATAGAGAGAGAGAGAGAGATCAGGGTACTAACGGTGAGACGCCAATCTGTTCGGAAAGTGTATACACCCCAAATATGGTCCCTCTTTTATCGCTCCCCACAATTACCAGCGCTCTATCCACACCTTTCACAGGCTTCTCCACTACCGCCGTCATAAACGACTCCCACTGACCTTCCAACCCTGTTACATTGACCCTTCCCTCCTTCACCATCCCATCCACAACCCCAGATTGCCCTAAGCTACCTACAATGATCGCCATCGGAGCGTTCATCTTTCCAGTATAATTCTGCACCCCGGCGGGCTGGCCGGTGACCTTGCGGAAATCATCGGAGAGCGATTGAGCGGCTATGTGTACTCCTTTGAAGTCTTCCTCATCTACGAGGATTGGAGCGGAGAGAAGACTGACCCCAGGTGAGGTGAAGGAGATGAAACGCTGCTCTCCGAGGGCATGGCAGAGGGTCGCAGATGCGAGCAGCAATGCCGCGCATGGTATCAACATATTTGCGAATTGTGCAGGAAAAAAAGAGTCGCGATACCTCTCTCTTACTGCGATAACACGCCAACCTCTAACATACGGTCTCTTATAAACACCGCTTCAGGAGTGACATATCATGAACTGAGGTCGGCGACCGGGCTATTCCGCACCGACTTTGGAGGGATCATGTCCATCATAAGCATAAAAGCCTTTATGTGGGTATCGGCTAACTTTAAATGTTATTTTGCATCTATGTTTTCTTTTAGCCTCAGAGATGGCTAATTATGAGATACTGCTCATTGTAGATCAGTAAGAGCTTGTTGCTAGCCCCCGGTATATACTTACCCCGGATTATTTGATCGGTGAAATCAAGCTTTTCTGTGTCTCACTATTCTAGCTCTTCACATATCCCCAGACCGGCCCCGAACGAGTGAGAAGCGATGAAGAGGACTGTCCCCGATCCCCTTTTAATTTAACATCCTCCTCCAATTCCAAGGGTTCACGAGGTAGGCGCGCCCTGGATACCGCAACCTTATTTCATGGATCAGGATACCAGAGAAAGCTCTTCAAACCCACCCCATCCAAACTGATCACCGGCAAGGAAGGTGGCGGCGCTTGTAAATGGTATTGGTGGGCTTTCCTTCACGTCGTTGATAATTGCCCTTGGAAATTCAATATAACATCGGTAAACAGGCGAATTAAATCTTATCAAGAACTCCAAGCCCTCCTCGCGTTTCCCGAGGAGCACGTTTCATGTATACTTTAATTTACATGGATAAGCTGATAACAGGCAGTTAATTAGGTGGATGAATAACGGTCAGCCTGATCCAAGCTTCATGTCGGCTATTGAACGTCGAGTCGCGAAAGTCGTCACTTTAACCTAGCTGTAGGTATCATATATATCCGCCCAGCTCTGGTTAGTTGACTTGTTAGATCTTGTTGATCATAATGAATTCTTAGGGGCTAGAAAATATGATGGCTATATGTAAATGTATATAGGTAGGACGGGTTAATAGCTTGCGCGATTCATCTATTCATGCAGGGCTTTATAGTAGAGTAGAGTAATTTGGATTCATAGAAAAGGCGTAATATGGCCCTTCTACCCGCAATCTCGTTTTGAAATAGTTCTTGGCTTAATATGGCACTTTTCTAACCCGGGTCTAGACAATTTATTTCATGGCGATACAGATGAGAATATATATTGTCTGTCCACTTCAATGTATCTGTGTGAGGACTCCTCGAAGTGTAATACTCGCTGGTAGTACACGACCGAAAAGTCCGGTTTCTTAAAGTTCTTGGGAAATGAAATGTACACATCTCGACAGAAGCGCTGTGTACAATCACGTTAAACATGGAATTTGTATTATTGGGCATGTGGTAATTTCTGTGTACGTGCTACATAATGTACTCCATATCCATGGGAAAGAAAAAGGCGCGTGGTAGAGCACTTTTCAAAAGTATAAAATGTAAAATTACACAAAAATCGGGAGAGAGCACATGCCTCCGTCCACGTCACTACATGTACTACTTGTCAGCATGTCTTTCATGTACTAATTAACCCTTGTATATGTATGTATCAGTCTAGAGTACTACCGCCTGAGATAACCTCCAAATAAGTCTAGAATTGGCATTGAAATTGTAGCTTTCCACAAAGGCCAGCTGTTTGAAACGAGTCTATATCACAGGGTAAAGGAATAGTAGAGAAATTAAAAGTCTCAGTAAAGCAAAACTTGACCTTCAAGCTTTGCCATTATAGAGCGAGGAGAATTGTATTATTTGATAGTCGAGTACTCGACCGATATATTATATCTACAAAACTTACATTAGGACAATTATAGATTCCATTTTACGAAGCTATAAGTCATCAGATAGCTGATGGCCCCTAAAAACCAAGTTTCCTCATGTCGATCCTTTAGATCGATATCGGTCATGGCGTGATATTCTGTGCACACAGGCCTGTTGCTTACTAGCTTTGGAGAAGATTACTCCCTGGCCATATCCTTTTTCGACTTTCATTGGTGTAATGATTTCGGCTAACCTTCCTATCTAGCTCTCTCGTTCTCTCTCCAGACATCTTCAAACGTTTCTGATCCAAGGACAGAAAGCATATCCGATAGGAAGTCAGAAGCAGAATTGAGATATGCGATACCAGTACCATACATTGTCAAACCAGTACTCCAGGCAAGGTGCTGGCGGTTGGTGCGTACGCCAGCCACGGACCACGCATCTGGGTTAGGGTTCATGGAGGCTGATGTTTCACGGCAGTTGAAGGAGGTCTTTTTTTCCTTCCCATGGTACCGATTGCGTGTAATTATAGTTTAATCCCCGAGATCCACGAAGGCTAGCCTTAGTAGAATGTGCGCTAGAAAGTCACCTAAGTAGACGGCCACATCGAATGTATGTACAAAGGCATCTCTGAATGACTCCTTCAATTTACTCGTCATTCATCCTGCACAGAATTACCCCGGAGAAGGAGCCGAAAGAGTATGGTTACCAGCTACTCCCGGGACGCAGGCTGGTCGAGGGTTCCTGCCGGGCTAGATGCGAGGAATATTCGATGTAAGGAACACCTTGCTAGGTTGCTGTATGTAAGGAACGTGTTATACGCATCCGCATCTCAGCCGTTTGCCCTCCGTATGGGGCGTTTGCGTGGTTATACACACAATTACCATTGCATCCTACATGGGGCCCTTAATAATTATCCACTGCCCTATCACTGGTTATTGATCTTAAAGGCGATTTTCAGGCGTTGGGAAATTTTAACCTTCACCTATAACGACTGCATGAACCGTTGCACTCATCCTCTGACGCGCCGAAACTCTTTTCGCTTCGATTGTCGTTGGCCAGGCTATCCATCTGGGCCTATGAAACCTGAAACGGACTAGCCATCCCTACTGTGGCAGGGAGGATGGACCAAATATCGATAACCTCAGAACCCGCTCCCAGTGGCCCATCCCTGGAACCTGGCACCCTTGTATAAGAGGTTTCAGAAAAAGTATTGGAGATGCTGGACATTTCCGCTGAAAGATGGCAGACCAATAATTATTGGTATGGCAAAGGGTCAAAAAGATCTATAATCTATCTATCCCTCCTCCTTTTCTTTCTTTCTTTCCTTCTCCGTTCATCCATTTCGGTGACGACGTCGTTCTCTGACAACTTTTTCTTTCTTTTTCTTGGTCGGATTGTTAAGGTCGGTTGGACAGTAACTTTGAGAGTTTGGTCTAACGTCCGTTTACATTCATTCAAATTATATTCGAAAAGGACCGGCTCCAGTCTACGGTGTTCCTCTCTGTATTATTTTCATTCGCTCTTTAGGCTTCTGGAAGGATTAGGTTTCGAAGTAAGGATATATCCAAGGACCTACTAGTACACCTACATATGCAAACAGTTTGGATATTGCAATTATTGGGGGATCAGCATTTTACAATCGCCTTACAGTCATTTCACCCTTAAGATCTTACTTTCAGTACACTCAAGCACTAGCTAGGCTAGTTCAATTCTTTCAGCATGGCTCAGCCAATAGCAAAATCACCGTCTTCAGCAATTATTCCCCCTATCGGGACAAAAATAACAGAGGTGGCAAACTCATCCACGACATCGCTGCAGTCTACATTTAAACCGCAGAGTCTTTCGGCCCCAAGGATCCGGATACTGCTTGCACCCTATATGTCTTCTTTCATTGTACCACTACACAAGGTCGAAACGTGGGATGTACGTGCATAAATCTCGATTGGACTAAATTTCTCTATCTATAGCTAGGTCTATATACATATGCTGATCAAAATATAAACAAATATAGCTCCTACACGAAGCTCTAAAGAGCCTTTTTGGCCTCGACATCTTCAACAACTCTTCAATACGCATAACCGACCAGCACGGAAACTCGATTCTACCCCCCGTTTGGAAAGATTTGCTCGAACCGGATATGACAATAATTGTCGACACTTGTTCCCTGCAGGCAGAAAACTCACCAGTGACCTTCAAGTTCGAACCACTACCTGCTTTCCGCCACAGTTCGCCACCAGCTTCACCGGCTTTTACAAGCAGAATGTCGGAGGATAGCTGTCTTTACGACTCTGCTAGTACGTACATGGGTCAACTGGGTGTTATCATTGGGCAGGCTGTGCCAATGCCTCCAACCCCCGTTGGAACGCCTAATGTTCATGGCAGACGGACATCAAGAGACATGATTAAGGAGTGGTCTAAGAAGGTGGACGAGGAGGAGAAGAGGGACGCGTCTGTTGAGATGTTTTCTGGGTTGAGCTCAGGGCATTCTTCCAAACCCTCGGAGAAGGAGCAGACCACATCCACAGAGAAACCAGTACAGCAGGAAAATGCTCCCAAACCGAAGTCTTTCAAGTCGAGCATATCTCGCTTTGCGCGGGCGGTGCTGTGTGTCCTCACATACTCGAAGGATTCACCACACTCCAAATCCTCAGACAAAAGGAAACGGGCGCCTACACCGTCAGACAAGCCCAGGCGCACAATCACCATGGATGCCATCGAGAAACAGCCTCCCAAAAGCCAATTCAACACCCGTGTCTACCATATTCCCTCTGAACGGCGTACAGCATCAATATCACGCCGCCGCGGCATACCGTCGCTCGCGCCGGTCGCCACTCCCGCAATAACTACTACCCCGACTCGTAACCGTGCTGAAGTCCGGCGCTCAAAATCTCTATCACACTTAAAACTACCTTCCTTCTCATCTACTAGGGCCACCACATCATCGCCACTCCCCACTCCCACACCATCCATAAAGTTCCGTCCTCGATCAAGGTCATTCACTTCTACACGTAATAGCAGCAAACTATCAATCATATCTCCGCCGATACCACCCCGAAGACCAAGCCTTGAGTTGGGAACAAACGCCCAATACAAAAGTCTCGCACTCGATAAAGCCCAAATCACCGAGATGTTCAAGGAACTCGATGGTGAAACACTGGCAGGACGCAGCAGGAGTGGAACTGGAGATACCTCTTCCACATTAGCCGTTTCTGCTGCTCCTTCCCAAGAAGTAAGTAGCGCCTACTCTATTCCCAATGCTGTTACATGAACTAACCTTACCAGCTGCAAAAGCCACTTCCGAAGCTTCCTTACAAGTTCTCCGCATTCCCGGCCCCATCACCGCCGAGATCCCCAATAATAGGCTTCGGGGACGACTATGTCGTGTATGAAGAAGTCGGGCGACCGGCCACGGCAATCACAAGGAGGATTACAAAGGTGACTTTGAGGAAGGTGGCAAGCACCGATTTTACGCCGGTGAAGCCAAGGAGGGTGAAGACTGTACAGACGTTTTAGTTGGTGGGCAAGTATTCCGTTTTCATTGTGTGATAGTTTCTTCTCTATGCATGTGGTGGGTGTATTTGTGTTGCGGGGAGTTTTAATGGCGGGGTTTGTGTAATTTTGGGGTTTTTTTTCTTTATATATTATAGGTTAAGGGGAGGGGGAGGGGGGGAGAAAAGAGGGGGGAGGGTGGTGGTTCGTAGTTGGTGAGTTGAATATAAATGAAAAGATTGCTTTGTGGCATACATGTAGCTAGTGGTTAACAGACAATATATATACAACACTAGCAGCCCAAGGTAAACCCTGTCTTTCTCTCCCAATTTCCATGGTCTGTGAGAGTAAGCCCGATCTAGCTGATATGGTTCTTGTACTATCCTCGAGCTTATAAACCCCACAATACTACTCAGATCTGTAGCCTCACTTCCCTCAGTTGAACATCAATACAAATGGTAGCATCTCTGATCCGCGTACCGTACTATCCGTAAATTGTGCAGCGAGACCATATAGTTACACCTATATGGAATAATCTACTTATAGCATTCCCCACGCATCAATGCAATCTTCGTTCCATACACTCTGTGGGAGCACTAACCAACACCGCCAGCGGCCAGCCTAGCGTTAACGCTTGACCCAAAGACCCATCTCTGCCAAGTACCCCGTCTGCGCCAAAAATAACACAGACACCGTTAACTACATGTACACCCGCCCACATAGACCGCCAGTCCAACGCCTCCGGACCTCGCCCCCGAGTCGGCAGGAGCGATCCTGCAATCTGGATTGACGGGGTAAGGGTTGGATAGCAGCATTGGCCGATCATTGGCGGCGGTGGGTGGTTTCAGTGTTCGGGCGCGAGTTTCCGAACAGTCCCGGAGTATCATTCGTGGGTGGTGGCTGGAGAAACTGGGTGGTTGGTTGGTTAGGGTGAGAGGGGGGGAGTGTTGGAGTGGTGGTTATGGTACGAGTGATGGGCTGTGATTGTGTATTAGTTGCACTGTTGATAATGCTGCCCCCGCTTATCGGGGATTGGATTGGTTCGGATCAACTATTGATAAGAGCTTTTTGATTGTTAGTATTAGCTATTGTATTAGTTATTGGCCACGATCTTGTCGTGCGTGAGGGCGGGGGAATTAAGAAGCATATGAGTGTTCCAATTGTAGAATAGTTACTAGTGCGTGCTAGTGCGTCTCAGTGCAGAAAGGCGCGCTAGTAATAACACTTCTGGCAAATACGAAGGGAGACTAGTGCGGTGCATGTGAATCCTAGAATCTAATTTGTAAAAGCTGTGGATGAGTACTATCAGCCAAGTTTATTAGTTGGTTACGAGCTAATTACATACCGAACTATAATATCCTACTGGATCAAGCACTGTCTAATATATAGCTATCAATCTTAAGTCCGTGCGTCTAATCAGAGCCACCAACAAGTCAATCGTATGGCAAACTGCCCATGAAAAATGTAAGAAAAGGCCATCTCTAAAACCACCACCAAATCCATATAAAAGCAAAAAGAAAGGTAAATCCAGCCCATATCTAAGTCCACTACCGCCCAAGTTAAGCTTACCATCAACCCACACCCCATAACCGCTCCACATACCTAGCCTCAATACCCCTTCAAGCCTATCCTCCACTCCAAAACCCTCGCATCGAACGCGTCCACCACCTCCACCGGAAGCCCCTCCTCCGGCTCCCAAGTATCATCCTCACACCCCCACCCCTCCCAATGCACCAGCATCTCTCTCGCCCACCCGACCCCACGCTTCGCCTCCACAATCCTCTCACCGCGGATCCTATCGATGATATAGACCCCGTGCTCTCCGCCCTTCCCCTCCTTCCCATACCCCCCCTTATTTTCCGGCGCCGAGGTAACAACGACGTCGTCGACTGCGATTCGTGGCGATGTCAGCGAGCCTAAGGGCAGCGAGATCGTTACAAACCGGTTTTGCCGGGGGAAACTCGGGACGACGAGGAAGGGGCCGTCGTAGAGGTCGGTGGTGTCGATGCTGTTGGGGAGATGGGAGGAGGGCGGGCGGCGGCGGAGAACATAGCTTCCTGGGGGTGGTGGGGACTTGACTAGTGGTGCAGGTTGTGTGGGGGGCGTGGGCTGAGGTGTGAAGGGCGAGGGCGTAGGTGGAACGATTATCGAAGGGGAGCGGAGGGACCAGTTCTCCACGATTGGACCCAAGGTACGGGGTGGGGGGGACTCGGGCTTGATAGAGAAGATGGGAGGTGGGATGGGGGCGGCCTGAATGGAGGTTTGAGTAGGACTGCGGGGGGGTGAGCCGAGTGGGCTGTGCCTGCTCTGGAAGCTGAAAGCCAATGAGACGAACTTGTCTGGCTTTTCGATCTGGTCTTGGGACTGGTCCTGATCGATGGTGTCTAAGGCACCCTGGGCAGGGACATCAGAAGCATCAGAGAGCTCCTCTACCTCCATCTCCACCATCACCACCTCATCATCATTTTTATCACCATCATCAACCTGTCTCTGCCTCTTTTTCTGCTCCTGTCCTCGTTCCTCTGTATCACTCTCACCCTTCTCCAACTTTATCTTCACCCCACTCGTCCTCCTCCTCCTTCGCTTGTTGACCCTACCACCCACCACAGCTCTAGACTCCGCCGCTGCTCTTCTCTCGGCACGTAGTCTTCTCCGCTCACTCTCCATGTACAGCAGAAACCGCTGATCATCAAACACCATCTCCTGCTCCTCCTGGCCGCCCCCCCACGCAACCAGCATCAAGGCACACAGGAAGACGGCTGGCCATGTGACGACGAGGTGGTAGGGACTGAACATGCTCAGTGCGTTTGAAGACATTCTCGCGCAGCTTGGATACGTACACGCCAAAGCGGGTATGTAGTATAGTATGTAGGGGTTGATACAAGACGAGTGAGGCAGTCTGATGATGATGATGATGATGTGTGATATGTGCTATGAGAAAGCCACCATGATATTGTGATGTGACATGAGATGCCACGACGTACCATTACTGTCAACGTACTCCCACCATGATGTGAGCTACCGTACCGCACCGTATACGCACCATGCTACGAGCCACCACAACAACGAGAGAGGTACGGCTCAATACGCGCGTAAGTTTGTCCCTCCCCCCCCCCCCCCCTCCCACAAAGCGGCCATCATTTAGGCTAGCTAGCACAGTGCACAAGCATCACACGCTATCACTCGCACTTCACACAAGCTGCAACCCCCCCCCCTGATCGGCAGCAGGTGCAGCGCGCGAAACCGCGCTTGTGGCCGGTAGCCAATGGCAGCGGCGGCGCGCTATCCTTGTACATTGCTGGCTGGCTGGCTATGCTCACTTCATGTCTGCTCCGCACGCGCTGCACACAACAAAGAGAGTGTGAGGAGTCTAGACAGCAAACTCTAAATGCCACGCGCAGAGATCTGGCGCGACCACACAGGCTGGAGCAGATCGGGGGTTGCACAGCAGGCCGGCAGGATGGGTACGGCGGTGGTTGCAGGGCGCTGCTGCGACTGGCTGGTAAAATAGTAGGTAGCGTAGGGTGGGTGGGTGTGTGTATGTACATGTCGGTGTGTGGTGTGGACGGAGAGGCAGAACACAATTAATCATGTAGTGTATGTAGACCAATGTGCCTGGGCAAATCACTGCAGTGTTGTGGGACGTACGCGGGAGATAGTCGGAGGATCCTGGTAGATCAGAAACTGGGCCGGGGTTCAGCTGGTTTTTGTCAACTACGACGGAGGAACAAGTGTTTCGATTTGCTGGGTGTTTGGGCCGCGGAAAGAGGGGGGGGGGCAGAATATATATGTGGAAGTGGACAGCGAGCGTGCGGGTTGTGTGGGACGTTCTATGGAGTGCATGATGGATGGGGTTGCTGGCTGGTTGACGTCATATTGGATTGGGGGAGAGAGAGAGAGAGAGAGAAAAGGCGAGTGAGAGGTTATGCACTTACCCACCCCACCACCATCACTACAGCAGTACTGCGCTGTTCAGTGTCCAACTACAACCCCACCTCCGACTACTACTACTACTACTGTCGTACACTCAAATCTTCAAACCTCAACTCACAACCACAACTGCCGGGAACGTGAATGGTCAGAACCAAATGTGTAGTAGAGTAAAAAATCAACGCCCTAGAAGAGCGGTAAGTATGTATATATAAATATCGTAAAAATAGACAGCAGTGAAGTAAGTACTTTTCCAATCCCAATCCAACTAACTACATACATCCCAATTCCATTCCATTCCTTCGTGCAAAAAACGATAGCGGTAGGCAAGGTATCCAAAGAGATGAAAAACTCTTAAAAAATAAAGATCAGAATTACAGGCCTCCTAAAGTAAAAGAGAAAGAGAGAAAAAAAAAAAAAAAAAGACAAAGGAAAAAAACGGATTAATAAGTCAAGTGTCCTGCTGTGTAGTATAGCCATTTTTATCCCCACCCTATGCGCCCCTCCCAAGAAAGTTTCCAAACCAAATAAAATAAAAAATAAACTCTAGGAAAGAGAAGAACATTATGAGATGAGATAAATAAAATAAAAATAAAAAACGCCGGCCTGTAATCGTATCAGTCGCATATTCACAATTCCAATCCCCCCCCCCCCCCCACACTCGTATGTTTATATTCCCCACTAATTCTCACGTAGCACATCATATCTTGATCTCCCGATGTATATCCCTGTGATGGTCGACTTCGCGATGACTGTGCCCGCCTCCCCTATGACTGTGTGACGTCGGCGGCCTTTCCCTCTCCGACGACTTCCCTGAAGACCCTGTTGGGGGTCGGTCCTTATCCTTCTCCTTATCAGACTTTGATGGTTTATCGGCCATCATCTTTTTATCGAAGAGCCGTCGTGTAGCATCAAACAGCCCGCCCTTCTTTGCATCCTTCTCTTTCTCCTCCTTTGGTGTTTTATGCCTATGTTTGTCCTTGGTCTCCTTTGTGCTGCTGCTCTTTGAAGCCTTCTCTTTCAGCTCTTTCAGCTCCTCCTTGGTCTCCTCCTTGATTGTCTCTGGTTCCTCTCTACGTCCACCGCTCCGTGACCGCTTAGCCGCTGCGGAACTGCTACAGTCGTCGCAGGAATCCTTGCCGTCACAGTGGTGCTTCTCCCTACGCTCCTTCTTCTCCTTACGTTCCTTCCTGTGCACACTGCGGCCATCAACTGTTGCATCATCATCATCTTCAGCTGCGGCATCCTCTTCGTCAGTCTTCTTCTTCCGTTCCCGCTTCCCACTCGCTTCATCCCGCTCCTCAATGCGCCGTGCCTTCTTCTCCGCCTTCTTCCGCTCCGCCTCCTCTTTCTCCTTCTCGATCCGCCGTTCTGCCCGTCGCCGGCGATTGAACGTCACATTACTAGCGCTGTCATCTGGGCCCAGTAATATACTCTTCCCACCCTCCCACTCTTCAACCGGCGGCAGAAGCAACTCGTTCTCATCTTCGAATTCGTCCGGCAGCTGCACAGGCGCCGCTACCTCGCCCTCGGCCAGCTGCTGCATGCTGCGCTTCTTCATCTTCTTTGCGATTCCGTTCTGGCGCTCCTTGAGCGCGCGGCGGACGATGAGGGCGCGGTTGTGGAGCTCCTCAATCTCGTCGTCGAGGCCCTCGAGAACGCGGAGGAGGCTGCGGTCGAGGCTGGTGATTGTTCGCAGCTCCTCCTCCTCGTCGCGGGGGACGGCGTTGCTGGACCCGTCGAGGAAGCCGTCGAAGCGGCCGGAGTTGATTAGTTCCATCTCAGCGTCGGTGAGGCGGGAGACGGCGGTCAGCAGCGGGTGCAGCTCGTCGTGGAGGAGGAGATATAGCGCGATGATGGGGGCGGTGATGGCCGCGGGGGTGTGCTGCGGGTAGAGGCGGACCAGGGCGAGCTTTGTGGCGGCCAGGATGTGGGGGTCGGACAAGTATGCGCGGAAGATGAGGATCTGAGTCTGGTTCAGGATGCCTTCAATGATCTGCACGACGATCTCGCTGTGCTCGTCGAACTCGCCGTCGTCGCTGAGCACCGATGCGGTGGTGGGGGACGGCGGTGGCTGTGACCGTTTTAGCACCTTCTCCACCTCCTCGAGCCAGTCCTCGACTTTGCCCGTCTTCTGCTTCACGCCCGCGACGACGGATTGCGCGAGCTCCTTGGTGATGTACATACTTGGCGGGTGGAGGTGCGATGCGACATCGTCGTCCCCGGTGGCCCCGCTCAGGATCGAGGCTTCAATGTTGCGCCGCGACATCAGGCCTTTAACCGGCAGCACGCACAGGCATGGCCGGGTGCGTCCCCCGCGGATATACTCTAATATATCGTGCCAGCCCACGCCATCTACGCCCAAGTCCCTTGTGAACACGCCGCCTACCTGTTCCAGGAGCTTTCTAGCGACGCTGTGGTACCCGTTTGCGACCGCAATGCTGCCGCCGTTAGAGAGGATGCTGTGGTAGTTCTCCAGCAGTATGTTCAGGTTTGCAAACACCGCCGACACCGGCTGGTCCGTGTCCACGCTGTCGTCGAGTGAGTCTGGTTCCTGCCAGGGGTGGAAGTTTGTCGATACTGGGTTCGGAAGAGAGCCGTTCGGGAGGAGGTAGTCGATGGGTTGGCGGCCCAGCTTCTTGCCCATGCGGGTGACATCCTTCAGCGATGCGTTTGACGACGACGTGCCAGGGCGGAGAGCGCCAAGCTTGTCGGGGGAGCCGCCGCGGACGGCGATGGCCTGCGGGCCGTAGCGGGAGGACGAGGTGGTGCGGGTGTTGTTGGTGCCCCGTCTGGTGAGTGGGGGGGAGGGCGGGAGGGCGGTGATGCTTGGGTGGCTGGGTGAGCGGACTCCTTCTTCTCTCAGTACCCGCGAGAGTGACGATGGAGACAGTGGTGTGGTTGTGGAGGTTATTGTTGTGGAGGTTGTTGTTGTTGTAGAGCTGTGGGTATCGGAGACCTGCCGAAGGGGGGGGAGGGGAAGGGACACCGGGGCTGGCCGCGGTTTGCTACTACTGCTTGAGCTCTGTTTGGGGCCGTCCCGCTTGGGGACTGTCTTGATCGAAGGCATGGACAACTCCTCTTCTTCCTCTTGTGCCTGCGGTGTTGCTGGAGTAGTTGTGATGTCGACAACAGCAGCAACAGCAGCAGCAGCAGCAGCAGCAGCAGCAACAGCAGGAAGAGAGAGGGTCGGCGGAGACGGCGGAGCTCTCTGCGGTTCAGGCACCACAAACACAGTCTCTGGGTACTGTCGTTCGTCCACTACCGGAGCAGCTCTTCCTACGGTGGTTTCCTGCTCGTCGAAGTCCTCCTCTTCGTTATCGGTCTCTGCGGCACCAGAGATTGCAGTAGATGCACGAGTTGTAGCAGGCGGTGTGGGAGGGGTTTCTCCAGAAGCAGGAGCAGCAGCAGCAGCAGCAGCAACTCCACAACCACCCACGAGCTGTTCTTCGGAAGAAATCGAGCGCAGTAGCAGCAGCGGGGAGGAGTGTTGGCGCTGTCGCCCATGCGTCTCTTCCAGTGACGACGGAGGGGGTGAGAAATCGGCCATATTCCGTCCTATTACTCGCTTTTCCTTTTAATTTAATTTTTTTTTCCTACTCTTGTTGTGTGCTGTATGGGTTGTTTGCTTGGGTTGGGGGAGAGGGAGGAGGAGTGGAGTGGAGTGGAGTGGGTGAGGGCAAATAGACGTGGTGTATGTAGGTGCGGAAGTAACGGCTCAATGGAGCTTCGAGCTGTAACTTACAGGAGTCAGCGCGGGTGCGAGTGAGAGGAGAACAAGTATCCAAGCAACAAGCAGCAGGCGGAATGGAAATCGGGAATCGCGAACCACAGCCGAAGATAGGGTGGTTGAGTGAGGAGTTTCTAACCTGGTACCTCTGGGCCCTCTGTTTCTGTTCTTGATCTCCTCTTTGGTAGGTATGGGAATTTTTCACAGACTGGGCGCAAGACTGACTGACTGACACTGACTGAAAAGAAGGGACCACCAGCAGCTCGTTGGAAGAAAAATATCACGGGCGAGCAGGAGAAAAAAAAGAGAGAGGAATTCTTTGGATGGGATGTGATATTATGATGTGATGTGATTTGATTGACGATGATGATATGTGGGGAGACACACTCTCTCTCTCTCTCACGTTCACTCTGTCAATCTCCTCGCTGCAATGAGGAGTAACTCTCGAAAGACGGATGACGAGAAAACAATTTCAGCGTCCCAAATCAAACAGCGAGCGGCCAGAACCAGAACTAGAACCAGAACCAGGAGACGGTAAGAGTAGGTACTAGTAGAGCTAGGGGACAAGGTGATAGATATCGTGGATCGGGGAGCTGTCAGAGGCTGAATGAATCATGTGTTGAGGTTCCTCTCAACCTATGGGATTACGCTGCCCTGCCCTGCCTGTTGGGATTGGGATTGGGAAGGGGCTATGATACAACCAGGAGAGCAAGAGATGCCTCTTTTTTCCTTCCGCTCCTTCTCCTTCCTTCCTTCACTTGACTTACCTTCACTTACATGTACTTCACTTTACTTCACTCGAACCCTCGCTTCCTGCACAGGGATCTAGTACTTTAAAGTGGTAGAAGCAGGGGTATTTTAGGGTACTTACTCTACTAGTGATATAGCTGCGGCGAATCCTCGATTCTCGGTGCCTTTTCTCCGCCTCTCCTCTCCTCGGTGCCCTTTCCTCCCCTTCCATACTGCCTTCCTTTCCACACTTCTTCCTTGCTTCCGTCCTTCGGTCTTTCCATCATTCTACTTCCTCAAACCGCCAAAAGTATATTTCGGTCGCTCCGTAGAATGGGGATACTCTCTACATTATGCTTCCCCTTAGCCAGCCAGTCAGACACATGGTCCGCCGAGCAGGGGGCCGCCATTGCAACAGACACGTTGGCAGACTCTCTCTTTTTTTTTTTTTTTTTTTTTTTTTTCCCTTCACCCTGTGTGTGGTGTGTGGTACATACGTTGACATGGCACTGCAGGTTGGTGGGAGAGTGTGGTGTGTGGTGTGTATGGAAGAAGTGTGTGTGTGTGTGTGCCCTACGTATGATACCCTGTCCTACCGCCCCCCTCCTCCTCCACCACAGTTATGGAAATGATTGAGATTCGCCTGCCTTGCGGATGGGGGGTAGAGGAGGGTAGGGGTAGGGGTAGGGGGGTCGTGAGGAAATAAGGAATATGATAAAGTTCCCTTTTGCGCGGGCTTGGGAGAGTGCCTTCATCTACCGAGCTTTCATGGGGGTTCATCTACTCGGTATGGGGTCTTCTCTCGTGGCGGGGGTAGATGTAGATGCGGTACTGGCTGGTACTGGTAGGTACTGACATTATCGACTTTCCCTCGCTCATCCACTCCATCCCCAAACCCGGCGGGCATCTCTCTTGCTCGATAAGATAGAGCTCGAGAGCATGTGCGTATTTGTAGTACCTACCCACCGCATCCCGAAAAACCCAATTCCCGCGTAGAAAGAGAATTGATTTTAATTAATCCTTGTCTTTTGCTTACTTGCACTCTGTTCCGCCCGCGCCCGGAGGGCAAAAGAAAGGGCAGCTGAGTTATATTCCGACAGCTATGCACATCACCACCTCAGCAACCCACGCCGGCCAGATCTGGAACAGGCAACCAAAAAACAAAACTGATTTTCGACTTCCCCCCCTCTTCCCCTTCCTTCCCCTTGCCCTTGCCCTTCATCCCGAGACAAGACAATCCAAACGTCCCGGTGCATGTATGTACTGTCACGGGGTTAATTGGGCCCAGGGTAGAAAGAAAGATCATAATCTGGTTTACCTAGTTCTGGTTCTAGCCGATCGATAAGATGGCTGATCTAAGTACCACCACCCACCAGCGCTCATCTAGAGAGAGCAATGTGTATATGTAGGCCGCACAGCAGAAAATAGCAGAAAAATACCCTTTTTATTTTTTATTTTTTTCTATACCTCACCCGCGCGCTGCTCTGCTCCTGTGACGTTATCCAGAGAGAGTGGCATCATCGTCTCCCCACCCCCCCCCCCCCCCCCCGGGGCAAAGTTTGAAACCAGGCCATAATATCCTGCAGAACATGTATGTATGGCCGGTATCCAATCGCCGGCCGCGGTGCCGGTCGAGAAACGTCGAGAAGGACACCTTCAACCTTCACTCCGGCACATCTGGCTACACATGTTCAAGATGTAGAGATAGCAGCAATCCCAGCTTGTGACTATCGGTACGTCCCCGGGTAGACGGAGCGACGAAATACATTTTTTTTTTGTTAGCTTCTTGGAGAGCGGGGTTTCTTTCCCACAGTTGCGGGGCAGAGGGGATGAGGAGAGGGAGGGGAAAGTAATTCGGAAGTGTTGGGGTGATTGGGTGCACAGCATGCATGGTACGGTGTTTGGCGCATGTAGTGTGCGAGCGGCGGTGAGTGAGATGTTGTGATTTCGACGAGAGGGGATGCCAGAGTTAATTACTACTACATGACATGACTGATTCTTCCGGTCTAGTTTGTAGGCACATGTGAGTACAAAGTAGAAGAATTGAAGTTGGCAATTAATCCAACCCTAACCCTCAATTGTTGCTGGGCATACACCTACATCTAACGTACCCGGGCTATTCTGGTTAGTGTGTGTCAAGGACGAGTGATGGCTCTCACTCCGCCGCCGAACCAAGGATGAAAGGATGAGTGAGAATATCGTATCTGCGATTACTACATGTATGTACTGTAATGAACGCTGCTCGGCACTTTCGTCGATAGCCCCCCCCCGCGCAAAGCCACACAGCTGGCTACATGTAGGTGTGTAGCTGGCTGTCAGCTGTATCAGAGTCTATTCCGTGTAGATCTTGGGCTGCTACTACTACATGTACTACTACACATAGACTGCGAACACTCTACATATATACTCCACTCATACGCTGGCCTTGCAACGGGAGACGTCAGCGCCTACGAGTAAAGTACGAGTGCCAAAAGTGGCTGACAGGCCAGTGGGTGGCTAAGCATGTATACATAGAGCAGAGCAGAGGAGAGTAGAATAGAACAGAGCAGGGCAGAGCAGAGCAGAGCAGAGCAGAGCAGAGCAGAGTATTGCCCAGGGCGATTACTCTCATATATATACATAGCTCCCGTGACCATTCAGCGTGTTGTGCTGAAACAGCACTTTGACTCTATGAAGCGACGTTCATTCCACGTACCAGACGCAGCGAATCAATCCCCGGCTGCAAGGCAGAGATGCTTACAATTATAGATAGATACATCTACAAACAGAACAGGGCTCTCTCTGGCTGGTGCCTCCTCCTGACTGGATCTGCCCGAGGAAAAGGAATAAGAGAACCAATCAGCGAGGCAACCAGTGGCCCGTCAACCCTAGCCCACGCCAAGCGACTAGCTCTTCCCCAGGCCAACCTCAAGTGATGAGCTCACCGAGTTTTGCAGATGAGCTCACCGAACTGAAGGGAGAGCAGTTATGGACACAGGCCCCAAACACCAGATCATGTATGCCATCCCCCCCCCCCCCCCCCCCCATCCCTCGAATACATGGAGAAGCAAGAAACAAGAGACAAGAGACAGGAGACAGGAGACAGGAGACAAGAGACAAGCCCCACCAACTATATATAGCTAATAATCCTTGCAAACAGAATCCAGATGATATATGCCCAGACAACACCTAGCGCCATGAACCTCCTCGACCTCCCCCCGGAGCTCATCCTCCTGATCGCCGAGAGCCTCGACGGCCTCGACGACAAGAACAGATTCGCCCGCACGAGTCGCAGCCTCTACAGGATCGTCAGCAAGGTTCTCTACGACTCCATGGACAAGAACAAGGTTCTCCGCTGGGCCGCCCGCAACGGCCGCGGCGAGCTGATATCCCTGGTGCTCGACATGGGCGCCGACATCGACTCGCACGACAGCGACGAGCGCACGGCGCTGCACTGGGCCGCGACGTACGCCCACGACGCCCACCTCATCACGCGCCTCGAGTGCGGGCAGGAGATCCACGCCGTGGTCAAGTCGGACCTGCACACCGTCGAGTCCAGCGCTGCCCATGCAGAGCCCGCCAGGATCCTGCTCGACCGGGGCGCCGACATCTCCTCGCGGTCGTGGTTCCGCGGCCACCTGGTCTTCCACGCGCCGCTGCACTGGGCGACGGCCTGCGGGAACGTGGCGGCCGTGGAGCTGCTGCTGGAGCGGGGCGCGGAGATTGACCAGAAGGGCGGCATGGTGCGGTACACGCCGCTGATCCTGGCGGCGATAAACGACCACGAGAGAGTCGTGCGGCTGCTGCTGCGGAACGGGGCGGACGTGAAGGCCACCACGATGTGGAACGAGACGGCGCTGCACTGGGCGTCGTGGGCGGGGCACGAGGAGGTTGCGGTGGCGCTGCTGGAGTACGGTGCGCCGGTCGAAGACCTGGGCTCCGATGCCCAGACGCCGCTGATTGAGGCTGCGCGCGAGAACCACGAGGGGCTCGCCCGGATCCTCCTCGACCACGGCGCCAACGTCAACGCCCACAACGTCGACCGCGACACGCCGCTCCACATCGCCGCCCAGCGCGGATACCTGCGGATGGTCTCGCTGCTCCTCTCGTACGGCGCCGACTTCACCATCATGAACCCCACCAGATCCCCACTGCACTCGGCGGCATACAGTGGGCACACCGCCATCGTGGCCCTCCTCCTCGACCGCGGCGCCGGCATCGACGAGGGCCGCGAGCACAACGGCTACACCCTCCTGCACACCGCCGTCCTCGGCGACGGCGACCGCGCGCTCGTCCAGCTCCTCCTCGACCGCGGCGTGCAGCCCGCCGACCTCACCGCCGACGGCCACACCGCCGTGCACCTCGCGCACATGCGCCAGAAGTACGATCTCGTCACCGCAATGCTCAACCACACGCCCTTCTGCCCGCTGCAGTACCTCACGGACCCCGAGCAGCTGCGCGACCCGGACGCGCTGGACATCATCGTCAACGCCAGCGTCGACCTGCTCGCCGCCCACGCCGTCCCCGCAACGCTCTACCTCACCGCCGCGCTGTACGCCGCCTGCGTCGAGGGCCTCACCGACAGCGCGCGCATCCTCATCGCCGCGGGCGCAAACGTCAATGCCCGCCTCGACGGCGGCGACGCCGACACCACGCCGCTGCTGTGCGCCGTGGCCAGCGGCAACGAGGCTACCGTGCGCTTGCTACTGGAGGCGGACGCGCGCGCGGACGATGCTGACGAGTGGGGGTGTGGCGCGCCGGGGATGGGGATGGGGATGGGGATGGGGATGGGGATGGGGCAGATGGATGTTGAGACGCCGCTAAGGCGCGCGGCGGTCGCGGGACATGTGGCGATTGCGAGGGCGCTGCTGGAGGGCGGGGCGGACCTGCATCTGAGGGATGTGAGGGGGCGCACGGCGCTGCACCAGGTGGTGATGGAGGGGGAGGAGGGGAGGTGTGGGGAGATGGTGAGGTTCTTGATGAAGTGGGGCGCGAACCCGGATCAGTCGGACTGCGAGGGGGTGACGGCGTGGGACGTTGCGGGCGAGGGGTGGGCGAGGAGGGCGCTGATGGAGGCGGGCGTGGAGGATCCGTATCGGCATTGGAAGGAGGTGATGGAGGAGATGGGGCAGTGAGTGAGTGACTGGCTGCTTTAATTTGATGGTGTGTGTGGGGGGGGGGGGGGGGGGGGCTCTGTCTGTGGTTTTTTTTTTCTTGGTGGCTGATTTTTTATTTTATTATTTATTATTTGGGAGCGTTTGCGATACTTTATCTGACTGTTAAGGGACTGTTTTGTGCAATGCGTGTTGTGTGCCGCTGGAGGGGGGAAAAAAAAAAGTTTTTGTTTATTTCAAAGATAATTTATATCCCGTGAGAGGTCGAGATCTAGATTCTCAATGGTGATCACTAGTGTTCCATTTTGCAATTGTAGAACTGTCTCGGTCTCAGTCTCTGCTCCTGATATCAGGCTTCAGTTCCACCCTTAGTTCGACCGAGTGAGCGTCTGTGCGCCAAGCTTGTCGCACGTTTCCAGGCTGTACGCCGTTCGTGATCGAGGTCCCGCCAGCATAGGTTAATTATACTCAGATGCGTGTATAGAGGAGTGATGATGCCGCAGCCTAGTTTTATACAGTCTAGATCTGAGAAACTATGTAACAGAAAGTATGCTTGACCGAGTTCAGCTACCGCTGAATCGTGTCCCAGCACCTATTATATGCATAACCTGCACCGCAACGTCTGGGTTTAATCGTGATGCGAATGATGGGCTCTGCTTAGTCTCGTTCCCAGGCTGTTTTGTTGTCGCACTGCGTGCATGCAGACACAAAGAGAACATAGGCTGGGCACGGAGACTAGGCTCTGCTATGACACTGACTGATTGATGTATGCAACTACGCCCCCTGGAATCAATGTATGTATCTTTCCAGCTTCCTAGGATTGAGAGAACAGCTAGACACGTGCCTGGCATTCTTGCATTGGCGCGTAGCTTAATAAAGGACGAGGACTCGGCATGCAGTACATACCGCTTCCGGCTTTAGAATGTTGATAGCACATACTGTAGAGACCTGACGGGGAATAACTACAAGGGGTCTGGAAACTCGTTTCTATTTCTGAGGCCGCTTGTAGATAGGTACATCCAAAAATGCCACAAATTAACTACATGTAGCTAGGCAGGGGATAGCTTCGGGGGTGGAGAAAAGGAATATATGATATTCAAGACAGCCCTTTCACTCTCTATATCCATATCCAATGAGGCGAATTTCTGCAGGCTGGTAATGAAGTATTTCGCCAGTCTAACCACTGGTATGAAAAATCATAAAAACCTTAATATTCCCCTCAAAGGCCGCTGTACTGATAGGTTGAATCTTATCCTAAATAATATTAGCTTGGTTTCCATTTATCTCTCTTCTGTGTTGGCCCTCTCTGTCTCGAGATTTGTGATATATAACACTAGGCGTTCCCCCATTTTGGTGCTGTGCCTGCACGACAAGAAATTTTTTTTAGCTGTTGTATGCCTGTCCAATTGATCAAGCTACTTAGTATACAATTAACGAATTATCAATCAATCAAGCTGTGTCCCATGTCGCCAACAACCACCCCAGGAAGGCTGTTCATATATATATATATATTCCACGCCGGAGTCGAAAAAAGCAATCGCGAAGCTCCCCACAGCATCAGAGCGGAAGAGTACGGATCATAACAGCGCAGGATGTTTGACGGCGTTGTTCTGAGGGCGATGTTTTTAACTTCTCTAACAGTAGCAGTAGTAAAAAAAGAAATAGGGGGGCAATAGGCACATAGTAGTGACGGGAGACGGATGGTAGTATTGCAGCCGCTCATGAGAAACACATATACATGTCTGGGAAGATTCCGACGGGTGTCTTGCGTTTTTTCTCTCTCTTTTTTTTTTTTGTTGGGGGGGGGGGGATGAACCGAGTGATATCTCATGATGAACGATCACCCGCTACGGCCAGCTCTAGCAGCTATATAAGCACCTAGGTACCTGCAAGAGCTCCAGTAGCTCTGTTAGTAGCTATACTACATGTATTTAGAACGTCTCCAGGAGCCATGCCACGCCACTAGTAAGTGCACCAAGTGCTCTACTCGTTTCCGGTGCTCTTCCACGCCCCCAGGAGCTGTTTCATGATCACTTGCCCAGGATCGGAGCTATATCATGATCAGTAGCTCATGTGCACGTGCACGAGTGCAGTCCTCTGCCACGCCTCCAGGAGCTGTAGCTCGCCCACAAGAGCTCTATCAGCGCCAGTTCTAACCCGGAGCGATGCCATCACCTGCAAACCGATTATTGTTACGTATACTTGATTTTATTTGTTTATTCACCATCCGATAACGTTATAACGGGTAGATAATCCACAGTATAATAAGAGCATAGATACGAGACCTAAGAGGTAAATGGCAATGGCATAGGAAAATATCGCTAACCCGTATCGCAGGTATCCTCACAAGTCAGGAAATGAAGAAGAAAAGAAAAGAAATGAGAAACCAATACTACCCTACTAAGCTCCACATCTATCGTCCACCTTAGTATTGTGCGAATGGCCACAGGGAGGCTGGGGACGAGTCTACGGTCACCTCAATGGTCTCACCATCAGCACACACCCACAATACATCGCCGCAAGTAGCAAGGGCGACCCCGCTCCATTTTCCAGTAGAATATCCACCAAATCATAACTATCTGTAGAGTCCAATGCCAGCACCTTATGGAGCGCGGTGAGTCCATCGTTATCCTGCAGGTTCGGATCCGCCCCATTCATCAACAAGAACTCCACAATTTCCTCACATTCCGCCCACCCGCGATACGGATTCAGGGTACTTTTGGTCCCCGTGGCATTTGGGTCTGCTGCGCGCGCAACGAACGTTCCCGCGCTCCTTCTGCAGGTGCAGATGGCATAGTTGAGGGCACTCCCGCCGTCAGCGTTTGGGGAGTACTTGTTGATGTTGGCGTTGTTAGTGAGCCTTAGGATGAGCTTGACGAGGGGGAGGTAAGATTTCCAGGCAGCCCAGTGGAGCGGTGTGAAGTCTCCGTGTGCCTGTTGGACGGCGAGCTTGTGGAGGTAGGGTGTGAGGAGAACATTGAAGTATTGAGAGGTTAGGATGAGCTGGGAGAGAGAGCAGGTGTCAAGGCCAGTGGCTATGAGATATAAGATCTCTGTTGGGAGCTCTAAGAAGGCCATCTTGCTTTGGGGGGGGGGGGGGAGACTTCTGGGGTAAATAAACAAGGTGGTTGGGTTTTGAAGCTGTATGTACTGTGCGATTGGCCGACACACGCGTTTGTATCTAGCTATGGAGGTTGAGAGCGGGGTTACCCGGGGTAGTGCAATCTTGATTGCTTCTGGACTCTAGTGATCTGCGCTTTGCTGCCTGATTTGTGGGATTGGTCTGGCGCTGGCCGGAGGTGAGTTTGCTGCACAGAATACTATGTAGTGGCCCGAGTGATATCCTATGACCACTGGGTTTTGAAACAAGTAACTAACCGGATTCGGTCATTCACAACTAGACAAGGCCGAAGCGACCATTAATACATATAACGAGGATAATACATTATACACACGGAGAATTAACACATTATATTACACTCCGGATAATTATAACAACGTCAGGAGTTGAATGCACCCCACATCGCAAAATTACAGAATGTACATATACCAGCTAGGTTTGCTTTATGTCCTGATCAGTGTATACTAAAAGACGACTTCTCTAGCGACTCGAATACCCCCGTCACTCGAACAGTGAACGAAAAAGAAAGAAACAGTTCTAACCGGCTTCTATCTGTATTTCACCAATCATCATCAACTGCTCGAGTGAGAGGCATGTTCGACTAGTGGCTAGGGAAGCCGTCTACAGCGTATATCCCCTGAATTGCAATCAATAGTGTCAAAAGCCAAAGAGCTACTTAGTATTATAAGTCAATTCCAAAGCTGCAGAAACATCCGGGTGATCGACTGGCGAGCCAATGATCATCGCACAGAAATTGGCTACAATAGCTCAGCTGAATAAAACGCCCTGGTCAGGAGATTCACCGGACGCCAGGTACCCGTATATGAATGACTTTTCCGACCACGACTGATATCGGATGCCATACAAAACGCGCCAGATCCATCTTTTTGCATGCATAGCATACGATATCAGTCATTTTCGGGAACACCATGAAGTTGTGGGTGCGTTTGTTCGGATCAAGAGCTATAATTGATAATTCATTGATTATATATGCAGCCCGGGCGGAGGCTATGACATTTGATCAAGAGCTAGAAGAGAAGGTAGATTGTGGTCAGTGTGGTCCACAAGGACGCTCGAGGCAAGATTTTGGGGTGTCCTTGATGTACCTCGTCCTTGTTGACCTCTGTCCTTGTCTGTGCCTGAAATCCGACACTATCGTCCTCGAGGTGCCTCGGGACACCTCGAGGACGATAAAGAAATGACCCGGTAAACTAAAAAAATGATACCCAAAAAAATGAAAGCTATGTTTTATTCATGATCTCATCTGATTAGGGCATATTAAGTGTGTATTATATACATATATAGCCAGGGATTGTCCTCAAGATTCCTTGTCCTTTTGGACCACTGTCCTTGCGTTTTGTCGAGGACATATCCCCGAGGCAAAGACACAAGGATACTCGTCCTCGTGGACCACACTGATTGCAATTGTGGATTGGCCCGAGGCCGCTATTTGCAATAAGGCGGAGAGGAAGGTGCCCTATGAAGGAATGCACCGCCAATGATGATGATGACGGAACGTCTACAAAGGTAGGTTACAACGATATATATGCATTTCCATTGATTGTAAAGATGCCACTCGGCCTTTGATAGCCCAACGTTGCGGTTCATCAGGGGTGATGCGACTTTTACAACCATGAAATATCACTCGGAGTAGCCAATATCGTGGTTTCGGTTTTGGATAGCTAACGTAGAAAGGCTTAAAAGAGAAGATCAACGCTGTAAGCGGCTTCTCTACGAATCATCATTGACTGTCCGAGTGAGATGGGTGTACAAGTGGCTAGGGAGTATTTACTTTTGACCATTCGAGGCCGATTCAATCCAATCTCTTCTACCTGGATAGTTCAAGTTCCGGGTTCCGTACGGTAAGGGGGGTTGATATTACTAGAGCTATATCTCATATTCCAGGTGCAGTGCCACCACAAGAAATTAGAAGCTTATAGATAGATGCCTTGATCCTGCATATTGCATTTCACGCCTGGGACCTCCTCGAGAATACATGTAACCAGGTATCATGTGCCCACAAGAGGCAGGACAGTAGTGTAATTACTGCTGCTGCTGCACCGCAATTTCAATCGAGGGTCCGATCCTCAATATCCAGCGGTGATCATCTAATCACTTCTTTAATTCTCAGGTGATATATTCTTCTGACATAACTAGGTCAGGTTCGAATTATCAATCAATCAATCCGGCCATGTTCGACCCCGTGCAACACGGCCTCATTCCAGCCACATTACTCCATCTGTGGCTCCCTCCCTCCCTCCCCCCCAAAGTTAACGATAAGCTCCAGCCAGCCCTACACCTTCACTCTACGCGGGTGTGGAAACCAAGCCGTAAGCCCTCCGCTTCTCGCCAAATCTAAGGTTAAAAAAACCTCGAGCCCAGTTCGGAATAACCTACTTTCCCTACCTACCTACCTTTGGCTCTCTATGCACTTTACTCTAGGCACACATCCCCAGACTCGGCAAACCTCACTGGCGATCCAATATCGCTGCGCTTTGCCTCCCGCCTGCACCATTCCCCAGCCGTCCACGCCAAACCCCAGGTTTTTTTTTTTCCCCACGCCAAGGGGTCGAGCATTCCTCACCCTCGGCTAACCGTCAGTCTTTGCCCGCTTTGCTTAGGGGGTAGCGGGGTGGAGATCTAGAGTCTAAAGTAAAGTGAAGGGCCGGCGATCAGTGTCGTCGAGAGTGGAGATAAGTCAAGCTTTTGGCTGCGAGGCCAAGGCGAGGGTGGAATTGCACGTTGGGGGGAGTTGCCAAGGCTTGGGGGTCCTGCTGCAGGCAGGGATCTCGGAAGCACCGGCACTGGACATCGGCGTCGTAATTGCTCCTATTGGGCGGGCGCGGGGATTAGTCAGGAGGGAAGCGTTGCAGAGAGTCGAGGGATGGCTGTGATTTGTGATGGAGAGAGACCCGCTATCTAGAGTACATTATACAGTCTACAGAAGAGTCTACAGAGAAGAGACAGAGAGACCTAGACAGACGGACAGACAGACAGACAGACAGACAGACAGACATAGACACAGACAGACAGACAGACAGACAGACAGACAGACACTGGCATCATCGTACCGCCTCTCCCAATTGTGTCTACCCACGCACCTCCATCCATCCCTGGGGCTAGATCACTACCTTATATACCTACTCCTCCAAACCCAAACCCACGCAGCGCACACCCTCGATCAACCCAGTTCCAGTTGTAGAATAGTAACCCAAAAAGAATTCCCGTCCATTAGTAGCTTTCGCGTCCATTCCCACCTACCTGACAGACTGACTGATACCTGCCCGCCTCTCTCTATCCATATCCATCCGTACCCACCAGCCAGCCAGCAAGAAGTCCCGGACACATACCCACTCACCCCCCGACCTTTCCCCGACGTATCCGTCCATCCACAGAGCGATAGCAGGAAGGAAGAAAAAAAAAAAAAAAAGAAAAGAAAAAAGAAAAAAGAGGAGCCCTCGTAAATACCACCTACTTCCCGAGATGAACCATGACCACGACCGCGACAGCAACTCGCAGGACCGTGACGACCCCAGCCTGAGGAAGGCTCAGTTCTCGCCGCCCCCCGCGAGTGATGGTGTTTCCAACGGTGGTGGAGGAGGCGGAGGGAGCAGCAGCAGTGCGGGAGGGGGGAGCAAGAGGAAGCGGGTGTCGTTGGCGTGCAATGCGTGCAGGACGAGAAAGTCAAAGGTGTGTGTGGTAGTTTGTTCACGTTGGATCATATTGTGGATTGAAAGGAGGCTGATATGGCGTGCGTGGGTTGGCTACAGTGCGATGGGGTGAGACCAAAGTGCTCAATGTGTCGAGGTGAGAACGATCGTTTTGGAGCTTCTGTTCCAGTTTGGTTTTGGTTTGGCTTGGGGTTGGGAAGGATGAATGACTGACTGACTCGACGGTGACGCCATAGATCTCGATTTCGATTGTGTCTACCAGCAGTCTGCCTCTTCCTCGAATACGATAGTCGGGAAAGAGTAACTACATTCTACCACATCCTGCTCTACTCGCGATTCCATACTGATACTACTTTACAGCTACATTGGCCGCCTCGAAACCCGTCTGCTCGCCGTCGAGAACCTGCTCGCCGCACAAGCGTCGCTCTCACTTCGAAATAACCTGCCCCAAACCCCTACGGACCACAGCACCATTAGCCATGACTACGAGACCAGCCACAGCCCCGAAGAGCTCCAGCAGCCCCAGAAACGCCTCAGAGTCGATGGGCCAGTAGATACGAACGGTGGAGAGACGTTTGTGAACCTGCGACAGGGGCAATTGGAGGATGAGTCAAGTGCGCCGGACACGGTTCTTGACGGGATGGGAGCGCTCAACCTCGGTGATGAGGAGGACTATGGCTACTTTGGTACGTGCTTCGAGACCCCCGGAATTGCCTGTGGAGATACTGATAGCGAACTGCAGGCCCGTCCTCAAATATTGCATTCATTGGACACGTAACCCGCGCGCTCGCAACCTCCGTCTCCGTGACCGCCGCCTTCCCCAAAGACTTCCGCCGCACCGAGAGCGCGCTCGAGCAATCATCGGCAACCTCAGCCCGCTTCATGTCCGCGCGCGCCTCCCCCGCTCCTCTCGACTCGGGCAGCGAGTTCGAGGCCCGCACCGGTAATGTCAACATCTACGTGATACCCCCGCGCAAACGGGTGCTGCACTACGTGACACTGTATTTCCAGAACACGAATATACTCTTCCCGTATCTACATCAGCCAAGCTTCCTAGAGACGTATGAAGAGGCGCAGAAAGAGGGGTTCACCAAGGTGCGGAGGACATGGCTCGCACTGCTGAATCTGGTGATGGCCATGGGGAGCAGGGCAAGTACGGAGCGTGAGGTCAGCGCGGAGGAGAAGTACAAAGCCGCGGAGGTCTTCTACCAGCGCGGATGGGGCCTATGCGATGGGCACTTTCTGCGGCTGGCAAGTCTGGATTCAGGTGAGTTTCTGTCAAAACACCCCCGTCAATCATTCAAGTACCGATAGGTATTGTGTAGTGCATCTCCTCCTCCTAATGTCGCACTATCTCCAATCCACTCGCAAACCAAACCAATGCTGGACCACCCACGGCCTCGCAGTCCGCATCGCCCTCCAGCTCGGCCTCCACTCCAACCAAGCCCTCCAACGGTTCCCCCCACTGGAACGCGAACTCCGCAAACGCGCCTGGTACGGGTGCGTCCTCCTTGACCGCACGCTCTGCATGACCTTCGGGCGCCCCTCCGCCATCACCGCCTACGCCGAAAAGCTCGACCTGCCACTCGACGTCGAAGACGACGTCTTCAAGCCCAACATGTCGCCCATCCCACCCTCCGGCCCCACCTCCACAACCTTCTTCATCCTCAGCATCAAGCTGTACTCGCTCCTCGGCAGCATCATCGACACCCTCTACGGCGGCAACCTCGGCGGCGGCGACCAGCCCGAGCCCACCTTCGCCGACGTCGCGCGCGTCGCCGAGATCGAAGAGAAGCTGTCCATCTGGCGGCAGCAGCTGCCTAGCGCGCTCACCATCGTCAGCGCCGCCGATATCCCCGTGGGCGGTGGCCCGCCGAGTAAGTTCTGGCGGCAGAGCATAATTCTGTCGCTGAGGTACTATAATACGAGGGCGCTGCTGCATAGGCAGTTTGTGGTCAAGGGGCTGAGTGAGATCTGGGGGGGCGGGCCGAGCTGTAATAGGTTTGAGGGAGACTTTTTCTGGAACTTTGGGTGGGCGAGTATCAAGGTGTGTGCGGAGAGTGCGATCGAGACGGTGGAGATTGTGCATAAGGTCAAGTACCGCAGTGATCTGTTGGGTTTCTGGTGGTTTACATTATATTACAGTGGGTTCCCCTTCTTTTCTTTATTATTTCGAGTAACGAGTGATATATGGTGGCTGACTTTATTGTAGCGTTCAATGCGTCACTCGTGCTTGTATCGAAGGTGTTGATACTCTCCCAAGTCCGACAGCTGGCAATGCGGACAGACTTTGTGCCCGAGACGGGGTCGTTATTGAAGCATCTCGAGATGGCCATGGAGACAATCGAGGTGCTCGCCGCCGGGAACCGCATCGCGAACCGGTGTCAGTTGTTCTTGAAGAACCTGATGCAGTATGTTGCGCCACTAGGTATGTTTCTGTCTCCCCGCTACTCTCCCCCGGGTGGGTGGGTCCGCTTTCAGGGCTAGGCAGGACACAAGCGTTGAATAAACGCTACACTCCCTCCTCCCCCGAAAGCGAACCCAGCCAGCCCCTTCCTCCCTGCTCGCATCTCAAAACTAACAACCCAGTCACCTCCTCCCCGCGCACACTGCAATCCAACCCCCTCTCAATAACCTACAACCCCGCCGCCGCTGCCGCATCCGGCACCTCCTCGCACCCGCCCACGGACCACACCACCGCCACCACGCCAACCCCCACCTCCACCTCCACCGCCACCCTCCCGCACACCAGCAACCAGCCGCTCGACCCCAACGCGCCCGTCAACGGGTACAACACCTCGCCCTTCCGCGCACAGCTCGGCGAGTTCATGCTCGAGAGCGACTTTACGTATCTCAACAGCATCCTCCCGCCGCTCGGCATGGACATGGGGCTGGGCGAGCACGAGTTTGGTGAGGAGGGGAGTGGGCAGGGGCAGGGGCAGGGGCATGGTGGGCAGGGGCAGGGCGGGTTGGGCGCGCATGGGGGGTATGCGATGGGGTTTAGCGGATAGCCCCCTTCCCAGCTCGAAATGAAGGAAGGGGGGAGAGAGGGAGGAAGGGATGGTAAAAAAAAAAAAAAATTGGAGTTCTGTCTGTGTTTTGGAGGGATTTTCTAGCAGCTTTTTTTTTTTTGTGTGTTTTTGTGGTTTGAAATGGGTATGTTTGATTTTTGATTGGTGGGGTCTTATATTTATGTATGTTGCATGTGTGCTAGCTGGCTGCGGCTGGGTTTAATGATTTGGTGGGCTTTGTTTGGCCCCCCGCCGGGGGGGGTGTTTATGTAGGTGCTTATATCCTGTGTGTATTTGGTGTGTATGTGGTTTTTATATGTACTGCAGAGCAGGTATAGTTTTGAAGAAAAAAGAGACCGTGGGGGTTGACGAGGGGTGTATATTTTCTCTACTCGCTAGTTTCTATTTTTCCTAGAATCCAGTTGTGACCTCCGCTTTTACATCTTAAACGCTATGAATTCGTGTTTCGCAGTCACCACACTTGGACACATTCCGCACTTCTTCTCCATACCCAACCCCCCTTTAAAACATAAGTACACTCACACCCCAAATCTCCCCTCCGCCCGCATCCCACAGTTCCAATAAGACTACATAGTAATTCCCCCGGATCACACACAATCACTCGCCGCATTTTGTCTTCCACGACGAGTGATAATCCATGATCCCTGCAAAACTGTCTCCAAGTACTTAGCATCGAAGGAAGCTAGACGCCGTAGTATGATCCTGATCGAAGGCTATACCTGGCTTTTATATGTACCTCCGATGAGGCTCGACTCATCCCAGGATCTGGATCTGCTATGCTCCTAGTATGGTGAGCAACATACTACGTAGGTAGCCCCAAAAGGTAGACGTGCGACAGACCCATATCCAGAGGACAGCGGGTGATGCAGCTATGTCCAGCGTTGCTACGGCAACTTTGATGCCAAGACTAGTTCGCCGACAGGCAGTGATAGTACATAGTTCGACCCCGCTGTCTGCCGTTTCTCTTGGCGCGCCCGCGGGTTAATTTGGATTGACGTAACCTCTCTCTGCGTTAAGCTTTCACGCCCAGAAACCACACACAACTAGCCAACTACAAAATCACACGGCGGTTCAAGGTGAGTTGATCTGTATGATTCCCGTGGCTCATACTTCCCTAATTACTATCACTACTCAGTTTCTCTTCTCAACTTTATGTATTGGGGTTAATATTGAAGGATCAAAAGGCCAACCCGTGGCTCACTTCTTTCCCTCGAATGAAAGATTTATCAGCTTGGTTGAGTTATATCTCTGTCCCTACCTAAGAGAGGAAACTACAATAGCTTACCTGATTCTACTAGATTTACGTGCTTTTATTCCCGTCAAGTAAATTAGTGAAGGCAAAAATCCGAATTTCTAAATTGCATAAACATATCATTTCAACTCAAAAATAGCACCGCTACGTAACACCGCCAGGCCTGTAGGCCCCCCAAACCCCAAAACTCCGTATCTTTACCTACTCTTAATGCATAAATCTAAAGTCTAACCTCTTATTCCCCTCATCTTCTGTCGTCGCTAGGTAGTTCGCCTTCTGCGTGGTATCCATCTTCCCCCATACCTTCTCCTTCTGCGCATTCCTCCACACATAATACTTCTTAACTCCCACAAATAAGAGCACATCAAACAATGCGATGCATATCAGTGCCGTATTTCCGCGACGATCTGTGTTTCTCATAGTCAGCTTACGGAACGAAAAAGGAAATGAGAATACTGACAGTCAGGGCGATCATCCTCGCGATATATTGTGGCTGCAAATATCGATGAGGACTGGACGGCCATGTTGTAAATTGCAGCGGAAACACTGCGGGTACGGACCGAGCCAGAGTTTGATGAGACCCAGGCCACAAGGATTGCATGCGCTAAGATTGTAAATTAGTGGGGAAACGTTGAGAGGGGGTAGAACGAGCTTACGGTAGGGATGGCCACAAATCAACGTGGTGATCAGATACTTGAACCAAGGATTTGCGTGAGATGGGAGAAACCGGAGAAGAACGAGGAACGGGAGGGTCCAAAGAACCCCAAAGGAAGCAATGAACGTCTTTTCAGAATAGCGGCCAGAGAGCTTTGTAATTTTCAGAAGCTGTGCGGAATTTAGCTCAATACCCAATAAGCTTAAAGAAGAGTAAAGTACTCACCATAAAGATCAATAGCATAGTGGATGGCTAAGGATTTGAGAGTGGATTAGTACGCCCCTCAATATTCTCAGGTGGAGTACATTAACTCACAATAGTCAAAAGATTACTCTGCATCACATCGAACCCCAAATCTCTCAATGTCAGAGTCAAATAACTCATTGGCGGATTCATTGGTATATATGCCATAACTCCCACCTGGACTCCGTTAGCACTCTCAACCACCTTCAGTTCTTACTACGAAACGTACCACATAGAGTGGCCACATGTCATAATCCATGAGACTTTTGAAAAACCCGCTTGCTCCAATAGCTTGTCGGTTATGCATGTCGCCCTTTGTTGGATCATCTCGCAGGATTCTATTGACCATAATCACTTCCTCCCTCGGGGTGAACCTGGATTTGTCAATATTTAACAACACAGAAAAAAAATATAACAGGGTGCTAACCATCCATCCTCGCCCCGAAAGCGGCTTTTGGTTTGTGTGGGAGAAGGCGGCATATAGAACCAGCTGATTATTCCAACAATCTACCAAGTGGTTAGTTAAGTATTGAAAATTCGTGCTAAGTGGGTCCTTACTCCTGTAGCGCTTCCTTCTATTACGAAACTTTCAGGAAACAACTTTGTTAGCTTATGAAATGACAGAGCAAGGATTAAGTGAGTTATTACAGATATCTCCAGCCTTCCCAACCATATGATCCCCGCAGAGAAAGGATTCCGCAGGCAAGAAATGAAGCAAAAATTCCAGTAAGAGCGGTTCCAGTCCAAAACCAAGAAAGACGAACGGGAAGTTCCTATTTGTATTGTCAGTTAATTCCTCACAGAAAATGTGACTTGATATAACCTTTGATGTGTAACTAATGGAGGCAAGAATAGTTAGCGATCTGTAGCAATAAATCGAATACTTCGGGAATATGCTTACAAGTAAGATAGGTAGAGAATTGCGGTAGGGATAACTATTGGCGCTGTTAGTATACCGGCTTTTTATAGGAGTTGCAAGAAATATACTGACATCCCCCCTCGATCATTCCCACAAGTCCTCTAGTGATGAAAAAGGAAGTCCTGCCGGTCAATCCGCACTACAACATATATTAGATTCTGGTATCGTGGAAGATATGATGGCATCTACCTGCGCTGCAGCAACTACGCTCCATAATATCATCTGCACAGGAATCCATCTATGTGGACCGATTCTTTTGCTGAGCATCTGTGATGGAAGCTCCGCAAGCAGAAACGAAGAATAGAATATCGCCTGACCAATGTTGTAGTCTGTACATGCGTTAAAATAAGTACAGGATAGTGGAAGCGCAAAATATACCATTTGTATTCATTCCCAGGTCCTCCAAAAAATTATCTGTCATCGCCTGTTCTAATACACCATTAGTCTAGCCCACCAAATCCACCTCACCACATTGAAAAGCATACTTATATTCCCTCTATCTAACTGCAATGCAATAAACATAACGCAACACCAGCTCATAATCCATTTATCGATCTTGGACACTACTTTCTCCTCCTCCGCTTTTGTCCAATCCGCCCTTGGATCGAACCGGTGAAGGCCCTCATAGAGATAATGGGGCTGATAGAAATGCGCTAGTACTGGATCATCGAATACTGACTGTTGGACTCCTGAGTCGGAAGTGCTGCTTTCTAGGGTATCGTACGAGCCTTTCTGTTCGTTAGATAGAAGGGGTGCAGACGAGGAGGAGGAAGCGGAAGCAGGTCGTTTGGACTCTTCGTTCTCAACGGGGCGGAATTGCTTCATGGCTGGCTAGCTATCAGTACGGACCCTTGAGAACTTGGGCAGAATCTGTCCTCGGGATAGTTGGGAACCAGAGGACTTTTGTAACCCATGATTGAGGGGTTGAGGATATCGGGAGTCGGGAGTTTGAACAGGTACTGAAACCAAATACATGTAGTTGGGTTGCAACGTTAAACACATATGGATAGCTGTTATCAAGCTCTCAAGCTACCCCTGTCTGTTCCAGGTGGTGCGACGCAAGGTACTGATGGCGTATTACCACGTGAGAGAGACTCGGTTGCTATGCAAATTCCGCCATTTGATGACAGAGCTCGCCATATCCAGTCCGGTTTAGTATTTAAATGAAAACCTCCCAAGAAGAACTGAACCCAACAAGAATTCCTGCCTTGTGCCTTGGAGTCCTCGTGTGCACATATTCTGTTGATCATGCTCGCATGGGTATGGCAGAGATACCGGAGTGTTGTTTTCAGCCCCGTTTGATACCAGACTGTGGGGGTTATATCAAATATTCTCTGCAGCTGCCACCGCGGATAGATCATTAACAACTTAAAACCTCAGTCGTTCCGTAAGAACCACGCTATTGGCTGAGAGAAGGGAGCTAAGTTCTGGAAGTAAACCTCTAAATAAAGGACAGCCGAAAGATCAATTACTACGAATATGAATCACTCGCTATGTTGAAATTGACTCAAGTAGTCCTCGTGCTGTCTGCTCTGGTATACTAATCACCTTATCTGGGCTCTACTAATATGTTTATATATTGGGGTGATTTATAGACAGCTGATTCCTGAAGTACATCCTTGGAGTTAGTACAAGTTAGGAGTTAAAGTTTCTTTTTCTTTTGCCTCCATTCTCTCACGAAATTTGACGCCCCAAAAGAAATTAACCTCGATGGCTAGCCTCACCGAGTTGACGTTTTACTAGCCTACAAGGGAGGGTTGTACATGTAGATATATCTACACCAATCATCTCGACCAGGCCTATCTTTACGACGCTGTAGAACTGAAAAAAGTATGGTGATGAATGGGAGGTTAGGTTCTCAAATAACAATTAAACCTCACTTGTGGTAACTTGATAAGGTCTCGGCAAGGGATTTATGAGAGTTATAGGACCGGCACCATCCCCAGTGTTACCTCCGCAGCGCCTCCACCAATAATATCGAATAAGAAACAACTCGCTTTCCTCGGTCCACTTTATGATATCTTACTCCAGCTCGCGAGTCGAAAGCACGATTGATGAGGATACTTGGACAATCCGCGGAGATCCTCCATCTACTCCGGCATGAAGTACTGCGTACCACTCAGACACAAAGTCTTATCTAGAGTCGGGTTTTATAAGATAAGCTATATAATGGCCATAGTTCGTAAACATCAAACTAGAGATTATCGTTGAAATGGAATACAAGAAATCTGTACCATGTACCATATAACTGTGTCAGTTGGAATTGATTGGCCATAGTGTGGGTGGAGTACTGTACGTATTGTGGGTTGACAAAAGTTCTCGTGATTTCGTACAAGGATGGGGCATGAAACGACTATAACTCCACAACTACAAAAGATATAGAGAAGATAGTTATATGATTAGAGAGGTGAAGGTTGATAGAGAATTCCTCCTAGGTATGAGTTCAAATTACCAACTTTGTGAATTAGTATTTTGAGTAATTTCTCCTGGTTCTTATGCGAAAACCACGAGAACTCTTGTCAACCCACAATATTACTTTCACCCGCAACTAACGGGCCTTTACGCCGTCTGTGAGCCCACAATAAAGTATTGTATTCAGTTGACTGTGTTTCTAGGATATTTGTGACATTCTGCCGTCATAGAGAGGTTCATGATTGATGAAAGCTAGCTTCGCTGTAAGGTTCTTTCCTAAGTGGTACCTCCGTACTAGTTCCAGAATCCTTGGCAATGTTCCTGAATGGACTAGATGGGCCTGAGGGATTGGGACAGCCGCCTGCATTTGTATTTGACAACCTTAACCACAACTTTCCCAATGTGGATTCCTTCTTATGAAACATCATTAGGACTACAAGTGCATAATACAATTCTATTAACCTCTAAGTTTCTATGATACATCATTGCCCGAAGAAGTTGAAATGCTCTTCTCATTCAAGAGTTTTAGCTTCGACGCCAGTTGAACAGAAAGCCAGACAGGTTGGACAGCAAGTCTATAGCTAGCGATTTTAGGAAAAGACTTTCAAGAATTTAGTCAATGAGAGGCGCAGGACTTTCCATCCAAGTGTTCGACTTTCTATTCAACTGGCGCAGTTAGCGCTCTCTATTCACCCCTCACAGCCTAACGAAGTCCAGCGATACGCCCTGTGCACGTGCTAGATCCAAAACTACCACCTTTAGCGGTTCAAAAATTAAAATGAGAGGAACTGAGTTCAGTACCTAGGATTCCCACATGGTTACCCACTGCAGTACTAACTGGGCGATATGTTTATGTACGGGCAGAGCCGACGGGATTCCCAGTTTTCAACATTCTATGACTGAACACGTTAGTAATGATTAAAATGTGGGTTTTATTGACAGGTATAATATCATTTTAGATGTGCAACGGTACTCGACCGTGGTAGCACCATTGGGAACTATTGAATGGGTTCCCTCCAAAAGCATAGGACCAATAGTCCACTTATTCGCTAATTCAAAAGTACGGACTAATAGGCCGGCGACTTCGCGTATCTGAAGAAAGGCCGAGCTTGCGAATCAAGGGAGGGATCGACCGGAACTCTAATGCAGATCTTAAGAGTTGAAAGCTTGTTTTCTCTCTAGAAAGTATGTAAAGCGGAGTCCCGATAGTACTACTAACACCGTAGAATGCGTACTAATCGTTGGCCAATCCCGGAAAAACCCGCACGGGCAACTTCCTTAAACGTTCGGTAGAAGCATATTCTCGGCAGTAGCACACTGGGCGACGTTCCGGAGCATATACTTATGTCTTAGTAGTATGATCGCGGGCTCAGACTCCACTGTACGTATATAATTATATCACCGCAAAAAAAACTTCACAATGTGTATATACATCCCTATTCAAAGTTTATGGAACCTTTCTCCAGAAGCGAGTCCTATATGGGCCCGGCTTCCTACGTATCAGACTCTAGCTATTTGGCCATTGGCATGTTTTAATGCCTTTATAAGACTTCGGTACAACGTGGAGGTGCTTTCATTCGATGAGCGTTTTCATTCCGATAAATTCCTTGTGTTATCGCCCTCGGGAGAAGAGTCCAATAAGAGTACATACTTACAAGTAGTCTAACAAGTTTTCCCTATTACATGCCCGATGGCTCCTGCTGTTTTTAACAATGCATTCTGTTCATTCTGTTTGTGACGTTTTCTTCCACTTTGCTACAAATTTTAGAGATATAAGTACGCAATATTCAATGCCTTCGCTTATTCTGGTGTTCGGTTGCGCGAAATAAAATAAACTACCGTTTATGTATTGTTTTCGCGGTTTCTACTAGTTAGCATTCTTAGGAGGAGGCAAAAAAGAAGCTCTGAGACCGATTTGAACGATCGACCCTGCGATCTGCAATCGCATGCTCTAACCCCTGAGCTACCAGAGCAACCTGTCTACATCTTTATTCTTATGCTTCTTGTTCTTTCACCGTGGTTGTTGTGTAACGACCGATGCATTGGTGTCCCTGGCCTAGCACCGAAAGGGAAATGGTTGTTTTTTTGCGGAATTTCCCGCTCCTTATGCGCTTCAGAGCTACGTTCCAGTCTGGTGGAGTAAACATCTTCTTGAGCGCGAGAACACAGCCAGACGAAACATCGCTAAGGTTTAGCATCCACAGCGACGACGTGCCGAAATACGGATAGTGGAGAATTGCTGTGTGAATCTCACTAAAGATCCATTGGCAACGTCGTTAACTCCTTCCTAACCAGGTAAACCCTCTTGATTACATAGGTTGTCTAGACTCAGGCAAAAGTAGGTTAATATCCCTCTTGAGTTTCCTTATGGGTTGTACTACACTGGGAGCCGAAGGTATGGTCAGATGATAAACGCAGGGCTAGATAGGGATCGATGAGATTGAGTTGCTTCCTCCGCCGGGGTCGATTCGCGCGTGTCTTGATAGTGGGTCTATACTGGGATAAAACAGCTTCAGGGGAGTTAATTATCAGTTGAACATAGCCGATCGGTAATATCGACACGATACCGAACAAACCATCAGCCGTTGGATGTGTTCCTGTACTGATATCCGAATTCAAGCCTCGTGTTATGTCTAAGCTTGGCCCCATATATGGTGTTGCACAAACCCAACCCTCACCTCATTTTTTGTCCCGCTCCGTGAACCTGTGTGACTTCCCTATGGCATCACGGTCCGGACTTGGAGCTGAGAATACTAACACCTATGACTATTCCTTTTTATACGCTCATGATCATGATTAATCCACTCCTCCAGGCTCGAACCTCCTCAACTTCTTTAATGACATTTTATGTAGCGAAATAGACGTCACCCAGATGCTCTTTAAACCTTATCTAACGTTAGTTGCCCCACACCTGTGCCCTCAAGTCCGTCTGACATACCTCTCTATTAGGGCACATAGCCTCTGGGCTCTCATAATTCTCGCGAGTCTCTGTTTCATCGTCTCTCTCACCGTGCAACTCACCATCGTCTCCTCGTCATCTTCATTCTCGAGCACCTATAACTTCCTACCATTCTCCGCAAAGAAGACCCCCACTTGTCTGGTCGACAAGCTCCTCGGTGACCCATGGGGATACGAAAATCCGAAAGAACATGTCTTCGGAGCAGGATGGAAAGATGATCCCTATGACGGACTGTGGTTGAATGTGCCGTCAAAGGAAGACTATGAGGTATTGATGAGCGAAGAAGATAAAACAATGATGCAAGAGGAGCTCTATAAGTACTCAGACGACTTACAGAGAGATAAAAGAGCGAGGGTTGAGAATTTCTACGCCTTGAAGACGAGTGATGATTGGAGACGCTATATTGAGGGACATAGTGATGAGGTTGGTTTTTTTTCTTCCCGATATCTATATTCTGCACAAACGACAAGAATTCCCTTTTCTCTGCCAGAACTCCAGCCGAGAGGGTCTTAGAGTGGATCAAAGCACAAACTTCAGGTGCCTAGGAATTAATGGCACTGCATGCCGGTAAGGACATATATACTCTTGACATCGGATTAAGTGCCTTTCTCCGATTCAATATCCCAATCAACTTAACTCCTCTATTCGATAAGGATGGATGCCAAAAATTCCTTTACACTTATACCCACCAGAAATACTGAATTATGGAGTTATTACCCATTACATGTGCATTGGATGCCATTACTTTGAGTAACTGGGTGAAAGAGGCCAGGGCCAGTCTCCATCGCGATCACACAAAATTATATATGCTCAAAAATTCTTCCTTTTCTGCAAGCTAGTTTATATAGTTTGCAGATTGGTGATTCAATCAGTCAAAGATTCGTGTACTCCTTGAGTCGGTCAACTATAGCTGAGGAAATCGAACTGGAGGCATGCTGTGTGAAAAGATATTCATTACTCGGACACAATGTCACAAATATAATCTAGTCTTCTCAACCATTCACTGACTATCAAGTAACTTCAGGGTCTAGCACCACTCACGAAATTTACGCAAAGATACCTTCACCGTCACCAGCACCCAGAGAATTGCACGGGCAAGGCCTTCCTCATTTTCCGCAAATTTCCCAATGATGAAGCCTTTGGGCTCGGCGCCCTGGCCCAATCCATTGCTCACAACCTCGCCCTCGCAATCCGTACTGATCGAATTCTCGTCTATGACGCTCATGATCCGCCTGGCGCACACTTTCTCTCCCCCCCTCCAGGGGCAGGACGCACCCTAGACAACATCTTTCACCCCCTCAGCAGCTGCACCCCTGCCGATGTTGCCGCCTCAACTGACAAAGTCTATTTCCCATGGGAGCCCGAAGCCACCGAAATTTATTACCGCACGCACCCGGCCAGTCTCCCGCCCGTCCTGGCGCAGGTATTCAGAACTCAATTTGCAGATATGAACTATGATGCGGTACGGTACTGGTGGCGAGGGCAAGTCGCTGCGTTTGCGATGCGGCCGAATAGAGTTGCAATGGAAAGACTCAAGGAATTGAGGGTTGAAGATGGGCTGAACAAAGGGGTAACTTTGCAGAAGGGGAAACATCCGATTACCGGAATAAAATTGGGGATGCCGTGGCCATTCCCGGTTGGGGCTTGGAGTATGCACGTTAGGCACGGGGATAAAGGGTATGATTCCGAGCATAGCACTGGGGTAAGATGGAATATTGACTAAGAGCTGTGGATCGTAGTATCGAAATGAGTCTCGTTGAGCTCAAGAAATATGTCATGGCCGCGGAGGAACATATTATCAGGAACCCGCAAAGCTCACGCAGAATCGCTTTCATATCAACTGAAGATCCAAGCGTGCTCTATGATGCACGAAATATCTCAAGCCTACTGCCAATGTCAACAAGTAAGGGTTGGGAATGGTATTGGTCGGATATACCTAGTATGAAACTTCTTTCCCCAGTTCATCTCTTTTTTACTGATTTGATAGGATTCAACGGCGGGCCTGTAACGCAGTTGGAGAAGTTTGGAAATAGGACCGAAATGACAATAAAGTGGTTTCTGCAGTTAACAATGGCTCTAGAGTGTGACAATTTCGTGGGCACGAGAGGTGTAAGTGATAGGACATGCATCCCATACTAACTCTGATAGTGAGATTGACTTTGAGTGAACAGTCCGGATGGAATAGGCTGATAGATGAACTTCGATGTATTTGGCATCCTAACTGTAAATCTGGTTATGTTGAAGTTGGAAGCGACTCAAGTTGGGTGAGTGCCGGCCTATCTACCTACCTCAGTAAAGCTACTCGAAAGCCATTGACACTCGGATTGTTTTAGGCACATTACGGCATCTGAGGATATAATCTACAGCTTGAAATCTAAAAACCCTCCATATACGTAGGTCCAGACGGCTTTGTGATGGGATATATGATGAGAGAGTATAGTGGATTGTTGAACTGAGAAAGTGACAAGAGGGCGGGAAACCATCCTCATGCATGTACCTAGAGATATGTAATTTTTTATAGGGAAACATACCCAGCGGGGTGAGATAAATACAGACGGATTAGGTTCATACTCCATGTTTCGTACAGTTGACAAATCGGTAGTGCTGAAATTCATACATGCCAAGTCGATTGAATTTGAATGCGTTGGCAAGCTTGTATGATTACGAGTGATTTAGTGTGAATACATATGTAAGTAATTATCACTAAGTAAGTAAAATATTGATGTATGATCTAAGATCGGGCGCTTAAATATTCACATTAGCTCTGGGTCCGGATCCAGTCGAATAACAACAACTAAATTTATCTGTTTCGCGCGCCGCAAAAAGCTGTAACGTATAACTGCAACACGAAATGTAGAGCCCCAAAGAAGATTGGGTCGATAGATGTGCCAGATACCTCCCTGCCTACCAGGTATCATTCACGGCGGTAGAGATATGTAGCGATCTAGATGATAGAAAAAGCACTAATTTACTGATAATTACCGGTACCAGTACCATTTAGCTCCCCACAGGGTTATAATATTATCCCTGCATTTCTAACCTCATGTCACACGCGGAGCGTTTGAAACCATCCATTTATGACAACCCACATGATGATTCCCCTCCATAACCATGCGTGACTTTTTCTCAATGACGTTGACCTCTCTCCTAGGATCGTTCTATCTCTTTCTCTCGTCGTGCCCAGTTTATGACCTGGTGGTCTATCATGTATGAACTATTCCTTTGTTTTTTTCCTATGCCCGTGTATATAAAGTGTGTCACTGCCCCTCTCCCTCCGTCTTGCTTTCCTCCCTTCTTACTCCTCTTCCCTCACCGCTCCATTTGATCCGCTAGCTTATAAGCCTCACAGAATCTCTCATATACCTAACAAAACATAATTCACAGCTACCATGGCCTACAACACACGTTCCACAACCCGCGCGACTACCACCCCCACCAACACCGGTCGCAAAGCCCCACGCGCCCCTCCAAAGACTCCCAAAAAGCCTGTCACTGCCACTGGCAGGATCACCAAATCTTCACCGACAAAGAAGAAGACCCCAACTCCTGCGACTCACCACAAGAGAAAGCCAAGTATTGGCGACAAGCTAATTGGTGCGGCCATGAAGGTTGAGGGCACTATTACTGGAAGACCGGGAGTCAAGGTATGTTGTTTAGTGTGTCCAAGAGAAACAGACGCATGGAATGATCTAGGATGATGCTGACTCGTGGAATGGGAAGGCGGCGGGAACGAAGAAGATGAGGGGCACAGATGGAAAGGGCAGCCACAGGAGAACACGTAGTTCGCGTTAATACGTCAGAGTCGCATATCAAGAATGGGGGTTTCTTTAGTTTTTTCATTATTTGATTCGGCCTTTTTTATTTCGGGGGCTCTGGCGAGGATCTTTTCATGTTTGCGGGCTGGCGTTAGGTGCGCTTCATAGGTTGTACAGCTCCAAATTGATTTTGGAGAGGATGTTGATTGGATTGAGTTCCGTTTTTCTTTGGCGAGGCGCGAGGGATTCTTCTCTTTCGGCGCCTTTGTTTGGTTTAGTTGTACTTTAGTGAAAGAAAGAAAGACCATGTAGGACGATCAGAAGCAGAATAAATAATCGTGATGTTCTATCTTTTGATCTTCTCCGGACGTGTCCACCATTACGAAGGCTTGTGTTTCATCGATCGTGCCTGCATCAGGCGCGTGTCAATGATTTGCCCGCCACTAGCTGCTCCGGCGCGCACGGGCGCAAATCACGATGTGTGGTCTCGAGATCATAACGGCGGCTATCTCATAATTCGGGCTCAGGGCTCCTGCATTTTCTCTACTCTAGATCTTTCTAAATCTCACCTGTGTTTTCATTTCTTTCACCGTGATTCCCCAGGTGCTTAGTCTAGCTAGAATACATGTATCTGACAAATGTCGCTTAACCTCATGTGCTACCTGTCAGCCTTCGGATAGAGCGAAAGAATACTATTGAGACCTCTGTAATCTTCCAAGGGATTCAGCGCGGAGATAACGGGGCTGATCATTTCCAGCGCATTGATAGAGCCTGATTCATGTCTGATCACTCGTACATGAGGGTTAGGGTTTGTGGCGTTGACTGCTCGCCAAGACTTTGAATGCATTATGATTTGTTATTGGTATCTTATAAGCACATCGAAGTGTTTGGACCGTGGATCAGGTTCTACTAATCGATGAGTTGATTTAGGTTGTAACACAGGTCGAGAAACCTTTCGAGCGTTTTGGACCCAAAAACAGGAGGATATGATATCGAGTGATATTACATGATCCTGAAGAATCAAGCAGTCATCAAGAAGCTTTGCCTTTTCAGAGCATTGATATTTGATTAGATACGACTAGTACAGTATATATAGGAAGGGAATACATCATTCAAGACTAAGATCTCCAGACCCCATCGACCATGGGAGTAACATTGTGCATGCCCACCGATATCTGCAAACGGATATTCTCAATTTCACTTCATTGTGACTTCAAACCTCTCTCCATTGCATGCTGTAAATTAACTCTCATCGTTTTTAGCCTATTTTGTATACGTCAGAGTTGGGATGAATATTAGTCTAATCAGAGTTCTGAATAATTCTACTGAACGAAGAATACACCAGTGTGATATATTCCCACCATTACAATCCCCTGCAGTACGTCTGAACAATTCCTACGGTATATCATTTTTATTATATGTGTTCTTTCAGTGACATATCTTTGACACATCTCATAGGAGTATATCGTTTTTAAGACTTTCTCTTCGAAATCTATCTATCTATACAAAAATCGCCAACGTCGAAGATGAATTAGATCTTTAGGTCAATTTGCCGCTTGCTGAGCTGCGATTCTTTGAGCATGTATATATATGTTATGAAAGAGAATCGAAATGACCCTTGGAGTAGTGAAAATTCCGCTCTCAGCGACACAGTACCGAGACATTGGTTCTGGTCCAACCGAACGTACCCAACCACGAATGGTCATAGATAGCGCGCCCCATATGGCCATTCATGAACTGAAATTTCATATAGGAACATTCCCGAGTGGAGTTAGTCATAAAACCTCGACTCACAAAAGCCCATCCTGTGACAAGTACGTAAATAGTAAATCCGAGCCTTTCTGTACTGTTAATTCATCGCTTTTTCATGTGTCCATGGAGGCTTCATGGGCGTTGCAGTCCTACTCAGATATAAAGGGGGAGATACGTGTCCATTTGCACGAGTATGTATCTTGATCTTCACTTTCTTACGTCCCATGTGGATATCGGGGGCTTGCCCGTGATGCACAAAAATACTACATCTTATACCGTCTATCATTAACGCTCATCTCCTGGTAAGAACGCTGAAATGTAAAGTTTTATTAACGAATGGGGTGCTCTGATCGAACCACGAACCCCTTCCATCCACGATCCTCTTCCATCCACTAATATCGAATGTTCGAGGATTGAACACTTCATGATCAATGGCCATGTAATGTCGTTTAAACCAATTGATAGGCTTGTAGGCCTTTCTGCAATACCTCTATAGCATGTCGTCCCTGAAACATAGTAGCAAACTCGAAATTTCAAAGACACCTTGTAATCCTGCATATCACTTCGTTGCACAGGACTCCAGGCATGCTTAGTAACTACTTTAGTCATCATCGTGCTCGCTCATGGCTTAGATCATTCAAGGGTAGCTGCGTCTAGGCTAAAGGTGAGCTCGAGAGGTGTGTGCCTGGCCGGGTTGACATCCTACCCGTACAGAGCTTCTTCCACGTCCTTCCGTTTATTAGTTATTGACCTTAATTTAGCTCATATCCACCCATTTTCTATGAGTTTTATCGAGATGTAATTATTTAATATTGACTACTTCATACTCGAATTTATGTAATAGAGTAACTGATACTTCGAAATTGACGGTTGCAAGAGGAAGCAGATCAGCGGCGGAGCCGAAAAGCTGCAAGTGCAGAGTACGGGTCATAAGTCGAATTCTTTATATTTTACTAGAGTCGACTGTATGCTTAAGCTTCAGGGCACTGCTAAGCGTAGCGCAGCTCCAGTCATATATAAGTATATGGAACGTCCTGTCTGCGGTTAGTCAGCGCTCGTTGTTGGGTCAGAGCACGTTCATAGTTAGGTCTGAACAAATATGGCTACGTACAGCTTCTATGTATGAAGTGAAGTATAGAAAATCACCTCCGAAACTTGAGCGCCTGTGAAGTGACACGTACTAAGTAATTTGATAGACACTTCTATTGATGATGACTTACGAGGGAGGAAGAGTCCACCACCCTTTAAACTAGCCTAATGATACATGTTGGCTTCTGTCAAGACTTATAGTACAGTGTCCTCTCTAACTAGACTTGCCCCCGTAGCTTACTCATCCTTATACCCCCACGTACTACAAACTATGCATACTGCAGCCTGTGTGCCAACACTTCGCAATTTGGCAGGGAATGATTGAGGGGAACTTATTTCCTGGCCTGTTATACGTACCCTTCTGATATATTATACTTATTCCTTCACGACGGATATTTACAATGGCTCCAGAATTCATCGTTGATGTTTGAAGCAGCCCAAATGGCCAGCAAATTAGTAGAACTAAATTATCCAACAGTATCAAAGGAGGAAAGGCGGAAGCAGTACATGCCTAGCTCAGAATAAAGACAGTATATATCTTCGAGAATAGACCTATCATGCTTAATATCACTTTGGGGGTCCGCCGGACCTAGTATTCGACAGGCTTAGTATTTGATAGACTTTGTGACTTTGACTTGGAGCTTTACGATAACAACTATTGTGAAACGAACCCACTTCGGTTCATCACTTATATTTAATTCAATCATCTTTCAATACAGAACACTACGAAATGAATTTTGTCCATGAACCGGTTTGCGCTACAATACCGTAATTAAGGAGCTTGTTCTAGGCCTGGAGAACAACCGCCGGCATTGCCTAGGTACCAAAGCATCCTATATTCATGATTGAAAGAGAGTTGAACAAATGATTATAAACCTGTGCTCCATCAGGACAGATAAGTAGTGAATAAACCTCCCTAAAAAGAAAGAAGATCCCAAATCATTCCTCTTGAACTCGACACATCCCAGCTTCCGAGATACATACAAAGCCTAATGGCGTGGTGATCACAATAAAGACCTACAGGCGTGAAAGATAAATCTACAGAAGGTGATGTGAGTTTAGGCCTCATAGGCACGCGCAGATCAGTAGAGATACATTCAGTTATAATACGATTGCTTCTTGTTCCATTTTCTGTAGAAAGCTTTCCATAACAGCTTTTCTTGGCATCAGAGTATTCCTCTTGTTTCAGTTGAACAAATTATTTATGCAAGGACCTAGGATGATCCTAAACCTCCGATGATCTCCCGAAACAAAATACTTGATTCTTGTATCATTGGTACTGAGCACTACACGTTGAGTAAAGAATAAAACCGGCTAAACCCTGAAATGGCACAATCCGTTGTGGTGTAATGGTTAGCATCAGTCGCTCTCACCGACTAGATCGGGGTTCAATTCCCCGCAACGGAATAACTTGTCATCAAGGAACAGCTTGAAACCCCTTTTTTATGACAACTATTTTTGAAAAATTTGCATTTATTTTATTTGCTGTCCGCTCCGATTGTTTTCTGTGTCCATGCTAGACACTTTCACGTGACTGGGTTGATCGTCGGGATCTAATCAGATAATCTACACTGCATGCTAGTACCAACTCTCAAATTTAAAGACTGGGGTAGAAATAAGGTTCATTACATCTGCATAAACTGTAAATGGCAAGTAAATATATCATTTCGAACCACTCCGAGGGAGGGCTTACCTGCAACTACTACCATATCACACCTCTTAATAGTGCTAAATTTTAAGCGATGGACTCTGATCTACACGAGTTGGAAATGATGCAATAACGAATGATATATACCGTCAACAATCAAGGTTACTGACTATGCGCATACCACTCCCATACCACTCTCTTAATATTACATTCCCCACAATATCCCTCCTGGCGGAATAATGCACCCCAGGAAAACTTGCAGCATTGAATTCGCAGTAACACCTCATGATCATTACCTGAACAACCACCATTCGAAAAGAGCCAATGCAAGAGTTGCTGCGTAGTAGACGATCATTGATAGCAAGTATGGGATGCATATTGGACCAACACCGGAGAGCTCCACCGTGCGAATCAAGCAATCAATCGAACTCAACCGCGCTAGCAAAAAGCAAAACCGAGTGATAATTTGTGAAGGATGTAGAAATTGATTGGTTGATTGATTTATCCATCAAGTAGGAAAAGCACGTAAACGCCGATCATAGTCCACGGCTAGATTCTTGACCATAGGACATAAAGCCTGCGCGGAGTGCAGTGGAAACGGTGATGTCTTGTTCAGCTTGAGATATATAGAGTCGGGATTGCTACGTACAGTTTAAGCGCACCTGAAAAAAGATCAACAGGCGCCTGCCTTTTGATTGGAAAGGTTAAAGTAATAGCGCCCGTGGCTTTTGGCTATGAAGACTACGGCTCGGTGGAACGAGGACGTCCAAGTGAATGTGACCATGTTTGCTATATGTCATGTATTAAAAAAAAAAAAATTCTCTTCATAGATCAAAATTATCAAAGCATAATACCTTAATAGGAAGCATCATAGGTGGTAAACATCCAAAAACGTCCAAACATCATTTCTTTCACATGGTCCTATAGCTAAATATTGCCTTGGCTCTGTACAGCGCTCGTTCGGTCGTCTTATGGTCACACGTGTAAACCAACCGAATGAAAAACGGGACTGAACGAAGATCTTGCACCTCCAATCCGCATATTTCAGCATCTCGTGTTCCACCTTCTCCGCATCAATAAGATTGAGATTTGCAAGATGTGCACTTTCTGTGTCACTCGTGCTTGTTGTGCGCAAATATATGCGATTGACGCAATAAGATGATAGAACGAGACTCTCTTTGGACAGCCGTCGCGGAATCCCCTTTTAAGTGCACAGGGCTTGTGTTTACGTCCCTCCTCTGCCTCGATCGTTTTCTCGCTAGTTGAACCATTGATCACCACTTTCCCTGTACCACCGCGATGTTGTCCGTAGTGACGGCTCACACTGTCTTAGACCTTCACCATCAGTGGCCCCCGGGATGCCGAGGTTTCACGGCGGTACGGTAACACGACAAGGCCGATAGATATGTCTCGAACACAGTAATTCTTATTTCGTTAACTGAAGGTCGCTGAGACATGTGCACTTGACCGATAATCGCTCTTCCGTCTGCTCAACAAGACACGGACATGTGATTTGCAATTGGGTAATCTTCAACAACAAATTTCTTTTTCCTGTCCGTATTTTCCCTCTCCACTTCCGACCTCATCCATTGGTATGTACTCAGCGCCCTGATCCGAAAAAAATCCCCGGCATTTCGGTCCACAGCATACCCCGCTATATGCATGAAATTCCGGCATGACCGCCTTGACCGAAGCAGGCGAAATTACAACCCAGTGTCCCAAACCACCATCGTGGAACTAAACCATTATGCATCGTTGCTGTATATGTGTAATAATGTATACTACATATATTATATTATCACTACATGGATGATATTATCACTACCATCGCTCTCTGGCTAACTTGTCAAAATAACGATTTCTGGCCATGGTGTAATTACTGGTGGCCCCGATCCTCAAACCCGTTTCTTACGCTGGCTCGCAAAGAGAACCCCTTTAAGCCGTGTTGGCTCCCGGTCCGCTTACTTGTTATCAAATGCATCGCCGGCATGGTCTAAATGTATGTACAGCAAACAAGCTGGTGAGGAATCATATCTTGAGCTGTGAGATAGCATATATACACGTTATGATAAATACATCCTGATTAATAGTGTACAGCCATGTATTGCTAGGCTATGATACTGCTATATATGTATTATCATGAGTGTGCACTCAAGCATGTATGTAGCAACTCCTCCATGCTGTCATGGTCCGAGAGTGCATCTCTGACCGGCACCCTGCATTTCTTTGACGTTTCCTGAGTGCTCGCGATTTGGCCATCCTTGTATCGCTCCGGCCAGTTTGCAAAGCTTGATTGATTACCTTTGTGAACCACACACATACTAAGACGCACACACACACTGACACACACAAACACACACACACATATACAACGTAGATACACACCACTGGGTGCTCATGCCCATAACGAGCAGTTCTTAAATTTCTCGTATCATGTAGGTACAATAATATACGGTGTTCTATCCTACCCTATCAAACAAGTTATGGAATCACGCGATCAACGGATAATACACTAATCACGTACTCTTCTCTCCAAAGATTAAGATTGAAATCTCACAATAGATTGTGCAAATCATCCGGATCTCACCGCCCACGATCAATATGTCTGACATTAGAGACTTTGCGCAAAGTCTCTATTGTCTTCTGCATCTTGATCACACCACCCAGTGACAGAACCCTAGCCCTTCACCTAGCCCTACACCTAACCCTGCGTTACAGAACCCAGGTTTAAACAATCCAGATTAAAATCAAGTAGATGTTATAATTATCGTCGGTGCTTGCGGGAGATGATGGATGTGGCCAGAACACTCTAGAGCACTGTACTGAGCTTAGGCTATTCAACATACTATGTGCATGGCTAGCAGGTAACGTGTTCATATCTCGCGAATACGTTGATTGTTGTTCCCGGGGAGGGCAGCGAGACAGACACCGGAACAATTCGTTCTGAGACTAACATGTTACCAGGGCCAAAGTTCCTGTTTAAAGAACGGAAGAGAGAAAAAAGCAAAATATGTAAGTGAAAAACGGGAATGAAAAATTCTCGCTTGGGAATTGCCGTAGAGTGCTAATGCTTTAGTTACTCCACTCTAGAATACCTACATACTTTACTTTGCTTAGATACGCGGCTGTGAATTATTATTTTTTTCGGCGGCGATCTGCTCGCAGGGCAAGCTAGGACGTAGGTACATAACGGGGCGTACATACGTGCTCTTAGAGAGAAGAGCAGAGCAGGGGACCGGGGGGGGCGGTTTAACATTTCAAATACACCGGCGTATCGCATTATGCCCACCACACCGAGTGAAGCGATGGTGGTACGGGACCGTTTCACGATCGAGAAGTGGTCTAGGTGGGTTGGCTGGCTTGGGTTTGGGTGGGGACTAGGGAAGGGGAGGTGGGAGGGAGGAAGAAGCCGGAGGAGGAGGGTGACTTTTCTTGCCCTGGCTCCCTCCATAGTGATACTCCCCCTACATGCCAACATCTATCTCATCTGGCGAGTGTTACCGGGTTCGTGGTTATGGGCGGCTGGATGTACGTTCGGTGGATGGTGATGGTTGTGGGTGTACGATCTGGACGTGGATTGAAGGATCGTGGGTCTTTCAAAGGGATGTGTACTCTACATGATGTATGTACATGTAGAAGCTACATTACCCACATGCTCTACCTTATAATCTTTACTGACGTTTTGCCTTTGATCTGAGTGTAATATGTACATGCAGTCTGAGGATTTGCACGTACAGCAAGGAGAGACAGCTATCTGTACGAAGTACATCATTGTGAATCATGGATTTTTTTGAATTGGAATGGATGACATTACTTTACAGTTGTCCGAGCCCGTACAGCAGTACAGTACTACCTGGCTGCACAGAAACCTTTTTTGCAGTCCGGTGGATCAATACATCCAAGATACAGGGCTAGGGGTCTCTTCTGGGTTTCTCCGTTTGATGTACTCGAAATATCCAAGGTACATGCATACATCCTAATTTACTCTACTCTATCTTGAATCGTTCAATATTCTGCTTGCATATTGTGGCACCCGCGAAACACTGGATGTTGAAAGTGGCTAGTACAAGTACAGATGTTTAACAGGTGTGTGTTACACAGGTGGCTAACGACACTCTCGATAGCAGCGCCAATCAACGTCCTCTCTCCCCTCTGTCTCTAGATTCCCTGTAACCTCTCACCATCCTTGTCCCCTCACCAATTGAAAGGTCGACATCTACATCAGAACAGGAAACGTAGAGCCTCCTTTGCTTAATCACAGGTCAATTGCTATTCACACCGAGGGGTAAACATGTACAGCGAGTGAGGGACTATGCCTCAAACTCTCCTTCATCCTTGGGGCCCGGGGCTGCGGGGTCGATAGGAACACAGCCAACCCTGACTGACAGTTGTTTTCCCTGCCCCCCCCCCCCCCCCAGGCGGCCTTTCCTTGGCAGCATACAACGGCTGATTCCTGTGCATGACGTGGCCAAGAGAAGACTTATGTCGGTGCGGTGAGCGAGCAGGTAGGGTAGGCAGATAGAATATGTGCAGCAAGCAAGCAAGCAGGCAGCAGGATTGAAGGAATGCTTATCAACGCGAATATTCAGCTATCAGGACAGCGAGAGGCAGTAGTGGCTTCACTTTTATCTATGGTTTGGGTTTGAGAGAATATTGTAAGCAGGCATGATTTCTCGAGAGGAAGCTTCAACTTCCGAAATTTCTCGCTTCACGTACCTTGCTAGGCCAATGCAAACCCCAGGAATACGAATTTAAACGACATTAGTCGCAATTGAAACTCACCGCTGGATTCCATCAATAATCCATCCACCCACCCTCCCAGTACACTACCATGCTCAGGTACCTACCTCTCTATGTGGGTGTGTACCACTCTATGCTACCTATGCGTTGCTTAAGGCCAAGCAATTAACTGTGCTTTACTACACATATGCATCTATTCTTTGAAGATCATAGGCAGTCAGAGTCTGTGCGGCGAATCGATTGTGCAAGGCACAATCATTTACTTCAGCTCGCAGCGTGATTGGCGAGAACCTTGATGTTCTTCTGATAGAAGAGTAGGCAGGTGCACGTATGGAGAAGAGAAGGGGGCAACAAGTAAATCAAATTAAAGCCTGACTGACAGATTGTGGAATTGATTGACAGCAGTAGAGATAATAAAAAAAAGGCCCACAGATATCACCAACCAAACCCATCATCACCATCATCATCAATGCCCTTCCTGGAGTGGGTACCGTAGGTACTCTATTGCTGGAATAACTCACGTCCCTCGAACAAGCTTGGTTTCTGGTTGCAGGATGGAAAGTCCGTGTGTGCGCCTAAAAATAATGTAGGTCGGTAGACGAAAAGGCGAACCAGACGAACCAGGGAAGAGGTTTGTTGGTGGGAGATAAGAGGTTATCTGCTCTACCGTATGTATGCGACCAAAGTAGCCCCGGGAGAAGCCCGCGGCCCGTTGCTCCTACTCTTCTTCCTCCTTTCCCCAGTTGCATCTAGCAGGAGTAGAGTACTATACCTGATTGTAACCAAACGGCCACCGTCTCGTCTTTCGTCTCGTCATAAAATGCATGAGGATGAAAAAAAAAAGAGACGGACGAAATTAGATGGAAGGCCCGTAAAGTAAGCATCTGGAATAGGAAACGGGGGGAAATTGCAGCAAATCACTAATTGAATCACACCAAATTCCGGCAAAATGGACTTGAGTTGGTAAGAATGGGATAGAGAGAAGAGAATTGCATGCCAGCGTGGCCAGGCTCAGCTACCTACCTATTCGTACCGTATGTATAAATTATTTTCAATAAACGCGAAAAGAGAAGGGGCATAGAGAGGGGCAGAGAAAAAAAAAGGGTCAAGGATGAGGCAGAGATAAATACGGCGGGAAAAAAACATCTTATTAGTTTATTATGTACCCAGCCCGAATGAAACGTGCGCGCGACAAAAAAGGGTTAGAGTTACCGCCTAGGGGAGGGATGATGAGTGACCAGGCCAGGAAAACTTACCAATTCAAGCGATACCATGCCTTATTGGGGGCAATATCAGCTTCTCGTTCTTCATCTTCATTTGTGGGGCTTCTTCTTCACTCTGCGCTCATCGACTTCATCCAAACACCACACCGGGGAAACGGCTTTCATCCTCTGGAAGAAATGTCACCCCTTCGTGCCTTTACTTTGCATTTACATCTACATGAGGATATTTTTGCGTCGAGCTGATATGCACGGCGATATGGACCTTGGAGGGGCCGTATTATCATCATACATACAACAGGGAGGTCAATGCGAGGGCAATTGTTTCGAGTGGGTATTGATGGTACATTAGTGGTGGATTCACACTCCGTGATACATGTACTATCTTCCATCAGGTCTGTCCCACAGCCGGGAGAAGCAGGAACTTGAAGGGGGGTGGTGGTTTCGGTGATATATCATTGTTGGCATAATAATTTTTGCAAGGCACCGTGGGCCTGAATTCCAGCATACTTGCTGCTAACGTGATGGGTTCGGACGGAAGAGGCGGGTGGGTTTTCTGAGGGTGTGCAGAACAGGTAGATTTTCCAGCTTCTGGGGGCGGGTTCTTTCGGGCATTTTTGTAGTTATCTCCGGCGGGGGGTGGTTGTGCTGGTAGAGGGAAGCTGGAGGAAGAGGATGTGGAGAAGAGAGGGGGGGGGGGGTGTATGTACATCCTCGCTCAGATCATTGGTCCTTGCGGTAATTGAGCAGTGGTCGGATCTGGATTGGTGGTGGATCAGCTTATGTATGTACTTTGCTCCACACGTGCACTATACTTGCTTTCGACCACCATGAGCAAAACATGCCTTTTGGTTTATTTCTAATGGTGTCTCCAAGCCGGGGAAAATAGAGAACTACTGCAATGTAGGTGTAGCAGCTAGCTAGCTAGCTAGTCGGCTCTTTTCTCAGGTGATGGACGATAACGCACGTTGTTTAATTTTTCTTTTTTGTTTCCATTTGTTTCTGCGCTATCGAGTGATGTGGGGTGATTCGAGCATGAGGTAGGTACGGGTTCCAAGAGTACGTACGGTTTTTTCCCCACCGGTACGTATACCGGTACCGGTACGGGACTCCACCACCTCCACCACCATAGCTACGGCCCCTCCATTCCTTTACGGAATGTTCCTTGGAAACAAATCTGTGTCTCACCCACCTGATCTGGTGGCGAACCTGTCTGAGTCTGAGCTTGAGCTTTCTGTGGGAATATCGAAGTATCGACAGAGGGGTTGATCTGCTGGTACGAGGGGATCTGCGGAATATCACTCAATCAATCTCTGAGAAAATCTATCGAGAGGTTTGGTTCGTATAAGGTAGATAGTTAGGAATCGACGGAGATGTTGGAAACAGAGTTGAGTTCGTGGGTTTCGAAAAAAAAGAGGTATTCTTTATTCTTTCGAATTCTTCTAGAGTAGGCGCTACCGATACAAACATTGAAACAGGGATGGATAAAAAGAAAAGAAAAATATAATACAAAAAAGAAAAGAAAAACAAAAACCAGATCTCATAAAGAAGAAAAGGAAGAAAAAAAAGAAAGGAAAATATATACAGCAGAAAAATAAATAAAGAAAATCTTTTTTTATCATCATCGTTAGATCATCAAAAATCATTTTTGCATCCCATCCCATCCCGTAGTACATCTAAACCATTGTAAAAGAAGAGTTTCCAACCTTCAACTTCCGCCAGCAGGAGCCGTCCGTCGTCGCTGTGAGTTTTTTTTTGTGTGTGGAGTATATTGCGCCGCCACCCCCCATCTCTCCCGGATCCCCCCATCGCCCCAATCCCATAAACAAATAAACTCCTGTAGTTTTTGCTTTTTTCAAAAATCAAAATGACAAAGGAAATGTAGTTTTTGTAAAGGAATGTACTCTGTGTAGAGAGATTATGTTTATAAGCCACCCGTCGTAACATAGGAAAAAGTAAAAAAAGAAAATAAGTTTTTAAGAGAGAGCTAGTCGGGTTTCCAATCTATAGGCTCCCCTTCCTCGACCCATCCTCAGACGAACCAAACTCGAAGCCCTCATCCTCAGCCGGATACGGGAATGAGCAGGTTGATGCGCCATTTGGCATCCAGAACATCGACGCCGGGTATAGCCTCGAGCTGGGGTTTACATGGCAACTTGCGCACAGCGGCACATATGGAGATGTTGGCGCGGTTGTGGTGGGCGACGGGTGCTGTGTGGGTGGGTCGTATGTGTCTGCGAAGCGGTTCCCCCATGGCTGTAGCATGAACGAGGAGTCAGGGGTGTCGTCAAAGTGCGCCGAGGGAGCTTCGGGCGATTTGTGGTAGAAGAAGTTTGATGAGAAGTAGCTCTCGCTGTTTTCAGACTTGATCTGGAAAAAAAGTGCCTATTAGCTTACAATTTCGGGGATGTCTAATGAAGAGCGGGGAACGTACGAATTGTAGCCTGGGGTCGAGCTTGTCGTCGTCTGAAGCGATGTTGAAGAGTGGCGAAGGTGGGAGCGAGTTTGGTGAGCTGGCGACACTACTATCTGCGGAGGAGGAGGAGCTCGAGGTGTTGATCATGGTGGGGGAGCGGAGGGGGGTCTCGAGTCCGTCGATGCTGCTGCTGATTGATGGGCGCTGCTTCTGGCGGGAGAGAAATGCATTTGAGGCCTTTCCTCTTTTCTTCTGTTCGCGCTTGTATTCACAGTCGAGGCCAAATACTGGGTTGCGTTAGTTGAAGTTTTCTTTAAACCTGAAGCTATGATTACCAACTCACCAACACAGTGTTCGCAGGGTGTCTGGCCGTCGCATTTTGTGCGCAGCTGGTTGCAGCGGTCGCAAGCGCGCGAGACTCGCTGTCTTGTTGCTGTGGATTTCCTTGAGCCGATTCTTGAGCTTGTGGTGTGGTGGAGGGAGATCATATTTGCGGTGGTAATGATGGTTGTGGGAGTTTTGATGATGTAGTCTTAGATGATGATGGCGTTGATGGCGTTGATGGTGATGTAGTTGGATGAGAGTTAGAGGCAGGTAGTAGTGCTAATGGTAGTGGTAGTGATAGTAGAGGTAGTGATAGTAGAGGTAGTGATAGTAGTGGTAGTGGTAGTGGTAATGATAGTAGCAGTAGTGATAGTAGTAGTAGCAAAAGTAGTACTAGTGGTAATAGTAGTGGTAGCGTGGATCTTGAGAATACACGATGGATCGATGATTGATGATTCTTTTTTCCTTCGTTTCGGCGGGCTGTCGTCCACAAGATATATCCACGAGATGGGGCCCCAGGAATTAATTAAATGAGGTATCATATGTTGAACATGCACGTAGCTAACAAGTAGGTAAGCAAGCAAGGTTAGGTTCGACAAGAAAATGCCTAGCAGTACTTGCTCATTCTCTCTGCGAACCGTACGTAATCTGTCTGGCCTTCTCAACACGCCTAGGGGAGATGCCGACGGGCCCCACCATGTCTTCCTGCATGTGGGTGCAGAGAGACCATGGCCTGTCTCGTATCACTTCGATAAGGTGGTGGCCGTGAAAAAGCGGTTAGGGTAATAATCTGAATTCGAAGACAGCCTTTGTAGGCCTAGTTTTGTCGCTCTTGTATTTTTTTTTTATTTTTTTTTCATTTTCTATCATATGTACGTATGGCTCACAGCTTGATGGCTTTCACAATTCTCGCACATGTTCTCACCCAGGTACCGGAATACAGCTAGAAAAAGAAAAAAGGAACGAAAATTGGGAGCATGGAAGTCCCTAGGAAGAGAATGCTTAAGGGGCGGTGGCTTTTTTCGCAAAGCAAAGAAAAGAAAAGAAAAATACTAAAAAAAAAAAAAAAAAAGTGTCTCTACTGCTGTTGTAGCTCTACCAGCTAGCTAGCTAGTGTTCGGGAATAATAGCTTGTGTGAAAGAACACAATTTTTTTTCGCAGAGAATAAGAAAATAACATGTACCCATTTTTCTACGCAACGTGAGTCCCAGCTATTGGGTCCCCACCACTACATACGTCCCACCACAACCAAACAGAATAAGGTCAGAGAGGTAGGGGAAGAACAGATGATTCCCTCAGCTCATCATCATCCTTGGAACCGGATTTTTTTTCTTCCCTTCCCTGATGGTATTTTGCTCCGTCCGTACTTTGCAAGAGAAAATCTGGCTCGAGCTAACCCCTTCCTAATTCTTGATGCATATTGCGTTTTGGAGTGTTGTCTCCCAGGGGGAACTTACTTGTGAAAAGGCAAAAAAAAAAGAATAGAATAGAAAAAAAAATAGGTTTAGGAGCAACGAGCACATATATCATCAATCAAGCAAACGCAGAAGCAAGCGGGATGCATAACGCTGATCCTAGGGGACCGGTCTTAAATTCTTATTTGGCGGCTTAAGGATGAAGGGACGGGGGTAGAGGTGGGCAGATCCCCCTACTCAGACACATACATACGGCGGAGGATGTTAAACAAGTCCTAGTTTCACACAGACACACACATACACTATATACAACCTATACACGCTCACAGCACAACCTTATGCATGTATGTGCGTTGTGTTGCGTGCGTCAATGACATATATAAGTCCACTCGGGGAAGCCTTCTGGGTTCCATAACGCACTTGCTTGGACCTTGGGAGGGAGACTTTACATACCCCAAGACTTTTGGAATATATTGGGATGAATTCGGTTCGTAGACTGGTTGGAACGGCTGTCGGTGAGTATTGTATACAGGTAAGGTATGATGTAGGGAGGGATAAACCGGGGGGGGGGGGGAGGGGGCGGAGGTGGAAGGGAAGAGGGGGGGGGGTGTACTCACTTGCTCACTCAACTCACTTGGTTACTCGTTCACTGAGTGCGGTGCGTCGGTTGCCCTCGTTTCTGCTTAGCTGCTCCATGAGCTAGGTACTCTACGGTGAAGAAGAAATTCGGAACTGGGGGAGGGAGGGATAGTCAGAGAGAGAGAGAGGGAGTGAGGAAACTAGGGAAGACAAGGAAGACAAGGGAAGGGAAGGGAAGAGAAGGGGAGGGCTGTTGAAGGGTACCAGGATTATTAACCGAAAAAACCTGAAAGAGGTTTACTCTGTCTATCTATGTAATGTATGTAGGTGCGCCCTGACCAACCCTCGCTGTTTGGCCATATATCTTGATAGAGAATTGATTGGGTTGATAGATACGTACATGTCCTGTTGAGTAGAGTACGTCGTCTCTTAGGCCACCACAACCACCACAACCACCACAACCACCACCACCTACACTGCCTAGTAACTAGTTACCAGCTAACCACCACTGTTCTCTTTCTCTCTCAACACCACAATCAGTAACCAGCAGCGTAGCTCTTCTCCACCTCCGCCTCCACCACAACCTCCACAAAGCCCACTAATACTCCACACCAACTCATCAGTCAGCAAAGCACACACCCGTCTGCGACCCTGGGAAACAATAGGCTGATTCCCACATCTTAAACGAACAAACTAAACCAACATTGAATAAACCCACTTTCTACATAATCTATAATTACACCCAGGGCCTGGCACTCTCTTTTTTTTTTTGCCTTTCATTTCACAGATTTCGTTTTATCTTGCGCCATTGCACCTTGATGGCGTACCATACCACAGCTGCACCTGCTCTACATTGCACCGTACCACTCTATTCCCCCATTTGAACATGAGAGAGTACAAAGAGAGGTAGGTATGTTGGTACCTACATGGCCTTTTTCTTTTCTTGCCCCAAATATTAGGGTACCTTAGATAATAACACCCCCCTCCCCTCCTTATCGCTCTTACCCCCGGTCGATCACCTGCAAGCGACACGGCCTAGCGGAGCGGATGCGGCATTTCGGACAAACTTCGGTAACCTCGGCGAAAATATTTTCCTCTTCTTGTTCTTTTCTTCTTGTGTTCTGCGTGCTGAGATTTGTATGGTGTGTGTGAAGTGTGTGTGAGTGATTGAGTGAGTGAGTGAATGGATGTGTGTGATAAAATAAAAATGGGAAAGAGGACCCTCGCTCGCTGCAAGTGGTAACACCTCTCGTCTGTGATCGAATCACATGAAAGAATTGGGTTGGCTTTACTTCTCGTTTCTTTTTTCACTTTTTTTCCTTACTTTTCTGGTGGTCGTGGTTTTATTTTGGTAGCGAGGGGAGCAGCAGGGAGCCAGTTATAAATTTTCCCGAAATTGGATGCGCTGCGCTGACGTTTAGGTGGTTGGTCCGTTGGGTTTGGGCCATAGCAAGGTGGTCGAGGGAAGGGAGGGTTGAAGGGTCGAGGTCCCTTCACGACGACATGGGCCCTGGCTTTGAGGTAGTGATAGATAGAACGGGTTTAGTCCACTGTGCCCAATCTACATACCTTTTCACGCTACATACATACTTTCTCTACTCACACTCTAAAAACCTAGGTACCGCTCATACTTAACCTCCATGACACCCCTCCACCGGTACCGGTACCCCCCTTACCCCCCATCCACTCTCCCCCCTCGAGCCACTTTCACCGCACCGCACCGCACCGCCCTGATGCAGCGCGCGCATACATAAATCCCTCTCTGCTTGCTTGCTCAGAAACGAAAAGCGCCATCATGTGTGGTGCCTATATCTGGTTGGCCCAATCCTATTGCATGTTTCCAACCATGGCCACCCCCCCCCAAAAAAAAAACCTACTTCAGGTAAAATACTACATATCTTTCGTGCAGTGATGTGATGGGGTATAGATAGTGTAGGTAGTATAGATAGATAGAGGGGGAGGGGATTAATAGATAGCTATGTACATATCTTCTTACCCTATAGTTCTCGGGTGTTGTTCCCGGATTAGTCTTCAAGACGAGATGCACATAATATCGGCGTCGCGGTTGCGGAATAATTATATTCGCTGAATACACAAACAGGCGCCGCGCCGGCGCTGTGCTGGTTGCTTGCCTGCTCATGTGCTGTGCTGCTGGTGGGCAGAGATATAGATAGCTGGTAGTAAGCAAAGTCAACAACAGCTAATAGCTGGTGCGGGGTTGGGGCTCGGTGGTGGTAACATTCACAGATTATCACTCGGCCCATGCAATGACATCTGGATTGGGAAAGTGGCAATCGGAATGGGTGAGCCAGAGGGAAACTAGTTTTTCCCCATATCGCTCTCTGCCCTCTGTTTCGGTGGTGGTGCGGCGGCGTTGGATGAACGTCTTCGATCCTCTGAATGGAGGGCCTGGCTGGGCTGCAGGGAAGAGCTGTGCTGGGCAACCAACCCACTACATACATGCAACCACTAACCACTAACCACTAACCACCAACCACCAACCACCAACCATGATCAATTGCAACCTTCAACGAACCACCAACCAACCACCAAGCTGTGCCCTGCGTAATACATAAACATTTCCTCTCTTGTCGCTTTTTGGGTTGTATTTATTATTCACCGCTTGCACGGCGAAACTATGTAATTTTTCTTTTCTTAAATCAGATTTCCGGCCGCTGCACCAGGTCCAAAGTGGAAAAATATATTGGTCCACTCCACTCTGATGTCTTTTTTATCCCACAAGCTTGTTGGTCAGAGCAAGAGGGAGAGAGGAAGGAAAAGAAAAGAAAAGAAAAGAAAAGCAGGAAAGATTCGGAACGACCGTTTCCCTTACTATATGTACTCTCGTGTACGTTTCTCATTGGCTGCTACTCTTGACTACATACATGAATGGTACTGCAACCCTCACACTCTTTCTCATTCAAACTTCTCCCCGACCCCGCCACAACCACCCCCCTCCACCTCTACTATGAGCTATCATTCAATCTATCATACTTGCGTACCTACAGTGATCCAACCCCCATGTAGTTTACAACCTAATCACGAAACCTGCCGTCAAGGGTAAACTCGTAGCGACCACCAGGACCTTTGTCTCCGCGTCGTACGTGATATCACCCCCGTCGAGCACCCTATCATTGACCGTGACCTTCCTCGGCTTCTTGTCTACGCCCAGGAACTTGACCGTCTTGACGCTGATCCCACTGTCGAAGCCAAAGCCCCCTGTCGCCTTGAGCACCCCCCGGAAGTAGGTAAACGAAACATCCACAGTTGCTTCCTGCTCAATGGAGACGCCGTCGTCGAGATAGAGCGACCCCTCCGCCCTGTTGTCCATCCCCGGCGCAACGACGAGCTCAAAGTCCTTCTTGCGCAGCTCGGCAGTTGTCATTGCGCTCTCGGAGCGCAGGGGGATGATGCCGCCACCCCTGATGTGCAGCGGGATCGAATCAAAGCCCACGTCCTCCAGAGTGACGTTCTTGCCGGCGCCCTGCACGGGGGCGAGCGACTCGAAGTCGTAGAAGATGTCCTTGGGCAGGTAGATGTCGACGGAGGTCGCGTTCTCGGCCGTGACCGGCGACACGAGGATGTACGGGCCGTAGAGGAACTGCATGTCCACGCCAAAGGTCTTTTCGTCCTGAGGGTAGGCAAAGAAGAGCGGGTTCAGCGCTGGCGTGCCCGTGGTGTGCTGCAGCTGCAGCGCCGTGTACATGTAGTCGAGTAGGCGGTAGCGGATGTTGATGGCCTTGCGGGCGGCCTGGGCGACCGACTCCCAGCGGTAGAACTCCTGCGAGACGGTGGCCTCCTGGACGTTGTGGTTGCGGTAGAAGGGGTAGAAGGCGCCCAGGGTGGCCCAGCGGGCGCAGAGCGTCTCGGTGGTGTTGCCGCCGAATCCACAGACCTATGTGCGTTCCCGGGTTAGATTGGATGTACCCCATATTGGAATTGTTGGGGAAAAGAAAAAAGAATAAAAAAGGAATAAAAAATAAATAAAAAGAGGTTGTCTGATCTGGATGGAATCTCACGCACATCAGATCCAACTATGGGGATTTGGTAGATGCTGGCAAACCCGAGCATGTGGGCGATAGAATCACGACTGTTTGTTTCATTTTTCTTTATTTTAGTATGTGAAGCTTTTCAAAACTCCGATATTCTCGTGGGCACGGACGTCTTCCGCCAGGTCAGATTCGCGGGGGGGGGGGGGGGAGATAGATTGGGGGGGTTGAGTGGGGGGGGAGGGGATTGGCAGAGACGGGGGCGGCGGGGTGTTGAAACTTACTAGTTTTCCCAGAACGAATTGTTGTCACCAAGCCATTTGAATACCTGTCAAATATTCCCAAATTAGTAAATGAAGGGGGCGAAAATAGATTAATAGATTAAATTTTTTTTTTTTGATTTTGCATGGCATGGCATGGCATGGCGCACCACCACCATCATTCCCAGCGTCACCGCAAGGGAAAAAAGAGAACAATCATTTTGTGAGTCTTTTGCGGATTTGCGGATTTGCGGAGACGTTGCGGAATTTGTGAGTGCTACAAACCTTGGCGCCAGCACCAGCAAAGGTGCTGCGGGTGATGATCACTGGCCTCAACCCTGGGCGGCGAGCCAGCATGGCCTCGCGAGAAACAACGCTCATCACTGAGTAAAGCGAGAAAAAAAGGGGGTGTTAGTCAGATTCTCTCATTGGACAGCTGTCCCGTTTCGTCTCGTCTTAATTGTCGACATGTCTGGGGAAAGAGGTAAAAAAAAAAAAAAAAAAGGAAATAAAAAAAAAAAAAAAGAGAGGATTGACTTACTGCTCCCATAGAGATTGTGCGCGTCATATTCCGTTATTCCGTTTGCGTGAACAAGCTATTGTGCCCGAACGATGGAACCAATTAGCACCGGTTTCAAACAGGACTGGGAGTTGAGTTGTATCAAGAGCTTGTAAGTGAAGTAGAGGCACTCACGTCAGTGTCTGCCGTTCTGTCTGAGATGCCGTTTGGCCAGTCGTTTGCAATCGCGTACGGGGGATCAATCAGATCCTCCTCCACATCCCCGCGCTTGACCTTTGATTGTTTCTGCTGAGTGAAGGGGAACCCTGGCAGCTCGCGCGGGGGAGCTCTGACCGGAGGAGCTGCCGGGGGCATTCCTCGGTCAATTGCCGTCTGCTCAGGATCAACGCATGGATAGTCGCAGAACTTGATTGAGAATTTGTCAGTGTTAGCTCTTTGTTCTTCTTGTTCTTGATTGTTGAGATGCAGGCTTTGCTGGAAGTGTTTTGGCCGGGGTTTTGGGGGGAGGTTGGGGGGTTGGGAGAGTGCTTGCTGGCTTACGTTGGTAGGCTCGTTCATGTCAATCCAGAGACCGTCAATGTCGATACCAGTCTCTGGGTTGAAAAACAGCTTGAACTCGTTTGTCCACCAAGCCGAAGCGTTGGGGTGCATCTACGCATTTCCTCATATTAAGAACTGGCCCAGTGCGAGATAGAGAGATAGTGAATAGAGAGGAGAGACGCACGAAGTCCGGATACGCAGTGACACCAGGCCAGACCACCGCCTTGTAGATGGTCCCGTTGTCCTCCTTCAAGAACACGCCGCTCTCCACGCCCCTATTGAACGTCGGATAGTCCGTGTACGCGACGGCAGGGTCCACCATCATCATGTAGTGCTGATCATGCTCGTGGAGGTAGTCCACAATCTGCCTCATGCTCTCGAGCGGGAAGTTTCCCTCGTCGACCGTAAAGATCCATCTGTTGCTCATGTAGTCTACATGCCAATGATATCGTTAACACCACAAGCACCAACCACAAACACCCCGAATCTAACAGCGCTGCAGGCTTCACATACCGATATCGGTCCACATGGTCTCGAGCGGGATCTCGGCCTTGCTGTAATTGGCAATCACTTCGGCGACCTCAAAGGCATCTCTGTACCCCCATCGACTTTAGGGTTAGGGTTGGGGCCAACGGTCAGCTACTATTTATATAAGACGCCATCTGAGACATTGACCACCTGCACGGGGAATGTCGGGGGGGATTGGGGAGGTGGGAGGTTTGAAAAAAAAGCAAAAGACCAGCACTAGCATACCATTGATGGAACTACATGTGCGAACGTTACAGCGCTTGGTTAGCATAATGACCACACACACATACACGCTAGATGACGAAACTGGAATATGCATGGAAAGGGGGAGAGAGATCCCACCACTTACACCGAGATTCCAGTACGGCGTCATGGCCGGCAGTCCGGCCACCTGTGCATACTGGCGCGACACATCAGCGGGCGACGGGCCAGCAAAGAAGTAAAAGTCGAGGACACCGCCGATGACGTTGTACTCGAGGCTTGTGCCCGTGGCCTTGTCCGCCCTCAGCTTGATGTCCATGCCGTTGCTGTTGAGCAGGAAGACACCGTGGGAGCCCGTGGTGCGGTGCTCAATGTAGACGGGGTGCACGCCGTAGAGGTTCGAGTCCTTGGGGATGCCAAAGGCGTCGCGCGCCCACATGGTCCTCGTCGTGTTGCGCTCGTCCAATCGGAGCGTCTCCGAGTGCTCACCGAGGCCATAGATGTTTGCTTTTTCGGGGAGGCTCGTCTTGACGCGGAGGTACTGGTTCTCGAACACGAGGGGGTGGTCCGTAGTGTCGAAGAGCGTCTCGCCGTTGGACCTGCGCACGACGGCGAAGGAGAAGGGCGAGGGCGTGATGTCGAAGCGGATGTGCGAGCGGGACGAGTACTGGTTGGGCGTGCTGGAGGGGCGGGGGAAGGCGGACTCGGGCACCTCGTAGCGTTGGTTGTGGGGGTCAAGGATCTTGACATGGATGCGCGAATCTGGGGAAGCACGACAACACGATCGATCAGTCTGGGTGGAAATCCGGGGACGAAGGGCATGAGGGATAAGTTAAAGTTGGTATAAACAAACCATCATCATACGTGACCTCCAGACGCAGCTCAGCAATGTCTGCACCGTAGATGTTGCAGCCCTTGCCCGCGAGCTGGAGGTCGGCGGTGAGGGTGTTTGCAGTCTTCTTGATGTTTTTTGCGTTGTAGCCAGGGCAGGCGTCCACGTCCACGGAGCGTTTGTGCAGCGAGGGGACGACGGTGGTGGCACTGCCTGCTGCAACGGCAAACAGCAGCGAGAGGGTGTAGATTCTGTACTTCATGGCTGGAGAGGGAAACCTTCACTTCGGAGCACGTACGATAGGATGATAGCAGGAGGAGCTCTTGTGCGTACGGTCCTGACTGCTGCTACGTACTTGTGTCGTGGGGAATATATTCGTCGAGCGGGAGCGTGCAGTTATATCTTGCAATCCGCAGAGCACGATAGCCCGTGTGTACCTTCCCGTTCAGCAAGGCCTCATGCTCACACGGGGACATGAGTACAGAGAGAGACACGATCAGACCGCGATGTAGAGTACCTACAGACAGTACACCGACGTACAGAACAACAGACTCGACTCACGAGAATTACCGGCGGCATACAGTAGCTGTCGATGCTCCATGATCTCCGCGAAGCCGTGAGTATCCCGTTCCAAGCCCCCCAGGGCCAAAAGCTAGACGCGGCCGGGGAAAAATATGCATAAACCTACGACATGGACCGCATTCAGGCACGAGGGTTGATTGATCTGCATACTCTATTTCCCCAGACCGCTGCCAATGGACAACCCGACCAGGTGCTTAAACCCTTTGCGGGGGATAACCCGAGGATTGGCCGAGATCTCGGTACGGATAATCCTCGGGCTTTTCTGTGACCCGGTTTCTGTCTGTTTCTATCGACGTTCTTTCAGTCTTTCTGGGAGCGTGGGGTTTGGGGCTTTGGGGTTTTGGGGCTCTGGGGAACGTTTGTGGGGACTGATTGACACGGGGAATGCTCGGTCATGCTTCGGAGAAACTGTGCGGAGAATTCTGGGCTGAGAGATCATTCGATTGTCGCGGTTTTCTCCGTGATGTATAGGATGTATGTAGGTTATGCCGTGAGAGGATGCGCACCCGTAAGTCTACAGCAAGTACCGTCTGTTGTCGTCCGTGATGACATCTACGGAGGGGCCAAATCAGGTATTGAAAATACACACCAGAAAAAGGCCGGTCTTGGCACCGGGAAAGGCTTGATGGCTGAATCGAACGAAGCCTTGGAGCTAGCTAGCGAGTGGAGTGTTGAACCAAACGAGGTCTTGAACATCCCCACTGTGGAGTAGAGTAGAGTACAGGGCTAGCAAGTAAGCTTAACGAGGGTTAACGAGACCACCGAGGGAAGGGATCACAGATGGCCATGGGCCCTTAGTGATCGAGTGAGAGAGAGCCTCACTTTCCCCCTCACCTACCACAAGAAGTCTAGGCCCGCCCGCCAATCACAGACAGACTACCCATCCAAGTAACGCTTCCTACTAATTCTATTCCCACTGCCAGAAACGGTCAACCACGTTTCTGCCTGGGCGGTGATCCTGCCATTTACTTGCCTGTAACTACATGTATGTAGATCAAGGGTTACATACTTGTTTGTTTGCCATGCTGGCCTATGCCCTGCCTGCTTGCTATGCCTCGGCCCCACCTAACCCTGACAAACAAATTGGCCAGCCATACCCCCACAGCCAAACCCCGATGCCCATTGGCTGTCTAGACCTGCTCTACAATTGGAAAGTACGCTTCCGCGCCGAGTTTGAAACGCGACGGGTGCAGCATAGCACACACATCAGCCTCTTGTTGCCGGGCTTGGTAGGCAGCAAGAGCACAGGGTACGGAGAGTAGAATAAAATAATTATAATTAATAGAGCGAGAGGGATATGATGTATGTACTTCGCAACGTTCCGAGGTGGTCACGCTGCATTCCTCACAGCTCTCGTCGCAGAGCTGAGCGCATATATAGTGGATGAGTGGGATCTTGACTGCAGATGGAGGGATAGATATGGATAGGGATATATTATAATTATGGTGATGATGATGATGGTACATAGTATTGCATGCAATGACCAGTTGCTGGTCCGAGGGGACCTTGTCGAGTGATGATTATGGAGACTTGACGGCCCTTTTCGGCGTTAAGGGCTGCTACCGGGCTTCGAGAATTGGTGGATGTGGATAGATATATGCAGGCAGCAGGATAGAGTCGAGCACAAGGCAGGCCTGCAGGGAAGACAGTCAGGCAGCCCGTTTGCCAATTAATAATGTGCGGATGCTGTGGTTCCGAGCTCGAGCTGGGCCCTGGTGTGATATTGATATACATGATTGTAATGGGGACCGGCCCTAACCGAAAGACCGACAGACCGACCGTCGACCGGGGAGGGAAGGGGGGGACTGTAGTCTGTACTAGGTAGGTAGCCTGTAGGGGAGGGGACAGACATGGAGGTGAGAGGGACAGACAGACAGACATCCATAGAGCAGATCATCGGCCTCTCTCACACCCACAAATCAGTCCGTCATGTGATATCTCACCCTCCCACCTAGTGTTTATGTAATCACAAACATGTTTGAGAGACATGGCAAAGTTTAAAATCGATCTCAACGCTATAGCCAACCACAGGCCCCTCGCAGAAACACACACCTTGCCTGATCCCGGGGCAGCAGGGCAGGCAGGTATCACGAATATTGCACATATCCTTGTACATGTTCACGCGGGTTTAGAACGGACCCAGGACAGGAAAAATGCTGAGCTGACTTGGATGGAGCACGGCCTCCCGGGGGAGGGGAGGGGAGGGGGGAACAAACATGGCTCGACTCGCGAACAGACGCGGATCTGGAGACTCTGCTGCCCCTGCAGCGAGATTGAGTTTAAGGTAGATTACATGCGGGCCGTATTTTGGGAGCGGAAACGAGAATGCACACGTGATGGGTGACTGGATACATGGTCGAATCACGGGGACGAGGTGGCGAGAAACTCTCCGATACGTGGAGGGCGGGGGAGTAAGCTGGCCCAGGGAGAGCTTACCAGGATGGCTTTGTGCTAGGGACGGGTATGGAGTCCTGAGGACTATATATGAGAGCCCTGGCGGGGGATGGGGTTGGATCATGGGATGTCACTCGGGAACGGGAAAGGATCGTCGGTGCGCTGCACATGTGTAGCTGGCGGCTCATATGGCAGTGTGTGATAGGTGGAGTGCAATCATGATTTGCCTGGGATATATTGCATTCGCTTCTACGTGTATTTTGACACGAAAGACAAAATCTCGACGGGACGGCTTCAATGCACACACCCTACAAACGAACCTGGAGACCAACCACAGCCGAGTCGGCATCACTAGGACCGGTTTCGGCACCGCCACCTAGACTCCCAGATAGGAGGCCCAAGACTTTCTAATATATGGGTGTCCCTCCGGCCCCTAAACAAGATGGAAATTTAGTTGCGACGTCAGCAATGTCGGTGTTATCAATAGGTCAACAGAGTGGTTCCAAGACCTACACGTCCTTGGATCATGCGCAGGCTTTGATATCTAGTGGATGGACGGGAATGGACCATAAGTTTCGGTGGTCTTAACTGGTCCGCGTTTATTGTTTGTGGTCAGGGCCAAATCCAAATTATAGGAACCTCGGGCATTCGCCTCTAGCTCTCTGTTCATACGTCATACACTTTACCGCGCGCCCTGTATTAAAAAAAGTAAAAGTGGGAGACTGAATACCGTAGAATGAACAGCACCATACATTGGAGATGAATAGAAGTAAACAGAACATTCAGTTAAAACACACTCAAACACACGGCAATCGCATCATCACCACTTGTACTCAGTGTCAATGATTAAAATGTGCTTATTCGTGCCTCTTGGCATTGTTCTACACCTCTCAGTACGTACTAGCATCCCCGCTTTCCACTGCATCATGACTATCAGAAGCTCCCCCCATAGTCCACGTATTCTACTATATCCCGGCAAGGAAGTATTATGTGGACCGCACCAGACCTGTCCCTGAGAACCCCCCGAAATTTACGGATATGCTTGTAGTGCCCGTAACCAAGACTTTAGGCGTGCCAAGGCCAACGATCAGCGTTATTGTCAATGATCGCGTGCGCCGGAATATATGGACCTGCTTAGTCAATTTGTCCTCAATAGGTATGGCCACGTGACTGGTGTCTTCGAATCGAAGGGCGAGGTGCTATTAATTCTGTCGACAGTTTCCAACGACAATGTCTAGCCTGTATGGCCGTGTTTGGAGGCCGGGGGCCAAGGCCCGACTAGGTGAAAAATGCTCGGTCGGCCCATCGTAATCAAGAACTATATTCACATTCTGGCTGAAATAGATATTCGGAGTACTAGTGCGATTGATCATATGATCGACGAGGATTTCTTTTCTTTCTTTTGTTTAATTCATTAATTGTATGATCGACGAGGAGAATAGCGGGTGGAAATGGCCATGGATAACCTTGAAGACTTCAAGGGCGACGTATATTGTGGAGTGCTCGACCTTTATTGTTTTGTCCACGAGGACATGAGCTTAGATGGGCCTTTTACAGCGATATGGCCGAAGAATGTAGAAAAAGTACTGCCGGGGCCATTATTCGGCCGGAGTGGTCCGGCATATATCGGTGCACAGCGGAAAACGTAGTCCAGAGTACGAGGTTCGGCCTGTAACATCGACGTAATATTGGAAAATTTCATTTTCTTCGATATTTGACATGAAATTTGGGTAAATAACGAAATTCTGTTCGGGAACGCCTCTCATTGGACCAGCCCACGTTTCAAGTGGACTCAACTGCCCCAGTCGGACCAAGGAGAGAAAAGAAATAGGCCGGCGGGTGAGGCTCTCGAAACTTGAGGCGTCCAGCGAAAGATGCCGCCGGGTCCTGCTGTTTCAAGTTTCAATTTAACCCGAAACAACCACAGGCCTGACCCAGTGTAGAACATGGAATGACACTCCTACCTAGCCCAAGGGCCATTGTCGTCCTCGTCTGGCCTTAAATTATGACTTGGCGGTCCATCACCAATCAGGGTTTCGTGGAACATTAGCAGTCGTTTAAAGAGACAATGGCGAAGCTTACAGATTGTGTTATGGTGAGCGTTCATGAACGGGTCAGGTTTATCAATGGGCGAAACGAGACAGATTTACCGTTTCTTCGGCCCGGACCGGCTGTACAACACGCTAAAGCCACTGGTATACGCCTAACCATTGAATGGGCATACACGCCGCGGCCGCTCAGGCGAAACATTAAGGGCCCGCTTGGGAGCTGGCCTCAGTAGAAAAC